GATGCTGCCGATGCGGACGACGATAACAATGCGGCGAGCGCGACGGAGGGCGGCCCCGATGCACTCTATCTTCGAGCTCTGCGCATCCTCTGGCACGGCTCGCCGTTTGGAAAGCTGATCCCTACTCAGAGCAGGATACTGCACTTTCTCCACTCACGCGCCAATGTCCGGCTGGGCAAGGCGATTAGGTTCTTGAAGCAGTCGCTGCAGTTGCATCCGAAATCTGAGAAGCTATGGGACCTCTACCTCGAGCTTTACATGCGCCAGTCTGTGGACACCAAAGAGATCGTGTCTGCGTTTTCGGATGCAATCAAGTTCCACACGCAGAGTATGACTATCTGGAGGCGATACGTGCATTGGTGTGGGTGGAACGTCCAGCACAGCACCGGGACCTTGGTCGACTGTTTTGCCTGGCACAATCGTCTTTCTGTGGTTTCGGCGGCTGCGATCAAGTGCCTCGCCGGTAAAACGACAGCGCTGCTGGAGGAGCAAATTTCTGCCTTCATTGTCGAGATGCTGTCCTATTTCTGGGACTGTTCGTGGGTGCTGATCGAGCGACAATCCGCGATAAAGGCGACAGACCTTCCTGCCAATGCGCCAACGATGGTGTACCTGAACAGGCCGCGGCTGGTTGACCACATGTACGCCTGCCTTTCCTCTGAATCAGTACAGGCGTTGTCCGACAATATCACAAGTCTGCGGACCGCCAATTCCTGCACCCGGAAGAGCGAAATGGTCGGTGACGCTGTCTGGAATCCGGATGCATGGATTCTTGCGAAGCTGCTTCTGCCGCACCACCTGCTATTTATTGGCCATATGTTTGTGTTTGGCTTTATCCGCACCAACAAAATCCATCGCAGCGTCATGGCCGGCATGCAGGCTGCCATGCGGGCCGGATGCCGGTACCAGACGACCTACTTTATCTCCTTGGACAAGTTGGTCGCGGATGCCGCGAAGAAAGAGGCCACCTTGCCAGCATATGTCGTGCCCATCGTGCGCCAGCTCACCATTAGCATTGGCCACGTACTGGTGATGTACGACATGACGCAGGATGCGACGGATCCCTCGGCGCAGGCTCTTGCTCGGTCGCGTGAACTGTGCCAGGCATCGATCAACGTAACCAAGGCCCAGCTGGCAAAGCATTCAATGGCGCCAAAGGCCTCAAGCACGCGGATAATTACCAGTCGCGAGGACGTTGCCGGACGCATCGAGAGTTTGTTTGCGAGCGCCGCGCCCGATATGCAGGCCCTGAACGCCCTGCCACCCACGATAGCCAAGCAGGGTGACAGCAAATTCCTCCTTTCTGCGCAGCTGCTGCTCCATATCATCGAGTCCAAATCCTTAGACATGGCTTACCAACACGCGGCTTGCTTTTTGCGCAGCAACGCCCTGTTTATAGCCCGAGGCATGTTCATTGACACAAGTGAGCTGCAGGCAGACCTACCGGTGGTGGAATCCAGCTACGACAATGCACTCTTCCGGCAGTCGCTTATGGATTCTCGTGCGCTTTACTACAGGATGGTTGGGTACAACAGCGCGAATCCTCCGAAATCGATGCTGGCGCTGGCATCGAAGCTTCTCGGCGGTGGTATCGAGGGTGCCAATTCAATCTACGTGCAAATACGCGAGACCGCCGGCATTTGGATCAACATTGCGCTCTCAGAGCTTCTGCTTGCGCATTTTGTCTCTGGCGAAACGGTGGACTGGATGACGACGGACAGCAGCCCCATTGAATCAGCCGAGCTGTGGCTGCGCTGCGCCTTGGACCACATCAGCCCGAGCAGCACGGGTAGCCGGGCGTACATTTGGACTTTGCTGCTGCAAGTGATAATGGCGCAACGATCACTGTGCCTGAATGACTTTACGCAGATGCACAACGACTTGGTGGGAACTGCAGACGTCGAATCGCTGCACTTGACTCCGAACTGCTTTACTCCGATGAACTTTGTGGTGCGTGCTATCATATCGTGCAATCCGTTGGGCGCGACTATAGATGCAATCGGCAACTACATATCATATGTGGCTCGTGGCGATACTGAGCTTGCTTTGAGGTAATGTTGCAACAACAATGATTTGTTTTGTGAATGTTCACTGTGCTATCATGGGTTTTCTTTGCTTGCTATTTGCTAGATACTGTGCTCATTTTCTCATATTGCTTGTTTATTTTTGGGCGTGTGTGTGCGGCTGTGCGATTGCGTGTGTTTGTGTATTACTGCTTGGTTTTCGGAAAGACACTTTGCACATGTGTGCCGCAATTGCTCACTTTTCATACGCGCACAATTATTATTGCATTATATTTTCTTTTTTGAGGCAATTTGATTTGTAGGTTATTTATATACGCCGCGACGCTGGACAGAGTCAACTATGACTTGCAGAAACTACTGCGGAGGCTGCAGAACCAGTATCCTTTGGACCCGCTGCTTTGTGAAATGTAAGATTATGCTCAATATTTGCATGTTTTTGTGTAGTTGCCGCGCACACTAATGTTTTAGCCAAGATTTAATTCGTGTATATTCTTTGAATGGCCCTTTTGTCTGGCTTAGCTTGTCTGGCTAATAATTTTTTTTTAAAAAAATGTCGCATTTGGGGGGTTTTCGTTGGTGGGTGCAAACTGTGCGGCGTTTTTGCTTTCATGCTTTTTTCACGTTTTATTTGTACACTTAGTAGAAAAGTCAGGACTCCTGCGAATAAAGGATAAAGACAGTCGGCACCAGCTGCTATGCGCATCAAGTGTTTATTTTGTAGGGTTGCGCGAGAAGTTGGCTTTAAGGTTTCTTTATTATTGTCATTATTTTTAGTTTGCACTCTGCGCACAGATGGAATGGCTGGCTTTTTGTTTGCCTTTGCGTGCTTTCCATTTGGAATAAACGTGAATTGGCAAGTGGGAGTCGGCCAGCATTGGGTGCTTTTGACATAGCAAACGTAGTTGGGCAGACCGCAAGGTAACGAAAAAGAAGTGCACATTCGGGCTGCAGAGAATCATTTTTTTAGAACTTTGTCTTTTCTTTTTTGAGTTCACTTTATCTATAAAATATAACAATAAAAGCAGAAATATATCGAGAAGTTGAAAAGAGAACAGTGAGAAATCCTGGACAATTAATATTTTTCTACTTTTTTCTTAAATTAAATTGAATGTATACAGGTTATTTATATTTGGAAGGCCATCAAAACAGGTACGCTCGCATTGCACTTCATTAAGAAAGATAAACACGAACGCTGAAGTTATTTTGACTATCTCAAGCACCACTTCATATGAATCCAATTAAAACAAGCATGATGACAAAACTATTTCAATTGCTACGGTCGCTGCTCGCCGCACTTGCATATTTCGGTGCTGCCAGGGGAGGGAGGGGATGCAAAACAGCATATTTACAGTAGATTGACAGTTGCGGATCATCCATTTTAATTGCAATTTATTGAACAGTGGCCTTTTTTACTTCTTAATTAGGCACTATATGTTTGGTCGAAGAATCTTGTTATTTCCATAATTCAACAACATGGAAGCAAATGTTTGGCGAGGAAACATATACACGTTCAAAATCGAGGGAAGATCCCAACGACTCGTACTTTAACTGTGACATAAAGCTCAATATCCCCCCCCCGACGAATTGACAATGCAATAGGGTCGCCTCAATAGTCATGAATTGTGACATGAGCGTCAAGTGGGGATAAAGATGATATATAAGGGACCATAGGGTACGTTTGTGGCTATTATTATCAATTTTATTTGTATGTCATCATATGTGCGAAATTGAACAAAGGTAAACTTCGAACCTTCAAATATGGCTGCGATTGTGGTAGCAATGCGATAGTCATAATAAGGCACGGTCTCCACTGTTTTCAATTACACGGCACGCACAAATGCATTTCTCTGCACGAGTTCCTGACAACCCAAATATTAACGTCTGAACCAATTTGCAGCAGCTATTTTTGATTATATTGAAGTCAATGATAAGAGTCGATCTTCTGGGAAGCGAAAAACAGTGAGGATCCCCTGAAGAATGGAACATATCCAGATGTGCATTGAAATACATCCTCTTCCAGCCACATATCCGCTCCCTGATTTTTTATATCTGCACTCGAGTTGAGAAAACAACAGGGACAGATATCAACACAAGATAAGCATGGTATGGTATTAGGTCTTTAACCAAAAATAAATAATGGTTGAGGGATATTTTCAAGTCGTTGTCAAAGCAAAATATGCGGATATATAAATTCAATAGTTTTTTTAGCGCTTGCGATTTATGTGTGCTCGTTTAACTGACAATTTAATGGTTTACTGTTGTATTTTCTATCCTCGATATTTCATCAAACACTATTCCAGTTTCCAAATTACCGCTGGAATCGGTGTATCCGGAGACCATATAAAGACCGGGTACTTTTCCCACTAGTTTATTAAATTTGAACCAGCACTAACACCAAAGTTTTGAATCTCACGTTTCCGTTTTTATTTTCGTCTGTATAAAATTAATCAATCATAATATCATAAAATGTGCAAATTCATCATCTCAATGCCATCCACATCTTCAGCATCACAATGCCGCATGTGCACTTGCCCTGTCTGCCGGACCGGGAACGACTGCGACAGCTAACTTCATAATGTTGTCGTCTTTGAGTATATTTCTATTTTGCTCAGATCCTGCTCACCGGTGCTTCGTCGAAAAGACGGGTATTGCAATCCTGAGCGGAAGCAAAAATACAAGCAGGCCTGGTTACAATTGCAATCAAGACATCCATCTCTCTTAAAAATACCATGTAGACATGTGCACTTGTCCTTCCACCATTCAACAGCACCGTCATTTTCAAATACTCGCATAAAACTGCAACCTGGTTTGCATTTCTTCAACAGATAAATGATTAATAAATTAACACATATCCAATTAAATCAGATTCCTCTAATCAAAATCACGATGCTCCGAATCATTAATCGTTATACGTTGCGCATGCAACAACTTGGATAGTCGCAGCGCCAGGCTAGGTTCGTCGAATTCTTTCGTTTGCTTCCCTCGAATTCGAATTTGCTTTATTTATACTTGCGTACAGGTTACCCAATTTGGACACGACGCAAAGACACATATGATCCGGGCACTTACCGCCCAGCGCCTATTCCCGCACAGTCACGTTCTCGCGCCGGCGGGCATGTATAGATGCGCCGCATCGACAGGCTTCTCGGCAAGAGCATACGCCACCGACTCAGAGGACGCCAAAAAGTCGGCGAATCTCTACTCACACACTCTGAAGCTGCCAAAAACTGAGTTCCCCTTGCGAGCAGACGCAGCCCGCCGTGAAAAACAGTTCCGGGAACGCTGCACAGACACGCTTTACGAGTGGCAGCTCAAAAACAATACAGGCTCGCAGTTTATCCTTCATGACGGCCCGCCTTACGCCAACGGTGACTTGCACATTGGCCATTTTATGAACAAGGTTCTAAAGGATATTATTAATAGATACCAGGTTATGCAGGGCCGGCGCGTGTTGTACATACCGGGATTCGACGGACATGGATTGCCGATTGAGCAAAAGGCATTGGCTTCGTTGAAGGGCCGGGAGCACGATTCACTCGATCCCATGGAGATCAGAAGGCTGGCACGCAACTTTGCCATGAAAGCAGTCAGCCGACAGACAAAGAGCTTCCGGGATTATGCGGTAATGGGTGACTGGGCCAATCGGTACTTGACGCTGGACCCCGCGTACGAAGCGAACCAGCTAGAAATCTTTAAAACAATGGTTGAGTGTGGTTATATTTACCGCCAGAACAAACCCGTGTATTGGTCGCCGTCGTCGCGCACTGCACTGGCCGAAGCCGAGCTGGAGTACAACGAGGAGCACGTTAGTACTAGCGTATACGTCAAGTTCCCGCTTACTGGCGAGTCTGCGGCTCGCCTCGGTACAGAGGGGAAAGTTGATTTGTTGATTTGGACAACCACGCCATGGACGCTCCCAGCCAACTCTGCGATCGCAATGAATCCTGATATGGACTACGCTCTTGTGCGTGTCACTGAGGGCCCGGGTTCCGGGTTTAAATGCCACCAGCTGGTTGTCGGAAAGAGCAGGCTTGCCGCAATAACTGACATTCTGCCTGCAGAGTCCAGCACCAAAATGCTCCGTGAGTTCAAGGGCCGCGAGCTGGAGGGACTTTTGTACACCAGCATCTTGCGCAACAAGGTCTGCCGGGTGCTTGCCGCGGATTATGTCACAGAAGATGCAGGCACTGGTCTGGTCCACACTGCACCGGGGCACGGAAAGGATGACTACGACTTGGGGATGGCCAACGGAATCGACGCGTACTCGCCGGTTGACGACCACGGCCGGTTCACCAGCGAAGCTGGTGCAGCGTTTGAAGGAAAGGACGTTCTGAGCGACGGAACCGCGGCGGTCATCGACATGCTGACTGTGTCCGGCGCGCTTCTTGCGCAATGCAAGCTCACGCACAGCTACCCGTACGACTGGCGCACAAAGCAGCCGATCATTCAGCGCGCGACCCCACAGTGGTTTGCTAATGTCAGGGATCTCAAGGGCGCCGCCTGGAGCTCAGTCGATGATGTGCTGATCGTTCCTGAGTCGGGCAGGCGCAGGCTGAAGGCCTTTGTGACCGGTCGCTCCGAGTGGTGCATTTCGCGGCAGCGCGTGTGGGGAGTGCCCATCCCCGTGCTCTACAACACACGGACGGGCGAGCCCCTTTTGACCTCCGAGTCGATTGACCATATAATCCAGGTCATTCGGACCAACGGCGGCTCCGATGCCTGGTGGAAGTTGCCAGTCGAGGACTTTTTACTCCCCGAGTATCGCGAAGGGGGTGATACTTTTTCTAAGGGCGCCGATACGATGGATGTGTGGTTCGACAGCGGCAGCTCATGGAAGCTGCTTGAGGACAAGGTTGAAAGCCGCGAGGGCGCGTATGCTGACATGTACCTCGAGGGCAGTGACCAACACCGGGGTTGGTTCCAGTCGTCGCTTCTGACTTCAAATGCTGTGCGCAATGTGGCCCCTTACAAGGCGCTGGTAACGCACGGGTTTACTCTGGACGAGCACGGTCGCAAGATGTCAAAGTCGATTGGCAACACGCTGGCGCCCAGCCTGGTCATAGAGGGTGGCAAAGACAAGAAGAAGGAGCCTGCGTACGGCGTTGATCTTTTGCGGCTGCTGGTTGGATCTACGGACTATACCAGTGACGTGAGCTTTGGGCCGACGATATTTGCTGGCTTCAGCGACAATATCCGCAAGATCCGAGGAACAGTGCGCTTTATGCTTGGAAACCTCGACGGCTTTGTGCCCGAGATGGCGGTTTCTTACGAGCAGATGCCAAGCATCGACCGGTATATGCTGCACGAGCTGCGCCAGTTCAAGCAGGGCGCCAAGCGCTCGTTCGATAGCCTTGAGTTTTTCCGTGCGATGCAGGCGCTCAACAACTTCACCAACACTACGCTATCGGCCTTCTACTTTGACATAAGCAAGGACCGGCTGTATGCGAGCAGCACAAGCGACCTCGAGCGGCGATCGGCGCAGACCGTACTTTACTACACACTGATCAACTACACCACGGTGCTTGCACCCGTGACGTGCCATCTGGCCGAGGAGGTGTGGGAGTTTTTGGGGCCTGTGCGCAAGGCTTTTGGTCACGAGTCATTTAGTGTGTTCCAGGAGCAGTGGGACCAGACCAGCGAGTCATGGGACAGTCCGACCCTGGCCGAGGAATGGGCAGTGCTGCGCAAGATCCGCGGCCTGGCCAACCGCGCAATCGAGGCGGCACGCCAGGGAAAGGTCATCGGCAGCTCGCTGGAGGCAGAGCTGGATATATACGTGCCGCTTGGCTCGCGCCTTGGCCAGCTGCTCAAGGCGCATGAGAGCGATCTCAACCAAATATGCATTACTTCAAGAGCTGAGGCGCATGAAAGGGCTGATGTGGTTGACATACCAGCATTAGAGGGCGAATTCTCCCAGGCGGACGAGATCGCTGCGTTTGGCACAGAAACTGGCGTTAAGGTCGTATGCCGCCGGTCGTCTCTGCAAAAGTGCCCACGGTGCTGGAACTTCCATTCAACAGCGGCCAATGTTCTTTGCAGGCGTTGCGACATTGCCGTGGCCGACTTGGCGTAGGCAACAGCTGCATAAACTATTCGAGCTTGCATGGGCTGAGCTGCATGCAAGTCTTTTTTAAGTCGTTCTTTTTTCCGCACTCACAATTGAACCAGAAATAAAAACCCTGGGACATATATTCAGGTGAAATCAAATTTAAGGGCAAATTGAGATATGACAAACGGCTGCCAACATCCCGCTTGTAACAATTTTTTTAATTAATTGCTTTTTTTGCAGGCTAACAATGCATTTTTCTCGTATGCAGATACAAGTGCTTCGCTGGTCGCAACAGGGGCTCGCACAACAGCCAATGAAGGACAAGACCACAAAATAGAAAAGGGCACATAGTTGCACTTCTTGCCTGGTGATTTTGTGATCGGCCCAACCACACAAAAAGGCAGCCAAGGAGGTGGCTGAAAACATTAAAAAAGACCCGACCCGCATTTTGGTGGGAGGTGAGATGGCTTGCTTGAAAAAAATACTTTTTTTCCAGACTTTTGCGATCCACCAATATTTGGGGTTTGTACCTCTTATTTTTTTAGTCACCTCAAATTCACTCTATTTCTTTTTCACTCCTATTCTGAATTGCCAACTTTATTGCCAACAAGACCTTGTTCTTTTCTTTCTCTTTGTGCATATCAACTCACTCTTGCTTTTTCATTCTTCTTGACTCGCAAGGAAGCAAAGGCTATAATACAGAACGATAACCTTTTGCGCCGCCTTATTTTTTATTTTTTATTTTATCTGTGGAATCTTTAAGCTCGATTTTTTCTACGCCTCCAGCCAGCCAGCCAACCCGCCTAGTCTTTTCATTTTTGGGACTTCTTTGTGCTCTCTTAGCAGCCCTAATTGTGGAAATTGTAACAGCACATTAAACGGCCACAGAGAAGGCCATTATTTCATTTATTCGCCCTTTTTTTTGCCCGTCCTACCTTGTGCAGCTTGGAAAACCTAAAGTATCGCCTCCTACACTCGCTATTTAGCTGTCCTCCTGGCCAAACCCTTTTCCTTTTTTTTCTTTACTCATACACATTTTTCACTATTTGCTTCGGAATATTTTTCAACCTTTATATCTGCCACTTTTATTTTCTTGTAACGAGCAGTAGCACCTTTTCAAATTATTTATTATCCGCTACCAGGCATCTGGAGTATTTTTCTTAATATTTCTCTTAATATTTTTTATTGCTCGCAACGATCGATCCCCTTACTACACAGCGACAAGAGTAAATAATAAGCCACCTATTTTTACATCTCCTTGGGTACGGTATTAGTACATTCGCTAGTATATTAGTGCGGTGCAGTGGCCCTTCTCACCTCATATTCTACCAGCCAACGACATTCTTCTGTCTTTTTACTTCTTTTTAGTTCCCCTTCGTACTTTTCATTATTTTTTGTCAAAAGCCTGGTGCCCGTTCTATTCGCATCCCAGACACCAGAATGATTCACGTCCCAAAGACGCACACTCCAACGGCAGCAGCGGCAGCAATATCAGCGGCAGGGGTAGCACACGCACCTTCAACTGCCCAGCAGTGTCTTTCACCAGAGGAAGATTCCACTTGCTCTTCATTTTCTGACACTACCAGGTCGAGCACCCCAACTTACATCGACGACCCCAAAACTGCAGAACTTTCTATAAAGCCAGCGACGGAGCAGTCTCGCATGGGAATTGGGAATATTTCGCAGCCAACAACACGAAATAACAGCGCGCAATCGAGCCCGTACACCTTGGCAGCTGATGTCAGTGCCCACCTTCCACAACAACAGCACCAGAAGCAGCAGAAGCAGAAATCTCAAGGCAGGTCTCGTGGGCCAAAGTCTGCACCGGGAACTGCAGTCGATGGGGATATCAGTGCATCCTTGAGTTCGACACCAGTTGTTCCGCCAGCTACACGGGCACATTCAGAGTACACAAAGTCGACAGTCGACGCGGCGGCGTCCCCATTGTGCAAGAGGTCGGGCAGCACCCACGGCAACAGCACAGGTCCAAAGCCAAAGGGCACGAGCAGCGAGGGTAACAGCGGTGGCGGCAGCAATACGAAAAAGTCGGGTGGTAACAACAACCGCACAAAAGACGCCCAGCAGAAGAATGGCCAGTTCTCAGAGCAGGGCAAGGGTAATGGAGGAAAGCCCAAAGCCCAGCCGCCCAAGCAGCGCCGCCAGAACAGTAGTCGCGACGTGAACCAACAGCAGCAGCGGCAACAACAAGCACATCCCGCAACCCCGAAGCATATGCAAGCTCGGCCCGGAATGTTAGCATCTTACTCTGCCAATGACATATCGTCGTCGAGCAGCTATGGGTGGACCAAGGGTCACTCCAAGAATGTAAGCGTGCGGAGCACCGACGACGACAGAAGCACTGGCTACGGTGTGCATGACGGCGAGACCGACAGCGAAGAAGATTACGATATTGGGTTTTCGCAGGAGATGTGGGACTTGAATGTTAGCGAGCGGGTTGTTCTGCCGACGGGGCTTGAGAGGACGCTGACTGCGCAGATCCTGTTCGCTTACGAGACGCGGCTATGCCCAACTTCAGAGAGCATCGAGTTCAAGCGGGCGTATATCGATAAGTTTGCCACAATCCTGTTGACTGAGTTTCCGGACTGGAAGATTGATATACACGTGTTTGGGTCGTCGGTCAACGGATTGGGCACGTCACGCAGTGATGTCGATATTTGCCTGACTACAGAGCACAAGGAGCTGGAAAATGTGTTTGTGCTCAACAAGGTGCTGCTCAAGTACGGCATGCGGACATTTTGCATTCCCCACGCTCGTGTACCAATCGTCAAATCTTGGGATCCCAAGCTGCGCATAGCGTCAGACATCAACGTCAACAACACGATTGCCCTGCACAACACACGGATGATCCAGACATTTGTGGCGCTAGACTCACGGGTACGGCCGTTTGTAATGGCCATCAAGCATTGGTCCAAGTGCCGCGAGATTAACGACGCTGCCTCTGGTGGTACACTGTCTCCATATGCGTGGGTCAACCTGGCGATCAACTTTTTGCAGATGCGCAGCCCGCCGATTCTCCCGATTCTGCACCCGCCCATCTCACCGCAAGACGCCATGAACACTGGATACGGCACGGGTAACGTGGACCTGGAGTTTAACGACAACATCGAGCAGCTCCGTGGCTTTGGCGTGGCCAACATCGAGTCACTAGGGTATCTGCTGTACGCGTTCTTCCGCACCTACGCCTACGAGTTCGACTACCGCCATCAGGTTGTGTCGCTGCGTCAGGGCTGCTACCTGACCAAGGCGCAGAAGGGCTGGGACACGGGTCGCCCTTCACAAATCTTTTGTATTGAAGAGCCGTTTTCGACCTGGCTCAATCTGGGTCACAGCGCCAACACAACATCCGTCGAGGGCATCAGGCATGAGTGCCAGCGCGCATTCCACATTTTGCGTGACGGCGGCTCTTACGGCGAGGTGTGCGAGGTGTACAAGCGGCCGTCGCGCGCTGTGACGGCGCCGACTTTGACTATGGGCATTAGCCCGTTCGAAGACGACCATGTGGAAGCGGGTGGCAATGTTGGTGCGGCCAACCCGAATGCCCTGACCAAATGCCACGGCAAATACGCGCACTGCCAGACGCGCTCTAGCAGCTACAGCTCCGGGTACGGACAGACATCGTACGGGAATTATTACTGCATGCCGGGGACCATGGGAGCGGCAGCGAACATGAGCCGCAGAAATTCGTACGACAACACGGTCTATGGCAACGCAATGCGGAATAAAAGCAAGCAGTGGCATAACCCTCGCAACCAACATGTCACGCCCAACCAGTTCCGTGCGCAACAGCAGCACGAGCAGATGATCAAGGGCGCTCTCAATAGCCATTCGGACTCGGACAATGGGTTATCGTCATCCAATGCTTCGAAGAACCAACAGCAGTCCTTGCAGGGGGGTGTTGTCGACCAGCTGACCCATCTCTCAATCAGCTAACCAAATGATGACCGATATCTTTTTTTAAATTTCATTTCATATTTTCCATTTTATATCATCCATTTCAACTGTAAAACTGTAAAACTGTAAAAAAAACTATTAACCACCCTCTTATCAAAAATAACATCAACACCAACACCAACAACACTAACACCAACACCAACGCATGCTCAAGTATTAATTGCGAGACTTTAAAACCGCTTCTGAAAAGTTCTGGATCGTTTCCAACATTCAGCATACATAGTAACAAAAATACGAGTACAAAAAAAGATGTCTGATAATCAAGCAATTAGAATTTGATGCGCTGGACAAAAAACATTCACGCCTCGCTCAGAGAAAATAGATCTATAGATACATTTGCTCCTTTGATGAAGCTCTGCCCTGTGATAAACAACTGATGGCTATAACCGCCATGATATGTGGATAAATCAATCCGTGCTATGTCTGTGGGGATGAGTAGTCACAGTAGAGGGAGCCTCCTTAGCTTTGCGTCTGGCTGCCCCTTCTGGGTCTTTACCAAATGATGTCTCACCTTTACATTTCGTTAAAAAGTAGGAAATTAAGTGCGTAAACACAATCTCCAAGGTTACCCTACCCCACGCAGGTTGAGAATTTGTTACAGTGTAATTGATCAAACAACTTTTTTTTGTTGCTCATCACGAAAAGCAAAAAAAGGGTGAGGGGAAATGTTTTCTCTTTGTTTTTGCAAAACAATTTTTTTGTATATCTGTTTATTTGCCTACTATCCCGAACTGGAATTGAAATGAACCAATCAACGAATTCGAAAAAGCACAAGCAGCTCTTTGTCAAGGAGGGCGATGACTTTGAATACCAGAAGGGAGCGTCGACCGGTGGCGATAGTTACCGTACCAGCGTGTACCGCCACTGCGACTCTGAAATGCGCATAGTGGTCTGCCGCATCCCACGGCCTCTCTGCACACTGCACATATACGTCCCCACCGTGACGGACAATGACAAGGGTCTGCCGCACACGCTGGAGCATTTGATATTCTGCGGATCTGAGCGGTACCCGAACCGTGGCTACCTCGATGCATTGGCCAACTGTAACTTCGCCGACGGCACCAATGCATGGACAAGCTATGACCACACGTGCTACACATTGTCAGTTGCTAGTGAGCAAGCTGTAACTAATGTGCTTCCGGTGTACTTGGACCATGTGCTGCATCCGCTTTTGCGCGATGACCAGTTTGTCACTGAAGTGTACCATTATGATGCCACGGGGAAGGAGCAGGGCGTGGTGTTTAGCGAAATGGTCTCGCGCGAGCAAAGCGAAAGCGACCTCTCGAGCCACCACCTGCGCAAACTGATGTTTTCCTCGAACTCCGCCTATACCTTCGAGACTGGCGGACTCACGCCGGACATCGCCAACCTCAGCAACCAGGAGATTATCGACTACCATCGCAAGTACTACGATGTTAATAATATCACTGTTGTCATGACTGGTGCGTTTAGCGAGGACTTTGAGGAGGTTCTGCAGGGCTTGCCGGTTGATATGCTCAAGAGCAATGGCTGCAATTCGCGCGCCCCCATTGACTGCTCTGTGCCGCCGGAGGACCGGTGCCGCTTTGAGTTTGTCAAGTTCCCGTCGGCGGATGCGGACACTGGATCAATTTCGTTCGGCTGGCGTGGTCCGCAGCCAGAGGATATTGAGACACAGGCTGCGCTGGGGATCTTGATGGAGTACTTGGCCGAAAACCCGTCTAGTCCTCTTAACCAGCGCTTTGTTGAGCGGCCGGAGCCGCTGGCCAATTACGTTTACCATGATCTTGAAAGCACCATGCCCAGCACTTTGACCATTTCTTTTGGGGGTGTTCCCTATCCAAAAGCCGATTCCGAGGCCGATGAAAATCATGAGGAGGACGAGGATGAGGGCGAGGACGGCAAGTGCTCTGGAGATGAGGGCACAGGAAGTGTCCAAGAGGACGATGAGGAGGAAGACGAGAACGATAGTGACAGCCAGAATGGCGAACAGGATCCTGACATCCCGCTCTTGTTTGACGAGTGCTACTTTGAGAGACTTCTGCTTGCCGAGATCCAGCGTGTCTACGACACACATTTTGACGGTGACAGCAAAGCACTTAAAAACTCGACCGAGCGCGTGCGCCAGAAGCTGGCTGTCGACATGGAGAATAACCCCGAGTGTGTGATCCAGGATGCCATGTGCGCAGATATTATTGCTGCGCACTTCTCCCCTTCCCGCCAGGGGGGCGCCTTCAGAATCGGCAAGCGGGCAAAGATGTTTGATATCATCGATAAGCTTGGCCGCAAGCCCATGGATTACTGGCTGGACCTGCTGAAGACCTGGTTTATCGACCAGCAGCCCTACCACGTTGTCATGGTTCCAGATGCTGAGATGGGGTCGCGGCTCGAGGCGGCGCGCAAGGAGGTCGAGAAGGCGAACGAGGCAAGCATTGTTGACAAGGAGGCACACGCGCGGGCCATTGCACAGGCCATTGAGGCCAACAAGGTCGATCTGCCGGACAGTGTCAAGCAGACGATCCCGTCGCCAGACCCGTCGCTGATCATCACCCTGCCGCATACCCTGAATGTGCTCCCGCTGCCCAATGCCGCCAGCCCGGCCGCCGCCGTGCAGCTGATCGAGGTCGACTCTGAATTCCCCGAGATCAAGCTGCACATCCCAATGAACTCGCTGCCGGACTCGCTGCGCGCGTACCTGGTTCTGTTCCAAGAGCTTCTGTTGTGCAGCGATGTTATGCTTCCCGCCGGTATCGTGTACGATACAGACGCGCAACCGCTGGCCGAGCCTAAGCGTGTTGGCTATGTCACCGTTGACAACCGCCTGGCCGACATTGCCACCTCGAATGGGGCTGCAGTCGGGTACGGCAATGGTCGGTTCTCGTGCAGCTGGTTGGACGAGCTGTTCTACGTGTATATGCGCATGCCCGACGACAAGTTTGCTCTTGGCGTGCGCTGGCTGGTTCAGGTATTTATGTTTGCGGACTTTACTGCTGAGCGCATCCTTTCGGTAGCCCAGAATTTGCTCAGCGAGATTGTCGATTTGAAACGCGATGGCGAGTCAATGGCCTTTGCTGTGTCTTCTCTCTACACTACGGAGGATCGGGAGGGTGGGCCTCGCTGGGTTGCGAACCATATTAGTGTGTTTGAGCAGGAGAGTGTGCTCAAGGGGATTGTTGACAAGGTCAAGGGCGGGGATGTGAAGAGTGTTGTTTCGGTTCTCAATGGCATCCAGCGGGCGCTTATTTATGGCCAGGGTGGGTTCCTGTCGATGGGGATCCCCACGGGCAAGAGCGGACAGGCGTACATCGACGAGTTCTCGCGCGAGTGGGCTGTCTGCCTTGACAAGTACGCCGAGAGCCAGAAGGCGGAGTCAGCTGTCCCGTGTGTGGCAGATAAGGGCAGACCGCTGTTTGGCAATAACGGGTTGTTCCCTGTACCACGCGTAAACAGGTTCCCTGATATGGCATCACCTCTGCGGCTGCATTTCCCGATGGCGGCTCTGCAGTCCTCGTACGTTAACATCTGCTTCAACTGCGACCTGTACAAGGGGCCCGTTGGCAGCAGTGAGCGCAGCTTTGACGAGCAGCTGGCTGAGTTGCCTTCGATGGACTATTACGCGCTGAATATGCTCGCCTCCCTGCTGCACCGCACGGACGGCCCCCTGTACAATGCGATCCGCGGCAAGGGCTACGCATACGGGGCTTATTTCCACCCGAGCCAATGGGCGGGCATGATGTCGTTTATCTGTCCCAGGGCGGCGGATGCACCCAAGGCCATTCTTGAGATGCAGCAGCTGGTTCGGGCGCTGGAAACCGAATGGGACGAGTATGTTGGCGACTTTGAAATCAGCATGACGCGCTCGACGCTCGTATACGAGAACACTATTGCGCAGGCTACGCCCAATAATGTGGCCAACAGCTGTGTGGTAAGCAATATTAATGGGTTTGAGTCTGTTGAGCAGTTGGATCGTTGGCGCAATGCGCATATGGCGGCGGTTGGGCAGAAGGAACTGAGGCGCGTTTATGAGCTGTATTTGAGGCGCTTTTTGGACGCGGAGTACCCGATGCTCTCGGTCATTATGACGCCACTGGATACAGAGCTGCCTGTGGAGATTGGCGTGTATGAGCGTAAAATGCTGGATGAGCTGGCCACAACTGCTCTGAGATCAGTGGTCTGAAGGAGAGGAATATGTATTATTTTCTTTGGTACTACTAGAGAAAAATATAGCGTAAATATATTGAAATGTGATGGGCAAAATAAAAAATAGTATCAGAATTGAAAGGATGATTAAAAAAGAAAGGAAATGGTGTACAGCAGCGCTTACTCTCTTACACTGCTCTGGCAAAGATGGCTGGCGTGTCTGTGCGTCTGTGCGTCTGCGTATATGTGGTCATGTATTTTGTTGTCCCTTCTAGAAGGCAGTGCAAATATCCTCAATGGCCTTTTGGTACAGCGAAATGATCTGGGCGTTTGCAGACTTTGTAACAATAATAGCAGCCTGGAAATTATTCGCAACCTTGATCTCCGAGTAAAACACCGATCCGTCAATCATCTTGCTGCTCGTATAAAAGTGCGTGGCATTCCCGACCGCGCGCTGAGCAACTGTAAACACGTTGTTCATATTGAGCTTATTGCGCATATCCTCCATCGACATAAAGCGCAGGTTATGCGCGGTATGCGAGGTCTGCATGTTCTCTGGTATCGCCTTCCACATGCGCAGGAACAGACCCTGGTCGCTCTGGCCACTTTCCTCGAGCAGGATATGCAGGGAGAACTGCGTCTGAAAGTAGAACACCCCGGCGGTGCACTTTATGGCGATCTGCAGGTTGTTCAGCGGCTGCATAGGCATTGCCGGCCCGCCAGTCACCAACGGCAGAGTCACCTCAACTGAGCTCATCGGCCCGACTGTCCCGGCATTCAGAGAGGACCCAGGCATCAATCCGTAGCTGTTCTTGTTGAACTGAATTGCAAATTCGCCAATCGAAATTCCGCTCTTATTGACAAACGACATCTCCATCTGAATCTGCCCATTGCGCCGAGCAAAGGTACCGAGAATTTCCAGGCCCTGCGTCTGCTGCGCATCAAGCAGGATCCGCTGGGTCGGCACGTATGGTGCGGCGGCAGAGCCAGAGGCGGAGGCGCCTGCGGAGGTTGTGTTAAAGTTGTTCAAAAGCCCAGTGTTGTACATTTGGGCTGCCAGGTCGTCGACCTCCTTTTTCAGTGCGGCCGAGTTTGTTGAACTTGTAGCGTCAGACTGCTGCTGCTGCTGTTGTTGTTTTGCTGAAGCCGATGAGAATGGGAATTGGCCTTGAGCTCCGGGCGTAATTGGTCCTGAATTGCTGAATGGGCTGAGCGAGTTGAAGTTAAATACGGTTGATGTGGGAGAGAGAGCAGTAGCTGCGCCGAGTGAAGTGGAAAAAGCAGAGGTGCTTAAAAGGGCGGGCATGCTGGACGTAAATGACGAGGAGGAGGGTGCCATTTGCGGGGCAGCCGAGGAAACCTGTATTTGCAACTGCTGCTGCTGTTGGAACGCGTCCATCTGCGAGTTTCCATTGGCCATAAATAACGAGCCTGAATTGGCGCTGGCCGATCCAACAGGGCTGGCGTTTCCGAAAGATGTCAGGTCGAAAGACGAAGTGAACTGGCGCATCAGATCCGGCATGGGTGAGCTGCTCCCGCCGTTCATGCGCGCCAGTGGCAGTGCCGACGACGACATGCTGGCCAGAGCGTCGAGCCCAGCAGCATCAAACGCACTGTTAAGCACCTGCGAGTCTGGCACCACATTGGCCGCCTGCGCCGAGCCACTGTTGCCGCTGGCAGTCTGGCCCAGACCAGCCATGTTCATGGCAGACATTCCAAAATTGGCGTTGAACCCGACCATGCCGCCCGAGTTAATGGCAGCGCTGCCGTCGCCAGCGTACTCGTCGTCATCCATGGACATTAGGTCAATAAGCATAGTGTCGTTGCCGCGCATGGGTCCCGGGATGATATCGTTGATGTACGGGTTGCTCAGACCCGCGCCAGGCCCGCTGACGTCCAGTGTCGATGAGTTCAGGAACCCGCTGCTGCTATTGCGCGACGCCCCAAGCGACGCTGCCTCGACCGCCGGCTGCTTTGCTGTAGCCTTCGGCTGGCCCATCACGGACGAGCCCGTCCGCGGTAGCCGCGACACTGGCGGCGCGGCAATCGTCAGACGGGTCAGCGCCGGCGAAGGGCCAAGCACGCGCTTCTTGGCAAATGGAATAAACGTGCACGGTAGCTTACGGTAGATCGATGACAGCGTGCCAACCTGAAGGAGGAGTTCCTCAAGCAAAGGCATGTCAATTTTCTCGCCCTCGGCGGAGATCTCAGGCTTATCCGACAGCACCACGGCGCGCGCCATTTCGGGGTCTGTCGATAGCAGGCGCCAGTAGATGAAGCCGCGGTCGCGGATATCCGGGCTGTCAACCTGCTCTGTCGCCCACTTGAGCACCTTGGGCACAAGGTCCTGGCCGGCCGTTGGCCGCATGATGAATAGCTTGACGACGGCCGTCAGCATGGCCAGTTGCACCTCGGCCGGGTCATCGAGGAAGCTCTCCAAGAAAGTCCCCAGCACCACGTCCGAGTTATCAATGCGGTCGGCGTACTGCCCGATGATCCAGATCATGGCCGCGCGCGCCTCGGGCTCATCCAAGGTGTCTAGGTTCTCGCACAGCGTGCCGATGATGGTCTCGTATCGGTTCGGGTACTTTCTGAAGATATCGCGGATGACCACGATCGCCTCCTGCACGACGTAGTTGACCTTAGTCTGAATGAGGTCGAGTAACGCGCGCACACAGCGGTCTGCGGCCAGCTCGATCTTGATCGCAATGCGGCCGATCGACCGCACAGCCTTGCGCACAAAGTCCACGTCAATCTCGGTCGCGTACTCGGAGAGCTCAGTCAGGACCACGCGGGCGTTATCCTCGGTGGTCAGCGATAGGATAACTTCGAGCTTGGCGAGCTTAACGTAGATTGGGTCATCGTACTTGCAGAAGAAGGCGCGCAGCTGGTTTGCAGGATCGTCGGCCAGCGCTGCAGGAGCAGCTGGATGTTGCGCAGGGTAATATACTGCACCTCCGGTCCGGATGTCAGCAGGGTGACCAGGGGTGGTGACAGTTTGCGTAGGATAGGCTCCAGGGTTTCCGTCTGCGCCACGTAGTTCATCATGTACGAGATGACCTTGATAGACACCAGGACGACCCCGAGTTGCCGTGCTGCAGCCGCGGCATGATCCTCTCAATAATGGTCTCGGCATCGCCGCTCTCCTGCGGCACCACGTACATAAGCGACTCAAGGATATAGATCTGCCCCCACTCGTTGCACTCGTTCAGCGCCGTGATCAGCTTGTTAGAGATCTTCATATTGAGCTTCAGCTTGATATGTGGCGACCGCTCCGAGATCTCCGTCAGCGCTGCCACTGCATTGGCCACCACCGAGGGGTTGCTGTCGGCCAAAAGGTCCTTGAGCATATCCAGAAACTTCTCCTCCTCGACCAGCGACCGGTCAAACATGCTGAGCTTCAAGACGGCCATTGCCGCGGTCTTGCGCACATAAGGGTCACGGTCCCGCAGGCAGTGTCGCAGGGGATCGATTAGGCTCTCAATGACCCGGTCGACGTAGATATATCCCATTGTGCGAATCGCCATTGCCCGGATAAGCGGGTTCGGATCGTTGACGTCGTCCTCGAAGCCGTTGACTGCTAGGTTGGCGATCTCCGCACGGGCCCGCGCGTAGTTTATCAAAAACAGATAGACCATCTTTTTCACCTCCAGGTCGGGGATGCTCATGCATGCGATGACCTCTTGGAATAGCGGCGACATGTCGTTACCCATTGTCATGTTAGCCACGACCTTCTTCATCGCTACCTTTTTGCGCTGGCCCCGCGGATCCTTCTTGTCCGAAGTCAGCTCTGCCCTGAGGTCATGAACCTTGCCTAGAGTTTTTTGCAACTTTAGCAGGATAAAAGGTAGGCGAAATTTATGGAATGGAATGTATTAGTCTCTCATCTCTAAATGGGTTGACCTTTTTTTTTGTTGTTTATGTTTGTTTGGGAGAATTCCGCGCGATATCTTTTGTTTGATTTTTCCGCTTGTCTACTTGCCTCGCTGAAAGAATTTTGCGTCTGACATTGCCTGTGAATACCACCACTACTATTGCTGTTGCTGCTTCTGCTGCTGCTGCTGCTGCTGCTCTGTGTATGTGTGTAAGGGTGTGCGCGACACTGCCAAGTATGGAGAGAAAAGAACGTGTATAGTATGTAGACCCAGACAAATTAAATAGAAAGATAGAGAGAAGAAAAGGTAAAAAAAGTATAAAGTACAGAAAAGGACAAAAATAAAGTGAAGCGGGAATATAAGCAGGAGTATTTCGGCAGAGACATCTGTTTGTCCAGTTTCTTGCTGTCTTTTGTCTTCTATGTATGCGCAAACCAACCAAAAAATGCAGAAAGAAGCTCAAAAAGCTATAGAATTTTATTTTATTCTTTCTTGCTTAAAACTTGTAATACAGATAGGTCGTGTGACAATCCCTGTTTACATTGTGCGTAACAAGCATATGTTGCAACCCGTCTCTGCCTCCTTTTAATCGATTTTTATCTTTATTTTGTTATTAGTTGCATTTCAACTCACGCTAATTACTTCACACACATCTATTTTCCGTTTTCGCAAAAGAAATGGCATCTGCAACGCAACCCGACGTCGACCTGGTGTTCGAGGGTTTCGACACAACAAACGAGCCCGAAGACAGTCTGCACATTAACGAGCACGGCACAGCCGCCGACTACACAGACGACTACACAGACGACTACCCCAGGGAACTCCCGGACATGCAAAGCGACGAGATAATCAAAGAGGTTCTGGCCAAGGGCATCGACCTCCGGCTATACTCGCAGCAGATCGAGCAAGAGTGCAAGAGCTCGAGCATGAGCAGCTGGAGAACTACGAGCAGCATGAGTCGGCGCTCCTGGAGCTCGACTCAGAGATCAACGGCTGCGATGAGGTCCTCGAAAACATGGAGAAGCTCCTGGTCAACTTTAAATCCACCCTGGGGGCGATCAACAATGATATCCAGGCGCTGCAGAGCGACTCGTTGTCGATGAGCATGCGATTGAAGAACCGCGTGATGGCCGAGAAGCAGCTCGAGAGGGTCATTCAGGGCGTTGTCGTGCCGCCGGCCGCCGTGCGCGTCATCTGCGACAGCGAGGTCAACGAGAAGTACCTGGAGAGCCTGATCGAGGTCAACAAGCGCATCGCATACATGCGGGTGCACAGCAAGCAGAACCGCAAGCTCAGGGCGTTCCAGGAGATCCAGCCCGAGCTCGACCGCCTGTGCCTGCGCGCATCGTCCAAGATCCGCGAATTTCTGCTGACAAGATCAACGACCTGCGGTCGCTCAGCACCAACGCGCACGTCATGCAGTCGTCGGTGTTTGTAAAGTATCGATTCTTCAACCACTTCCTGATCGAGCGCCATCCGGAGGCTGCTGTCGAAGTACGAGACACGTACATTCACATTATGCGCCAATACTACCTGGACCATTTCGAGGCGTACCAGCGCGGGCTGATGCGGCTCGAGCGGACAATCGCCGACAAGGCCGATGTCATTGGCATGGAGGAGCACACGGGCAAGCTGAGTCTGTTTGGGTCGGCGAAGCCGGTTGTCCGCGACAAAACCAACGTGTTCAACCTGGGCTCGCGCGCAGCCATCTTGGACTCCAGCGACTCGCGCGCTCTCGTGCTCTCAATCGCCGGCGAGTCCGCCGAGCGCTATCCGTTCGAGACACTCTTCCGCAGCTACAACTGGCACTCGCTGATAATGCTACGACAGAGTACGAGTTCATCATGCAGTTCTTTGTCAGCCCCAAAGCGCGCCAGAAGATCACGGGCTCGGACATGGCGCGCATGGTCTTCAACCATATATTCGAGCCCAGCGTGCGCGCTGGCGAGCTCTTCGCCAAGGCTTACCTGGAGACCACGTACGATGCTTTGGGCGTTCTGCTGTGCGTCCGCATTATTTCGCAGCTGGCCGGCGACCTGCAGAGGCGCAGGGTTCCGGTGCTGGACTCATACGTCAATGCAATGAACATGCTGCTGTGGCCGCGCTTCCAGGCCATCCTGGACAGCCACATTGAGAGCGCCAGGCGCCTGGCTGCGTCGCATAGGAGCAAGCCCAAGGTGGATACTCAGCCCCCAGCCATTGTGCGGCGCTACGCCGAGCTGGCTGCCTCGCTGCTGCGCCTCAACATTGGGTATAACACCCACGTGGTGGCGCTCAGCCTCGCGCGCCTGCGCACCGAGGTTCAGGCCTACCTAACGCGCGTAGCCGAGAGCAGCGTCGATAAGCACGCGGCACTGGTGTACCTGATTAACAGCTACGATCTCCTGCTGACCGTGCTGTACGAGAACGGCTTTGGCGAGCGCGAGGAGGAAGTCAGCAGCTGGAAGAGGGAGTTTGGCTCGACCGTGCTGGCGTTTGCAGAGTCTGAGCTAGAGAAGCACTTTGGGTACCTCAAGCTGTTTGTTGTCGAGGCCGAGCAGCAATCGGATATTGGCCAGGTCAGCGCTGATGGTCTGGGCCGTGTGGTTGCTGTGTTCAATGGCGAGTGGAGGGCACAGATTGCCGCCATTAACTCGTCGATTATTCAGAGCTTTTCGAACTTTCGCACGGGTACCGAGATTCTGCATGCCGTTTTGGGCCAGCTCATCATTTACTACACGCGCTTCCACAGCCTGTACGACAAGCTGCTTGCCCGGCGCGCCAGCTCCAGCGGCATGCCGCAGCCAGTTGGCGTGCAGAACGTCATGGTGAGATTAAAAAGTACCGAAACAACTTTTAGCAATGAAGCCGAAAGGAAAAAAACCTCAACATGACCACTAGTTTATTATAACACCCCCTGTATGTAAGTTTTTTTTTAAAGCGCAATATCAGAACAAAGGAACACTGGGACACCTTTATCTGTCTGCTCTGAATTATAAACTTTTTCTTTGTTAAAAAAAAGCAAAAGGGTTAAATAAAAGGATGGAAGGGAAGAAAAATAACCTAGACTCTCTGGAGCTTCTCCTCGATGGAGGCAAACGAGACCTCATCCATATCAGTGGCCTGAATGATTTGGTGCACGCCATTAAGCGAGCTAATGAGCACGTTCTTGCTGGACGCATAAATCATCTTGGCCTTAATCTTGGCGTTGTCCGGGGACCACGTGATGAAGACAATCTTGTTGCTCAACACCTCCTTCTTCTGGAACTGTACGTCGTAGACGGCATAGCGGCACTCGGTCTCGGGCAGGTGAGCGAGGAAGTCCTCGTACATCTCCTCCTCGGTGGGCTTCTCATCAGAGTTGGACGTGTTGGTCTCATTACCCTCGGTGTGTTTTTCCTTATCAAGGTTGGACGTGTTGGTCTCGTCGTCACCCTCGATGATCTCGAGGTCCTCGGCCGTCAGCTCTGTGTTCTTCTTCAATCTGTATCTGTGCCCGACAATGATCTCGTTGTTCTGCTCGTTCATCTGGAAGATGACGTACTTGTACAAGTGACGGGTCTTGAGACCAGTGAACTTCTTCAGGCACTGGTCGTTGGTGGGGATTCCGCTGGACTACAAGATGGTGTGAATTCAAAGTGGACGGGAATGAGGAAGGCTGAGATGAGCTTCAGATGCATAAAGTGAAAGTGGAAGGGGGGTGCGCGTGTAATTGCTGCAAATAAAGAAATTTGGGTTGCGCTTCTTACCATTTTGCACGAATGAGTAGATGTATAGGTTGCTTAGAGCTGAATTGGAAATAAGCAAAGTGTTAGTATGTGCAAAACGAAAAATATAATAGAAACGAAAAAATACAAAAACAAAAATACTTTTTGAATTCAGAAACTGGCGCTGTTTTCAGGCAAAATAGTGGGCAAAAAAATGACAACCCATTTATTTTCGCTGGCCATGCCTTTTTTTTGCGTTTGACCATGCACGTCCCCTCTCCCCTCCCCTCTTTTCTTTCTGCACTTGCCTGCTCACCTGGTTGGTTGCTTGCTGATGCTTTCACCCCCACAGATTTCAAACAAGAATTCCGGCACCCAATCCAATCTGAACTAAACTGAAAACACTGCTTTTTTGTGCCTGGTTTTGCTGACAATGAAATTGAAATAAGAAAATACCGCTCAAATGTACCTCTATTTCCCCTCCGTCCTTTTTCCGTTATAGCTGAACTCCCCCAGTCCGATTATTAAAAAAGAAAAAAACTGAATTACAGGCCGACAGATATGATTGGACCATGCGCCCAAACAAAACATTTTATTTGCAAGTCGTTCTTGGTTCAATAATATCTGCAAGTTGTAAAAAGAAAAGGAAAAAATCGAAAATCAAAGCTGTCAATTTTGTCTTTGTAATTTCACTATGCTCAGTTACTTTTGAGAAAGAGCAGAAAAAAGAAACAGGGTCCTGATAAAAAAAATCGATGACGAAATAAAAAAAACCCGCACAAAAGAAAAAAAAGTATATCAATTTGAGTAAACTGAAAAATAAAAAATTAGACGTGTTCACGAGGATATGCAGAGAGGCGTGTGGTATAAATAAAAACGGTAAACCAATTTATATACAAAACTGTGTTCAAGTTATTGGCTCATTAATTTTTATTTGAGGCTCAGAAATTGAATATCTCGCAGAGAAACGTGACGGGCCAGTCAGATTTCACTTAATTTAGTTGGGTTATTACTCAGCTCACGCGTACAGTTCATTCATCTATTCCTTCTTTTTTCCTTTTTGCCTTTTTGGCTTTTTTATCTTGGAGAATTGGGTTAAAAAGAGTAAGGAAGGTTTACGCTTGCCATTTTATTTCTTTCTTTTCTTTCTTTTTCTTTTTCTTTTCTTTTACTTTTACTTTTACTTTTACTTTTACTTTTACTTTTTTGCATTGCTAAATTTTTCAATTACCCACAAAAGACTTGATATTTCAATTTGAATACTTTTATACACACACCTTCACACACTCTTACTTTAACGTACCACTATAGCAACAGAAGCATCAGGTTTTACTACTTTTTATTATTATCTTGATCAACAAAAAAACAGACACCATGAGCAGTGACAACAGCAAAAACAACAACAACAACAACGACAACGACAACGACAACGAAAACCTAGACACGGAAGACGACCTGCTGGACAACGACATTCTCGATCTCGATGCGTTCAACCAGCTACTCTCCATGGACGACGAAGACGACGAGGACCACGAGTTCAGCCGCGACATCATCAACAACTACTTTGACCAAACAAGAACAACATTCGCAGACATGGACAAGGCATTCCGCGCCAAGGATCTCTCAAAGCTCTCTTCCCTCGGACACTTTCTCAAAGGCAGCTCGGCGACCATTGGTATTAAGAAAGTACAGGAGTGCTGTAAGCATATACAATATTTGGGAAAGCTGCAGGGGGCGGAGGGAGAGGGGACGGTTGATAAAGAGGAGGCGCTAAGGTTGATTGAGTGCGAATTGAGGACGGGAAAGGAGGAGTATCAGAAGGCAGAGGAGTTTTTGCAATTCTTTTATGAGGCTGACCCTGGGGATGACGAGGACGACGATGCTTGAGTCCGGCGAGTAGGAGAGGGGAAGGAGTGATTTATGCTTTGGTGTGCTTATATGCGCACACTCATGGATCCCATTCTGGCTCCCTGCTCTTATATCCAAGAGAAAGAGACTTGCTTTTGCACTTACATCTCCCATCATCTCCCTCTTCTTTCTGTCTCTCTCATTTTTGTACACCTTAAATTTTTTTGTACAGGATTTTTTTCCTTAATCATTTTTCTTAAAGCAATTAAATTGTACCACACTCTGCTTTAATTTCTCGCTTTTTTATTTTGAGTGAATCCCGAAAAGGAGAGGATGGGGATGAAAATGCAACTAAATTCATCACGCTCTTTTTTTTGCTAAGCACTGAAACGTGAATAAAAAAGGGGGGAGGAAGCTGCTTTTTTTTGCTTGTTTCGTGCGCATGTAAACGCGTCCACTAGTTTTTTGTATTTCACAAAATATTTTTCCCTCTTTCTTATCCACTTATTTTTCTATATTTGATATTATATTTTTTATTGTAATCTCGACTTTTAGAAAAAGGAGGAAAATTTTCATTCCACTATTTTATTTCCCTTCCTCTCTATTTTTCCTTTTTCCTTTTTTATTAAAAGCGTGTTTTTGACCAAATGGGTGGACTCAGCAAATTTTTGTCGGCCGTCTGCCGCGTGAAATGCGCTCTTCTGAGCTGGAGCGTATTTTCGAGAAGCACGGAAAACTGTCGCGCTGTGATGTAAAGGTAATAAACGATGAAAATTAAAAAAAATAGAATTTAGGCGAAATTATGTGACACTAATTTGTATTTGTATATTCGTCACGCCTTATTTTTTGTTGCACGTTTATAGCGCGGTTCCAATCTTTGTAAGTACACCATATGAACAATGCCATATGAGCAACTTTTGTCCAAGACTTTGTAAAAATTTTGTTTTGTTATATATGCGCCTAAACAATTTTTTATTTTCACTTTTCCCCTCTAGGCTATGGATTCATCGAGTACCACGAGATTGAAGATGCTGAAGACGCGATTAAAGCATGCAACGGCATGTCTCTTCAGGGCGAACGCATCGTGGTGGAATTTGCCAAGGGTGCTGCCAGAAAGCGCGACGACAACACGTGCTTCCGCTGCAACCAAGAAGGTACGTGTCCTTCTCTATCCTTAAAAAATGCTCATGATTTTTTATATGGAGATTAACTCGCATAAATCTCACTTTATTTTGTTTTCCAACTGGGTTAGGTCATTGGGCCAGAGATTGCCCTGGAGGCGGAAATGTAGCTGGATCCGGCGGCCGTCGTGGCGGCCGCAGCCGCAGCCGTAGCCGCAGCCCGCGCAGGTACGTAACACACCAAGGACTGCCTACTCTATTCCACTGTCTCGGACTAGAATCCTCCGTTCAATATCATCCCGTCCATGTATAAAAAACCACTCCCGCCCTTCCCCCTCCTTATCCCCATGTGTACTTTCAAAACAAAAACAGGTCTCGTTCACGCGATCGTGGAAGCCGGCGTCAAAGAGGTGACCGCCGGGACGGCAGCCGCAGCAGAAGACATCGTTCGCGTTCGGCGTCGCCCGGCCGCAGACACAGCAGCAGAACGCGCCGTGGAGGCGACCGCAGCAGCGGTGGGGGTGACCGGGCAAGGCCGTCGCGTGGAAGCCGCCGCAGTCGCTCGCGCAGTGCGTCGCCACATCGCGGTAGCGGTGGCCGTGGAAATGGACGCCGGGGCGGAGAGCGCCGTAGTGGGCGCTCGGCGTCACCCGGAGCCCGCGGAAAGGGCTCCAAGTATACCGATAGGGATGCGCCGCAGACTTGGGACAGGAAGGAGGACAGCGCCATTGTGGACAGCGCCCATGAGGATAAGGCCGGCGGCAACGCCTTCACCCCCGACCATGAGCTGACGGCGCCAACTGGGACGCTTAATCGTAAAGGCCTCACACCCTTCCTCTTTCGCTCTTTCAAACTTGCACAGAGAAATGTTTCTTTATTCAACTCAGCCTGTCAATTTTTTATACTTATAAAGATTCGTGCTGCAAAAAAGCACTTTTTTGCCAATATCCAAAAAATAAGAAACATTGGTGCCTACGCCTGCTGGGCGACGATTGCCGAGGCCTGCATCATCATGTCCATCAGCTGCAGCTGCTCGTCAGCGCCGTCGCACAATGCCTTGTCAACCGACGCCATCAGCATAGCAATCTTGGCCTTCTGCAACGACCCCAGCTGCTGGTCCACCATGGTCAAATCATGCAGCTGCGAGAGCACGCGCGACGCCGGAAATCCCGAATAAACCAGCTCATCCACTAGCACCTGCACGGCCTTCGCAGAGCCCGCAGCCGAGCCGCCCCAAGCGGCCCTCAAGCGCACCACAATGTCCTCAGGAATGACGCCAACGAGCTCCATCACCATCCGAGCATCCAACTCCCCTCCACTATTCATGATCATCCGCGCTGCACTCTGCAAGGACATCATTGCCCGACGCAAATCGCCCTCTGCACAATCCACCAGCGCCGCCACAGCGCCTTCCGCACACCTGACGCCTTCCAGCTCCGCAACCATCTGGACCCTCTGCACAGCCAACTCACGCGGCAAACTCTTAAACCTAAACTTTGTGCATCTGCTCGCCAGCGGCTCAATAATCCGGCTAACGTAATTGCACACAAGGCAGAATCGTGTAATCCGCGTGTACTTTTCCATAATGCGCCGCAATGCTGCCTGCGCATCCGTTGTCATAGAGTCAGCCTCGTCCAGGATTATAATCTTGTAAGGGGGAGAGGGATACCGCGGATCCGCTTGGCTCACAACGGACCGTGCAAATGTCTTGATTTTCTCCCGCACTACTGAGATACCGCGCTCATCCGAGGCGTTAAGCTCGAGGACTCGGGTCTTCATTGCTTCGGCACCGTACATGTCGCGGGTCAGTGCGAGGATTGTAGAGGTTTTTCCGGTACCTGGGGGGCCGTAGAATAGGAGGTGAGGGAGGTTTTTGGTCTCGAGACTTTTGCGCAGCACTTGAACGACTTCCTCTTGCGCGGTTATGTCGTTGATGTTTTTGGGACGGTACTTCTCTACCCAGGGCGTGAGTTGGTCCTCGGGTTTGCCTTCGGGTTTGCCATCGATGGTGGTGGTGCCCTTGCCCTTGTTTACCTGTTGGTCTGCTTTTGGCCGTCCAAAGAAATCCATTGAAATGAATAAATAAAATTAAAAATTAAAAAAGGTGAATTGAATTGAATCGAGTCGAGGTGGATAATAAAAAAGGCAAAGAAACTAAAGAGACAAAATTTGATGGATAGTACTTGCTGCGCTTAAAAAAATCCATCAGAAAAAAATACGTGCATTTTTATTTCAAACATGCGTTTACGCATTTCCTTACACAAAACAAATCACAATTGATCGATTGATTGATTTAATAATAAAGAAAAAACATACTCCTTTTACACGACCTTGTATGGGTTGAGAATGCCCTTGGGATCAAAGACCTCCTTCATGCGCTTCATATACGCAATCATCTCGGGCGACTTTGAGTACTCCAAATGGTCGCGCTTCATCAGCCCAACTCCATGCTCGGCCGAAATAGATCCGCGGTGCGACTTCACCCACTCGTACACATAGGGCTCAAAGATATCCGCCACGCGGTCCTCGAACTTCTCTGCAACAATGTTCAAATGCAAGTTGCCGTCACCAATATGCCCATACCCGCAGACCAACTTAACGGGCAAGCCAGACTCCCCAGGCTTATACAGCTGGGCGCTCTCCAGGCGCTTAGCAATATCGCCGACAATATCGTAGAGCACAGGGATGGGAATCGACACATCGTACTTGTACGTGGCACCAGTCTTGCCCAGCGACTCTGGGATGCCCTCGCGCATTGTCCACATGCGTGCAATCTGCGAGTCGTCTTGCGCCAGGGCACCATCCTCTACAATGCCCTCCTCTAGCAACTCTTCTAGCAGCCCGCCCATCTTCTCATCATCATGATCCTTATTCGAGCCGCTGGTCTCAATAAGCACGTAGAACGGGAACTCCGCAGACAAGGGGTTCTTCAGTGACTGATGATGCAGTACGGCACCCATGCAGGTGGCGTCCCAGAACTCATATGCACTGAGGATCTCGCCGCAGCGCTTGCGCGCAAGCACAAAGGCACGCTGCACGTTCTCGTAGGACGTAACGCCAAGCACCGTGACGTTAACCGCGGAGGACCGCTGTGGCGTAATGACAGATACGCCGGTGATGACTCCTAGGGAGCCCTCGGACCCGATGAACAACTGCTTGAGATCATATCCGGTGTTGTCCTTGCGCAGCGTGCTAAGATTATCCAGGATCGTGCCATCCGGGAGCACCACTTCCAGACCCAGTACGGATCCATGCAGGGATCCGTAGCGCAGGAACCGGATTCCACCTGCATTCGTCGCCACGTTGCCACCAATATGGCAACTCCCCTTGGCACCCAAATCCAACGGCATAATGTGGTCCCGTTCCCCAACATAGTTCCCCAGCTCCTCCAGCACACACCCGGCATCGCACACCAGAACTCCCGATAATTCGTCGTAGTTCCGCACCCGGCTCATATTACGCAGACTCAAAATCACTTCGTCATGCACCGGCACGCTGCCACCCACTAATCCCGTGTTCCCGCCCTGCGGAACCACGGCAATCCCTTGCGCATTACAGTACTTGAGAATATCAGACACCTCCTGGGTAGTCTTGGGCCGAAGAACGAGCTGCGAGTTGCCTCGGTACTTGTTCAACCAATCGGCGTTGAAACCCTCTAGCTCGATCGGATCCGATGACCCGCCGACTGCGGGGGTTGCCAGGATGGTTTCCGCAGGAAGGATGCTTTTAAAGTGCTCGAGGTCATCCTTGGTCAAAGTCTTGAACGAGGCCGTGCGCGATGGCTTGTGGTAGTGCCGGAGCAGCGCTGACGCCCCTAGTGTGCGCACTTTGTTACCTGGAACGGCACCAGTAAAGAGCGAGCGGGTCACCACGCTGCTTCTGATAAAGGCAAACATTGTATAAGAAAAGTATTTGAATTTGAATTATTGCTGCTTTTTATTTCAAATTTAAAAGCAAATTACAAGTAAAAAGATAAGTGAAATTGGGCAAGGGAAAGATGCGATAAGAAAGGAGGGATAAATTGATTTCGCGAAAGTGTAAAACGGACAAAGTGCTAAACCAATTGCAATCGTTTGATCGCCAATCGACACTGATAACAATGGCGCCTTTGTGAGTAATAAACACAACAGATAAGCAAAAATATTTGCCAGAACCACAAAAACCACATTTAAACCCCCTCCCAACAGGCAATAATTCAAAATGTAGATACACCAGTACAAACCCTCAAGCTGAAATCACTCACAAACACTATAAAAAATCAATTGAATCCCATTTGATTAAGAAAAATTAAATGTATCGTTTTTGTTTTTTTCAGGACTCTTTGTAAGAACCTACTGTATAATTACAATGACTTGTCAAAGACTTTATAAACTAAAAAGAGATATTTGGGAAGTAAACCTGCAAAATAATTTCCACTAATGGAACAGACATGCGAAAATGATATAAAATGAAGAGGAATGGCCATCCACATAAAATTTTTATCTCTCACCATCGTATTTAAAAATATTTTTAATTGAACCATTTACTCTTCACATTATATACGACAATGGTAATGGGAAAGCAACAGCTAATGTACATAGACGAGAACTATTATCTCCGCTATCTTGGCTGTGTTGACCCGGGTTTCAAAGATTGTAAGAAACCCACCGTGCTTGCCAAACTAACGGGCAAATATACTGTGTATATCGCTGACCCATCCAAAAAAACACCAATTTAGCTGTGCTTGTATACATGAAAGATGATTTGCTCAAGTATTATCCTATTGCCTCGAAGGGCGACCTAAGAAACAAGATATACAAAGAGATCTTTGATGGCGCCAATTATCTTGTCTGCGAGGATATTAAAGGTTCAAAAAAGGGTGCAAAACCTATGGATGTACTCCTCCATGCATATGAAAAAGATCTCAGTTCTACAAAAAAAGACCAGAAACTAAACGGACCCACACTCAAATAAGCACTGATTGACATTCTGATTTGCCATAGTTTTTTCTATGTTTCTATCTCAGATGTATTTAAAGCACCACTTTGTCTTAGCAGGAATAGAATACATCTTTTTCTTAGGGCCATTTCTAATGTAATAGAAGACATGTCAAGTGTTAGTTAACTTTTGTGGCTGTTAGTTGTTGTTGGCAAGGTACACTAACATTATAATCTAGTTTCTCTAGTTTAGTTTTTTTTTAATTTTTTTAGTAAATACATATGTTTAAACTAGCAAACAAAGTGTTCAAACCATATATAGAAAAGATATGCTGAAATCTTATAGTTGAAACCCCAAAAGTTCAATTTAATTATACAAATTCCAATTCAATGTTTAAGTTGCGTTCTAAATTTCACAATAGACACAGTGTGACCAGGAACAAATCTGCAATGGCCATTGTTCCAATTGCCAAGCGAAAATGTATGGTCAAATCCAAATGAAATAAATTTGTGTCAGAAAGCAGAACCAAGCTCTGGTATTTGTATAGCAATACTGCAATGTTCTCAGAGTCTGCCCGGGCGTCTGACTGATGCGCAGGTTCGACGCCCGATGAGTGCAAATAGGGCACGCCTTTTTCTTTTCCAATCAATTATTTCCCAAATTATGATGATTACGCTCAGAGCCTACCAAGGTGGCAGTGTCGGCTATCAGCTTTTGCACATTCGTATACGATTGACTACTTAAACAGCAAATTGACGTATATATTATATGCGTGCTCAAGTAACGGCGCTGGCTTCAATACCCAACTTTCAATAAACATTATATACGTAATTGAATATTATACTGTGACTGATTAATTGTAAATAACTAAAAAGATATAACTGCTGCTGCGAATTTCAACTACTCAATATAATACATGTACATATATAATTTATCCAATAATTCACCGGCGGTCTGGAGTGTCTTCGAGATCAGTAACGACAGCCACTACAACAGTAATGTCATCGCGCTTGCCTCCCTGATAGTAAAGCCCCTCCTGCATAGCACGCATCTGGAACGGGCTCTCAGAGTACCGCGTATCCTCGCTAACCAGCTTTGCACGCTTCGCAATTGCCAGACTGATAGCACGCGGGTCAATATGGAACTGCGGCAGGGAGAACTTTGATGGGGCTGCCACCACCATCGAGGCGGCCTCCGAAGCGGCCACGACATTCTCCGGGTGAGCGTTCTGACAAAGGGCCTCTAGCCGGTCTTCAGACTTCTGGGATTCATACCATAACGAGTCGTTGCTGTATTTGAGCTCGGGCTCACCCTCGGCGCGCATGAGCGGCGGCAGATGCTGGTTGACCTCGTCCAGGATGTCCTCGTCAAAAAGGTTGTCAAACACACCGTCGGACCCGACAATAATAATGTCGCCCTTCTGGATCTTCAGCCGGAACACCTGCGCATCCGAAGGGGTGTCGGAGTGTGCCTCTGTGCCCAGTTGGTACGGGAAATTAAACGAGTGCTGCTGCTCCTCTGTCCGATAGACCATATCGCCCTGGCGCACCACAGTCAGTCCGCAGTCGCCCAAATTGGCCACACGCAACTCATCGCCGCGCAGAACCACCACGCAGGCTGTCGACGACCCGCGCACCGCCAGAGTCTCCATCTCATCCAACGTAAACTCATACGCCCGGCGCAGAATGTCAACCGGGGTAGCGTCGTAGTAGTGCGAGAACATTTCGTCGTCAATATTCTCATACCGCTGCACCTCCAGATTAACATGGTGCATCAGTCGGCGTGCAAACAGAGACGGATCGGCATCCTTGACACCAGCCCATCCGCCCACACCGTCAGCGATTCCCAAGGCATCAGGCCGGTGGAAAAACGCATCTTCGCCCGCGCTCGTGGCCATCTCCTCATCGTCACCGTCGAATATCGCATGTGCCCTGTCACCAACGCTGCCGGGCGCCACGGTCTTTTTGGGCAGCGGCACGCGGTTCTCAAACTTTGGAATGCCTGTGGCCGCATGTGCAAACATAAAGTTCTTTGGTGTCCGCGTGCGCACGCTGTGGCCGGAGCCGTCGGGGCGTCTAGACAACGGCGCATGGGTCGGCTTGCCGTGGTGAGCCTTCTTAGTTCTGAGCGCCAAGTCGGACTGCAGAATCTGTGCCGAAAGCGCGGCTGTGTCTGTAAATGAAGACGCGTTGGTATCCTCATCGGCATCAATTGGCACGCCGGGCTGCCGCGTGAACGACATTGAGTGGAATTTGCGCGCAGCTGTGTTCAGACCTGGAGGCATCATGACGCCAGACGGTATACTGCCATGCGCGCTCTGGTGGGCCAATAGAAAGAGCCCCACTGGAATAGACGGAATGGTAAATGGAAAAGACGAGTTAAGTGTGGGAAAGTCCCATGTCGATGCAGGCCTCAATGCCGCCCAACGCCGCCTGCGAACGCTGACGGAGCCCCTTCCTGATAGCCGCCCGATCTTCGAGTGCTTGGTTGCTGCGGGCAGTGGCAAGTCAATCGACCTGGTTGTTTTGTCGGGGCAAAGATCTTGTGGACTCGACGTCGAGAAATTCGAAGCTGTGGCTGACTCGAGGCCCAGCTGCTTGCTTAGCATCTCCTGCCACCTCCGCGGCAATGGCAGCGTCCAAATGCCTTCTGTGTGCGAATGTGCTTGCGCTTGTGATATGGAGGACAAAGACCCTGATATTGAGCGCTGCAAAGACCGGCGAAGCGCTAGCCGGGTGCAAACTTCGCGACTCAAACGCTGCAAAACTAGCAATAAGTGCTTGGAGTCTGCGCCCATTTTTCCGTTTTGGTTTTCGTTTTCTGCTGCGGATCGGATGCGAGTAGGGGCGGGTGTAATAGGGCGAACAAAAAAAATAAAAAGTAGAACGAGAAAACAATGTTGTTTTTGTGAGCAAGGCCAAAAAAAATTTGCTTGTCTAGTTCTGATTTTAGTCTGAAGCGCTCGGAGAAATTATTTTTTTGGTTGGGTGTTGGGTAAAAAAAAATATATATAGGGGGAAATCTGCAGCTGCGGAGTGTAAAACAAGTTTGTACAGAGCTACCGAAGCAGCCGTTCGTTCTGTGCGTGGATGTGGTTATGACTAAAAGCTCAAAGCTCTGGGTTTTGTCAAAGTGTCGAAATTTACAGTATTAAAGAAAAAAATAAAGAGGAGGGGGGCAAATTGTTGAATTTGGATAAATAAGAAAAAAATTACGAAAAAAAATTTAACCAAAAGAAAGAGAGATGAGGGGCATGGCTGAGCACGTGGAAAAAAGGATATGCGATTTTGTGCTTCGGAAAGAAAGGGTGCAAAAATTTCCGACGTATCCCTGCTGATATGCGTCTGGTCACTCACACTGTCAACATGCCCATGTCATACCACAGCTTGCTATCTTTGTTAGTTTTTTTGAAGAATGCAGCATTTGAAACTATTAGAAAATAAATTGCCGCAGTCATTATCTAGCACTCGTTTGCATCTATTTGAAATTCTGTATTGTGCTGACAAAATGCCGACGATTATCGCCACGCCTTGTCAACAATCGTGAGAAAAAATACAAACATAAAAAATACAAACAGGGTGTGTCATGTGCTGCCTGTTTTTGAAAACTGCCGCTCAAATATGGATATCATCGATAAAAAAGAATTAGGAACATGGACTGACTAACCAACCGACTGACTGACTGGCTGACATTAAAACATCCCTCACAGTGCAAGAATTTCACGCAGAATGCTGATTAGATTGTCCAGACCAAAGAGGTACTTTTCATCTGGTCCCTGGCCAGGAACCCAGTGCCCGTGCGCAAAGTCAATGGCTCTCATATCGAGCAGCGCGCCACTATCCTCAATGTCCTCTCCGCCATCCTCAGAGCCACCCCGCTGTCACTGCGCTGAGTACCAGCGCGGTGAACTCTCTTGCCACCCTCCAAAAACCTGGCATATCTTCCCTTGCTCGCATCGTAAACCAGCAGCACTGAGCTGCTAAACATCCGGGTCTCGCATTGCCGAATCACCTCGCGGTACTCCTCGAGCTCGGTGATAAACTGCCGAATGATAAACTTGCGGTACTCGGCACTGACCGCGGTCTTGGCAACGGCAAAAAATGGGATTAGGGCCTCGGTCTTCATAGTCTCCAGGGTCAGTTTGTTCAGTTCCTTGCGATCAAACGCGGACATACCCGGGATGGAGAGACCCGAGACAGACGCACCAATCAGGCTGGTCGTCCGCACCATGGCCTTGGCCTCCATGCGCGCGCGCTTCTCGGGAGTCGCGTCCAGATCGTACAGCTGCGTCCCGAGCTTTATGTCCACAATGCAAACATTTTCAAAGTGGCACACGAGGTTCTCGAGGCAGATGTACGTGTCCTCTGCCCGCGTCTCCTTGTCGTGCGGGTTAATGGGAAAAGAGGCACTTTGTTCTGCCTTTTCGCTAAATCCCTGGGATAGCTGGAGCATCCCGAAGAATTCGGGGAGGAACGGCTTGATCAGTGGGTTGTTGGCAGCCTGCTCATAAAACTTTAACTCGCGCTCGACCATTGGCTTGATAAGCATCTTGTTACCCTCGGTGTGCAGCATGCCGCCATGTCCGGCAACCTGGTGCGAAAAGTCCTTGAGCTTTGTCTCGTCCACAGATACTATTGTGTTCGCCATTATTGTTAAAAATAAGTTTGTGAAATTAATTGGATGTTAAACAGAAAAGGAAACCAATGACATGAAGAAAGTCAGGAACAAATAATAAAACTGGGACATAAAAACGCTGAGCATGGGCTAACAAAACGAACCAGAAATAGAAAATAGCCCGTGATTTCTGCTGGCGTGTTGCATACACCACGTCACGTCATGATCACCGATCTTCCGATTCTAGCATAATTGAATAAGCTGAATACAAAATGAATGAATGAGTGACTATAAACTATATATTGAACGTAAAACATGGCAAAAAGTGTTCACAGGCTGGCCAAGCCAAAAAAGGCCAAATACTGCATATTACTCACTTGTCCTCAGACCCATCCTTTTATTGGAACCATTGCCGCTTTTCTTTGACGGGTCCGAGCCCAGGGCGCTCTGCAAATCGGGGTCGTTGGGATCGACGCCCGGGAGCGACCCAATCAGCGACGCAACCAGGTCATCATTCTCGTCATCACCGCCCTCGCTCTCCATCAGAGACATCTGGATCGCGCGTTTGATCTGTTCGTCCTCGTCAAGATCCTCCTCCATAGTGGCATCATTATCGTTGTCACCAGTCTGAATAGCGCCGCCACTTCCAGAACCACTCGCAGTGGCTCCACCCTGGGCCGCCGTCTCCCTGCGCTGCCGCTCCTCCTCTTCCTGCAGCGACATGCGCAGTGCCAATGCCAGCTCCGGATCCATATCGGCATCGACGCCAAAGTCAAACTCACCGCCCTCGCCTCCAGCGCCGGCACCGCCACCGCCGACAATTTCGGAAGCACGGATTTGCTCGCTCAACACGTGGGGGCCTGGCGGAATCGTCACCAGGTGAGATGTGTCGTTGCTGTTTGCGGCCTCGACAAAGGCAGACAACTTCTGCTCGTTCATCGCTTGCTCGCCAAAGTTGACAATGTCGATCGAAACACCATTCTTCTTCAGCTTCTTGCCTAGCTTCACCAATGACCTCTCGTCGGCGTCGATGGGGCTGGTGACAAATGCAATGATTCTCTGCCTCTGGTACTTGTTCGCGCGGTGCTTCAGAACAAGCTACATTATAAATAAATTGAGTCAGTTGCAAAAACATAAAAAAAATTGTTAGACGAAAATGCAAAACCACTTGCTTAATATTATTTTTTGGTTTAAGGACCAGTGTTCGGTTCTTTAATTCACATACCTGTGCAATCTGGATTCCTGTGTCAAAGTGCGACTCGCCGCGAATTCCCAATCCGTGCAGACCCTTGAGCAATACACCCAAATCGCCAGTCAGCGACACGCGCACATCGGGACTGTCGCCGGCATTGGCAATTACTCCTACTGTGTTTTCAGGATTGTCGTTCGTCTTGACGTTGAACAGGTAGTGCACGGAGTCAATTTGCGCCTGGAAGCGGTTGGGCGTGTAGTCGCCGTTGCGCGCCCACTCGGAATTATCAATAACAAGCACGGTAGCCTCTAGAACCATGGTTTGGTCGAAATAAAATGTATTTTAAGAAAATGAATGTGATGTGTGATAATAAAGAAGGTGAAATAAGAAAGGCTAATTAATTGATTTGGGGTGAACAAAAAACATGAAGAGGAGCAAAAACGCAGCACAATTTATTTAAATTGTTATTTTCTTTACGCATTGCCCGCAATTGCTGTGTGGTATTTGCAGCATACTATTAAAAAGTCCAAGATGCTTACGCATGCTTTTCGTCATACAGAGCAACACGCTCATGAAATCACCCAATCAGATTAAGAACAGTTCACAAATACTCGAATTCTTGACATTTAATTAGTGTATAGACATTACTCGCAGGTAAACAATATCCAATGTTTTTTGATTTCCAAACACGATAGCCGAATTGAAAAGTAAAACAATTAAGAGCGGGGCTTCTCCTTCTTCTCCTTGTACAGAGCGAAGAGAGAGACACCGGAAACCTTGACGATCTTGAAGCGGACACCGGGAATATCACCGACAGCGCGACCCTTACGACCGAAACCGGAGATGAGGACCTCATCGTTCTCATCGACGTAGTTGAGGCAACCATCATTGGGGACGAAGGCAGTGATCTTCTTGCCGTTCTTGATCAGCTGGCAACGGACGCACTTACGAATGGCGGAGTTAGGCTGCTTGGCCTCAACACCAATCTTCTCAAGAACGATACCCTTGGCGTGGGAGGAGCCACCGAAAGGCGACGACTTGAAGGCGGTACCGAGGGCACGCTTCTTATAGTGCTTGTCGGCCCAGCGCTGCTCACGGCGGTGAGTGCGCAGCTTACGGGCGGCGTTAAGTCCACGAGGCTGACCTTTACCTAGCAATCGTCAAAAAAAGAAGAAAGTGGGTAAAATAGAGTTTAGTGTCAGCGGTCAACTACAATTGTAATAAGTTGAAAGGTTGTAAACGTGGCACCACGCCTGTCGCAAAGCAGCTGCCATGGAAAGCGCCCCTAAGTCAACTGGAGATTTACAATTAAATTGTATAAATTCCAACTGCGCGCCAATCGCTAAAGATGCTTTGAGCAGAAAAATATATTTCAAAAGCTCCACTCCTAGTTCAACGCATAGCACGCGCACTGCTGTGACCGGTCCTCAAGATACCACCGCCCAAAAAGGTTTGTCTGCAACCACAGCGGCAAAATATACTAGCACCTGGCCGCCGTTCAAAACAGCAGTTACATAAAAAGCTGCTGCCCCATCTCTGTGCTTCAACGCTGCTAGTCAAAGCACTTGGCCCAAAAATCCAAGTGCGGTCGAGTAAACAGTCAAGACTAGCACGCGGTAAGCAGGTTTGCAAGCAAAGTGTTGAAATTCAAAGTTCAAATGTCCGAATTTGAATTTAACAATTTGCCCATCCTCCACGCACAAAATTATGCACGCAAATCAGCCGCGTCGTCCGGGTGAATCCATCACAATTTAACCACCTCTCTGCGTGTCCAAATACCAACGCATCCATCGGTGTATTCTGAATCGCTCCATCCATTCGCGCGCTGTGCTCATGCTATGTTCTGCTCTTCTCTATCTGCGTTCACTCCGCGTGTTGAATCCATTTCATAAAATGTGACACTCACCCATGTTGAAAATATATAATTCGGTTGAACGAGAAAGAAAGAAATCGTGCTTAAAGGCTGGATGCGCTTGCAGAATATGTGACCAAGTCTGTCTTGCTTGTGTTCTTGGCTGTAATTCAGGCGCAAACTCGAAAACGCGCTGTGTATTTAGCTGGCGTTATTGACAATTAAAGCTTGGAAGGCGCAATGCGGTGATCAAGATCAAGCTATTTGGCAATCAACTGATTCTGCATAAAATATTTTGATTTTGCGCCTCAAAAAAAGTAAGGACAAATCCAAAACAGCGATCAATCAAATTTTGGCCTTGTTTTGTTTGTTTTCGTTGAGCGCCAAAAAAAAATTGGGCTCGAGGCTAAAAATTAGCTCGCAATCCACATCCCTGGGCATTGGCGGCAATGGTGGCTGTAATGTCACCAAAAACTTGCAACTTTATACACCCAAAAAAGTTTGACCCTGCGCATTCCTCTTTCCTCTCCTTTTCTTTATTTGAATTCGCTTTCTTGGTTTGACCAATTTAATATTATTTTGTTTTCAGGCCCAGGTGTTTTTGTGCGCACCAACCACTGCAGCATACATTTTACATAACCGGCAGTGTAAAGCCTTTGCGGTCGAAACATACATTCACCCTACTCCCCTTCCTAGACGGCACGATTAGCACTAATGGACTTGCACACTCTTGTCAGTCTCTTTGACTCTACCCTGCACCCGGAACCTGAGGTTCGCCAGGTTGCCGAGCAGCAGCTCCAGCAGGTAAGAAACACACCCAGATATGGCCATCACCACCATCTGTATGTGGTGTGACATACGCATTAGCGATGTAGAACAATGTTTGACACGCTTACCATAGACTCCGACTAGCAAATATTTAAATTGCACATTGCTCTATTCAATCCTATATGTAGCTTGAGACCCACGACGGATTTCTCAGCACGCTGCTTCAGATGATCAGCTCGGCCGAGTTGCCGCTCGGCACTAAGCAGGCCGCGTCTATTTACTTTAAGAACCGTGTCCGCCGGTCGTGGTCCACGGGCCAGCGCGCAACCGAGCAGCACCCGCCCATCGGCGACAACGACCGCAGCGTGACGAGAGACAACATCCTGGGCGCCATCTACGCTGCACCACAGGCCATTAAGCTCCAGCTGACCGAGTGCCTGGGCGTGATCCTAAAGTACGACTTCCCCGAGAAGTGGCCGCAATTCATTGTGCACATCAAGGAGCTTTTGCACGCGCAGGACGCACAAAAGGTCTACACTGGTCTGATGGCTCTGCTTGAGGTTATCAAGGTGTACCGCTTCTCCACAACCAAGCGCGAGATTGTTGACGAGATTGCAAAGGAGCTGTTCCCGCAGGTCCAGAAGATTGCCGATGACACGGTCAACTCGGACGACGAGCTGGCCATGCGCATGGCCTGGGTGTCCTTCAAGGCATACTACAACTCGATTCAGTCCGGTCTGCCGCTGGCGTTCCAGGAGCCGGCCAACTTGGTTGCCTGGGGAACCAGCTTCATAAAGATGATCGAGAAGCCAGTGTCTTTTGACAAGGATACTGTCGACGAGGAGAACGCCAAGGAGCCCGTGTACAAGGCCAAGAAGTGGGCTATCCGCAGCGTGAACCGCCTGTACGGGCGCTACGGAAACTCGGCACTGCTGCCGTCGTCCAGCACCAAGCAGTTCGGTGCGTTTGCCAAGCTGTTCACGGTCAACTTCTTGCCACAGATCTTGCAGGTGTACCTCAAACAAATCGAGGGCTACACGACTGGCCGCGTGTGGATGTCGCTGCGCGTGCGCAGCCTGGTTGCGCAGCTTCTGTCGGACTGCGTCAAGGAGAAGTCTGCGTGGAAGCTGCTCAAGCCGCATGTCGAGGGCATTGTGTCGCACTTCATCTTCCCGCAGCTGTGCTTCAGTGAGTCTGACCAGGAGCTCTGGGAGGACAACCCCGTCGAGTATGTGCAGAAGAGGGTCGACCCGCTTGACGACTTTGGATCGGCCAACCTGGCTGCGTCGAACCTGCTCATCGACCTTGCTGTCGATCGCAAGAAGGCGACTCTCAACACCATTCTGACTTTTGTCAACAGCGTCCTGACCAACTACTCGCAGAGCCCCGAGGAGGCCCGCGACCCGCGTGCCAAGGACGGCGCACTCAGCATGATGAGCTCGCTCTGCGGCTCGCTGTGCTCGCGCAAGTCGCCGGTCTACGACACGCTGCCCAGCTTCCTGCTCACGCACGTCATTCCCGAGTTCAACAGCAAGCACGGGTTCTTGCGGGCACGCGCCCTCGACACCTACTGCCGCTACAGCTCCATCGAGTTCCCCGACGCGCAGATTAACCGCAGCATCCTCGAGTCCGTGTTGGGTCTACTCAACGACACCGAGCTGCCCGTGCGCGTGCACGCCGCGCTGGCCCTGCAGCCGATGATCGAGGACGATAACATCCGCGATTTAATCGCCAGCCACCTCCCCCATGTTATGCAGGTGTTCCTTAACCTCACGAACGAGATTGACTCTGACACCATCACACACGTCATCGAGGAGTTTGTCGAGGTCTTTGCCGATCGCATGTCGCCGTTCGCCGTGCAGCTGGGCCAGCAGCTGTGCGATACGTTCATGCGCGTGATGGGCGAGGTGTCTGCCAGCACCTCGCAGGATCTGGACTCCTTTGACATGGACGACACAAGCGACAAGACCATGGCCGCGATGGGCGTGCTCAAGACCATGGGCACCCTGGTCCTCAACCTCGAAGCTCTCCCGAGGTCGTCTACAAGCTTGAGGAGGTTGTCTTCCCGGTCGTGCGCTACGTGCTGGACCAGCGCATGGTCGACCTGTACGACGAGGTATACGAGATTCTCGACTGCTGCATGTTTGCCGTCAAGGCCGTGTCGCCCAACGCGTGGAACCTGTTTACAGCCATCTACGCGAGCTTCAAGAGCGACGGCATCGACTTCATCGAGGAAATGCTGCCCTCGCTGGACAACTACGTCACCTATGGCATTGACGTTGTGGCCTCGAGCAGCGAGGTGCAGGCCCGCCTGTTTGACATTATCGAGACCGTGATGAAGAGCGACCGCGTCGGCGAGAACGACCGTATCTGCGCGTGCAAGCTGGCCGAGGCCATCATGCTCAACGGCCGCGGCAAGGTTGACGGAATGATTCCGGGCTTCATCAGCCTGGCTGCTGCCTATCTGCTGGTCAGCGACGCCATTGAGACGCCCGCATTCCTAGTCTACGCCCTGGAGGTCATCCTCAACGCGCTGCACTACAGCCCGGTCATCACACTCAATGTGCTCGAGCAGTACAAGTGGACGGAGGGCATTTTCACCCGCCTCATCCAGTCTATCGGCAAGTTCAACCGCGTCAACGACAAGAAGCTGCTTATTCTCGGCCTGACCTCTGTTCTGAGCGTTCCTGTTGCCCAGCTGCCTGCGTCGCTGCAGAACGGTCTGTCGCAGCTGTTCGAGGGTGTGTTGCAGACCTTCCGCTCCCTTGGCCAGGCCATCGAGGCGCGCGATGCCTTGGAGAAGATGTACGAAGGCGCCGACTCTGACGACGACTCTGACGGCGAGTTCGAGTGGGATGGCGGCGATGATGACGACTTTGATGGCATTGGTGAGGACGACGACGATGTTGACGACTTGGAGAACGAGTATCTCAAGCATCTCTCCACCAGGCCTCCAAGGCGCTTGGTGGCGACAACGACGACTCTGACGGCTTTGGATCGGATGACGACGATTTTGATGAGGGCCTCGAAGAGGAGTTCTCGCTGGAGACCCCCCTGGACAGCATCAACGCGTACATCCATCTTCAGGAGAGGCTGGCCGAGATGCAGGGTACCAACACTGCCGCGTACAATGTGGTCGTCCAGAGCCTGAACCCTGAAAACAGCCAGTTCCTGCAGTCCCTGATCGAGGAGGCCAACAAGCAGCGCGCCGAGCAGCAGGCCAGCGACAGCCAGAAGAAGTAACAGTGAGTGCGAAGCGCCCATTCTATCCAAACCAGTTTTTACATTTATATCTTATAGCTTGGTATTTTTTTACATTTTTTTACACGAAAATTTTAAAGTATTTCTTGATTTATTTATTTTTCTCCAGAGCGCAAATATTACTGCGAGACATGTGGCAAAGCAAATACCGATTTTGAAAGCTCGAAAGTCACGAGATGCAGAAATAGTCATCCCAGTTTTTTGGGGTAAAAAAAAAAGAGAAATAAGAGAACAGAGCTACATCCTCAACTGCAGCTCAAAAAAATTACACTGTAGGTCACGAATTGGCAGAAATTCAAAAAGGTTTTCTTTTTCATTTCCTCTGATTTTTGCTATACCAATTATAATTTTCTTTACAACAAAATATCCACCACACCTTTATTTCAAATGACCAGCTTTGGTAAGCATAATGAAACAGAGTTGAATGCACAAATGTGCTCAATTTCGAGCAAGCATTAGGAGCATAGAGACGGTGGTGGCGCATAACTGAATTTCCAGAAACTGTATAATATTAATCCTAAATTATTTTGTTACTTTCTTTTTATGCGCTCCTATTTTTAATTTATTTTCGGCATTTAGATAACGAAGACATTTCTTCATTGAAGAAGAAGTCCTGGGAGGAGGAGGAGGACAGCGACAGCAGCATTCCCGATAACTGGGACGAGTCTGAGGAGGAATCTGAGTCTGAGGATGAAGCACCCAAGGCCAAGCCGGCAGCCAAGCCCAAGGCCAAGCCCGTTAAGCAGGAAGAGCCCAGCGAGGAGGAGAGCGAAGACGAGGACGAGGAGACCCAGAGACTGCGCGCGCGCAAGCTCCAGCAGGAGGCCGATTTGAAAAACACCGAGGACCTGTTCTCAGGCCTGAGCATCAGGGACAACAACATGAACAAGGTGTTGTCCGAGCTCAACCCCAAGACCCAGGCTGACTTTGACGAGTTCCAGAAGGCCATCGTCGAGCGCGTCCAGAAGGCCGATAAGAGCCGTCTGTACACGGGTTTCCTCGAGAAGCTTATCCGCGATCTGGTTGCTCCGCTGAAGGACACAGAGGTGCGCAAGTTTGCCAGCGCCCTGACTTCCCTGGCTAACGAGAAGCAGCGCTTGGCACGTGAGGCCGTGAAGCCTAAGAAGAAGAACAAGAAGGCATTGGTTGCCGCCCCGCCCAAGGACCAGATGGACATGACTGACTACAGCCGCGGCCATTACGAAGACGACGATGACGATTTCATGTAAGGCGTGAAATACTTTTTTTCCCTGCAGCTTGTTGAATTTTTAATTATACTCAAATAAAAGAGCAAACAAACTTGCACGAGTGCCCTAGCACACGCATGCGCAATTTAGCGCGTAGACAAGCCGCCGCACGGCATCCACGGCCGAGCACTGGCCGAGGCCGAGGGCCAGCGCATGCGCCTGAAGCTCGGGCGATGAATCGACCACCTGGAGCTGCTCTGACTCGGTCAGGATCTCCAAAAACATCGTGGACAGCATGCCGTCGACAATGTTGAACGACTGCAATTTGCCATTGTTCGTATGAGGAGTCCTGCTGATCGATCCTTTCGACACCAGCAACGGGTGCGCAGGGTGATCAGCGCTCATGGCCAGCATGGCCCGCTCCAGCAGGCGGAGCGCCTTAAAGGCATCATCGCTGATGCGGAGTAGTGTCCACAGAGCCCCTGAAAGCGTGCTCACAACAACAGTGTCGACGGGAGGCAGCGCTTGCCCTGTTGCTGCCGCTACCCCAACCGCCTGGTGTACCCAGGGTAGCATGTGCTTGGGGCGGTGCAGGCGCCGAACGAGATTGCCCAGCTTGACGCGCGTGCAATTGGTCCCCAGATGGATGCCCATTGCAAAGTCCAGGGCAAACTCCTTTGAGTCCTGAGGAATGCCTATCGCGTACAGGTACCCATCGGCATTGACGCCGACAACGAGATCGTCCGTAAGGAACCGCGTGTCGGCTGTGTGCAATCCAAAGCGCGCGCTGTGCAGAAGTTCCAGCGACTCGTTGTCGCCCGTTCCTTCATCGAACCTGAGCAACTGAGCGGTCTCCCGCAGCGACCCTGCAACAATATAGTTGCCGCGCACATCAAGGCTGCACGCCGGGAACCGCAGGTCGATTTCGCAGCACTCGATCAGCTTGCCGTTTACTAGATCGAGCTTGAGCACCACACACGAGGTACCGACAGCAGCAATAAGATACGGGTCGCCCAGGTACGCCAGCGCCAGCACCGATGCGTCCCGATCAGAGGCCCAAACGGACTTTAGCTTGTACTTGCGGCTGGGATTTGCAGAGCTGCTTTGCACCTTGCTTTTCAGCTGCTTGAGCTGAAACATGGCAATCCGCCCGCCTGTCGCCCGAGGCTGTCCTGTGCTTGGCCGGCTGTAGTCTTCAGCCGCCGGATACAGGCCCGTGCCCACGCATATGTAGCGAACGGGTTTGGGTACATAAATGGGCCACATCTCCAGCGAGTGCACAAGCTCATTGGGCAAAAGTTGAGTCTCAGAGTGGATATGGCCGTCGTTCGGGTCGAGAGCTGCCAGATACGAGTTAAATGACATTCTGGAATTGACAGACGGCACTGGTGACAACACGCCTGCAACCAGGATCTTGTCGGTATCATTGTCATACATCATCCGCCGCGGCTCTTCGCCCACATTGAGCTCCCGCATGTGGCACTGCGGGTCCAAACCAATGTCAAGCAGGTTGATAATGCCCGTGCTGTTGCTTGCAACAAGGCAGCTAAAAGTGCGACTTGTGCTGCCCGGTGTGGCATGGCTAAAGCGGTCGCTGCGCCAGGTGGGCGCGACCGAAATGGCTTGGCTCACAGAAAGGGCCGGTTGCAGCTCTCCAAAGACGCAGGGCGTGATTTTGATCTGACCTACGTTTGCCAACTGGGCGACAAAGAGCGACTCGGCGACGATAAGCACACTATGCGCGTCCGAAGTGAGACCGTATCCACAGGGAACTTCGCTGCCGCTGTCGGCGCAATCAGGAACTCCCGAAAACCGCACTGGAATGTCTCCAACCTTGACTAGCTCGCGGTCCATAGCGCCCAGTGCCTGGCTGATCTCGATCTTAATTAGACTGCCGTCACGCATCCCGGCCATCACAAATAGCTTCGCCGATGAGCCAAGCACATACGCGTCGTTTACAGTCACACCGGAAATACTGGCGACAGTCGAGCATTCGCCGGTGCCTATGACTATGTCCCCCTCGTCGCCTTCATCTTCGTTGTTATGAGTGTCGCAGGTCTCGACGCTGCCTCTGACAAGTTTCAGATACGCTCCGACATCCTCGCCGTGTACAAGTGTTGCACGCTGCGTTTCTGGGTCAAACCTAAACAGCGAGAGTCGTAGGTCATAAGTTCCCACCAGAATGTACGTTGTCACGCCCATCGTTATTGCTCGCAAGCACGAGACTTCGCACTGGAATTCCAGCTCCACTGTCGCTGCTGCTGGCACTTGCTGAGATGATGTAGTGCCACCAGCTTCTGAAATGCTCATGATGCGGACTATGGACCCTCGCTGCGCAGTGCGAATGGCCAGCATTGCCCAAATGCCGATGCTCCTGTCGCTCCGAGATGTCGTCGCCACTGTTGTTACACAGCTACCGTGGGTGAAAACCTCACCCGTTCTGAGGCTGGTTATTGTCGAATTACGAATGTTCTCGTCCATGCCACCGAGCGTAGTGACGCCAGTCACCAGGCAGGCAAGATCGTCAAAAACGCACAGCAAACAGTGCTCTCCCAGGTCACTAATCCCAGCGTTACCAACAAATAACAACTGCCTGTCATTAAAAAATAGTCGCAGTGCATCCAACAGCTTCCACTCACCATCATCGTCTTTGAAAACAGGAATGTCCGACTCGGCCTGCCGCAATACTATGCATGGCACCACCGACCGCTTGGCGGCCTCTGATATATAAAACGTCCACAACTGGGTGAGCGAAAAGTCATCCCCGGCTGTATCAATGATCTCTTCCATGCACATCAAATGCCCAAATTGCGCTTGGTTGACGAATCCCGCTGACGTGCGGCCGCTAGTCCAGTAGGCCGCCTGCGGCTGGAGCATAATATCAGTCATCGGCGAGTGGTTCGGAAGCACCCGTCGTGAGTGCCAAACCGGCATTGGAATTTCATCCGCAATCCCCACAGAGCCAACATCTGTGCTCACCCGGTAAATCGAATGGTCGACGCAATCGCCGCTAATGAACAGATAATCCGGGACCGACTCAACCACATCCGTATGGCGCGTGCGCTTATGAGAGTTCGAGCCCAAGTACAGTATTGACTCTCCCGCCAGCACTGCGCCGGAATCCAAAGCCGTGGCGTGTTTGGCGCTGACCTTGGTCAGCTGTATGAACGGCCGAGCTGCTGCGCAGATGCAGTACATTGCCCCGCTATGTGTAGAAATATACACCTTTTGCGCCGGCTGCTGGATGCCCACCACCGACACGGTCGTCGTGCCTGCCATGCAGAAAGATCTGACCAGATCCGGCGGCCATCGAGTAAACGAGGGATTGGCTGGGAGTACAGATGTACGTCGCCGGACTGGATCTGCGACGCACTGATGAATACCACCTCAGTCTCAGTGATCAGCAAAAAGCACTCGCGGTGTTCGAGCAAGGGCACAATGTACATGGGCGTGGATATGCTATGAGGGAGGGGCAGCCTGGCGACCAGTGCCACTGAGGAATTGCCCAATGCCGATAACCAATGCTCGTATAAATGCAAGTACACGGATTCGTGCGGTCTCTCCACAACCGCTGCCACCAGCAGGATCCGCTGGAGCTCAGACCGCAAAGGCGAAAGAAATGCCGCGTCGCAGATCGTTCCATTAACGTAGATACCCAGGCGGCAGCCAAAAATACCAGGCTTGTGTGCTCCTGCCCTTGCGCCTGTGCTGAATCTCCGCCGCTCCATTCCAGGAGCACGATATCAATGAATTCTCTCCACGCGACAACAGCAATGGCGCGCACCAGCGAATCAATCACCGCTTTGCGCAACACGACTGCCCCGCCGTCGTACTTGCAATTCGCAAGCGCATCGATCTGCTCTATCGCACGAAATCGATACTTTTGCTCGGCATCTACTTGCTCCACATACAGAAGGGCCAGTTGCCCGCCCTCTTCCAGCACCACGCACAGGTCGCTCTGCCGCCCACCGTCTATATCTGCCCCCTGCCAGCTGTATCCGGGCGGCGCGCGCAGACAGGATACTTCGAGGATACTTACAAACATCGGAGCGCTGCATACACTGGCTATTGACATGCCGAGGCTGTCGACGCTGAACAATGATATTGAGGAGCCGAGGGCGAGGATCAGATCCTGGCTGGAGAATCCATATTCCTTTCGAAAGTTCCCGATCGCGGCGCTTTTGATCACGCTCGAGTTGAGTGACTGTTTAACGTAGCCGCATACGGGCTGCCGCCCCAGTTTGAGGGACGTAGTGTCCCAGGCGGACCGAAATGACTTTATTCCAGACATTGGTAAATGAATTGACAAAAAAACGCATCGAATTGAATTGAACCCGAAAAAGGGAGAAAAATATTAATTATTTTGTGATTGATCGGATTTTTACCTTTGACTTTTAACTACAACCAGCTCATTTCTTTTTTCACATTATTTGTTAAGTGGTGGTGGTTTATTTTTTATTTTTTTTATTTTATTTTATTATTGAATTATTGGATTTACAACACAGCCATGAATGCAAAGAGAATTGGCAAACAGCAGGATGGCTTATCTATACCTGGCAACAGCCAGCAGCAACATCAACACCCTGGAGAAGGAGAAGAGCCCGTTGACACTGAACTCGAAGAACTCCGGCGCGTCCGGCGAGCACTCAGCAAAATGAATCAAGGAATTGAAAACGTCCAGCACCAAATGAAGTACTTCAACAGCAATGTCAGCCAAACCACGCAACTACTAGACATCTGGGTACGCATTTTATCGCAGACCGCTCACAACAAAGCATACATGGCTAACGAGGATTGGCATGGGGGCAGTATGGATACGGCAAAGCTTAATGACTTGGCTCAGCGCGATAGGCAGAGGGAGGAGGAGGCGGAGCGGAGGGCTATGGAATTGGAGGAGAGGCATGAGAGGGAGAGGGGGGAGGCGAGGGAGAGGGAGAGGAGGAGGGCGGAGGCTGTGGAAGCAGAGGCGGCTGCGAGGCAGCAGACGCAGGTTACGCGCCCTGGGATTGTGCCTGGTCGCCGTCCACCGCCGGCCCAGGCGCTCGTGGACGCGGTGCTGGCACACGTGGGGGACGCGGTCGAGGCCGCGGATCCAGCAGCAGCAGCAGCAGCAGAATTGGTCTATACCGCCAGCAACATCGAGCAGCCGAATCTGGCCGCCTCGCTAGTGGTGGGTAGCAGCTGATTTTTCAAATGTTTTTCATGATAAAATTTGTTCATTTATTTATATTTGACATTGACATTGACATTGAAAGGTACAATACCAAATAAAAAAAGAAAGTTGGGTAAATGGTAAAGGTTGTGAATCGATGTCTGCGCGCCCTTGAATAGCCGCCAGACCTACGCCGAAAACAGAAAAACGAAGGCAGTATTTCCTCTTAGTTCTTCTTCTTGCTATCCTGAAGGGTTTGCTTAGCCTTCTTTGTCTTGCGCCCTTGCTCTTATTGGGCTTTCCATTCGACGAGCCATCGTTCTCATCATCGCTGCCCCCCTCGCTGCCACTACGGGTATCCTCCATAGCGCTATAGCAAACTGAGCGGTAAGCAATCCTCAGCACCAGAATGAACCAATAAATAATCATCATCTGCAGGAGCGCAAGCAAGAAAGTGAACCCGTAGATAATCGGGCGATTGTAGAACACAGGTTCTCTGGCTCCCACATATGGTCGTCCAGCTGCGCCTGGGACTCAAAGTAGACGCTGTACATAATCTTCATGTACAGGTAGTGGCGCGTGTACACCCATGACAGGATAAACACAACAAAGGATACGTTGGTCAGCTTCTTAAATCCCATGTACCGGATGCACTTGGTGCCCGACAAGAAAATGTCCGAGAAATCCATGCAGCAGAGAACCGCGTTACCCACGCGCACGTAGTTGGTGAACAGCGACCAGCCCATGAGGTTGCACGTGACAATATGGTGCATGAACATGACGAAAAAATCCTTGCGCCGCTCCTCGATCAGAATCACGAATATCTGCTGGAACCAGAAGCCCATCTGAATCAAGTAATAGGACTTCATCAACGGTGTCATCTGCTTGTGGCCCTCCGGATAGTCCGTCCAGTACTGCATCGTATTCATCCAGTGCGGGCCCTGCGCCATCACATAGATCCCGGTCGCAAAGGAGAAGATGTAGTAGATGGTCAGCCAGCCCTGCTCGCCGAATCGCATGATTTTGTGCTGGGACCGCACGCCGTACCACTTGATGAATGGCTCGAGCATCTTGTACATTACCGTTGCGCGCACCAGGGTGAATGCCACAACCCAGTGCAGAATGTAATATACGTCCCTGCGGCCGCGGTTGTACCGCCCCTGGTCGTCATCCACAATCTTGTGCTGTAGGTGCACAAACGGCGAGGTTCCCTTAGCAAGGAAATAGTCGTGGCCGTGAATCACTGCCAAAAGCGCCAACGACAGACCTAAATTGAATGGGGTGTGTAGGAGATATATTAGACATTCCATGCATTTTTTTCATTAGTAAAAATGGTTTGTTCTATTGGTTACAGCGGCATCTGTCCCCTTTCCTGCATGATTTTTTAAAACATGTTTTGTTTATTTACCTATTTGGTTATCGACAACCCAGTGGCAGCCCTTGCGAAGCAGTGAAACGTTCTTCTTCTTCTCTTCCAACTTGGCCGCCTTTTCTTTGATGAAAGACTGCGGCTTGGACCGCTGCTCCACCATTGTCATTTGCGTTGAGACTTATGTTTCAGTTTTTTGCTGATTAAAAAGTGTTTGGAATTATAATAAAAAAGAGAAAATAAAGAGGGTTCGAGAGATAAAGAAGATAAAAGAAAATAAGAGTAAGTGACACGTCGAGCTTGAAGAATAAAAAAAAAAGAAGTGAAGTGAAAGAAGCGTGAGGGAAGAAAAGAGGGAGAAATTTCGACCAATAACAAATGAATGCGGAAGTTTCATGTTTTGATTTTTGAATTTTTGAATTTTGAATTTTTCGGGGTTTTTTTATTATTTTTGGTTTTCAGAAAAAGGTCCTAGTTTCTTGTATTGACTTTGTCCATTGAACACAGAAAGAAAAAAATAACCATGAAAAACCGAAACATTAATAAAAGCCGATGAATTCTCACAAGGATCAGGGCTTTTCTTTCAAAATCCGGTCTGCAACACTTATTGAATATAACAAATATATCCGGTTTACAAGGTTTTTTTTCTTCTAATAAACCAAATATTGCAGGCCCAAAGTCATTTAGTTTTCTTCAGATCATCCGCAACCGATAGCGTATTAGTCTTAACAACGCCTGCGCGGCCAACAATCAACGTCCACGTGTGCCATATGCCCAGCAGCACGAGCCCAGCCACAGAGCCGCCAACCACCATATGCAATCCCGCCAAACTGACCATATCCGACACTCCAACATTGTGAAAAAGCCAACAAAGAGTTGCTGCTGAAGCCCCAGACACCGCTACCATAAACACACGGCATACGCACCCGACACAGCCTTCCTCTAGCTCGCACCCCAGCGTCCTGGCAATCCCCAAGCCAGCCTCCACCAGCGGCCCAATATCCACTGCCCCAACCACCACCGCAGCAAACCCAGCAAACCCGGGGTTACCCAGCATACCGGCGGACACCAGCACGCCGCTGGTCAAGTACAGGGATGCAATTCGCGCATAATGCCCATCCGTATCCTCGCCCTCGAGCAGCTCAACAATAATCCCGGCCAGTCGAGCAGCGCACTGCACAAGCACAAACACCTTGATTGCAAAACCAACCCCCATATCCGCGCTCTCTGTGGTATCCGCTGATACACGCCACGTGGCTACGCAAAGGGACAAGATCAAGGAGCTCAGACGCGTAACCGCAGTAGCGCACAACTCAGCCACCTCCTGTTTCACCACAAACTCTGCACCCCCGCCATTGCTGCGCAAGAGCATACTCTGGAGGTTCCGCAAAAAGTATCTAAAAAACCATGCCCTGATAAAAATCATTTTGGAAGCAATAAACACTGCGAGCGCAATATCCTTGGGGCCAAAATGATACCGACCATCATGGTCTAGATTTGGGTAGCTTAGAGTGATGAATGTGGTGGAGAAGTACTCGCCCATTATCCATCCGGCCCAGATTGCGCCAAAGAACCCGGCGGATGCGCCCATTAGATTTTGCTCGTAGTTTTGTTGCAGGTATTCACGGGTCGGTGGCCGTCTTTGAAACTTTTTCTTATGTGTGGTTGGTGCGGGTTTTATGTTCTGTGCATTATTGCCAGGATGATCGGCGCTGTTTCTGCTGCTGCTTCTGTTGACTGCCCCGCTGTCAGACATGTTTTTTTTATTTAAAAAAGGCTTAATAGTAAAGAGGTGGATATGAAATTAAATATTTGTAAAGGGAAAATAGATAAGAATGTTATTTTGGACTGTTCTCAGCGTGTTCTCGGTTCGATAAATAAAATATCATCTCGCATAATTCACGAAATTTTTTCTTGTGCGATTCAGAATGTTATCTATCACCTGACTGTGTTCAATACGAATTTAAAAAATTGTATTGATATTTTGAAACGTTTCAATATTATAAAGTATACGGGAAAAATGGATTAAAATTAAATATAACTATCAAAAGAGAAAACCTAATGCAATCGAAAACAACAGTGGCAGTAAAAGATACAGTTTTTTTTTTTTTTAAAAAAAAAATGAAAATGAATTTTTTGAACATAAAAATTTTATAAGTCCTTTGGCATGCCGCTGCCGCCAGACGGGCGACCAATTCCACCGATGGAAAGTCTGTTCTGTCCGAGTTTTGACATTGAAAGCTCCAACTGCTGCATAAACGATCCATTCGCACCAAGCTGCGGCTGCGAATGCGGCAAACCCGTATTCGGAGTAGACCTCGGCGGGCCCACAGTGTTCTCCATGGCAATACCACCAACCGCATGCTGTGCCGATATCGACTGCCTGATAGAAATCGGACTGACATCCGCGCCCTCCTGCCACCGAACCAAAACGGCAAACCACTCGCGCGCCTTCCCAGCATCATCATGCGCCAACCAATAGTTGCGCTTCTCCGTGACTATTTTAAAATACGTGCGCCGCAATGATCGCGCCTTAGCAGTCGAAGGGTCGGGGCCTCTGATATCATACACGTCATCGCGTCTGAGAATCTGCTTCACCTCGTATTCCTTCTCATTATGATAATAGGACAGGGTGTTTTGCCGGAGAACGAACCAGCGCCGACGCCATTGCCGCAGTTTATCCTGCTTCAGGAGGAAACCGCGCAGGATGACGCGGTCCTCAATCAGTCGCTTTTCGATTTCGCGCCGCTGGTCGACGTTGAAGTCTGGCTCCTCATCCTCCTCGAGATCTTCAATGGGCGCTGGCTCGTGCTCTGGGCCAATGCCTGGCGGCAATACAGCTGCTGATTCGCTTGTGTCTGACGCAAACTGCACAAACGCACCGTGTGATTTGGATAGTGTTCGCGGCGTGTCGATGCGCAGACCAAGTGGCGCGCACAGACCGCCTGTCTCTGCTGATGTTCTTGCTGATTTTAAGGCAAGGTCTGAACGCGAGCTCCGTTTCAACATATTCGGGATGGCGTGTTTTGATTCTATAAACATCAAACGGAAATCAAGCGATTTAAAAAGAATAATGAAGGTTAATTAAATTGCGCTGTTTGTGATGACACGGATACATGTGGACATGGCATGTGTCAATCCACGCCTCCCCACTTATTGTTTGTATGTTTCTTTCACGCCATTGTTTTTTTTTGCTTTTTCAAAACATGTGGAAAATCTGCGAAAATCAGGAGAGCATTCCCGGATGTTTGGTGGTCATGCGAAAAAAAATAGCACAAAGTGCAATTTTGGAAGGTGGAGGTGGGTGGGCGAGGCGGGGAGATAGAGAAAGAAAAATAGCATAGCGCACCAATATATCCACCCCGCTCTAACACAAACACACATAGTTGCCCCCCCCTCAGAAAAATGAGTAAAAATATACACAAATGTTTAGTTACCTTCAACAGCCGGTGCAAACAGTGAATTTGCCGCTCTGACGCTGATCTGGCTGCGACGACTTCCAGCAGACGGCAAAGACATGAAATACGGCTCGCCACAGTCCTTCGGTGGTGGCGGCGGTGACGACGAAACCCTCAATGTATTGGCAAACTGCTGCTGCTGCTCGTCAGATTGACGGCGAGACTCAAGGCTCTCCAAGGAATGCCTAATACTGCTGCTAGCACTGCTATTGTTGTTGTTAAATGCAGTGACCACAGAGCGTATGCGTCCGATCCACAAAAGCATTTCCTGTTCACTCGATGCCTCAAAGAAAAAGCTGCGGTCGGGGGTTTCGATTTCAAAAACAAAAGAGTGGTTGCGGCGCTCGATAGTGCGAACATCAACTATTTCTTCGACACGAACTATGCGCTTAAGCTTGTCCTCGCTGAACCGCTTGTAGATCAGCAGGGCTTGTGACCGAAGCACACACCACCTTTTGTTCCAAGTCTAAAGAGAAATAGAAATAACAATTATAATTTTATTTAGAGCATATATATACAGAATATGATTTCTTTTTCCGCTTGTTGATTTTTTAAAATAAAAACAAGCTTTTCTGTGCAATAAGAATACGGGTTTTTTTTAGGTAAACAAACAAAAGGGAGACATTGGCATCAAACTATAAATGCCGGATTTTATGTACTTACCTTGCTGGCACCTCCGCCCGACTTTTTGTACAAAAAGCCTTCCATATGGACCTGCTCCTTCTTAATGGCATCGCGCGCTTTATCGCGGTACATGCGTTTCATGGCACTGTCTAGCTGGCCACTTGGCAAATCATCAGAGTCACTCTCTGCGCCTTCCGAGTCCTGCTGCGACTGATGTGACCTCTGACGTGAAACCGAAAGGCCTGTGAATTTGGTTGACGGTGAAAACGTTAGCGCCGGTAGCTTACTACTATCTGTCATCGATGCGACAGGCTATAATATAATAAAGTCGAGAAAATAAAAAGAACGCAGTTTGTTTTTTATACAGGTTAAAATTGACTCTTGCAGTGCTGCATTATTGTGGTATCAGAGGTTTTGAAATTCAATGTAATTAAGAAAAATATGTACCTGTGACAGTATTATTTCCTTTGCTGGAAGTGGCATGGCAGACGAAGCTGTGTTCGTCATTGTTTGTGTTTTGAGTATGTATTGTATGTATTGTATGTGCTTGCGTGTTTTGTATTTGTAAGAACTAGTGGTCGGGAATTGGAGTAATAAAAAGATAAATGTGAACAGAAATTAAATTCGTAGAAAGGAAATGCAACAAAAGAGGTGAGGAGAAAAGAAGAAAATAAAAAAGCGTGTCTTGAAAAAAAGAAAAAGAAAAAGAAAAGAAAAGGAATAAGGCCGGGCAATTTATTTTTGTTTTTGTATTTAGCAGTTGCCAAATTTTAAATTGTCTTCCCCCCTCTCCCCCTTCTCGTTTTTGCTCCACGCCCCCACGAACATCAAAAAAAGGTGGGGGGTGGTTGGATTTGGATGAGGTGGATTTTTTACTCTTCTTTTTGTAGAAGCAATTTATTGAAATTTAAAAGCCCGATTTTGCTCTGCTCTTTTTTCATATTTCTTTTCTTCTTTTCTGCTGTTGGTAACTGACAAAAAAAATAAAGCCAACTGGTCTTTATTTGTATTTTTAAGAACTCTCGCTCTCTTTCTATATTTGAGCGCAAAGAAAAAAGACAAAGGACAAGACGTTGCTTGAAAGTCCAATAGAGCCCGACAGCCTTATTGTAACCGTGCGCCCTCTCCTCCCCCTTATTCACACTTGTCGCTCAATACACAAAAGAAAAAATCAAAAGCATGCTGCGCGAGCTATTGCTTCCAAAGCCAAAAAGCATTTTCGGCTGCATCCCCCTGGGCCCCGGGACACTTCTAGCCGCCACAGCGTTGCTCTCATGGCACTTGCTCAGCCTCGCCACGGGGTTCCGCAGCCCCTGGGCACTCTACAGTCTTTGGATGGCCGTATCCTCGGCGGCGCTCCTCTACGGCCAGCACAAGCGCGACCTCGGCCACGTGCACTGGTTCGCAATGGCGGTTTTTGCAGACATTTTCATCTACGCCGCGTGCATTCCATACGAGAGCGAGCTCAGGATGACTGATTTCGAGCGGTGCGAAGTGGCAATGACAACCAACCCGATGTCAATGGAGTACTGTCTGGAGCATGTCCACGAGATTAAAACTATTGCGTTTGCAATGCGCTGTCTGGCCGTGCTGGCAAAAGTGTACTTGGCTGCTGTGGCCAGGAGTTACGAGCTTGCGTGCGGGTTTTGAAATGCTAATGTAATGGTTACTTGATAAACGTAGCTTTTTGCTCAAAATCCTTTTTTTGTAATTTCCATATGTGTATGCGTTGCAATACACCAGAGGGAAAATAAAGGTTACTCGACGACAATCCCTCCCCAGCCCATACAAAAAGGATCACATCTCGTTACACTTGAAGCCACGAGTGCTTGTGGTCGAATCCTTGGATGGCTTTGACCCCAACCCTCATGTTTTTTGCAATCCGCCCTAACCGAGAAGTAGACGCACTTCGGTGCGGGCTAAGCTAGAGCTCAGGTGGCCCCTTGGCATTTTACCATATCCATGCTGTCCTCATAAGGGGGTTAATAAAGCAACCAGAAAAAATTTAATCCACCCTAACTGCGTCACTTGAAAAATCGAAACCAAATTTCTTATTTTTCGATTTTTCTTGTCTGCTCTCGTACGTTCACAGCCAATCAGCTTTTTAATAAAATGTGTGCTTTTCAATTTATCTGAGGTGTGGAGGATTCGTATCGAGAAAAAATGGAAAATAAATACGCGTGTGAACACACTATTTTTTTCGTCTTTTTTCGTGTTGGACAAAGAAACAGAGCCTGAGAAAATAGTGCGAGGAATCAGCTGAGCGGGCAGCGGATAATTCAGGCCGATGCGGAGAACAAACAAGGGTTGCTCTTTTTCTTCTTTTTCTTCCCAAACAAACTTTTAAAGGAAGCTCTTCATATCTCTTTCATTTGTTCTTCTTTTCTCAACCCATCCCATCCACTCACTCAGTTGTAGTATTTCTTTATTTCTTGTAAACGCCCCCCCCACGCCAGTTACTTTTGTGTTCTTCAACCTGTCCTGCTCTTCACACTCTTCATTGTAGTTACCAGCGGCAGTAACTTCGAATAACGCACCAAGGCGCTTGTATTTTTTACTTCCTATATATTTCATGCATCGTTGATGAGCTTCTACAACAAACCCGGGCCATCAGGCACACCCCCACTGCCACAATCGCCGCCGCCGCCATCAGCAGCAGCAGCAGCAACTCAGGCAGCAGCTGGCCAGCGCACACCACGCACACCACGCACACCACGCACAGGATTGTTCCCATCGCCACAGCCAATGGCATCGCGCAACGCAAGCATGATGGGGTTTCCAAGAATTTCGCCTGAGGCACACCGCTACCAAATGTTACAGCGCGCGCACTCAATGCAGCATCCAGGCAACCAGACACCCGACCAACAGGACTGGCAGCGTCAGAACGCCGGCGGCTACACCATTTCGTCCGAGCTTCTTCCACACCACTACCACCACGACCACCACGACCAACACTACACGAGCGGCCCTTTATTGGGCAGTCCGCTGGGCAGCACGCCGTACCAGCACTTTTCGCCGCGGCGTAAGCGGCTCTCGGGGCCAGACCAGGGGTGCGGCTCTGCGCCGCGGCGTATCCGGCGACGGCTCTTCTTCCAAGACGGCTCGGACGACGCAGAGGCTCCTGAGGCCATTGAGCGGCGCACGCAGGTGTCCAAGGCGGCATTGCAGACGGCGCTAGGGATAATCCGCGAGTCCGTAGAGATCGGCGAATCACACATTGATCTGAGCGACCTCGGACTGGACGCCGTGCCGGATGAGCTGGCGGAGCTAAAGGACCTCGTGGTATTGACTCCCGGCCACACCCTGGCCATAGACCTGCAATTGACTTTGAGCTCCAACCGGCTGGCGCACTTCCCGCTGGCGGCCTGCGAGCTGACCAACCTGACGACGCTTATTATCTCCAATAACCGTATTGCGCATCTGCCGCCGGAGATCGCCAACCTGCGCGCCCTGCGCGAGCTCTCGGTGGCTAATAATCGGCTGCGGACGCTCCCTCTGGAACTCACACGGCTGCAGAACCTGCAGATCCTCTCGGTGGTCAGCAACCCCCTGGACAACCCACCCGACGCATGGCCCAATGCCCTCCATCTGAGCACCGAAGCATGGCCGTACACCCTCAGCGTGGCTAACGCCGGGGTACCGAGGCTCAGCGATTTGGCTGCTCGCCGGTTGACCCGGCCGCAGCTGGCTGCGCTGAAGCACCAGCTGGCCCAGTGCCTGGAGTCCACGCGCCCAGTGCTTGGTCGGATCGTGGGCCCTGCGGTGGAGAATTCTGGCGACGGGGTTTTGTCGGCGTTGAGGGCGCAGCATTTAGCTTTGCCCGAGGGACATTTGTGTGCGAGCTGCAGGGGGTGGTTTCTGGCGCCTGCTGCGGAAGTTATAGTGTGGGCTCCGTTTCCGCCGTTGCTTGTGCGCCCAGTACCCTTTCGCGTGCGCCTGTGCTCGCGCAACTGCCTGTACACCGAAACAATGGCTGCTATGCTTCGAAAGGCATAATAGGACCATGGAAATATTTTTGTTATTTTTGCTATTTTGTTATTGTTATTGTTCTTGTTATTATAAGGACAAATAAAACATTGGAATGCAAAGTAGACATGAAGGAGGTGGGAGAAAAAAGAGAGGTGCAGATCTGTGTCACGCAAGGACAGGTTCAGCTTGAGCACTTTTTCTTTTATCATGTCGCCATGCTTGATTGCTGGATTGGGTACATATTTATGCCCACACTATAGGTCCATGAGAAAGGGAGGTTAAAAACTCTCGAGAATCGGTCATCCTCCCCCCCTTCCCTCCCTGTCTTTCTTTTTCCGCTTTCCTCTTTTTTTTTCTCTTCTTTCTCTCTGTGATATTTTTTATACTTATTAATACTATTTGCATTCAAATCTCTGCTCTTTTTTTCAATTCTCAAAAACATAAAGCGTTTTTTTACACACACAATTTAACGCCTAATTGCTTTTTCTTTTTCTTTCTTTATTTTACTTGTTTTATTAAACTTATTAAACTTATTATTATGCTTTGTGCTATGCCTGGCGGAAATGCACGCAACTCGTCTACCTCGCTTCCAGCTGCTGACAAGACCTGGGAGACTGTGCAGTCCAAGAGTACGTTTATAACCAAAAGCTTGTATAGATAACCAAAAACAAAAAGACAGCCAATGATGGCTTTTGTTGTATGTTTTTTTGTTTACACTTGGTACTAACATTCCCAACTCTCTTGCCAAAATCGCCCTTGTATTTGTTTACTATAATTTTCTGTTTTTTTTCCTTTCCCAAACACCAATTTAGCATTCACAAAATGGTAAGCAAAAGTTTTTTTTTAAAAAAAATACTAACTACATTCGTTCACTGTATTTCCGTGCCTATTTCACCATTTCACTTAAAAAAATTTACGCTTATTAAAAACATCACACCCATCGGCACTAATGCTTTAATAGGGTCAATGCGCGTCTTGCAGAGCACTCCCTGGCGCCCCTCAACAACATTTGTACAGATTTTTCTGACGGCACAGCGCTAATCCATCTTTTGGAAATAATCGGCGATGCCTCCCTCGGTCGCTTCAACCGCAACCCCCGCATGCGTATCCAAAAGGTCGAAAACGTCAACCTCGCGCTCGACTACATCCGCTCGCGCAGCATCAACCTGACGAACATCGGCGCCGAAGACATCGTTGACTCCAACCCCAAGCTGATTCTCGGGATGATCTGGATAATCATCCTGCGCTTTACCATCGAAGATATCAGCGAAGAAGGGCTGAGCGCCATGGACGGCCTCCTGCTCTGGTGTCAGCGCAAGACTGCATCATATAAGGAGGTAAACGTGCAGAATTTCTCCTACAGTTGGCAAAGCGGGCTTGCGTTCTGCGCGCTTATCCACAGGCACCGGCCTGATCTCCTGGACTACCATGCGCTGGACAAGGAGGACATGCGCGGAAACACTGCCCTGGCCTTTGACGTCGCCGAGCGCCACCTCGGTATCCCCAAGCTCCTCGATGTCGAAGACGTCTGCGACGTTAATAAGCCGGATGAGCGCTCGGTAATGACCTACGTGGCGCAGTATTTCCACGCGTTTTCGTCCCTGAGTAAGGCGGAGACTGCCGGCAGGCGGCTGGGCAAGTTCGCCGACGTCATGCAGTCGGTCTTCGACCTGCAGCACGACTACGAGGTGCGCGTTGGCCAGTTGATCGCCGCAGTACATGCGAAGCAGGAGGAATGGCGGCGCGCGCGGTTCGAACCCGTGTATGCTGGCGCGCGTGCACACTCAGACGCCTTCAACGAGTATAAGGCTGGGACAAAGCGGGCATGGACGAATGAGAAGCTTGAGCTGGACACCCTGCTGGGCAATATCCAGACCAAGCGGGTGACGTACAACCTCGCCCCCTTCGTGCCAAAGCCCGGGCTGGCGCCGCGCGACCTCGAGGCTGCGTGGAATGAGCTAGCTGCTAGCGAGGTGCGCCATAGGAAGGCCATCAACCAGTATATTCGCGAATCCCGCGATTTGCTCCAACGCAAGTACGGCGCCGAGGCGAATGGTATTCAGGCGGCGCTTAATGGCATTTCGAATGAGCTGGCGGCGCTTAGTGGTGGCCTGGACGATCAGCTGGATACTGTCAATGGGCTGATCACCAGGGCGCGGCCGCTTTCCGCCGCCCTGCGCCGCCTGGCGGAGCTCGAGCTGCAATGCAGCCGCGCGAACATTGACGAGCACGATTACACGGTGTACTCCGTCGGCGACCTCGAGTATGACTCGGGCATGATGATGAAGGCGCTGGAGAAAAAGGCGCGGTTTATCGAAAACCAATCCGTCGTCCGCAACATGACGAACCTGACGCCCGCGCAGCTGGAGGAGTTCGACGCCACCTTCCGTTACTTTGACCGCGACGGCACCAATGTTCTGAATGACGTGGAGTTCCGCGCGGCATTGGACAGCCTGGGCCATTTGTTCTCGGACAATGAGTTCGCTGCTTTGTATGACCAGCTGTCGTGTGGCTCGGAGTATATTTCCTTCGAAGTGTATATTCGCTTCATGGTTGAATTAACCGAGGACCAGACGACGCCTGAGCAGCTGCTGCAGTCGTTTAGCGTTATTGCTGGGGACAAGGAGCATGTTACAGAGGCTGATTTGAGAATGTCTGAGCTGTCGCCGCCGTCGATTGCGTATTTGGTTCGCGCTATGCCGAGGTCTGAACTTTCCGCCGATGGCTACGACTATTTGGCATACTTGCGCGGCGTGTTCCAGCGATAAAAAAAGGAGAGAAAAAGAGGGAAAAAAGGCTTTTGTATGTGGAATATTTGAGTGGTGGCTTTTTTATTATTATATTTATTTCGATTTTTTTTATTCATTCAAGCTCTAGAAAATAAAAAATAAAAATGAGAATATCTCTCGCGTGCGCATATGTTGATGACGGAGAGGGCGCGAATTATGATTTCATTTATTTATTTCTCTCTCTCTCCCTCACCTTTTATTTTTATATTTAATTTCTGTTTGAAATTTCCACAACACCAATTTCTGATTTTTATTCCATGTACAAGAGCGGCGGTTCGACGGCCCTGAAAAGGCTGATGACAGAATACAGAGGTTTGTAATTCGGCATTCCTGACGCTTGAAAGCCCAGCATTTACCTCCCTCTCGCGTCACACGTGCATGCACACATACCGAAGCATGCTTCTTCATCGCGACACAAGCAACAAGTACGGAACTACACTAACCTTTTTTCTTTTCTTTTTTGCTACAGCTCTCCTCCCCCCCCTTTTTTGTGTCGCAATATTTTTCTTGTAGAGTTGTCGTTGCATTCGCCCGAGGGAATTACTGCAGGTAACGCATATACATATCGCCATGACGAGTAACGAACGGCAGCACTGAGTACCAAAAAAAACCATACTTTGCACTGACCATCGCACAACACAGCCTTTTTCTACACTTTATTTTTCTATAGGACCTATTTCCGAGGACAACTTTTTCGAGTGGGAGGCTGTAATATCCGGCCCACCAGACACGCCTTTCGAGGGCGGCATATTCACAGCAACCCTGACGTTCCCAAAGGACTACCCTCTGAACCCACCCACAATGAAGTTTACTTGCCCCATGTTCCACCCCAACGTGTACTCGAATGGCGTCGTTTGCATCTCCATCCTGCACCCACCGGGCGACGACCCCAACCACTATGAGAGCAGCTCTGAGAGATGGAGCCCTGTGCAGAGCGTCGAGAAAATCCTGTTGTCGGTCCTCAGTATGATTGCCGAGCCTAATGATGAGAGCGGCGCCAATGTGGATGCGAGCAAGATGTGGAGAGATGATAGAAAGCAGTATGATGCGGTGGTTGAGGAGATTGTGAGAAAGTCATTGGGTCTGTGATTTGATCAAGCAGAAAATCAACCAACTTTTTTTCTTTTTCTATTTTTTCTATTTTTTTTGCTTCCTGTATGCAGCGCACAAAGTTGGTACCCTTATTATTATTTTTTCCCCCCTTCTCTCCTTATTTTTATTATTTTACCTTTTAGAAATCTAACAAACCTCACCCACACTCATTTCCCCTCCCTTTACTTTTTTTCTTTTTTGAAAAAAAACTATACATTATTTTTTAAACCATGGTTCGCCCCATTGCTCGCAAGAAGCTTCGCAACCCAAAGCTCAAGACCACACGCAGAACTGCGGGTAAGGCTCGCAAGATCAAATACACAGGACACCCGCTTCTCCGCGACCAATGGGACCGGGGTCTCACAGTGACCGAAAACTACAAAAAGATGGGACTCCAATCCCGCCTCAACGGCATCAAAGGAGGAGTCGTACAGGATCTCTACGCCAAACCCACCGACACCTCAGGAGAAGATGAGGGCGAAGAGCAGAAGGAGATGACAGAGAAGGAGATCCGGAAGGCAATTCCCAAGGGATACGGTATAATTGAGCGCGATGAAGAAGGCAATGTGACAAATGTTATTGTTGGTGAGGAGGAGGATCCCCTGGATAGTGATTATGAGGCGGATAAGGTGGAGCCCAAGATGGATGGTGCGCGGAGACTGGAGGATTGGGCTACCCATGGTGATGAGCCTAAGGAACGGTGGATGTCGGAGGGCGGCAGACGCGCACTGCAGGACATGATTGATGCCCATGGCGAAAACTACGACGCCATGTTCTGGGACAGGAAGCTTAACAGACAACAGTTGCCAAAACAGCAGATCAAGAAGAAGATCCAACAGTACTTGGTCGAGAAATCAAAAATCCAATAATTATGTTTTTTTATTTTACTTCCTATTATCCTCCTTTTTTTCCTCAAGGGGTTTTCTATTAAGAGGTAATACAAAGGGCTACGCCTGAAACTATGCAAAACATCCCTGTGAGCTCCTTACGCGTCGGAGATGGTTCTCCGAGAAGCATTCCCGAGAGAATAGTGAATATGAGAGCCAAGGAGTTGGTTATTGGCACTGCAATGGTTATTTCGGCAGAGCTCAGAGTGTAATAGTAGACTGCGGACCCGCTCAAGTTCAGGAGTAAAGGGAGAAGGTATTTCCAGTTTGTAAACAAAAAGTAAGTTTCGGCTAAGGTCTGCGAGAGCCACGTCGGTCGCTTGATTGATTCGAGGCCCTTGGATCCGCGCTTGATGAATGGGTTGGTGAAGCCCCAGCAGAGTGCTGTGAGAATAAATCCTGCCGCAGTCTCTAATAGATTGTAAGCATTTTTTATGGTGGCGTTAGTGGTGGTTAGTATTTTTGTCAGGAAAAAAAAGTTGGCAGTTGTGCGTACTTGATTGCTTTTAATGTTTATAATACTTACGGAATATATAGGACAGTCCTTCAGTCATACTTGGATAAGGATATGTGTTAAATGGAAGCTGAAATAAGACATTGAATATTTATTTGTTTTGTAATTTATTTATTTAAAATTGGGAAATAATTGAAAACTAATTCTACGACCAGCAAACTATGGTTTGGCAAGAATATGATCATGTCGACCTGACTCTGTCTATAAAACATTGTCATCTGGTAACATATTGATTCAGCTAAAAAAAAGTATCACTTTCAAACACTTGTGATGCGACGTTACGCATGATTAACATAACAATGGACATGTTCAAGTATATAAATTAATAATATTTGTATTATGACCTATGCCGGAGGTATTACTGCACGACATTGGAATTTACAATATATTTACGATAGCTGCGTGTGGTCATACAATACTAACAGACTACTTTTGTGATATTAATGAAAAAATGACATAAAGTGCTGTTGTTTGCTTATATCAGTCTACTGGTTGGCCACAAAGCGATCCAAAGCAATCTGACTTGGCCCCGAATTTTTCACTACGCTTTTCCTCTTGCTGCACATGGCGGCATCGGCCCCCAAGCTCTCGACAGCACCGAGCTTGGTTAAAAGTTTTGTATGGCCACCTGGTACTCGTGAAATTATTTGTTGCTGCCATTGCAGACCAGCCTAAAATTTCCCCTGCGATCTGGGACAAAGGACGGCTGGAGATTGCACTAATTTTAGTTGTAGTCCTGGTGCACTAGCTCGAGGTCGTTGGCGATCTGGTTCATGTGCGCAGATATTCAATAATTTACTGCGCTTCACACATGTTGCGCTGGCCCCAAATGTAGCCCTTGATTGTGCTGACTGTGCTCTTTTGCCGCTATGTTCTCAGAATCATCGGGTTGTGTCTTGAGAGCTGGAGCTTGAACTGAGCCAGAAACAGGGGTATTATCCTTGCTTAGGCGCTGTGCTCTTCTAGAGCGGCTGTGGCGGAGACGCCAGTTGTGGCGATTGCACAGATGGCGGCTGTGGCGGGCAGCCTCACTGTCGGGGTTCTTTGCAGCATCCTGCAGATTGCGCATCTGCGACTTGCAACTGTCCATTATGCTGGCAAACTCACTGTTTGTGTGCTCGCAGCTGTTATTATTGCTCGACTGCTCATCCTCAGCATCGGATTCAAGGTGCAGGCTTGGTGGAAAAAAGTTGTTGTTATTTAGTCTATTTTAATTTTGGGGTGGTCGCAGACGCTACTATTGCAAATTGAAAAGACAATAGTTCAGTCGCTTGCTTCACAGTTTGCTGAAAAATTGCTTGCTGAAAATACTGCATTTCATTATGCATTCTTTTCACCGACTCCTATTTGTAGTTAAAGCTGGTTTCAAAAAGATCAAACATTGACTATTTGACCACACCCTTGCGCTCAATACTGCTCTGACATTATAGCTGGCTGTTGGGGATGCGGTTTAAAACGGTGGTTAATACGCTGCTAAATACTCACCTCATTGTTAGTACTGGCTGTTGTATTCTTCGTGCGGCTGTAACACTCGTAAATGATTGTAAATGATTGTGATATTACTACTCATGGAAAAATATAAATAAATAATATATATAGCTTTATTTGTTGAGTACCCTGATGGTATGGAAGTGGATGTCGATGAAGACTCGTTTCACGATTCTTAACCCCAACATGACAATTAACAGGGCATTGATAGTGCCATACAAGATCAAATCAGGGGACACAATAATGACACCCTGATATACCCCTACATTCTATAATGCATATGCTCGAACGTGCATATGCAAAGAGCATAGTCTTGAGATGCCAAGACACCAGTCTGCCCGCAGAAAAAACAGTTATTGCCAATGGAGTGCACAATTGGTGAAGTGAACAATAAAGGCAACAAGGCATATATATAAGATGAGGTTGACCTCAGCTATGCTTTTGATTCCATTGATAATAAAAATCTTCAAAAATTAACACCCCATCTTTCTAACACTACCACTACAGTAGTGCCCCCACCGCCCCCCTTTTATTATAATATAGCTTTATTCATAGCGTGAAGGAATAAAAAGAAATACCATACTGCACGCGTATATATCTACGCTCGTGTATTATTTTAAATTAATGCCAAAACAACATTGCGTTTTGGCTTTAAATCAGCTAACCAAAATGCTAGCAAACCGACATAGCTAAACACTAGGCTCAGTTAGGATATTAGAGCCATACTAACTGTTGACCGTTTGGTCACCCGCCATATAACGCATCCCATGCTATCATAGATCAAAACACCATATTGTTGATTTGTGGGTACGCTAAGTGCTTTTAGTTTAGTTTTATTTATTTTTTAGAATCTTTAAATTTAAAGGTAAGAAAGAAAATGAAAACTGAAAAGATAAAGTTCTATGGTTCGTAAATGTGAGGGTTGATTCGGCATTAACATAGTATCCGGTACGGCTTCCATACACAGGTGCCTGCGCCGTCGTCAATGAATCTTGGGAAGTGTCTTGCCCATCATTGCTGGTGGTTAGCAGCGGCCATCGTTCTTTGTGCACTTGTGCCGACTATCCAAAAACAACCCTACTGGCAGCGGCATTTGTGCTATGATGCACTGTTGCCAACCGAGCTCTGACCAGCTGCGCAGATCGCCTCCGCCTATTCTGCACGCAATGTCAGCTTGACTTGCAGAGCGACCAACTCAGAGGGCCACTTTGCAAGCTCATTGCGGTGTGTGCGTATCTCGGTGCTTTGTGCATTAATTGTGCTAATAAGTATGTCTAGCTCTCCGCATGAAGAAGCCATCTGTCTGCAAAGAGCTTCCATCCGGTCGCGAGCCACACAACCCTAGGCAATGGCAGATATAGCCAGATAAATGCAAGTGTCTACCCTCTTGCGCCTGGTGTTGGTCTGAGAATCAGTCGCCTCAAAAACCCGGCGCAAGGCTTGGACCTTGGCGTGCGGCAGCTCAGGGCGGGTGGAAGACTTGCAGATGAAGGCATCGGTTGCCTTGACAATGCAACGCAGGGAGGGCTTGGCCGCAGCATAAGTGGCCGCAATTTAAAATGCCTGACTGTCCAGCAGCTTGTTCTCGGAGCTCAACTGTGCGGCCTGCGTGTCAATTAAAGCAGACTCGGCCTTGGAAGGAGCTTGATAGGTAATGCAAAGCATTTGGCTTTTCTGCATGAGTGCTGACGTCTTCGAAGGCCTCAGCGGTTGCAGCGGCAGGTGTGACAAAGCCTGAGTAATCCTGGTCACGGCGTGTGGCGATGATCGCGCGCATAACAGTGCAAACAACGCTGATAGAAGACATTTTAAAAATGGAAAGATCAAAAAGATGCTTAAAAGGTGGGGGAGTAATAAATGTTATAAAATAATATAGATATGTTATAAATATATGTGGTAAATAATTTGGGCGAAAATAAAAAACACTCGGGAAAAAGTGTAAAGGTGAGAGGATGGCGGGTGTGCTAAAAAATACAAGATATTTGGGTAGTGCTGGTGATGGTGATGGTGTTGGTGGTGTTGTAGAAAACTTTGCTTGAGATGTTAAAAAAAACAAGGATGAAAGACGGTGGAAGGAGTGGGGTGGGAGATGTCGTATTTATTTCTGCTCTTTTTTGTTTTGTGCTGTGCTGAGCTGTGCAAAAATAAGTGCGCTCCTCTTTGCTCCTCACAAAAAATAATGTGCTTTTCGGGTCCTCTTTCGGGTTCGGCTGGAGCGGAGTGCAAGTTTCAAGAGGGCTTTCTCGTTGCATGTATATTCCCCTTTTTGGCGAAAGCATGCCTTCTTCATACACATATTATTGTTTGAAGATTGTCAATATCCGAATATCCGTTATAATATTTCAAAGTATGGACATATTGATCAGCGGTCACTTTTACAATGCTTTTTTCAAACCACGGTCGCTGGCGGACAGGCCATTTGTATACAGAAAAAGTTGATATCAGTCAGAATAGATTTTTGCAGCCAAAAATAATTGTGGCTTTTTGTATAAAAATAATATACTTTTGCCAGGCTCACGCTTAGGCTGAGCCAGAATAGAACAAAGTAGCAGCAATGTTTTATTTGTTTTGGCAGTGGTAACAGTGCGAATAAGGAGGGTGAGTATTGGCATAATTTTTTATGTGTTGACTAATAAAAAACTTGCTTTTCTCCTTTTCTTCTCACAATGAAGGCCAGGGTTGCTCTAAGCCATTGTTGAGCTTTCTCTTTTTTCTGGTGGTTCCGGATCAATCATGGCAGCTAAAAGGTGTATTTGCACATCTGGATACATGCACATAAAAAAGCCAAAACAAACAATATATAAAAAAGATTTCATCCGAAACATCGAGCAAACTGCACCCATTTCTGCCTCTGCGATCTTCACAAATAGAGGGCATTGATATCCGTATTTCATCAAACAATGGTTGACAACTTCCTATAAAAACCAGGGGGGCGAATGGGCAGTTATTTTTCCTTACTAAGTGTCAGCAATGTCAATGACCGACAAAAAATGAGTAATAAAGGGGCAAACAAAGAGAGTGCGTGGTTTAAAATAGAACAATGTCAAAAAATGGATGTATATTAAATTGAATCCCCTTTTTGCAATATTGAGGTAAAAAGGGAGCGCAAGGTGCAAAGTTGGAGGCGGTTGCTACGGGCCACTATTTTGCAGCTCGCACAGGGGATCGTTTTTAATGCACCAAAAAACATGAAATAAAAAAGCCACAGAGCCATTTGACAATGTGGGCGAATTCAAACCATTTTTTGTTGTGCTTGATCTGCGACCATCATGGTCTGATGGCACAGACATTGCCACTGTGAGCACTCGCAGCGCGCAATGGGAATGTGGAAGGCTCATTTGTTTTATTGTGATTTCTTGATTGTTTTTCAATTTGAATTATCTTCAGCGTTTTTGCCAAGACCAACCCAGAAAAGTCTAATAGTCGGGAAATGCGATTTTGCGCATAATGAGTGTGCATTGCATGCTGATTCTTACATGCATGTATTTTGGAAGCTAATCTGCTCAGCGGCTAAAATCAGATTAATATAATGTATTTAATATAATTTAGTAAATGATTACTATTTGACACACATACACAGAGTTCTTTCAACAGTATTTTTAAGGTATTGAATCACCAGATGAATGCCCTTTAAAAGAAGGTTGAATTTTGTTTACAAATTATAAGCAGATATTTCTTCCTTGGAAAAAATCCCAGGTAGTAGACACTCATCCACATCCCTATTGATAAGATCTTTTTATAGCTGTGGCTTGGCTAAAAAATTGACATGAGCATACGGCTTTATTTTAGAAATCAAAGACATTTCTAATAGTATCCATCCATCCAGATCTCACAGATCTAGATTTTCAAGTTGGTTTATTAACCCCCTTATGAAGACAACATATATATGGTGCATGCTGACTAACCATCTAGGTGTAGCTTAGTCCGCACCATGTGTGACACCATATTTTACAAAATTAGATTGAGCTTTAAAGCTGAGCATTACCCGCACAGCCGCTGCAAGACTTGGAACGACATCGGTTTAGACTATGTCACGTGACATTGGCGATATAAAACGACCGCTGACGTTTTTTATTGTTTCCGGATTTCAGTTGTGCATGAAGCGATATTTCTCACTTTCTTTACAGTGGATGGTATTGAATGTACTATTTATTATAATTAAAATCACGAAAAGGCAAACATCACTTTCTCTTCACCTCATTTATTATTTTCTAAATTCGTAAAACAAACTTCTCCCCCACCTGAAATGGCCACAACAAAAGGAACCTCGCACGTCTATGGCATTGACCAACACACTCTCAGCCTAACGGCGCTTAGCGGACCGGCAGCGGCATCCGGGGGGAGAAGCAGCCGGTTCGCACTCAGCACCCTCGGCACAACGTCCCCAGATGGGCACTCAGAAATCCACATAATAAGTTTTGACGACCCCGATCAAGGTAACGCACAAGACACCGCGGCACTCACAGCGACCAAACACAAGCATACGGCAGGACTGCTTGCCATTCACGCGGTGCCATGGAGCCCCACACAGCTGGTTGCAGTCACCGGGGTGTCCGGCACCATGAGGGATAGTGTTCTTCAGGTGGTTGAGCTCGAAGGAGATAATACAAATGTGCTGGCGACTCTGAATGTGCCTGAGGGATGTGTGCGTAAGGCGGCGGTATGGCCGATAATGGAGGGTGGTGGGCGTATAGGGGTTTTGTCTGACGCGGCTATCCAGGTATATAATCTTGATAGCTCCTCGTTTAAGTCGGTATGGTCGGCGCCGCAGGATGATCCGCCCGAGACGCTCGCCTGCCATCCATCCTCCGCCTTCCTCCTCTCCACTACCGATGGGACTGCCTTGAGATCCTGGGACACCCGGCAGCCGCCAGCCTCCCATGCCACTGTGACCGTGGAGTGCGCCCACCAGGGCCGTATCCGCGCCCTCGACTATAACCCCAATGTGCCGCATATCGTGGCCACGGGCGGCGACGACGGCATTGTCAGACTGTGGGACGCCCGGAAGATGCAGGGCCCGGTGACTGAGGTCAGTGAGCATAGCTGTTGGGTATACAGTGTGAGGTTTAATCCGCATCATGATCAGCTGCTATTGACAGCGGGTGCCGATGGACTGGTTAATTTGGAGAGCGTCGTATCGTGGTCATTTGCGCGGCAAGTCGGCACAGCAACAGCGGCGGCGGAGGAGGGTGATGAGCCGGAGTATGATGAGTATGAGGAGGAGGGGGAGCGGGCAGTGGACGGGCTGGTTGCGCAGTTCGATGACCATGAGACTAGTGTATATGCCGCCGTGTGGTCAGTCGAAGACCCGTGGGTGTTCGCATCGTTGTCGTTCGATGGCCGCTTGGTCATCAACACCGTGCCGCGCGAGGAAAAGTATAAGATTCTACTCTGATGTTATGTTGATATATTATAATATATTTAATTTCGTTTCTGATAGTGAGAAAAACACAAGCCAAGGCATAAACAGAAGAAAGAGGGCAACCAAGCGGTTTACTAAATAGTCCTACCCAAGTTCCTAACGACGCCTGCTAGGGGGCACGTACTTGGAGGATCCAGCAGAAGCGTCCAGATTGGGCGAGGCCGAGCCAGCAGCAGCGGGAGCGGCCGGGAGCGGCGGTGTACCAGCAGCACCAGGGACGCGGCGGCTGGGCGGCACGTACTTGGAGGGTCCAGTGGACGCCCCAAGCCTGGGCGAGGCCGAGCCAGCAGCAGCGGGAGCAGCCGGGGGCGTAGCAACCGCACCAGGGGTGCGGCGAGAGGGCGGCACATACTTGTTGCTGGCCGCAGCCTTGGCAAGCTCAGCGTCCAGCTCGCGCTGGCGCTCGCGCTCCAGCCTCTGGTTAAGGATCTCCTGGTCCCTGACGCGCTGAGCAAGCAGCTCCTCGCGCAGCCTGGCGAGTTCTGCCGCCCGGGCGGCCTTGGCCTGCTCGACCTCAGCCTCACGAGCCTCGCGCTCAGCCTTCTCGCGCTCGGCCTCGGCCTCTACCGCCGCCTTCACGCTGAGGTACTCCTGCAGACGCTCCTCCTTGGCAGCCGCAAGCTCATCGCGAATGCGCTTGCGCTCGGCAGCCAGGGCCTCGGAGCGACCCTGGTCGAGCTGTGAGCGCACCAAGTTGAAGTCGCTGAACATGCGCGTGAACCGCTGCTTGAGCAGGATATCGTGTGCATGCTTGTCCCTGGTCTGTGACAGGAGGGCCTTGCGCGCGGCCTCGTGGTTCTTGCTGTCGGCCAGCTTCTGGTTGGCGTAGTCGTCCTCCAGCAGAGGCTGCTCGTGGCGGCGATAGGCACGCTCCGTGTGGTCGACCTTGCGCGCAAGTACGTTGAGACGGGTCTGCTTGTCCAGCTTCTCTTTCTCGATCTGCTCGACCTGCAGCTCCAGCAGCCTGGTCGTGTCCATCTGCTCGAGGTCATCGACGCTGACGTCAATGCCGGCCTTCTCCTTGATCGAATCCGCCAGCTTCTTGGCCTCGATGCGCTGGATGGCGTCGCGCTCCTTCTGCGCGCGCTCAGTCTCACGCCGTTGCTGGTCCTCGGCAATGCGCGCGCGCTCAAGCTCCTGCTCGCGCTGCTGCCGCAGGGCACGCTCGCGCGCCTCTGTGCGCTCCTTGCGCGCCAGCGCGTCCTCGATAATCTCCTTGCGCCGGTCAATGACCAGCTTGCGCGCAACCATCACGCGGTGCTCCTCGGCAATGATCTGCAGGGCAGCGCTAACCGTGGCGGCCTTCTCGACCTGCTTGCTTGCGACGTAGTCGGGGCACGCAACACGCTGCGCGTTGGACAGGCAGATCGCCAGCGAGCTGAGCTGCGACCGCATCAGGTCCGACGCTGACGCCTGCAGCTGCGCGCCGTTGCTCGACGACTGCGAGCTGTTGAACGGATCCGTGTCAAAGACAACTGAGCGCGATTGGTGGTCGATGCGCAGCTGGAACTCGCCGCGCCATGCTCCGTTCATGATGAACCGCTCGATCTGCGATGCTGTCATGGCGTAGGGCTCGGGGAACTTGGCCAGGCGGATGATAAAGTCAAGCTGCACCGAAGTGTATACCTGCGAGAGCTGTTGCAGCAGACGGGTCAGGATAACGTTGCACAGCAGCTTGCCGTACTTGGCGTCGTCCGCGTTCGTGGCAATCTGCTCTGAGAGCACCGGCGCGAGCTTCTTGCAGATCGACAGCGGGTGGAACTGCTCCTCGACAAGGTCAAACAGCGGGCGGAGCTCAGGACGCACGCGCGTGAGGATATCCCCGGCCATCAGACTGTTGATCAGGCTGGCACGCGTGGGCGCCGAGCTGATGAACAGCAGGTTGGTGAACTGCTGGGTGCGGTACTTGTTCTCCGTCGCGTCCGCGGAAAGCACGCGCGACGATGGCTTGATGATGGGCACCGCCAGCGTCGACAGCAGCACGTTGTTGGCCACCTTCTGCAGCTCCTCCTCCGAGAACACCTTGGTCTGACGGAAAATATAGTTGTAGTACCGGTGCCACGCCGCCGCCAGGAACAGCGGGTTCTTGGCCACGTACATGATGCGTGTCAGCTTTTCAAAGTAGTTGGCCATCGCCTGGGGCTTGACCGGCCGCTTCGACTGCTGGATGAGGTTGTGGATGTCCTCGATCGAGCGGAAGCTCTCCTGCCACAGCTCCATCTCGGTGGCTGTGTTCAGCTGGTGGAACTGCGTGTCGAGGAACAGCTGCATTGACTGCGGGTTCGACAGGTTGATCGAGTTCTGCTGGTGCGAGTACTTGGCAACGCCCTGAAGGTGGTTGCGCAGAAGCTCGCACAGCCTGCGGAACTCGGTCTTGCGCTCGTACGTCTTGCAAAAATCAATCGCCTTTCTGCTGATGGTCTGGTACAGCACTTCAAAACGCACGTTGTTGCGCAGGATGTCCAGCAGGTTGCGATACGCCTCCCACAGGAACTTGAGCCAGGGCGTCACAAGCGCGCGGTCCGTGCGGTCGCGTGTCTGCTCACCGCTGACCGAGCTCAGAATTATGTCCTCGGGGGACTCGGTCTCATCGAGGTCCTCGACCTCATCGCCAAGAACGCGTTCGGCGTTCTGCTGCGCCTGCGTGACGCGCTCGGTAATGGTGTCCAGCATCGTGATGACCACGGTCGCCATGGACTCGGGGTTCTTGTGCTGCACAATGTTGCGGTACTGCAACACACCATCCTTCAGCTCCTTGCCCTTGCGCTGCGCAATGCTGAGCTCAACAAACTTGAGGAGCACGGGCTCGGTATTGGCTGCGTTGGCGTTGCGCAGGCGCTTGTTCATAAGGACATCGTACAGGGTCTGGAGGGCAGTGGCCGATTGTCCAACGTTGATAAGCTCTAAACACGGGCAAATTAATAGTAGAGAAAGTAAATATTTAAAGAGCTGAGATTAGAGTAGATTGAAAGAAAGGATGCAGTCTTTTTTCAAAAGCGCAAATGTGGGAAATTCGGGCTTGCATAAACCTTCACATGCATAAAGGAAATTTGTAGTTCTTACCATTTGCGCGCTTGAGCACATTCTCAGCGCTCTGGAAAGTAGGAGGCATGTTTAAATTATTGTACAAGCCTTGTGGTTTTATGCTTTACGCGTTGAATTCCTTCTTTTTTAATGTGCTGTTCAGACTGGATTCCTCGTAAAAAAAATATAAATCACCGATTTTAATGGCCTCTGCAATTGAAATTTCAACAAGAAGGCAACACTAGGCGTCTGAATATATAAATATAAAAAATAGCGGATTACAAAAAGATCCAGAATTTCAGAGGAAAAAAAAGGTAAGAAAAAGAGGGGAAAAAGAAAAAGAATAAACGGCACACCTGCCAAAATGCATGAGATTCAATTCTGCGCTACTATTCTCTTTCACTTTTGGAGAGACAAGGCACAGAAAGAAAATTTTGTGCGTTTTGTTGGGGGAGTAATTCCCACTTTAGCGCTGCAGAAAAGTAATCAAGACATGAAAATCAATGCAGGAAGCTGATCAAATCAATTCAAAGCGCCCAGCGCATGCCACACAAAATGCATCATGTTTGCTTGCTTGCGCTGGGCTGGCCGAACTTCACAAAAATGTCTTATTATAAATAAAGGGAGCACGCGCGTGTATGAGTTACGAGCGTGCTGAAACAGAAATGTATAAAAAAACATATAAAAGAAACAAAGATTAGGCCACACAGGCAGCAGGGAAGTAAAGAAATAAACAGCGAAAACCATCAAACAACGAGGATGAGGAGAGGATGAGGGAAGAAGAGAGAATGAAAATGCTTTTTATGAAATAGAAATGACGGGGGCGCGATACCAGTCCGCACCACTTAGGTTGGGACCTGGGCATCCGAGTCCTCCCACAGCAGCGTCTCCATCCAGTAAAATAGAATCTCGCCAATCCGCGTGCGAGACGACCTCTTGCCCAGCGGCGTGTAGTACTTGGTGGCCGGCGTGTCGTCCACAACCAAGATCTGGCGCACCATGCTCATGCTGCCGTCATCACCAGCGCCCTTCATAACAGCAGCCAGCGTGCTGTTGTGTCCGCCAAACTGCCCCGGCAACGGCAACTGTGGCAGCGTGCTGAAGTGTTTGGCAATGATGATGCCCACGCAGAATACAACCAATGAGTAAAGGAAGATGAAGGTCGTGGAGTGCTCAGAGTTCATCATAGACTGCACTATGCCAGGGCCGCCCTTGCCAGCGTTGCTCTTGCGGCCAGCCGCCGGTGCACGCTTTTCCTTATATTCGCCGGCGACAGTGTCGACAATGCGTGTGAGCGTGGGATCTCTCAGACCGCGGATGGCCTCCTTCAGTCCAGACTCGCAGGGGGCCAAAAACACGGACAAAAGCTTGCTACGCAGGTTCTCTGGATCCTCACAGCTGTCGTCATCGCAGTACCCAATACGCCTCCACACATCGCCCATGATAACCAGATCTTCGGAGGTGTACTTGTCCATTGCCAGCTGAACCCACTCGCGCACTGCGCTGTCGCTTGTCCGGTTGGGCACTGTCAGCTGGTCGTCGACAGCAAGCATGTCGCCGCCGCCGTGGTTGCGAAGCTCATCCTGGAGGCTGCTGACGCTGGCCACCTGGGGCATGCCCTGGCCGTGCTCGCCAGCTGGCGCCACACGATCCGGTTTCAAGCGCTGCTCTTTCAGCTCGGCGTGCAAGCCTTTGATTTCCTCCTTGAGGTTTTTGTTCTCGCGCTCGGTATTAGCGGCGGCATCGCTTTCCTCCTGAGCCGCAGCAAGCTTGTACTGCAGCTCCCTGATCTGCAGTACCAAGCCGTCTCCGACCTCATTTGCCTGTTCCAGCTGCTGGCTGGCCAAGTTCAGATTGCCTTTGAGGATGTCGTTATCGGATATAAGCTTTTCCAGCTTTGCCTTTTGTGCTGCAATCTCCGCCAAGTTTTTCTCGCTCTTCTGCTTGTGCTCGTTCACCTGTGCCATCGAGTTAGACAGCCGGACTGCGGCATTCTCAACTTCGGTCTCGGCTCGCTTCAACCGGTTGGCATAGTTCCTTTCGGAGGCCCGGAGCTTTTCGATTTCACGCCGCTTCGTGTTCATTTCTGCGCTGGTCTCGTCGAGCTTGCGCTGAAGATCGTAAATTGTGGATTCGCTGTGGGCCTGGACAGACTCCATGCGCATGTCCCGATCTTTCAGCTTCTTCTGCAAGTCCTGGTTTTTGGCCATCAGATCGTCTGTGACTTTGATATAAATCTCATTCGAGACCGGAGGGCGCATGGGCGAGACTGGGGTGCGCACGGGCGACCCTGCGCTGGGCGTAGTCGCTTTTTCGTCGACGAACAAAACTTCAGAGGACTCGGGGATGCTATATATGAATTTGGTTGGCGAAGTGCCCGACCCCGAATGGAGCTGGTGGTGGAGCGCCTTGCGGGAAACCTGGGGCGTTGCCATTCCGCTGGTATCCTACATATTTAAAGGCGTTTCAAGAAGCAAAATAAAATAAAAAGATTAATATATCATGAATGCGCATTGTGCTCGCAGCAATATGTATTCTTTTTTTACGCGACGCTATTTGCAAGGCTGCATCAAAGATGAAAGTGAACTCGTGACAGGTGCTTCAGAAAGCAAAAAATAACTCGCGAGATAGCAATGTCATCGGCAATATATTGCGCAATTTTCCATATCCTTATTGCGGAGAATGAAAACACTTTTTTCAAGATTAATATTAATCATCGCCATTTTTCTTTTAAAAATGGGGCAGCAGTGGAGGCACAAAACAATAATATAAAGTACTTACCGAGTCAGAGACTATATGATGCGTGTCCTGGGAGGGCTCAGTGACTGCGAACGCTTGCGACATGCGCGACGGGCTGAGTCCTTTCTGTTCGGCATGCTTGACAATCTCTTCAGCTAGGTGAGGGGAAATGCTGTTGGACAACGCGTCGTACTGAGCGTCATTCATCGAAGAGATGTTGCGCATCCGCAGTTTGGAGCCCTCGGCGGCAGAGCCAGTCATCCCATAACTGGTCAGTGGCCTGTGCGTGCGCTGGCGACGATCAAATGGGTTTTCTCCGGCCGCAGTGCTCCCGCCTTCGGACGACACTGGCACCACCTGGGCATTGGAATTCTCGGCTTCGGCGTCTGAGCTCGTGTGCAAAACACCGTTTGTCCTCTGTGGAATAGAATCGCTATTGCGCAAACAAACCTTTTCAAGAATCTCCAGCGCCTGGCCAACAGTAATAGTGGCTTTGCCTAATTGACCAAGGAATAATTTCACTACTTTAAAGCGCTCAGCGGTAAATTCTTTGTATTCGCCCTCTTCGCACACAGACAGCAGGCGCTCCACAAGTAAGTCGGCTTTGACCTCTCTGCCCTCTGCCATGCACTCATTTATGTAAGCGTCCAGTGCGTCCATGATTGGGAAAACTGACGGCGAATGTCTAATGTTTGGCCTGTGGAATTGCGAATACCAGGTGCAGTAATAATGAAATAATGTAATAAAAAAGTGAAGCCTAATTCGACTGTTGCTGTTGCTCCTGCCGATGGTGTTGGACAGGTCGGGCGCAAATATAAAAGAAAAAAAGGAAAATAGAAAACAATTTAGTCTAAACAAAACCTAGTAACAGGAAAAAAAGACAAATTCGACAAACGGAAAACAAATACAGAGGGAGAGAGAAAAAAGGTTTGGAGTTGGGGCTGCATCCACACAATCGGAGTCAATCACCTTTGCACACTCAGTAGCACCACGATCGACAGGAAGAAGCGAATAAAAAAAACTGCATTGGCTGCGAGCCACAGCAAAATGAGTGGAATAAGAATTTCAAAGAAAAGCAGCCCATCAAGCCTGGCCAAAGCACTACACCACATGTAAATTGGGATATTCCGGACCGCCGTTAAAGTGAACAAAAAAGCCCACATGTTGCGGTACGACTACGCCCTATGAATAGCTGATAATAGTATTGTGTCAGTGCATGCGTGGTGAAAATAAATAATGTGCATACATAAAATTACGTCACCTTTAATGTGGATTCATTGAAGGCGCGGGCGTGTTGATAATCGGTCTGCTCCAACATCAAGCGCCATATGCTCCTATTGTCAATAAACGCACCAAGTTTTTTTCTGAGCCGCCAGAGAGACTCAAAATTAGCGTAAATGCGCCCATGGTTCAAAGCTGAATGCGCTCAAAATAATTGCTTGCCATTGAAAGCCGCGCCACAAACAAAATAACATTCTGGGGAGTTTTGTTTACATTTTCACTCTATTTTCCACAAACCAGTTTGCTCGCGTGTTATTAAATGGCTCAGCCAGCAGAAATAACCATTTGCGCTGCTCATTGCTTTATTCGAGAGGAGCTGATCATCCCCGGCGCCACTAGTTCAAAAATGCACAGCACACACCTGGCTTGTTCACTTTGCGTATCAAGCTTGATCGGTTTGAAAGTGAACAAGCCAAACTGCCAAGATGCCGGAATATATGATCACGTGTTTATTGATCAAATCTGATCATCAGCTCAGCAATTTTTTTTACTTTTTTTTCTGACCACCATTTGGTGCGATCAAAATCAAAAAAAAATAACAGCTAAAATGTGGACATAGTTTTGCCTCTGCCAATTCTTCTTTTTTCTGTTGTCAAGCAAGGGTCTATTTATATATTTTCTTATTTTTATTCTATTTTTCTATACAGTGTCGACAACGCCACATGGACGGAAAGCAAACACACAAAGCGCACAGAGTGCGCAAGGCTGGTGCCAGCGCCAATAAGAAGGTGCAGGAGAACAAAAAGAAGAATGCTGAGAAGAACAACCCCAAGGCGTTCACGATGCAGTCAGCGCAAAAGGCCGATCGCATGGCGCGGCGGAAGGCCGAGCTGAACGAGAAGAAGTACCATGTGCCGATGGCTGACCGTACGCCAACCATTGCGCCCCCCCTGATCGTCGCTGTGGTCGGGCCGCCGCAGTGCGGCAAGACGACACTGATTAAGTCGCTCGTGCGCCGGTACACCAAGCACTCCCTGTCAGAGATCCGCGGGCCCGTGACGGTCGTGAGCAGCAAGTTCCAGCGGCTGACGTTTTTGGAGTGCAGCAACGACATCAGCGTCATGACGGACGTCGCAAAGGTTGCCGATCTGGTGCTGCTGATGCTTGATGCCAGCCATGGGTTTGAAATGGAGACTTTCGAGTTCCTCAATCTGCTGCAGACACACGGCATGCCCAAGGTCATGGGCGTGCTGACCCATTTGGACGACTTTAAGGACAACAAGCGGCAGAAGCTGGTGAAGAAGAACTTTAAGCACCGGTTCTGGACCGAAGTGTACGACGGCGCCAAGCTGTTCTACCTGTCGGGCGTTGAGAACGGCCGCTACTTGGACCGCGAAATCTTGAACTTGTCGCGCTTTATCTCGGTGCTTAAGCTGCGTCCGCTGGCGTGGCGCAGCTCGCACCCATACTTGCTGGCCGACCGCGTGCAGGATCTGACGGACCCCGAGATTCTCGAGGCCAACCCCAAGGCCAACCGCACGGTTGCTCTGTACGGATACCTGCGCGGCACGCACATAAAGGGCAACGACCGCGTGCACATTCCCGGCGCCGGCGACTACCAGCTCGATCAGACCGAGTCGCTCACCGATCCTTGCCCGATTCCTGATAAGGAGCGCAAGCGCCTGGATGAGCGCCACAAGCTCATCTACGCGCCCATGTCCGAGGTCAATGGTGTCATGTACGACAAGGACGCCGTGTACATTGATGTCCGCAAGACAAAGCATGAGGAGAATGCTGAGGACGGCGAGGGCGAGAAGATGCTTGGCGAGCTGCAGAAGGCTACCGGCGCGGGTGATCGACTGGCCGTGCAACAGTTCAACCTGTTCTCGGGCTCCAAGCCCATCTCTGCGGATTCGGTCCGTCGCCCGGCGGTCTTTGGTGATGCCGCTGCTCTGTCTGGCGCTGAGGAGAGCGGCGACAATGACAGCAGTGATGATGACGACAGCGAGCAAAGTGAGAACTCGGACGACTCAAATGATTCGGATGATTTGGATGACTCGGAGGAGGGAAGCGATGATTCGGATGATGATTCAGGCGATGATGAGAAGGCCGCAAACGCAACTCCTGCCGTCGTCGACTATCGCGCCCAGCGCATCGCCGCCCACAACAGGGTTTTTGGCGTTGCGCAGTCCAAGGAGGACTCGGACTCGGACGACGAGGGAGCCGACGATCTTCTGCGCCGTGTTCACAGCGACGCCAGCGATAACAACAGCGACAGCGACGCCAGTGAGAATGACGAGGACAACAATGAGCGACTGGCACCCATTCATCTGGGCACCAAGCGCATTAACCTGATGGACGTTGTGTACGGCGATGCTAGCAAGACGAAGTCGAAGGGCGGCGATGACGACAACGAGGACAACACCAAGTCCCTGGCATTCGCTGATGACCTGGATGAGCGCGCGCTGTTCAAGTTTTTCATCACCAACCCAGGTGACAGTGGTGATGAGGCCGGCGATGGCAGTGACGCTGAGGCGGGTGCGGACGCCGACGCCGCAATGGGTGATTTCCAGGACCTGGAACTCGGCTCCGACGCCGAAGAAGGCGGCTCTGCGGCCGCCGGCGCAAATACCAACGGCGGCAATTCTGACTCGGGTGAGGAGGAGGAGGACAACAAGTTTGGCTTGAGCGGCGACAAGATGAAGAAACTCAAGAACAAGTTCGACAAGCTCTACGACTCTGATGAAGACGCTGAGACGAGGGACTTTTATCAGCAGCAGAAGGACGAGCTGCAGGGCTACGTCGACAATACGCGCAAGGAGATGGACGAGCTGGCTGACATCAACTACCGGTGGTCCGGCGAGTACGTCAAGGTGGTCATCGAGGACATGCCGTACGAGTTCATGCAGGGATTCCGCCCCGAGACGCCCGTCATCGTTGGCGGCATCTCCAACGAGGAGGGCTTGTCACTGATCAATCTGCGCATCAAGCGTCACCGCTGGTACCCGCGGATCCTCAAGAACAATGACCCCATTGTTGTCTCTGTCGGCTGGCGGCGGTTCCAGACGATTCCGACGTACTTCATGAACGACCGCATCATGAACCGCATGCTCAAATACACGCCCGAGCACATGCATTGCGGCGCAGCGATCTACGGGCCCTACGTGCAGCCGGGAGCCGGATTCTGCGCGTACTACCTGAAGCGCACGCACAACTTTGGAATTGCAGCCACGGGCACGGTGCTGGAGAACAGCCAGACCATCGACGTGGTCAAGAAGCTCAAGCTGACTGGTTTCCCCGAGAAGATCCACAAGAACACGGCGTACATCGGCAAGATGTTCAACTCGCCGCTCGAGGTGGCCAAGTTCGAGGGCGCGTCGATCAAGACCGTCAGTGGAATCCGCGGTCAGGTCAAGAAGTCGGCAGGCGAGAACGGCCTGTACCGCGCGACGTTTGAGGACCGGATCAAGATGAGTGACATTGTGTTCCTGCGCTCGTTCCACACGATCCCGATCAAGAAATTCTACAACCCGATCACGTCGCACTTGTCCATTACCTACATGCGGTCGATTGCCGACATTCGCCGCTCCAAGAACTTGGCCGTGCCGAACAAGAAGGATTCGCACTACAAGCCTATTGTGCGTGAGGTCAAGCGCTTCAACCCGCTCAAGATCCCCTCGGCGCTGCAGGCCGAGCTGCCCTTCAAGAGCAAGCCCAAGATTGTCAAGACCAACGCAAAGTCCAAGGCTGTCGTCATGGACAAGCACGACAAGCAGGTGGCTACACTTCTGGGCGAGATCAACTTGCTGCACAAGGACAAGTCGAAGAAGCTGCGGGAGAAGGTGCAGACGCAGAAGGCCGAGTACAAGAAGCGGAAGCTGGCCGAGGACGCCGAGGCGGATGCACGTCGCAAGCAGAAGCGCAAGACGTTCTTCAAAATCGAGGGCCAGCACCAGAAGGGCAGGAACTCGAGGGACTGAGCAAGCACGTATATTTTTCATTTTCTATTCAATTTTTTCATTTCAAAAGCCGAGGTTTCCTTCATATTGCCGGCCCGCATATTTTGTGTGTGGGGGAAAAAAAGCAATTGCAAAGAGCAAAATCAATGCCGTTTCGCAAGTGCCTTTTTGGAATGCCGCTGCCATCACCACTGTAATGTTTTTTTTGGATATTTACGCACACGCTCTTTGTCCTTGCCATTTGCTATTATTTGCTTTTTTTATCTTTTACATTGTGTGTGTGCCTGTGCGGATTCGAGTCACTCACCCACTCACCCACTCACTCACTCGCACTTACATATACGCACATAACGAATACACAGCCAGGGCGCTGATATTCATCAAGCTTGCTTCAGCCGTAACACCGATTATAATACACACACTGCCGTCTCGCACGCCGTAAGCCATTTTTAATCCACATGTTCGTACTGCCCGCGCCCGCAGAGCCCAGCGCCTTTTGGAACGACATTAAGCAGTCAGACTACTTTGTTCTCCAGCAGTCGGTGTCCACCGGCGGCAGCGCGTTCTTCAAAAACGTGCTGGCGACAATTCAAAATGTGCTCGAGACAAAGCCAGCGCCATACCGCGTGGTCTATCGATACTCGCCCGCAGCAGACAGCTACATCGTGCTGGCAGTCGGGGAGACGAAGGAGGAGATAGACGCCGACTGGAAGTGGTTGTCGGAGAACATAATGCCTGTAGTCGTTGAGTTGGACGAGGTGCCCGAGCGGACGAGCTTTGTGGTGACCAAGATCCGCTTCTTGGCCACGGAGGAGGGCGGGCAGGACGCCACGGCGGACCGCAAGATGCGGGCTGCGACCACAACGTTCAGGCAGACCTTCGATGTGGGCCGGACAGAAAACCTGGTGACGTACTACTCGTGCGCGCTGCAATCGGGATTTATGCTGCACCAGGGGTGGCTGTACCTGAGCGAGCACTACTTCTGCTTTTACTCGTACATGTTTGGCTCGGAGAAAAAGGTTGTATTCCAGCTGCGTGAGATCAAGGATCTGGCGAAGACCAGGACCATGGGCGGCGCTCGTGATGACGGCATAGAGGTGACGACGAAGGACGGGAGCAAGTACGTGTTCGCCAACCTGTTCCACCGCGACGAGACCTTTGACATGCTGTCGCAACTGACCGCCAACACGATGAAGCGCGTCCTGATGAACTCAGAATACTCAACGACCCAGTTCCAGCCCGCTTCGTCCAGTCTGCAGGCCTCTGCAGGCGGACACATGCGCAGCCCGAGCACGGCTAGCAGCGCCACTGGAGGGATCAATCCCGACTCGCGCCTGCCCATGGCTGCCACAGCCGCACACCAGTCGTCATTGACCAACGGCGCGTCTCTGGCCGAGCAGATTGCAAAGCAGCGACGCAATGAGGAGTTCCGCGGCGAGTTCGGCCTTCCGCGCAGCGAAACCCTGCTCTCGCTTATAGAATCCGCCAGCCTGTCGCTCCCAGAGACCGCAAGCGTTTATTCGGGCAAACTGTATCTGTCGACGTCCTTTGCGTGCTACATGTCAAGGGATTTCCGCGGATGTCGCATTACCCTGCCCCTGGCGGCTATCCGGCGCATCGAGCGCGCCAACGGCTTTGATCGCAATAATGTGGCGTGCTACGAGCTCGTAATCACCGTGTGGCACCAGATGACCGTGTCCTTCAAGGTTCCACTTGATAACAGCGAGTGCAATCGGTGGTGCGACGCCCTGCGCGGGCAGCTTAAGGCCATGGTGGAAGAGCAGCGGTACGCCAAAGCCAATCGCACGGCGCTGTCGCGGTACACGCTGAAGTCTTTTTGCAGGACATGTGCCAGCGAGCAGATCCTACAGGGCCGCGATGCAGAGCTCGACTGCTTGGGCCAGACATTTGGGTATCCCGGCAACCCCAAGGAGCTGAAGGAGCGGGCAAAAGCAAATACTGGGTAGCATACTTCAAGGAGTATGGCCGCAACCTGACGATCATCCGTCGGGCCGAATATGACCGGCTTATCCGCGTGGGCCTCCCCAACGGCCTGCGAGGCGAGATATGGGAGCTGAGCTCTGGCGCCATGTACCTGCGGTTCCAGAACCGCGGCGTGTATGACAAGTACGTCAGCGACTATAACAACTGCCCTGGGCCCTACGCTGAAGAAATCGAGAAGGATCTCAACCGCTCGCTGCCCGAGTACGCCGGGTACCAGGCGCCCGAGGGCATCGACGCCCTGCGACGCGTTCTGAATGCCTACTCGCTGCGCGACTCCGAGCTGGGATACTGCCAGGCGATGAACATTGTGGCGTCGACAATGCTCATTTTCATGACCGAAGAGCAGGTGTTTGGACGCTGACCGTGATGTGCGACCGGCTGGTTCCTGGGTACTATAGCCCGTCGATGTACGGAGCGACCCTGGACCAGTCGATCTTCCAGAGCCTTGTTGAGGAAACGATGCCCATGCTAGCGACCAAGTTTAAGCGCCACGACATGCAGCTGTCCATTGCCTGCCTGCCGTGGTTCCTGACCCTGTTTGTCAACTCGATGCCGCTAGTGTACGCGCTGCGCGTGCTGGACTGCTTTTTTTTGGAGGGCCCCAAGATCCTGTTCCAAATTGGCCTTGCCATCCTCAAGATCAACGGCGGCCCGCTGCTAAAGGTCACGGACGACGGCGGCTTCCTTAACATACTTAAGGAGTACTACGCCACGCTGGGCGACCCCGCATACCCGAACTCAACGAACGCGCGCGCGCGGCAGGTAACAAAGTTCCACGAGCTTCTGTTTGTTGCCTACAGTGACTTTTCCTCAATCACACAGGCGCGCATCGAGGAGCTGCGACGCTCGCATCAGCTCCGCATTGTGCACTCAGTGCAAGAGTTTTCCAAACGCACATTCTTGCGTGGCGTCATCGACACTAGTGGCTTTACCAAAGAGCAATTGTCGCTGCTCTATGACCGCTACTACTCGGTTCTTTTTTACTCGCGCGGAAACGGCATGCCCCGCCGCGACGCTGTTGCCGAGAGCGCCGATGGCTCCGAGGCGGTAGAGAAGATCACCCTGGATATCTATAGCTTTGCGCGCTTCATGTACGAAATATCGTCGTGGATGCGCGTGCAAATCAGAGAAGCGCGCGAGCGCATCCAGAGTCACCGTAATGTCAACCTGGCCGATGTCAAGCGCAAGAAGACCGCTGCCAATGGCGGCGGCAACGCAGCAGATGATCCGAGCAAGACCGACGATGTGTCGAAAGAGACGGCAGCCAGTCTGGAGAATCCCGGATGGTTTATTGTGGCGCTGTTCAGGTATGCTGCTGCCACTGTGCCGCCAAAGAGCCGCATGCAGATGAGCGACAGCAGCGGGTCTTCGCCAAACTCCACTGCGGCCAATCTGGCTGACGGAGAACCTGTGGCGGCGCTGCAGAATGTCGAGAGTCTGCGCGTGTCGTTCCAGCAATGTGTTATAGCGCTCGGCCGGATTGTCAACACCGACTTGCTGACGCGCATGGACGTCTTTTTTGACATGTTTGCGTTCACACGGGCGGGCTTCATCACACGCCAGGAGGTATTTGACCTGTCTGAGGCCATACTGTACATTGGCCATGGCGAGGATGTTGAAGTGGGCGACCGGCGCAAGAAGCATTCGGGTGAAATCACCAACGAGGAGCAACTCCTGCGCTCGGTCTCGGGATTTCTGCGCCGTGCCATATCCTATGGCGAATCCGCCGACAGCAGCAAAGATTTTGTATTGCCGCGTAATATGTTCCGCGTAGTCGTGTTGGAAGACGAGGCGTTGGAGGAGTTTTTTGGCGAAACCGTGCCTGCCTCATTCCGCTTCACCGACGGTGTGGAATTGGCCAACCCTCTGCGTGCGATTTCCACACATCTGGCATCGTCGACGCCCATGACGCCGCGCGTTGGTTTGGAGTCTGCATCGGCGCGTCTGCTCGCTGGCAGCCGGTCGGTGGCCGAGGGCATGTCAGCGAGGGTTGCCCAGACAATTGCCTTGGGCAGCCAGTTTGTCGACCGCCGCATGCTCACGCCCATTGTGCGCAACGCCTCGCTATCTGACGCACAGCCTGCCGGGTTTTTGGTATCTGAGGATCTGGCTGCCAAAACACAACTATCCAACGCAGAGCCCGGTGCGGAGCCCAACGCTGCGCTGGTCGACGAGATGGCGCGGTTGCTCGTCAAGGAAAACGAGGGCATGCTTGGGGATGAGGAGGAGTTTGTGCCGGAAAACACCCCGGCTGTTGTATCTCAGCAGCCGCAGTGGGTTAATGCGCCCCTTGAGCCGACCGTAACTCGCCGCAGGATCCCCAGGATCCCTATGAGAACCTACTCGACGAGGTGGACGAGCTTCTAGGAGACATTAATGACGACGATGACACGGGCCTTGCCCCATCGGCCGGATCCAACAGTTCTGAAGCCTTTACAACAAAGCCATCCAGAAATTCGCAGTTAAAGGACCTTAATGACTTGGACTTCCAAATCGACGATGATGACGACGATGATTTGACCCATCTGCTCCGCGACAATTGACCAGGTATCAGCCTAGGAAATTTTAATATAAGGATATCAATAACGATAGAGTAAATTTTCACATTTTAAATGACAGCATTCGCTAATGTTCCCATTTATTTTATATTATAAAAACGCATATAATAATTTTGTGTGAACTGAAAAAAGTAACTAAATCATCGGGGGTAGCACGGCGCACGTATCGCAGAACAATTGAATGTTGGTATGCGCTTTAAATAGTATTTGTCTAGAAACTTTTTTATTTAGAAATAATAATACAGCGTTGAATGTTGTATTAATAGCAAAACTTTAATCAAGCTGTATTAACTCTTGTCGGAGTGGTTTTGTTTTCTTTACTTGCAGCCATAGCTACAGGTTTTAGTTTTCTTTTGGAGTGCTTGCAGTCACGGGATTCTTCGTAGTTTTATATATGTTTTTACATGAGTTAGTGCGACATTCATAGTAATACGATGATGTTATGTCATTAGTAGGGGTAGTAGATGTGCTGGGTGTTGGTTTCGGCATCGGTTATAAACTAGCGCCGCTGTGTGAAAAAAGGCAAGGATTTATACTAGTATAAAATTGAGATGTGTTTTTAGTTAACAGAGAATTTATTAATAAAATTTAAAAAAAAAGTGGGTGCACAAATTGGCATCTTTATACATTTCGAAAAACAGTGGAGAAATAAAAAAATATTAAACGGATATTTTCCATTAAGCACCAAGCAATATTTATTCTCTCTCATTTTGTCTCATCCCGATATAAACCCTGCTATTATTGGAATGTTTGCCGTTAGTTTACTTCACATACAAATTCATTTTTGCATCCAAATAAAATATTCTTACCACTGGTCTTTATAAAAAATTTTGAATTCGAAAACCTCGCAACCAACCGTTCATTCACACAATTTTTAGCGCGGTTCTAAAATATGGAATCTGATACACTTACGCGGGAGAATGCGCTTCCGAATTATTCCGCGTTTTCTTTGCAGAAAAGACCGCCTGTTAAAATAAAAAAGTATTTATTAAGAATCAACTAAAATAAAGCTAAGGGATGTACAGCCTCCGCTGTCCATATTTATTAGTATTTATACGTGTGTATGAATTAGCACATATCCAAGTAGAGAGTTAACTGGTGATTAATTAATTAATCAATCGCCAGGGACAAGCCGCATTTTCTTGTATCACACTGCCAATGACTGTATGTTGAGCGCAAACGTGCGGTTGTCAAATATCAATGCAGATTGCAGTTTTGATATATGAAACATGTAAAGCAACATTCAGTTTATAAAGTCATTTGAAATGCAAATATTATTTGTGCTGGCCTGCTTTGCCATGCATTAACATAATGACAAATTAGATCTGGCCGTGTACTGACATGTTTTGATATGGCATGGCATAGCATGACTTAGCTTGGCTCTTTTGTACGGTTTGGCTTAATTGGTTAATTGATTGATTGTATGTTTTGAAATTTCGAAATTTTGAAAAGTAAATTCCAATATTTACACCCAGAATAAGAACATGCAGGAATGTATGGTAACATTATTTAACTTTGTACATTTATTGTATATCCCCGTATATTCCTGTACCTGTAAAAATAATTTTTATAAAGGAGGTTGGTTATCTATCATACCACTAATGGATATGAGCAAATTATATTATTCATTTAGTTCAAATATTTAATATTAAGTTATGATTATATTTTTTATTTGGAGAGAAAAACGCCCCTAGATCTTCACAAAATTTTACATTGATATTACAACACAGGCGCATCTTCTATACAAACTGTTAGGAGGTGGGCTAACAGGTTTAGTCGTGGACTCATATATATTGAAGATAACCCTCAAAGCGGCCGTTCGAAATTCAAAATTGCGCATCTTCGTGGCGCCGCTATTCACAAGACAATGGGCCAATTTCCACAGACAAGAGCTGAATATTTAGCTGAGCAGTATGATTGTTTGGTGACAGTGATAAAAAAGGACTTGCATTGTGATCTAGGCTATATAATGGTTCATCAGCAATTGGTTCCTCATTCCCTCACTGATGGGATTAAGGCAAAGCGCATTAAGTTTTGCCAACATTTCATCGAGAACTTCACCGACTCGTCCAGAACAAATATATATAATATTGTTACATGCGACGAATTATATGTCTAATTGAACATGCCATTCTATGGCTTGGCAGCCAAGGCATATGTCATCAGAGATCAGATGCTACCTGCCCAGGTTCGTTCGCACATTGGTCAAGGCATATTTATTATTCTTATTTTCTTCTGCAAGACTGGTATTGTCCACGCTGACCTCAACATCGAACCACACACTATCAATTGTGAATACTTTATCAAGAAAAGCATTGATCCCATGGTTGCCAAGTGGAAAAATGCACAAGAATGCCAACCTCAACAGAATTGTGTTTGACCAGGACGGCGCACCACTTCACAAACCAAAACATACTTTGTAACACATTTCAGACTGGGATTAAACTACTTGCAGCACTACTGTACTCGCCAGATCTAGCACCTTGTGAATTTTGGATTTTCCCGCGCATTAAGAACAAGTTCAAAAGTCGTGATTTAAAGGTTATTTGAGCGGTTAAACGCGCATAGCAGTCTGGGATCGATTCCTTGACACGCAATGACTTCAGGGTTTGTTTCAAGCAATGATTTAAAAGGTGTCAGGGTGTAATTGAGCAAGGAGGGGTTCGTTTTTTTATCAAATATCAAATACAGTAGCTTTAAACAAAGCACATGAACTATGAATCACCCTGATATATATTTGCGGCGTTATTTGTATTAAATTGATTGTGTAAGGACTAGGTACTTGATTGTTGTTGAAACTCTGTTTTGGGGAAGCAAATAAAAGCAAAAAATCACCAGCCATTTTAAATCAACCATTCCAAAAAAGAATTTATACTGCAAAACATTTGCGCTCACTTATTTTTTCCACAGCAACGCTTGCCGACATCTATTTGCCCCTATTTTATAAAATATCTTCATCTTTCCTTTTCTTTCTTCTTTTTTCTATTTGTCTACACCCCAACTTTACAAATACCTTTAAGCCCTATAATGAGACTGTTTAATCTCCACTATTTTTAATTCTTATTCTTTATCTTTGTCGCCAGCTGTTCTTTTTTAATAACCAAAATGGCCAACTTCCATTTGCTCAATGACATTGTCTTGATGATCCTGAACTACATAGTCCCCAAGCCTGCCACAAAGCACCTGCCACGCGAATTTGCAGCACCAGCAAGCGTGTGCCAGCAGTGAAGAAGGCTGACGCTGCCAATTATCTGCTCGAGCGTAGCAATTCGGTACATTTGTGTCCCAAGTCTGGAATTCAACAAGCGGAGTTGGGACACAGTCGTAAAATCGGATATCCCTGGAATCATGATGCTTGGCGGTCAGAGCCATGTCAAGTCTCTATTTTTGAAGTTGATTCTGGCGAACGCTTTTTGGATTTTCTGGAAGCTATTGTTAGCGAGCTGTAGCATACCGGCATTGTGTGGACAGGCTTTGAAGCCCTGCGCTTCCGATTTTGCGGATTTCCAACAGGCTCTCGCGGCTATGTACCCGACAGTTTTAACGGAAATGGGAACGACGGCGTTTTGAAGCTTTCTGTGGATCTGGCCGGTTGGTTTCCAAACGTACTCCAACTCAATACTAACCTCCCAATCTCAATGACGCTGGTGGTGCATTTACCAGGCTTCTTGTCAATCGGGTTGCAGCGACTGTGACAAGCTTCACGCATAATCTTATCTACCCGATTTCTGTGCCTGCATTTTCGGAGAAACTCGCCCATCTTTTTCTCGCCATAAAGCTACCGACTGTGAAAATACTCCCAAGGGCAAACGCTGATGCGCTTGAAACTCTAGAGTTACGCAATTGTCCTGCTGACTTTCCATGGACCAGTTTTACCAACGGCCAAACCTCTGGCAGCATCATCTTTCCCCAACTGAAAAAGCTATGTTGGCTTTTTTGTTGTTAATTCTCAGCGTGCGAGGATGAACAATGGGGATTCTGAGCTCAATCATAATTTCCAGATAGCCCTTCCTGCTCTTGAGTATCTAGGTCTTGATAATTGGAACTCTGATGTTAAGGAAATCAGCACTGCTCTGTTTCCCGCATACATGGCCAATATTTACATTTTGAGATCAATTCAAGCGATCCAGTCGTTTTTCTGGCACAAATTCAACGGATTTGGCAACTTCAAAATTGGAATAACAAGCTGTTACGGTGTGACAGACATGGAAACTTTCTATGAGACGGCCAACAGATTTTTCAACTGCTTGTGCATCGATGGTAAAGCAGCGTTGTATCTTGATTTTGATTGTTATGATCTTGACGCAGACAGGATCAACTGGACCAACATTACTTTATTGATCCTCGGGGATTATATTAAGATTGAGACGATTGCTGCGCTTCTTCCTCGTCTACCCTCACTGACTAACCTAAAAGCCCGCAATTTACTAGACAGTGAGGGCCCATATGATTTTGGCGCTCTTGATCAGTTTACGCCCTCCAATCTCCCCAGTGTTTCGACTGCAGCGCCATTATCCACCTCGGTGAAAAGTATCAAGCTTAAATATAATGAAGGTGATTATATTTGTGGACCATTAGAATACAGAGTCCTGCAACTCATTTTGCTCGTCCCTTCTCTGAAATTTTACTTGTATCATACGACAGTATTGAAAGCTTTAAGCTTTTAAAGAAAAAATATGGCGATAAGTATCCTCACTTGGGTAACATACATTTTTTGATATATCACAGGATTACTGAGTTTCATTTAACAGATTTGTCGTTTAATTTAAATAATTTTATACATTGTCTTGCATTTAAAATCACGTATGGTTGTGGATACAAAATGCAGTCTAAGTAGTTAAATTTGTGGCAACATGCAGAGACAAAAAAGGTGTTACACAAATAATTCATGGCATTATAAATAAAAGAAAATAGATACATTGAGCGAGATATAGAACAAGTAAAAAACATCAACTAAAGTTGATGAATAGGATTGACTGTCTACCGCGCCATTTTGCCCATCATGGGCTCTATTGCAGACCTGGCTACATGGCCCTATAGCACAAATTACTTTAAGGGCACTACAGTTGGGAATTCTCCAGGCTTGGGTTTAATTGCCTGGTGGTGGAAATGTCCGCCAGAGTGTTATTAAAGTTAAACCCGAGCACTCAATCTGCCATCTAGAGCGTCAATCATGGCCAGATATCTAGTGTGCATATCTGCTGTTCTTATTGGTGTCGTCCGTGGCTACTTCGGCAGGCCATCATTTTGTCTTGTCGCAGATTTAGTATTCAGATGTTTGTTAAGATTGGAGTTCTCATCAACAATTAGCATTTCTCAGGCGTCAAGGATACCCTCGTTTCCCGTTTGATCTGCAGGTCGCACCGTTCCTCATACCAGTCCTGCTGTTTATATATGATTTTGTTTGCAAACACCAGTGCTTGTTTTACACTACACCCTTTTGGTTTCTTGACCAGCGTTGTGTACCTGCCCTCTGTCAGCTCCTGATTTTTGCTGGGTCGGATAAGGAATGTGGATTAGGCACCACAATTATACACAAAGCGCATGACCTTAAAAAACTGCGGCACTTGATACAGCAAAGCAGAAAGCTCGCTTTTCCTCTTTGTATATTTCAATTATATAAAGACGCATGCTCGCATTTTTATTTTATAATAAAAATATTCATAAAAAATGTGAGGAAACCCACAGCAGCAGTGGATGCTAAAGCAACAATTATTTGGCGACATACATCAGTAGTGCGCATTTTGTCAAATATTTTAAACACTGAATGTTGTTGTCCAAATGAAGGGTGTGAAATTATATGTGACCAAATATTATTACACGTTGGTGAAATAAAATGTATGACTCAAATACACAGCAATATTCGACACAACACAGCAGACGGTTCTATCTTTTCCGCTCTTTTATGCAAACTCATTTTATAGGAGTAATGACGAGAATTTAGTTTTAAAAACAATACGCTAAAGAATAGCTTTAAAAAGGAAATATATGAGCAAAAAAGAATAGTCCTGGTTAAACATTTCTTGCTTTAATTTGAAGAGGTCAAGCAAAGCAAAGCAAAAAACAGTTGCATATTTATTCGAAAAAGCTGCTGCAGCAATTACTCGACAATGCATAAAAATAGTGCGTATTTCCCTAAACCTTCGCGCACGTCTCTTTTCTCATCATCAATCATTCTTATATCGTTTTTCAACACTAATATTTTCGTCTAATTGTTAGTTATTTGACCTATTTGCAAGCATGTATCTACATAAAAAGGAGAGCATAAATTCACATACCCACACACTTTGCCTAAAACCATGACTATTGGTGCTTTTGAAAATTCACTCAGAGATTTTATGGAGGAGATTACATTTTTAATATCGGCTATATGACAAAATTGAGCAACGGTAAATACACCTATATGCCTGCATTAACTAGAGATACATCGAATCTGTATCCGAAGGCAAAAATGGGTCTATACTCGTATACCTTTAGAATTTCAGTGGAAATGAAGTGCATACGGGGCTGATAGTTATAAAGGAACGTAATAAATAAGTATATTGCACCCACTTGCCGCAGATCATTGCTCAATTGTCTTCAAGCAGCAAAGCTTTTATTCCCAAAATACCACACATGTCATTTAACTAGGCAAAAAAGCTTGTTAGTCAGTGGCAGCAAACGCAGAAATTCCAGTGACAGCCCTGCCCAGCGTCAACAGGTGAATGTCGGCGGTCCTTCGTAGGTGTTTGTCACCTCGAGGTTGTTGAGGTGCCTGATAATATGGAACTCGTCGGCAATTCCGTTACCACCCAGGATATCACGCATGTTACGACTAATCTCGAGCGACTTGACGCACGAGTTGCGCTTAATCAGTGAGATCATTTCAACCGCGAGCTGGTCCTCATCAATAAGCCGGCCGACACGCAGGCATGATTGCAATGCCAGCGCAATCTCCGAATGAGCCAACGCCAATTTGGCCTGAACTAATTGGAAGCGTGCCAGAGGGACACCAAACTGTTTGCGGTCAAGTGCATAGTTGCGCGCGACCTCGAGACAGTTCTCGGCGGCGCCAAGGACACCCCAGGAGATGCCATAGCGGGCCTTGTTCAAGCAGCTGAACGGCCCCTTGAGCCCCGAAACACCGGGAAGCATGTTCTCGACAGGTACCTCGACATCGTCCATCTGGATCATTCCAGTGACCGAAGCGCGCAGCGCCATCTTTCCCTCAATGACCGGGGTGCTCAGCCCCTTCATGTTGCGCTCCAGGATAAAGCCACGGATCTTGCCCCCTTCCTCGACATTCTTTGCCCAGACGATAAAAACATCGGCGACAGGAGAATTTGTAATCCACATCTTTGAGCCGGACAGGCGGTACACCGAGCCCTCGCGCCGAGCCGTGGTCTCCATGCCCGCTGGGTCACTGCCATGGTTGGGCTCGGTCAGACCAAAGGCACCGATAAGCTCGCCAGTGGCCAAGCGGGGCAGATACTTTTCCTTCTGCTCAGCCGTTCCAAACTCGTTGATCGGGTGCATCACCAAGGAGGACTGCACGCTCATTGCCGACCGGTATCCGCTGTCAACGCGCTCGATCTCGCGCGCAGCCAGGCCGTATGCCACGTGGGACACGCCAGCGCATCCGTAACCCTCGATAGTCGATCCCAACAGACCTCGTGCGCCCATTTCGCGCATGATCCCGGTGTCGAACGTCTCCTTGCGCGTGGCCTGGATGACGCGAGGCAGCAGGTGCTCTTGCGCGTATGACTGTGCAGTTTCGCGGACCATCTTTTCCTCGTCAGTCAGCTGCGAATCAAGTAGGAATGCGTCCTCCCAGTTGTACTTGATAAAGTTACTGGCGTAGCCTCGAACGGCCTGGTGGGCGATGACTCGGGAAAGCGCGGCGCTGGCTTGCGGGCGAGCGAGTGACGTGCGCTGGAGAGTGGTACGTAGAAGATGGTACATGATGGGAGTAGCCTTGTTGAAAGAGATAAGAGTTAAAAATAGTGATTTTTATTTTCAAAAAAGAGATGATGAAATAAAGGTATGAAAAATACACGAGCTGAAGCAAAGATCTAAAGACAGCATGAAACGAGGCAAAACGAATGCGTTCGATGTTTATGTATGCGCATTGGCCAAAAGGGCGTGGGAAGAGAAAGAAGGGGAAATGAGCTGGGCTCAAAAGTCCCCGCGCCCTCCCTGCTTTTTGTATATTCTGATGGGCGCAAACGCAAGAGCTAAACTGGCTGTGACACTATGTGGCCCGTGGGAAAGCATCTGACATTTGCGGATCTGTCCCACGAGCCACCTCTGTTGCTTCTGCTTCTGCTTCTGCTGAATCTTGGTAGCACCTTTTGTATGTCCAGGTCAGAGCAAGCGCACGGCAGCTTGGTTTTATGCACACAAGTAATCAGCATAAAACATAAAAATTACCACACGTCATCGTCTGTCTATGCGCGCCGAGCGCGGGTGCTGCTCGACTCTCGAAGCAAGTACGATATCCACTGGTCGCTAAAAGAGTCCTTGGTCTCGAGCTGCGAAGCCTGAGCGTCTGCCGATTCCGGCACTGGTGTGCCCGGATGGGACGACTGCTGCACCGACGCTCGCCAACCGGCCTTGCGAATCAAACCGACCTTCTGCTGCTGCTCCTCGGAAAACTGTAGGATGCTGGACATCAGCTGCAGAATCTCGAAACGCTTAGAGTCGCCGTACGGCAGCGCCAAAAATCCCACGATAAGATTAGTGATGACGCGCTTGTCCAAGTTAAACTCGCTGCTCTCTTCGCGCAACCGACGCATGCTCTCATTCAGATGGTCCTTGAGCACCGCTATCTCATGGTGCAAGCGTTCGATCTCAGTCTGCAGTTCGGATATTTTCTGCTGGCTCTGCTCAGCAGTCGCGCCACTGTGCTCAACCTTGCGCAGCTGGGTTTCGGCGGCCTCTGCCCGTGTGACAGCAGAGCGGCAGTCCTTCATGCACGTGCGCAGCTCATCGCGCAGTCTCTCGACAGCGAGGTCGACCTCAGCGTCCTTGGACTCTTGCAGGTTTTCCAATGCGCTTTGTAAGTTCTGGATAGTTACCAGGTGCACCTCACGCTCTCCAACCCACTGGCTCTCTGAGTTAAGCGCTTGGTTGAGATCGCTCTGCAGCTGCTCCACCCGGTCCTCGAGCTGGTCGTGCTGCGCGGATTCCGACCGTATGTGCTCCTCGGCTGCCTGCAGCCGGGCTTTGAGGTCGGAAACCAGGCGGCCAGACTCGTTGACCGACTCTGTGAGCTCCATCTGCGCCCGGTTGGCCGTCTCTTGGCTTTCCCAGAGCGCACGCTTGGTTTCGTCGAGCTCCTTGCGCAGTGCCTTTTCAGACTGCTCGAGAACCCGTATAGATTTCTCGTGCTGTGCTTTGTCAGACTTTGCACTGGCGGCCTCCTTGCGCAGGCGCTTGACCTCATCTGACTCGGCGTTCATCTTGGCTTTGAGCGCGTCCTTCATTGTGCCTATCCGCTCGAGAAGCAAGTCGTAGTCTCTGCTAAGCTCCTCCCGTGCCTCCGTGGCCTCGTCTAGCTTTTTCGTTGTCACTTCCAGCTGCGACTCGAACTCTGCAATTCGTGTCTTATTGGTCTTGAGCAACACGCAATTGCGAAGCACACGCTCGAGCCCTGGGAGAAGCAATTCTGGTACGGCCTCAGGCACACTATCAAGGGCATCCGGGTTGTCTAGTACACGGGCTGCAGCGGCCTGGCTGTCGGCATATTTTCTCAACCTGTCCTCAAGTTCAACCCTAGTCTCGCGCTCCTTGTTTGCATCCAGACGCAGCTTCTCCACCTGCTTTGCCAATTCGTCGACGCAGCCATCGCCATTTCCAGAGTCGTTAGAGCTTGGCACATCCTGCAAGTGTGACTTTATAAAATCCAAAGCAGCTGCACTCTTAAGTCCATCAACACCAGCAGAAACTCCAAGCTGCCTCGCCCACTCTGCAGCAGCATTCTCCCACTCGAGCAACTTTTGGTCGTTGCTACTGTCATTTGTTTTGTTGTGGTTGTTCATCTCGGCAATTTGCGCTTCAAGCTGGGCAATCTTCAGGCGCGACGACTCACATTCCTCCTTTAGTGCCCCGGTCTCTTGCGAGCTATTTTCTGTTGTCTGCTGCAATTGTGCTTCGCGCTCTGTAAGTTTTTCTACTTGCTCGGTCAGCGCGCCATTCTCTGTTGCTAGCCGCTTCAGGTGGTCGCCTGCTTTACGCAGCTGGTTTTGTAGTGTGTCCACTCGCTTTTGGAGCTCGTCGACCTTTGCCATTTATATAAAAGTAAAAATGTGTGTATTAACTGTACTAAATAGTATTAGTGGTAGTGGTAATGGTAGCAATTAAAATATTTAAAGCGAAAAGGGAAAATAATGAAAGGCCGTGGCAAACATTGTAACAGTTTTTTTTACATTTTTCTGAGCAAAAAATATTAGTCACGTGCAAACAGTTTTGGCTGTTCTGCTTGATCTCTAAATTTGATTGTTCTCTTTTTGGTGTGTGTTGTTAACCGCCGAATGCTCAAAAAGAATCAATGGCTCATGGTCATGATCCTCATCCTCAAATAGTATTGGAGATGCTCAGAGCGACTCGTACAAAAGCTATTTTAACTCTGTATTTATCACAAGATATGTAACCGTGCATTCCGCTACTTTTTCTAAAAATATACAATATAACGGGCAAGCAGGAGTTGCAATGTCAATTTTCATGATTTTTCTCGTTATTCCGTGATTTTATGAGCTTTAAATGCACGTGCTACTAAATGCCATATTTTGATTGTAATGTCTTTGGAAAAATAGATGGGTTTATTAAGATTAGTGTCAGATGCTGCCATAGAGAAATAGCCTCTAATTAAAATTCTATTTTTGCAGATAGTGTGCTAATGGGGCGACAAAAAACAACCAAACAACCAAATTGAGGCTTGCATCCGTCACCGTGTGATATTGTTGTATTTTTACTTTATCTCCCTGTGACCTTTAAAAAAGCAGTTAATGGGAAACTATTGCACATAAAAATGGGGTGTATAATTGTGTAAAATGCCACTATCCTGGACAATTCTAAATGGCAGAAATAAATGTATTTTTACGATATTGCATGTTGCCATGACATTAAATCTGAAATATCGGAATACAAAAGTACTACCAAAAAGTAATATTTTGGAGATGGGGATGAACGCCGAGGTAATTCATTTCGAGTATAAATAGTAGAACGAGTGCTCATGTTTTATTCAATTATTTTTCTATCATCCATTTTGAGTACGTTTTTCTTTATTCTTTTCGAGCTCCATCTTTAAAATAATTGCATTAGCCATATCTTGCAGTTTCAAATAATCAGCATAATAACTAAATACACCCAGCCATGAAGTTCACACCCAGCCTATCCGTATTCTGTGCCGTTATCATTGCCAGCACATATGCTCTGCCAGCATCTTTGGTAGCTCGAACACCATGCAACGACCCAGCTCATTCTCCAATTTCCCCGCCGACACCGTACGACCAATGCGTCAAGGAGCACGACGGCAAGTCAACTTTCCCATACATTGGAGAGGGTGACTGCAACCTTGTTGGTCAATGCAATTGCCAGCCCGATGGATCCATTGCCTGCGTGTGCTAAAGCGAGGGAGCACCATTTAATTTATATATTTATATACTTTCTTTTGTCAATACATTATACTCTTCAGTAATTCCACCAACAGTGTCCATGAACCCAACCATGATTACTCGTGTCCCCTGTGTTATCTCGACGCCACTGTGTCGGAGGTTGGCGTCGTGCACCCAGGCGTCTCCGGGCATTTGGTTGACAAGCATGTCAAACTTTTCAAAGAACGTGCCCCCGCCTTGGAACTCTGTGGGATCGTTCAGTAAAAGAGTCAGCGAAGCGAGGCAGCCATCTGTGTGCAACCCAAGCATCCGCTGGTAGTCCTCGTGGTATCCGACGATAAACAGGTCGCGGAATGACCAAAACTTTGCTTCAATGCCTGTGTGTTCCTCGAGGTTCGGAAACAAAAGGGCCTTCAGCCTTTCGTAGACCATCGTGGATACAGAAAGTACGCCAACAGGGACATCCCTTGTTGGAAACGCGCCATGTCTCTGATGGGACCAGCCCTTGGTTTCCACGAAATTATAGGTGGATTGGAGAATTTCCTGACATTGCGAGGGCGTGAATGCCTGTCCGTAGTTTATAGGCTCGTGGTTCTTGAGCGTGAGGCTGTCTGGTGTGGTCTGGCTGGCTGACCAGAGGTAGCAGCGTCGCTGGAACTCAAGGGAATCGGGTGTAGCTTTTTCATTGTGCAGTTTGTGGGCTTCAGCCTGGCGCCTCTTGTTCATCTGGTTGAGCTCGAGCTGGTCTTCGACAGACAAGTCCCCAAACAAATCAATATTGTCGGGATTGTGGCTGTCCATATTTGCTGTTGATAATATTAATGCGTTAAAGATGGCGTGGTTCTGACACCGGTAAACCAAATATTTTATGAGCAAAGAAAAAATAATTGCAATATTATAAGGGCAAGCATGCGAAACGCGAGACGTGAAAATGTATAAATTTCATTTTTAGGATTTTTTGGAATTTAAGCTTGGATTGCTAGACATTTCAGGCTGGGCACGTGTGATGCGATCTTCCTCCCGCCTTTTGCATTTTTTTTTTTTTTTTGCATTTCGCGAACCTTCTTTTTTAGTTTTGCAGCTTTCAATTTGCTTTTATTCATTTACAACTATATTTTCTATATCCTTTGCATTTGTGAATATCAATTCGCATTGGAGCTACACAGTACGTGCATTCAGCAACACAACAAAAAACTACCCAAACCTAAAAGGGTTTGCTTGAGCACCTTGAATGAGACACTAACAGCATGCATTTCATTTTTTACTCACAGACAGTAGCATGGACGATATTGCCGAGACACTCAGGCGCGAGATCACGCTTGATGGCTACCGGGGAACCAAATTAGGTCGGCTCTGGGTGTACGTCGAGCAGGCACAAAGGCAACTTCTGGAAAAGAACAGCCTGGACAGCAGTTCGGTGGAGGTAGACGAAGGGATGAAGAGCTACCTGTGGCCCCACATTATGCGACTCAAGAACATGGTATTTTTTGAGGACAAAGTCGTCATATACGACTCAGCAGACTTGGGTAATAGCGCAAACACAATGTTGCCCACGTTGACCCTGGCTCAGGCTGAGCAGCAGTATCCGCAGCTGACTGTTCGTGGGTCATCAGGCGCCATCAACAAGGAGCTGTTTGGGCGCGAGGAAGGGTCACGGAAGGTGCTTGCGTCGGAAAAGGCATTTGAGATTATGCAGTTGCTGGCACAGTCGCGGAACACGGGCGTAACGCAGTTCAAACTAGGGAAGGACGTCAACGTTGAGCCAAAGTCGGTGTTCCATTACGTCAAGATCCTTGACGCCGAAGGGTTGATTGTCAAGCTGGCCACATACCAAAATGGCACGCACACAAACTTGGTGATGCTGCGTCGGTTTTCAAACGACCTGTCAGACACCAAGGCAGCTTTGAACTTCATCAAGGACAGTGGTGAGGGCGAGCAGGCCCTTGGCGCGGTGGACAGCCTGGTGCGGTATGGTTTGCGGCAAAAGATATCAGATGCTCTGGAGAAGTCCGAGGGCGGTGTGATGGTCGAGACGGACCTTATCGACGCCCTGCAGCTGGATCTGTGGAATCTCAGCCAGCGCAAGTACTTTCATCGTGTTGTTCGCAACCTCATCGATGGTGGTGTTCTGGAGCGGGTGCGCGTGCAAGTGAAGGACATTGTGCCCAGTGGCGGCCGGCCGTCGAGGGAGGCAGTGGACTCCGAAGAGCCAGATAGCCCTGAGGAAGAGAGTGCTTCTGGTGCCAAGGAGAAACAATTAAAGCGGAAGATGGAGAAGACACGCGTCGGTCAGACCAAGAAACTACGGACAAATAAGCCACGTCCCAAGGGGCCAGGGCATCGCGAGGGCCACTCGTATAGGCGGTGTTTGCGACTCCTCACGCCGTATGTCAGCAATCAAGTCAGGCGGGACAAGATGGGAATTCCACGGAGAGCCCACGACGGGCAAGATGATGCCGTGCCCGAGGTTGACGAGGATGACGACGAGGACGACGTTGATGTTGATGCTGATGCTGACGATGACGATTATGATGGGGGTGCAAACGGAATACCTGACATTGAGGCCATCAAGGAGAAGGAGGACCTGCGCTATTTGCTGTCCAAGGACGAGGTGCAGATTGGCCTGCTGGCGACGCTGCCCTTGGATGCACAGGTGTTTCGGTTAATCGCTCTGTCGGGTGCGCACGGGACCGTGATAAACGCGATGCTCTTTTTGCTGGGCCAGGTCAGCTACAAGATGATCGTGCGCGTTCTGGGGCGGCTGGAGAAGACGCCTGTGCACGACTCGAACAGGATGCTGCCGGGCATGATTATGGACGCCGTAGACGCGAGTGAGAACGAGAACGAGTTCTTGGTGACGTCTGTTAACGAGTTTTTGGGGCGCGAGAAGCGCAAGCGCTACTATGCCAACCCTCTGGCGTGGGCGGCGATTGCGTCGCTGACAGTGGATCACTCGACAACACATGTAATTAGGGCCGACAACAAACTGGACGAAGCGATTAATCAGCCGCTGATCCGGATGCAGTTTTGTAGCGAGTCGGAACCTACAGATGCCACCAATGGCAACGTCGGCGCAGCTCCTGAAACTGAACCCGAGGCCGACGCTTATTCCGAAGCCGAAGCCGATGCAGATACTGCGGCTGAGACTGCAAGGGCATTGGAAAGTGACTACGGCAGCATCGCTGACATTATTCGCGAGGCGCACGAACGTAGGGAGCCGGTCAACACGATCATCCGCGAGCGCGTCATTCTTCGAATGGTCCAGCGTGAGTGCGTCTTTTTGTGCGGGCAAAACAGCGTCAGCCGCTGCAATCAGGCCATGCGGGCGTACATTGTGGCGCACAAGGGCTCCTACGGGATCACACCAGCGATGTTGTCGTCAGCCCAGAATCATGCCATGGACAAGCGCACCTTCATGCGCACGCTGGCTGGTATGGCAGCACTGGACAAGTTGTTTATCCAGGTGGTTGACTCAATGCCGCTGCCGTCGTCGGCCAACCAGTCTCGTGAAGTTTACATTGTCATCGCCCGCAGCATTGATCCGCGCGGGCAGTTAGTTGAGTCCTTTATGAACGAGCTGCGCGAACGCCGCAAAATCCACTCTGTATCAAAGATGACCGTGCTTCCCTTGGTCGACCTTGGCGTCGACGTGCCGCGCACGCAGCGGGCGGCCCAGATCGACGCGCAGATCAAGGAGAACGAGAGGCGGCGCCATATTGGCCACGGAAGCAACATGCTGACGAAGGGGCGCACAAAGATGCAGCATATTTTTGCGCACACAGAATCCAATGGTGATAGTACGTGGAAGCGCGTGTCAAAGATGCTCGAGTACCAGCTCCGCCGTATTGGGCGCATGATTGACCTGCACACATTTTTGGCATCCAAACTGCCCAAGCTGGTCGATGACAAGCGTGTGTTTAAGAACCTCGCTTTCCAGGCAACGTTCTTATTCTCGGCGCTGCCCCTGGGGCTGTATCTGCGCCTGTGCGGCGGGATCCTGCACTTCCCTGCTGCGAGGCATTACATCCGGCATGGCCATTTTTCTGAGGATATCGACACGGATGAGGAGGACGACTTTGATAGGTATCCGACGTCGCCGATTGAGGAAATTGAAAAACGCATGGACACGCCCATCATGGACCTGCCGAAGCCGCTGCTCAACAGGTTCTACTCGCGGCTCACCAAGGCGCGACCCCACCTCCAGCAGCTTGTACACTCGCTGTGCGTAATGCGCTTGCTCCGCCCAGTGCAGGCGGTGGCCGACATAGTGGACATGCCGCCGGCAGACTCGAAGGATCTCCAAACTCTGCCTGAAAACCTACGCTTCCTTAACTACGGGTACCAGCTTGTAGGCCACGCGCGCCTGCTGAGCCGCGCCTCAATTTGCAACCCCGACGGCCCACTAACCTTCCAAGACGACCGCGTGTTCAATATTTTGGAAGGGGACGAAGTGTATACCTTTTGGAACGCTGTCGAGAATATGCACCGCAATGCTGAGCCCAAGCTGCCGCGGGCGAGCCCGCTCTACGGCATTGACCAGTTCTCGTACTGGACCCGGCAAATGTCGCTCTCGCCTGAACAGACGGCGCAGCTGAGCTCCTTTGTCGGCGACACTTCTCACGAGACGCCGCTCGATGAACCTGAGCGCCTGCATGAGGCGGCGCAGGCCGCCGGCGTATCGGTCGAACTTGCGCGGCGCTACTACCGCAATGTGCACTTAACCATTGGCAGGTACGAGAACAGGCGCGACAAGGAGCGGAAGCGCCACACCTTCATCTCGCAGAAAATCAAGCGCGCCAAGGAAGCGGCGGCGGCAGCGGAATCTGCTGGGCAGTCGATGGAGCTTACACGCAGGTGCCGGCGGCGTCCCTGGAGCGAGTCCGACTCAACCATTGTCGCGCTGGCTTATAGTGTGCTACGCAACCACGCTTGCACCCACAGGCACCCGTTCTTGCTGCATGGTCTGGGCACTCTGTTTCCGTCCCGCGTGCATACCAACAAACCCGGAGAGGGCGTGCGCCAGCGCTGGGTTCGCATGCGCAGGCAGCCTGGATTCCGTGCCATGTCCGACACGCTGACTGTGCTGTGGAAGTACGTGCTTGATGATGCGGTTACGGCCGGGGAGTTGGTTGATACGCCGGACATTGCTGATCTTGACCTGCGCAGCATGATTAACCATTTCCGTGCGGTGCTGCGAGAATCAACGATTGACGTCCTACTGGATCGCTACGCCGAGAAGATTGCTGAGGATATGCCCGATGGCTGGGAGGATCTTGTCAGGGGCAGCTCGCTAGCCTCGGTCATATCCGTGGGCAAAGATGAAATTCCAGAGCCCTCCAAGGAGGCGCTGGCCAAGGACGCGGCCGAGCGCAAGCCTCCGTCTTCTTCGGCTTCGCGCCGGATCGTGCACGACTTCCGCCATCGGCTGCCATCTACAATGTTTGGCCACGAAGCCAAATATGGTGTTGTTGTGCAGAATGAGCAGCGGGCGCGCGGCAGCAAGGCCATGCTGCTGACTGATTTTAAGGAGGACGCATACCGCGAGGGCATGTTTTTGCACGCGCGCCGCTCGCTGGCTTACGACGCCATGCTCACCGCTCATGCTAGTTATCAAAACATGGGTGATAACAGCTGCCAGGTCGTGACAATGCTGAAGGGGTCGGAGGACCGGGAGCCCGAGATCGTTTCGGATGCTGCGGCTTCCATGGCGTATCCGGATGCCATGTCGGCGTTCTATCCTGTTCAGCGCACGTTCGATGCCAGCGACCTTGCCAAGCAGATCCAGGCGCTGGCCATTGGCCGACCCGTGGCTGTGTCCGAAAAGAAGGCTGAAAAAAAGGCCGAAGGAGGGGCCGAAGTTGCAGTTGATGTGGTTCAGTCGCCTGCGGAAAGCATGGATGTGGACAGAGCGGCGGCTGAGCCAACCAACGATGCTGACGGCGCGAGCGACTTTGAGTCACAGCCGACTTGCATTAAAACGGACGAACGCTACGCCCAAGTGGCCACCATGCAGGCCATGTTTGTCAACCTCACTCTGACGCCCGAGTCCCAATACGACGTTGCTACGGGGCACGGCCTGCTGACCCAAAACGAGAGTGCTGCGAGGCAAGCCATGGATGCGCTTGGAAAGAACTCCATTATTAACCGACTCCCCAGTATGGCCTCCACCATTGGACTGGAAGGCCCTGCGGACCCTGAGGTAAGTCAGTCGGAAACCAGGGCCACAGTTGTAGTCCACGAGACCACGGGCACCACGCGCATAGTTGCAAAGGGGATTGCTCACGGCACCGGCGACGACGAAGACAACGCCATGGATGTTGTTGACGAGACAGGTGAGCGCCGGGTTCCAGGTCGTGGCATTTCGATCGGCGACAAGTTTATGTGCGCAATCATGTCGACACTCCCCAGCGGATATGTGCGGGACCCGATGTGGGCCCCTGTGCCCGCCGACACCCCGATTGACCGGCGCCTTGGGTCCGGCGAGTTTGTCCATATGTGTCGCCAGATTGCCGGCAGCAAGCTGTGGCTGCGCCCGGCGTACCCGACTGATCTCCAGAGTCGCTCGGTTAGCGGCTTGGCTGGCTTCAGGCAGCAAGAATCTGGGAACATGGTTGAAGTGTTGATAAAGGTCCTGATAGACCAGTCGGCTGTCCCCAGTGGCGCCAGCGGGGACATCGAGGGTACTAGAGAAGTGGTTCGCGGCCATGCACTGGAGCTCACTGGGCTTAGTGGACCATCGCTGGATACTGCCTTGCGCATTGTCACGGGCACTGTTGGCCTATTGGGTGCACTTGGGGCATCTCCACATGAACTCTGCGCACTTTTCTCTCGCCACACGACATCCCTCAATGGCGTCTCCCTGGAAATTTGCACTGCTCTGTGCTCCATTCTACCAACAACGTATTTGCTGCGCTTGTTGTCTATGGATCGCAAACTAATGGTGGTCGGCAGTAATGATTTGCGGTATGTTTCTGTGGAAGCATTTAAAGCGCATTGGTCTCTGCGCATTCCCAATAGCGCAGATCTATTGCCGCCATATATAGGTTACAACCTGTCGGGATCTGCGATTAACTCGGAGTATATCTTGGGAATGTCTAAGAGTTTGCTCGGGCATGTGTTTGATAATCCGGGCGTTTCAATTGTTGTGCTGATGCGCAGATATTATGCGCCGTATATTTCAAAGTTTGAGGTTATGAGGTATCTCCGCGTGCTTGTTGATTTGGGTATTTTACGTGAAGAGTGGGATGCGGTGTTGGGCGGTGGAACTACTACTTACTATTTGGATGATGTGTATCATTATCGCTTGCGGGGTATCAGGACGATGTGCTCAAAATTGACACTTTTGTTGTATTGATTTGCATTTGAGTTTATTTTTATTTTTTATTGACAATAATTTCTATACAAAAGGTCAGTCGACACCCAAAATGTTTGGGGGGAGCAGCAGCAGCAAGCGAGTAAACCATGTGGTTTCCATGAATTGATGTTACTCTAAGAACACAAATAACCAATACAAATAGTTTTTTTTGCTATTGAAACAACTTTTTTTGCCCACAGATGTAATTGAAATATTTATAAATAAAGAAAAACGACAAAAGAAAATATCTAAACAGATGAATCAAAGTGATAGGTGAAAGGTAGGGCCGAAAAACAAATATAAAAAGAAGAAAGTATAGAAAAAAAACTACAAAAAAATTTAAATAAAAAACAATCTTTACTCGTCAACTTCAGTGGCCATGAGTTCGTACATCAGGTCATAGCACTCATTCAGCAAGGACATAACTACACCCTGTCCCTCGGGAATATGTCCTTCCTCATCAAGAAACTTGCCGTCCGTGCGCAAATTATCGATACTCGACAGCTTCATCTGGTAAGGATACAAGTCACGAGCAGATAACGGACCACCGTACTTTTTGACCTCAAACAAGCACCGCCGCAGGGTCCTCAACTGATTATGAACCGCCATAAGAGACTCTGCTACAGGCTCGCTCGACGAGAGCAGCCTGTAGACCAGATTGTAGCACTTGTGCAACAGAAAGTTCAATGCCGCCTGAGCCTGCTGCGGCGCCGGGTCACCGGTCGAGTCCTTGAACTGGCCATTGCGGCGCATGGCGTCGATTTCCTGGAGCTGCACCTGGTAGCTCCACAAATCAGTCTCGCGCAGGGTCCAGCGGCTAGTCAGCAAAAGTTTCTCCAACTGCATGCGGATGTCCATCAGGCGGTCGTATATGGGCATCATGTCCTGCGGCACTGTGCTTCCCTCGACCATTAAATCGTGTATACGGTCAAAGCACTCCTCCAGAAGCCCAACTACCTGTGTTTGGCCTGGTGCCACGGTGCCGTCGTCGAGACTGACAAAGCGGTCGTCCACGCGCCTGTCGTCAATCTCAATCAGGCGCTTCTGCAGTTCCTTCGCCTCGTCGATGGCCAGCTCGTGCAGCATTATTGACAGTGCTGTCATTCGCCGGCGTATAAACACGAGCTCCTCGTATATAGGCATCAGGCTGTCGTCGATTACCCGCGTCGTCTCCTCCAGCGCGGCAAGTTCCGACTCGCACTGGCGCAAGCGCCGCAAAACCAAAAGCACCTCGGGTTTCGACACGTCGCTGTCCTCGTCGTATTTTTCGGCGGCATCGTCCACAAGCTGGCGAATCTCCTTTAGGCGCTTCTGGAACGGCTCGAGGTCGGCTATAGCTGGGAATAAAAAAGTTTAATTAATAATGAGTAAATTGTTACACGCCTTTAGAACAAATAAACAAACCAACGAGCTGAAACGGAAGACACCATAGCACAGTACAGCACAGCACAGCACAGCACAGCACAGCACAGCACAGCACAGCACAGCACAGCACAGCACAGCACAGCACAGCACAAGACAAAATGGAATGTTCTGTACTTTTTTGGGCGGCATGCATGACTACTCACGCTGCTGATGCCGATAGAGAAAGGAGCTGGAGCGTGGATTTCCCCGAGCTGAAAACACACACAAAAAGCCAAAGTGCAGCACCCTTGCCATTTTCTCTATCACTCACGCGATGGCTGAGAAAGAAAAACTTCCAGAACAATTGTCCCGTGTTTAACGCAGGTACTCTAAAAAATGCTAAAGCATTGTTCTCGATGATTTTTTTGTTGGCTTCCGGCTCGCTCCTAGCTTAAAAACTTCGTCTCCGCAAAAAGTAAAAAAGCCCGCATATGCGTATTTGTGTAACCGTCAAACAAACATCAAAGCTTACCATCAGTGTAAATTCCCGTTTCGTTAAACAGCTCAAAGTTCTGCTACACAATCACAAAAAAAGAATAAGGAAATTACAATGATAAAAAAGAACGGATCAGTATCATGTTTGCAGTTACGACTCATCATCGCCGGGCGGAGAAAAGGATGAAAAAGAGACCTTTTCAAGCACAACAATTGCAAGAGAGTTGATGCAGGCAAGTGATGGCGAGCAGCAAGCCCTCTAGGGCGCAAAACAGCAAAAACAGCACGATTCATGATTCAGTAAAAGGGAAAAGAAAAAGAAAAATCGACAAAACATACCTTAATAGTGACCAGCTGAACATAAACCGCAGGAACCTCCTTGTTTTTCCCAAGCGCCAAGTAAAACAGCGAAAATAGCTGAAAGCACTCGTCCAAAACCGAATCCACGCGGTTCTTAAAATTGTCATTATCATGGTGCTCGCTACTCCTCACAGCTAGCAAAACCTTGACCTGCTCTAGAAGCTCGTTATACAAGCCGACGATTTCATTTGGTCGAAAGTAATTCCCCCGGTCCTTTTTCAGCGCCGCTAAGCGGTTGCGGATTCCAACTAGCGTGGTAAGGACGGGCTGCTCGCCCAGAGATACAGAGTGCTCGGCAACTGGTGTGCCACTGCTGTCATTCAATAACAACGACGATGTGTTGCGTGTTACTGCGGCCGCTGTTGAAAACATGTACCTTGGTGTATTGTCTTTCTTGTTTAAACACAAAGAGAAGACAAACAGATAGTATGTGTATAGTAAAGTAGAGTAGAGTAGAGTAGAGGAAGAGAAAGGTTGAGGAAAGTAATAAAGAAAAAAGTATTTTTTAAGGTTTAGAGAAACAAAAAAGATAATGGCAGTTGGTTTTTTTGTCTTATTGTTGTACAATCTGAAAATTAGCAAGCAAAAAAAAGAAGCTAAGAGAATATTTTCTTAAGAAAAAAGAGCGGAGAAATACAAGCTGGACGATTGAGTTCAACTAACTGCAACCATCTTTTTTTTCTGAAATAAAAATCTGATGGCACAATGCCAATGTGCATGCTTCCTCCCCCCACACACACCCTCCTCCGCATCTTTTTCGCGCATATCATCTGCTTCCAATCTTTCGATTTTTCAATATGATATGCCCCATTTGATCGTGGTTTCTCCTTTTTTGTAAAGGGAATATAGCCCAGTTTTTCTTTTTTATCTTATGGCCAAATAAAAGTTTTTTACCCGGTGCCAGACTTTAAATGCTGCACGTGTGTACACTTTAATCGATTGTCATTTTTGGTCCTGAGTCCAAACGCAAAAAAATGGGAAAATTCGTCACATCTTTGGTGATCGGTGGGATCGTTTTTGTTTTTTCCGTTCCCGCTTCCGCTTCTGCCCAGAACGACGATTATCTCTTGTCCTGCTTCTCTGGCCCCACCCCCATGCGCCCTTGCATCTGGGAGGTGTGGCACGCGTGTGCGACTTGTTTGATTTGATTTTCCTTTTTGAAAATATTTGATTTTCAAAAAGGAAAATGCCAGCAGACATGCAAGCACAAACACAAGCACAAACGCAAAAACGTTAAATAAAACAAGAGTATGCTGTCAAATCCTGTCGAGCGTGTGTGGCTTGATTTTTCCATTTTTAAGGCCCAGATCACTTCCAGCCTGGCGGCTTAATCTCGCCAGATCAAATATAATCAGCTTTCTATTATTCTCACCAGCTTCCCCCACTCAGCCTCACTCCTCGCCATTCCCACCTCCACAAAACGTCACAATGAGACAACAAAAGAAAGCCACCTGGCCGTTTTCTGCCGACCAAGCTCTTTGCTCATCACTTCTCCAACTCTCTCTTATATTTGCATTCTATCCTCGCACTTCCTTTTTCGCGCTTTCTTTTTGCAAACAATTCGACGCAAAAATAATATAATGTCGTCGACCACGCCAATTCCAACGACCATTTCGGCCCAAACCACAGCACCAAAGCCATCCAACGACAACCCACTGCTCAAAACCACACGCTCAAACTCAACACGCCCACTAACATCTCTAGAAAATGCATTCTGCGGAGCCACTGCCGGATTAATAGCACGAGCTATTGTTTCGCCCTTTGACGTCATCAAGATTACACTCCAGCTGGAAACCCAAAAGCGCACCTACGGGATCCTGCGGCCAACAAGCACCGGCGTTCTGGCGTGTGCCTCGCGGATTCTGAAGAAAGAGGGTGTCCGCGGCCTTTTCAAGGGCAACCTTTCTGCGGAGTACCTTTATTTGACATACGGGGCGTCCCAGTTTTTGATTTTTGGCACTATAGAACAGATGCTAGGGCGTGTTAGTGGGATGCACAAGAGTGTGCGGTCTTTTGTTGGCGGCGCCATGGCGGGAGCAATAGCCACGAGCGTGACCTATCCGTTTGATCTCCTGAGAACCAGGTTTGTAGCGCAGGAGGCTTCGCATAAAGTGCACACGTCGATTATCGGTGCCGTGAGGCAGATTTCTCGGGAGGAGGGAATTAGGGGATTTTACCGTGGCCTATGGCCTGCATGCCTGCAGATTATGCCGTATATGGGCATAGTCTTTACCAGTTACGACGCCCTAGGGTCCGGGTACAGGTGGATGCGCAGGAGCCTGTTTGTGTCCCAGTCAGGTGTTTTTAGGACACTGGATTCTGTGCAGGATGCGCTTATTGGCGGCGGTGCTGCGGTTATTGGGAAATGCTGTGTGTATCCTTTGGACCTTGTTCGGAAGCGCCTGCAGGTGCAAGGCCCCTATTTGAAGAACTATGCCAATGGCAGTGTACCCCAGTATACGGGGATGTCTAATGCATTGGCATATATTGTTCGGCATGAGGGATTTCTTGCCTTATTTCGTGGTTTGACCCCTGCATTGATCAAGGCTGCACCGGCATCGGCCACTGTTTTTTATATTTACGGCCAAACCCGGGATCTCATTTTGACACTTAGGCCCGAGTGAACCAAATAAACCAATAAAAGTGCATATCGGCGGCATCTATCCATCTAATTTCTTTGCTTGTAGTATGTACGCTACTTTGAGCCCATCTATCAACTAATTTACCCGAAAGAAATATGTATTCTTTATATAAATTTGAATTAGAACATACTATAAGCCCAAGATCTACAATTGCTAGCCACCAAATATCCTTGGTCGTGTTTTTATGCCATATATCCTAGTTCAATACCCCTCAAGTGCACAGTTTTCTTGTTGTTTTTAGCGATCGCATACCTATAAAATATATGCTCATATTTATTGCGCAACGACCCAAGAGTATCCCCTCCCTGGACAACGCATTTTTGTAACCCACTTGGCTTTTAAATGGGCCTCGTATCCAAAGTCAGAAACTGTCACGTTAGGATAATAACTGCAAAAAGTATGTTTAAAGACGCTGATATTAAAGCCCGTGTTAAGTTTGTACTTGTTCTCGTCTAGTTTGTCGGCTTTACGTTTTTGTGCACAAATTTTTAAAAAGAAATATATATAAATAATGTGAAGTTGGGCATATAGTAGAGTGTAATTGTATATGTTGGCGGGTTTGGGAAAGAAACAAGCCTATTTATATTGCATTTGATGCGCGTACATATTTTATTTCCCGCTTAAATATTTTGTTTATTTGGTGATTGAAAGAGAATATACCTATATTGTGTGTGATTAAAAAGCTTTATACTTACTTTTTTAGACACGCGTGTATTCAACAAGCCAAACATAGTACTCTTAAAATGTTTTATTAACAATAAGTGAAACTGCTAATATGTGTTGCACTTTTTAACTAGAGGAGTAGAGTACCAATATTCAACAAAAAAGAGAATAGTTAATATGATTTTTACATGTTTTCTTTCATGGCATTATTCTGTAAAATAGCGATCAAAACTCAACAGTTCAAAGCCATACACATTATCAATGCGCAGAAACTTTAAAACTATTCATGTAATTGTTGTTACAAAAATGTATTTATTGTTAGTTAACTAGCTACAAAGTAAACTTGAAAAGTTTAAACTAAAACTAACGTTGGTTGCCGCGGAAATATAATAAGCATATATAACAGCTACAAAAAGCTTCTGAGCAAAAAAAACTACATTGAATACATAACGGGTGCCTACAAAGATTCATAATCTACATCATAATACAATGAGCAAAGAATTATATATTCATCGCTATCGTTATTTTTGTGAAAAGTGAAGCAATAATACAAAGCATTATTGTGTATATAATCTTGCAACTTTTCTCCTATTCTTCCTGGAACATATTCTCCAGGCTTATTTCCTTCAAAATTTGATAACGAATGTTATATATTTGCTTTTTATACACCTGGCGAAGTACTGTTTCTAGCGGAGCAATTTTTTCATTTTAGTCCTAATGCCATTGTCATTGTCCAATCTTTCTCGTGCCTTCTGCTCTTCTTTTGGGGTAGGAATAACATTTGAAATTAGGCTGAAAATAAAATAAGTTGAGGTAAACTGCTAATGAAATTAATGTAAAATACTAAAATATATGAAATAATAAAGTTGAAGTTGGGAAGTGAGAAGCGAAAAAATGAGATTTGACGAAATGTGCATTCTTTATTTCACGTCTTTTTTTTGCAACATTTTCCCGCTCTTTCCTCTTTCTTATTGTATGCTTTCTTTTGCCAATTAATATAAAGCATTTAATTTGTCGACTGCTTTCATTGTATAACTTGCCTTTCGCACCGTAAACAATAAATGGCCGCAGCATTTGTCAAATCCTTTCTAATAATAAAATAGAGAGCAAGGGAAAATGTATTTGCTGTTTAAATGAAAGAATAAGAATCCATGCAAATTATATTTTCTACATCTGTTTTAACAGTATCGACAATTCAAGTGATGCCTTGCGCACAGGCAGGGCAGCGTCTACGTTTGACGAATAAAGCATCTCCTTGTAGTAATGGCTTATGCGCCGGCGCGTATCGGCAGTTGAGGTTCGCAAGTAGGGCTGGAGCAACAGCAGAAGATTCAAGAATGTCAACCGCGTCGTGGCATTCATGTGACTCGCCGAAACAACCTCGGGCCGCGCGCTCATTCCACTATTCAGGTGGGCGGTTTCGTTTGAGCCCTGGGACGCTGGAGGCTCGCTGATATCCAAGTGGCTGCATTTGAGGTAGCGGTCAATCAGCATAACCCAAAGGCAGTCATCCGTGGCCTCGCCGGTGCCCATGCAGGCACGCGGGAACTGCGGAACATAAAGACGAACCAGGCTGTGGAATGTTGCTGCAAACATGTCAAGTGTCGTGGAGCTGGTTGACAGGCTCAAAAGCGGCCGCGCTAGCTCGCTCCAGCCCTCGGTCGAATGCTCGTTGGTCAGGCTGGGCACAATGTCCGCAGGCACCTCCCTTGTCCATTCCAGGAGGGCACGGATGGCCATGTTGCACCAGCGCTCGCGCGAGATCAGCTTGACTATCAGCTCAAATGCACCGACCTCTTTGAGCATCCGGCAACACTGCGTGCCGCCATTGGACAGCCCTAGGATAATCAGGCGACCGCATTTTGACAGCGTCGGGGCCTCCTTCAGCTGAGCGTATTCCATGGCTGCCAAGACCAAATGCGGGTACTGTGTAACCATCCTGCTCTGTCGCTCTAGCGAGCTACTGCTTAAGCGCAGGACTGTAGTCATCACATACTCGCGGTACGCCTGCGAAGAGGGCGACCGAATCAAAGAAACGCTGACAGCAAATATCCCGGCCTTGTCCAAAACATCCAGACTCATTGGGTTCTTGGACAGATAGCGCACACCGTGGATGACAAAAACCACCGCTTTACGCGGGTACCGGTACACATGCGAAAAGATAGCCGCCACAATGTCTGAATCACATAGTGAATCCTGTAGCGTATCGATGCGGCGGACGATCTCGTTAAACAGGCGGCCGACCACTACAAGTACGTCGCAAACACCATGGTACACGCGGTCATCCAGAGTCTGATTATTGGTGTGGCCAGTGTCTGAGCCGGTAGCGCTAGACTGGCCGCTCGAGGGCATGTGGCACGCCTCACCGTACTTTGAAAACACCTTGCATAAAAGTGACGTTATGTGCGACTGCGCTAAAAGCTCGCCGATATCGACAGCTGAAAGCTCCCCTGGCATGACCTTGTTGACGATGAGTGAGGTGAGTGCTGTCAGCACGCGCGAAAGCTGCGCTGCCGCCACAGCCACATCCAGCTCCACAAGCGGACTTGCTGCCTCGCAGAGAGCCGTTATGCCACCCGCCGCCAGCAACACATGGATAGGCGCAGCTTCCTCAGTCCGGCACAACCGGCTGATAAACCCAATGGTCTCGGCCTGCAATTCGACAATCGATGTCGGAGACTGTTGCGCCTGCGCCTGCGCCTGCGCCTGGTGCTGGTGCTGGAGTATGGGGAGTATAATTGGAATCAGCCCGTGCAGACAGAAAGTGCTCGAGTATTTGGTGGCCATGTAGCACAGGCGGTTGACAAGCATCATCAGGTGCTTGAGCACATTGGGGTTGTTTTGGTGGATGCGGATGGCGTCGACAATCGACCGTACTCGCCAGTCCTGGTTGGCCGAGAAGACGCCACGGCCCTCGCGCAAAAGAACGACCAGCTTCTGGCAATAGCGAATGGTCATATCCTCGCGAACAGACACTCGCAACTCGGCAAGTATTTTGACAATGTCTTGTACCCAGCGGATTTCAGTTTCGCGCCGCAGACGCTCCTCTGAGGCCCTACTTGGAAACCCAGGCGGCACAATATCGCGGGACTCTTGGGCCCGATTCCGGAAGAGTGAGGCTGGCTTTTGTTTCTGCTGCTCTGTTTGTTGCTGCTGTGGATAATGCCGCTGGCTGTGCTGAAGTTGCTGGCTGTGATAGTACTGCTGCTGCTGTTGTTGCTGGTAATTCATATTGGGTAGCTGGTCGCTAGAAACATTCTGCGTTTCGAGAGACAGATGACCCACATCGCGCTGGCCCGACAGGGAGCCAGATGATGAGACCAGCTGCGTAGACGACGAGTGGACAATATCCTGGCGAAGCCCTAGAGATGGGCGCTTCGACTGCGCGTTGCTCACAGAATCCCGCCTGAATTCGGCTGCACTCGCATAAAGCGCTGATGAGCTAGGCACACGGCTACCATCAGTGTACTCCGTGTGGTCAGCATATACAATCTCGTTAGAAGAGGCGCTGTTGTGACCGTCCTCGAACTCAACAGCCATTCCACCACTGCCGTGTCTCCGCGCCTGTAACATAGGCGAGGGCGGGCCCGAGTGTAACCGCAGCTGCGAGGCCGCAGAGCTGTGGCCACCGATCGGATCAGAAAATGCGCGCTCGACGACCGGAGCTGCAATGTGCGCATGCTCTTCATCAAAGGCATCCGTTGTATTGCTGAGCGAGTGCTTGATCGTGCCAGGCGACGGCGACGTTGGCGCGGCTATGGACTGCGGATAAGCTAAGCCGGCGCGCATGTGAGGCTTCGCCTGCAGTGCATCGAGGTTTTCAAACGCGTTATCCCAGTCATCGCCGCTATCTTCCTCATAGGCTGCAATTGAGGATACCATGCGGCGCGTTGTGCTGTCGTTCGAGTTGGAAATGCCCATGGACGACACCCCCGATATGGCACCAGTGATGTCGTCGCGCGTTCTCGAAGAGCCGTAGCTGAGGTTTGGGTTGTTGTACGTGTTGCTGGCGCTAGTGCTGGTGCTGGTGCTGTGTTTGTGGTTCGGGTTGACGTTGAACCGCTTGATGTCGCGAGGAGATGCGTTTTGCAGCACCTGGTTCCACTGTGTGATCTCGCGAATGTCCCGCTCGTAGTTGCCCTGCGACTGTCCCTCGCGCTGCTGCTCTCCCAAACACATGCGGATCCACTCGTGGCCGCGCAGCTCGTCGGCTGTCGCCCGCGCCGAGGGCACATTCACTAGACACCGCGACAGAAAGTCCCTCAGCTGCGGCGAAATGTTGTGTGGGAACGGTGGGTGCTCGTCCAGGCCAATGCGGTACAGCGCCGCCATGGGCTGCAGGTCCTGGTACGGCGCCTTTCCGTCGACCATCTGGACAATCGTGCAGCCCAGACTCCAAATGTCGGACGCCGTCGTGGCCCCCTTTTGCTGGAGCACCTCGGGTGCAATCCAGTACGGCGAGCCAACCACTGTATGGAGCCCGTTTTGGAACCTGGCCACGCCAAAATCTGCCAGCTTCACTATGCCCTCCTTGAGCAGAAGGATGTTTCCGGGTTTGATGTCGCGATGCAGGATCGCGTTGCTATGCAGGTACGAAAGCCCGTCGAGGATTTGCGCCACGTACACACCGACCAGGTTCTCGGGAAACTTGCTAAACTTGCGCAGAATGTTTTGCAGCGAGCCGCCCTCGCAGTACTCGAGGATAATATCGAGCTCATCCTCGGTCTGCTCGTAGCCAATGTATTTGACAATATTCCGGTGGTTCAGATCGCGCAGCATGTCAATCTCCATCCGCGCCGCCTCGATCTCATCGTAAGAGCTGAAACCTTCCTTCCGGATTTGCTTGATGGCGACAACCCCACCTGTCCGCAGATTGATACCGCGGTATACAGATCCAGCTGCCCCTTTGCCTATAATATCTTCAAGTTGCTAATTGTTAAAAGTGCGCATGCAGGCCCGTGCTATTAGCAGAATGATTAAGAGCAAATGAAATCAAACGAAACGAAACCAATACATGAGGAAACCGATTAAAAGCGCAAAAAGGCCAAGAGAATGTGCTCAGCAAAATAGTGCCGCTCTCGCATCCCCAATCCATCCCACCCGCCAGCCAGACAGCCAGCCCAACGAGCGAACGAACGAGAGCGCGCGACTGCCATACCCGGGTGTAAAAAGTCGGTTTCTAGAACTGGTTACTTTTGAATTCACGCTCAAGTCGAAGCACAAATTCATACAAATAAAAGGCTCGAGACCCTGTGCAGGTGCATTTATTTTTTGGCTTACATATTCGCCTATGCGTCTCGATTCGCCCATTTTCGGCGCAATTTGTATGTTGTTGTTTTTCTTCCTCGTGTAAAAGTACCGAGTCTATACAGCTGGTTGCTCGCTGAGAGTATATGGCCGAATGCACTTTGGAATGGCTTTATGATTTACAAATGTCAAATGGGGCTGTCTGAGCGCGACGTCTATTGAACAATTGTTAAATAGTTATTTTGTGAATTCGTAACGATACAAATACAAACAAAAGAAAAAATGAAGAACAGGATAATCGTGAAATACAAAAAAAAGCTAAACGTAGAAAAAAAATTGAGTGGCATCAAACTTGGGTTTACTACTTTCTGAGAAACAAAAGAAAAAATTGTCTCTAAACCAGCAAATTGTCTGTAGACAGCCAATGCGATGCCACATGTGCATGGGAAGCTAAATACTCGGATATGCAAAGAGAATTATAACACTAAAAGAAAAGAATGAGACTACAAGTATCCTGCAAATTGACATTCTTCCCACAGATTCCATAGCAACCTGACAGGTAGTTAGAAACTAGTGGCAATAGACCACTATGGTTGACGATATTATCCAGTTCCCTGCCTCTTGCAAAGAGAAGAAGCAGAGGCAGATGGATTCTTTCGCACACACCTGGTCTTGGGCTTTTGCTTGAACAAAGTCTCGGGTCTCGCTGTAGACTCTGGTTCAGCCGACTCTGACGATGCTTTTTTACGCAAGAAACGGGGAGGACGATTGCCTATAAACAGGGCATCGAGGATAATGCAAAAGTTCAGCACTGCAGCCATGTCGCGATTATTCCACTTCCGCCTGCCTGATGGCACTTTTTCGCCACGCTTGATCTTGGTTCCGTCAGCCCCAAAGGTTTGAAGGCAGTCTTCCATTGTGCACTGGAGCAAGCCATGACATGAAATTTGGCAAGGTTTTTCTACTGCTGGAATCATATCCACGCCTGTTGCGACTACCTGCTCCTGCTGCTGCTGGGCGGCCAACTCATCGCGTATCTTATGTCTGGTTTTGCGCTTGACCTTGCCCCACGACCAGCCGCCCAGCCTGACAATACGCTTGAGATTATCGGCAGGCTGGATATTGACGTACTGCTCCCGACTTTGCTCAGCCTTCTCATCCCGCAGCTGCTACCTAATTTTGCTGTCAATTTTGTCCTCAGCCCAGCCCTTTTCATCTCCTATCCGCCGGATGATATCAGCAGACTGTGGGCGAATAGGCATCTACTTGCTGGGACTCTGTTGTGCACTGTCAATAATAGATGCGGCGTCGGAGGCAGTTTTAGTTGCAACAGAAATGGTAGTGGCTGCTGCTGCAACAAAATCAGCAACGGCGTTGGTTGTGGCTGCGACAGAATTGGATGAATATAATTACATCGTTAAACATCATGTTTAACACATACCCAAAGCACCAGTCAGACACAAAGACAATATTTCCCCGCATCTTCAAAAATCTGGACTTTTTTGCAGCTCGACCAGGCTTATAGGTCCATAATTGGTCCCCACAAGGAGTGTTTTTTTGGTACGCGTTTGGTGTTTTATAATTTTTCATTTAATTCGTTCCAAAATAATATTCAATTCTCATTCAAAAATCTGGACTTTCTGATATTTTAGGCTAAAAAGCTGGGGGAAATTGGGTTTTGAAAATCCCCCGCTTAAAAATCTGGACTTTCGCTATAAATGGCTGGAAATTCCAAAATCCATTTACATTAATGAAATGTGTGCATGTGTCCAAAACAGCCACTGTTGTCGATTTAGATTTAGTTTTGGATTTAGCGCAAGGCTAATATTGCAATCGGAGATGAACGAAAGGAAACGCGACGACGATACGTGACGAGCTGTGTTCGGATTTATGACTGGTAACTAGAAAGAAAAATATTCCAACTTAAATGTTGCAATTCTTCAAGAAATAATGTTTAAAGTATACAAAAGTTTTGATCAACAGTCGTTGCAATCCCCTCGCATAAAGAGCAAAGAAAAAGATAGGCACAAGCTTCTTTGTAAGCTGTGCATTGAACAATGCATAAATCTGCAAGCCCGGCCATCCATAGCACCTGCCATGTCTCCAAAAGAAAAATGGATTCATGTTTTGTCGCCAAAAAAACTTAATGGCCATGACTAACCCACAACCCGTGTTTTTGTGGTGCAAGTGGTGCTGCGCAGTATTTGTGCACGCCATTTTGCGCCCACTTTCACATTAGACAGCTCCAAACATTGGAGCGGGAACACATAATCCAGTCGCATATCGCTTTACCTCATTTGGCAAAACCGATATGCGATGGATGAGTGGCTCGTAAAACACAACAATGTTGCGGGAATTTATGTCTCTCGATATCCATGTGTTGGCAAAATAAAACCCTGCTCCTAGAGAGAACGCACTTGAGCGTGATATTTGCTTATCATCAACTTGTGCCGCGCTTCCCTTAGGACCTACCGTCGCAAGACTCAGGCTTTAGGACATGTTACGAGCGCACATTCGCTGTTTGAAAATTTATTTACACTTGTACATAACTAGAAATGCGTGCTTTTTGAACATTTCACACGTTATATTGTCGTATATTGACTATTGTTCAATATCTGGGTATGGCAGACATGTTGAAAGACAACACAAAGCACTCTTTATCGATTATTGTTGCGAATTGTAGTAGTAGTGCGTGCTTCATTTGATACAGCTTTTGAAACAGGTGCAATGTCCAACTGAAAAAGTTTTGATAAATGTGAAAACCTATGACGCGTCGAATTACCACAATGACTAAAGTAAACAACAAACCCAAACCAGTTTGTCTCATTTTTTTTGCACACGCCAAATAGCCGAAACTAAAATAGTATGAGTGCAATTTTACTCATTTTGCCAATGCTGACATTTACCAGCGCTGTTCATTTTTCTTCATATTTTAAACCCGATCCACATGCCTTTCGTAAAGCTGCAAACAATGCAAACAATACATACGGGCGCTTGGACTAGCATGAATGTTCGCAATAAATAACTGCTGCCGTGGCAAAAAAAATTGTTTGACTGAGCACAATGGTTCTTGCAAATATCAGCTTTATCAAAAAAAGTACAAGCAAATTCCAAAAAGGAAACAAGAAACAAGAAATAGTGCTTGGGCAAACGGATGTTTCTTTGTTTTTGTTCTCAGACAATTTGAACATTATAGAAAAATGTGTGCAAACGGCAAAGTGTAGTGCTGCAGGACATTGTAAAACGATGGGGGAAAAGCAAAATGCGCTGCATCTTTACTGGATCAACATGCAGCTAGAAGCGGGATGTTGCTCAAAAATGATAATGTCAATACAAATTCCATCTCAGAGTTGAAGCTCAGAATTTTGTCACTTTTTAAAATCATATTCGACATCTTACCCAAGCAATACGCCATTTGCCCCGCTGCTGTGTCAAGGCTATTTTTTGGGTGCTGGTTCTGGTACTGGTGTTCAGTTCGAATAAAAATGGCTGCCGAGTGGCCATAAAAAGCCTCGACCAAACATGAGAACGGTAGGAGAGGGCAAGTTTTGCGGTCAGATGCAGATTGGAGACAATTGCGGCTGGCACTACATACAATACCGTTTCTGGTGCGCTTGGACAAAAAATGCAATAATAATTTTAGACTCGGGAAAGCGCCATTGCTTGGTGTTGTATTGATGCAATTTCTTGAACAGGTCAGGAGATCTTGAAAAGGGGAATTTGCAGAAAGAATTCCTGTAGTACTACCCTATTCCATGTAGCATGCATCCTGTGAAAAAAAGTCCGCCTGCCTAGTATTTTTTTTGCACATACCGCCAACCGTGCCTTGATAGACCTGAATATATCTCGGACGTATAAAAGGGATTGGATTGGATCCCTGCGCGGCCCTCCCCAAGTATCGAATTTCTCTCCTTAGCAATCGAATGTCTTGCCTTCACCCAATCTTTTAAACTACTACATTTTCATCCCTATTTTCTTCAACCTATTCTACATTAAAAACAATATTTATTGTCATCTCTCTTTTTATTAATATTTTATTGTTGAACCTGTGCAAACTCGAACACATATTTAAAAATCAAAAAAATACTTTTATATTTCTTTTACGTCTACTTTATCCTCTCTTGCTCTTGCTCTTTTTCATTTAATTGCAGTTATTTTTATACTGCTATTGTTGCTGTTGCCGCTGTTGGATTCTCACACTTGGCTTTTTTTGCATTTAAAAGTAAGTTCTTTGTAAATGCGCGTACTTGTGATGCTGGTGCTGCTGGTGCTGCCTTTTCGGCCTTTCTGGCGCCGACTTCTAAAATTAATAATTACACATATTCGCATTCAACTTCGTTGCGTGCTATTGCCAACACATCAAGTCTTGATAGATATACTAATAAAAACCGTGCATTGAACTTTTTTACTTGTAGGTTTCCTCTTCCAGTCGTCATTAAACACAAACCCTTTATTTTTTTTCGCATACCTTTATTTTTTGCTTACCACTACGCTTGTCCGTCATACATTACCACAGCATCGCAAGCCTCATTGGTTCACTTTGTTGTTTGTTACGTTCAACTACTTAATTGTTTTTTGCTAAACAATTGTCGCTGCTGTTTGCACTATTAGCACTCAGCACGTAAAATCGCGCGCAGGCCTATTAGTTCCTTGCGCACTTTTTGTTTTATTTCCGCAATTCCCCTTCACTTCAGTCACTCATTCGCCCATTCAAACTCAGCGCCTGCCAGTCATGTACAACCTCGATCTTAACTTTGAACAGGACGACTCGCGAACTGTCGACAGCGACTATGACTATGACAGTGACATTGAGACCAATGGCCTGGGCGACAACTCCTCCTGGGCCAGCCTCGACCGGCGCCTGCTCCAGCGCGTCGTATCGTTCCTTCCACGCCCGAGCGACCGCCGTGAGTTTTGTCTGGTTAACAAGGAGTGGGCGCTCGCCGGCGAGCCGCACCTTTGGGCGTACCCCGAGTTCTCTACACCCCAGCAGCTGTCAACCTTCCTGCGTGTTGTCAGTGATCGGACTAGCACCTATGGCCCACACATCCGCGGCATCCGCTTCACGCTGCGCTCTCAATACGACCGCCATTTGACCTCTTCACATTACTGCGAGGAGGACTCGGGCGCTGATGCCGAGTTGCCCACGCTTCTGGAGATTGCCCAGGGCCGCCACGTGCTTTCAGCTGACCCTGCGGTGCTCCGCCCCCTGCTGCACGGCTCGGACCTCAGCTCGCTCCCTGGCACTTCGGTTTGCCCGCATGTGCTCACCCATTGACAGTCTGTCCATCTACGGCTTCCGTTTGCGGGACAAGTACATTGTCAACGACATTATGCGCTGGAACCTGCGCGAGCTCGAATTATGGCATGCCCCGTAAGCCCCTAGCCAATCTCGGCTACTTGCTTAACGGCATGCGTAGCCTGACCTCGCTGCGCATTGAGAGCGACTCCCCATTGCCTACCAATATTTGGGGCCCGTTGTCCACGCGCTTGCACGGCCTTAACAAGCTGCGTATATGGGCGCCAAGCATCTCTGGTAGCCAGCTGCTCCGCTCGCTGAGCCAGGCGCCGCAAAGGATGACTGTACTGCATCTCATCGGCGCTGACAACGACATCAGCGACGACGCTATTCTCAGCATTGTCCAGAGCGCTCCCAGTATGCAGTCGCTTGTTATCCACAGTGCCAACATCACCGCGCGCTCTGCAGCCGCCCCTCTAGGATACTGCAGAAACCTGACTCACTTGGAGCTGGCACGCGACCAGCCCGAGGCCGACAACTACTCTGATGCTGACTCCGCGCTCTTGCCTGCTGTTGCCTCCAGACTCAACACGCTCAGCGTACGCAATCTGGGCATCAGCGATGCTCTTGTCCAGTCCGCAGCTTTGGCGATATTTGGTCTGCGCACGCTCTACATAAGTGGTGCTGCTGCTCTCACAGGCATCGCAGTCGGCGAGCTCCTGCGCAGCTCCACTCAGTTGGCTGCTCTTGGCCTCCACAATTGTCCAAAGCTGTCGGACTCTGCCCTCCAGGGTTTGGCCCAGGGCCTCAGCGCCCCCACCCTGCGTGTTCTGCTTATCCACCAGTGCGCAGTGCAGTCCGAGGGAATTGAGCGCGTGCTTGCGTCATTCCACGCCATCAGGCACTTTTCAGTTAAGGGAACTGAGGTTGTCCGCCAGCAATTCCAGTACGCCTATGTGGCCACCAACAACAGCGTAACCGATCCCGTGGCAGAGCCCCAGCCGCTGCCAGTGCAGCGCTCGTTCAAGCCTGTTTACCCAGCAGATCACTTCTTTATCAAGAGCGACATACAAAACCAGCCTGAAAAACACTCCGCTGTTATCCTTCCGTTTGCCACAGAGGCGGTAAAGGACGGGCAAAGATTGCTCGAGCCCAGCAGTCCTTTGATTAAGAACGCGTTCAGTGAAAACTCGGCCAAGCGCTTTGTGCCCGGACTCATGGCATTTACCAATTGCTTCCAGCGTCAGGAGGCATACTCAAGAATTGGTCGACCCAGAGCCGCAACTGTGTCATTCGTTGAGCAGGGGGATTCTTCCGAGCTAGTTGAGGATGTTCAGCCCATTAGCCGCCCACGTAGCATCTCTGAGCTGCCTGCAAGCCTAGAATCAATTACTCAGGAGGTTGAACCAATAACGGAAAATATTGCTGATGAAACCGATCTCGACTTGGTAGCTACCTCAGATGGCGATACCAGCACAGAGGTTGTTAGAGATACTGAGATTGCCAATGAAACAGCTACATTCGACATTGTACCTCGTTCACTGGACATGGGCAACTTGGAAATTGAGCCAGCTACCCTTAATAAAAGGCTGTTGCCACCCCCGAGGCCGTTGTCGAGGAGGCTATTGTCGAGGAGGCTGTTGCCGCTCCTGAGGCTGTTGTCGAGGAGGCTGTTGCTGCTCCTGAGGCCGCCGTCGAGGAGGCTGTTGCCACCCCTGAGGCTGTTGTCGAGGAGGCTGTTGCTGCTCCTGAGGCCGCCGTCGAGGAGGTTGTTGCCACCCCTGAGGCCGTTGTCGAGGAGGCTGTTGCCGCTCGCAAGGCCGTTGTCGAGGAGGCTGTTGCTGCTCCTGAGGCCGTTGTCGAGGAGGCTGTTGCTGCTCCTGAGGCCGCTGTCAAGGAGGCTGTTGCCACCCCTGAGGCCGTCGAGGAGGCTGTTGCTGCTCCTGAGGCTGTTGTCGAGGAGGCTGTTGCTGCTCCTGAGGCCGCCGTCGAGGAGGCTGTTGCTGCTCCTGAGGCCGCCGTCGAGGAGGCTGTTGCCACCCCCAAGGCCGTTGTTGAAGAGGCTGTTGCCACCCCCGAGGCCGTTGTCGAGGAGGTTGTTGCCACCCCTGAGGCCGTTGTTGAGGCTGTTGCTGCTCCTGAGGCCGTTGTCGAGGAGGCTGTTGCCGCTCCTGAGGCTGTTGTCGAGGAGGCTGTTGCCGCTCCTGAGGCTGTTGTCGAGGAGGCTGTTGCTGCTCCTGAGGCTGTTGTCGAGGAGGCTGTTGCCGCTCGCAAGGCCGTTGTCGAGGAGGCTGTTGCTGCTCCTGAGGCCGTTGTCGAGGAGGCTGTTGCTGCTCCTGAGGCCGCTGTCAAGGAGGCTGTTGCCACCCCTGAGGCCGTCGAGGAGGCTGTTGCTGCTCCTGAGGCTGTTGTCGAGGAGGCTGTTGCTGCTCCTGAGGCCGCCGTCGAGGAGGCTGTTGCTGCTCCTGAGGCCGCCGTCGAGGAGGCTGTTGCCACCCCCGAGGCCGTTGTCGAGGAGGCTGTTGCTGCTCCTGAGGCCGCCGTCGAGGAGGCTGTTGCCGCTCGCGAGGCCGTTGTCGAGGAGGCTGTTGCCACCCCTGAGGCCGTTGTTGAGGCTGTTGCTGCTCCTGAGGCTGTTGTCGAGGAGGCTGTTGCCGCTCCTGAGGCTGTTGTCGAGGAGGCTGTTGCCGCTCCTGAGGCTGTTGTCGAGGAGGCTGTTGCCACCCCCAAGGCCGTTGTCGAGGAGGTTGTTGCCACCCCCGAGGCCGTTGTCGAGGAGGCTGTTGCTGCTCCTGAGGCCGTTGTTGAGGCTGTTGCTGCTCCTGAGGCCGCTGTCAAGGAGGCTGTTGCCACCCCTGAGGCCGTCGAGGAGGCTGTTGCTGCTCCTGAGGCTGTTGTCGAGGAGGCTGTTGCTGCTCCTGAGGCTGTTGTCGAGGAGGCTGTTGCTGCTCCTGAGGCCGCCGTCGAGGAGGCTGTTGCCACCCCCGAGGCCGTTGTCGAGGAGGCTGTTGCCGCTCCTGAGGCTGTTGTCGAGGAGGCTGTTGCCACCCCCAAGGCCGTTGTCGAGGAGGCTGTTGCTGCTCCTGAGGCCGCCGTCGAGGAGGTTGTTGCCACCCCTGAGGCCGTTGTTGAGGAGGCTGTTGCTGCTCCTGAGGCCGCCGTCGAGGAGGCTGTTGCCGCTCGCGAGGCCGTTGTCGAGGAGGCTGTTGCCGCTCGCGAGGCCGTTGTCGAGGAGGCTGTTGCCACCCCTGAGGCCGTTGTTGAGGCTGTTGCTGCTCCTGAGGCCGCCGTCAAGGAGGCTGTTGCTGCTCCTGAGGCCGCCGTCAAGGAGGTTGTTGCTGCTCCTGAGGCCGTTGTCGAGGAGGCTGTTGCTGCTCCTGAGGCCGTTGTCGAGGAGGCTGTTGCTGCTCCTGAGGCCGTTGTCGAGGAGGCTGTTGCTGCTCCTGAGGCCGTTGTCGAGGAGGCTGTTGCTGCTCCTGAGGCCGCCGTCGAGGAGGTTGTTGCCACCCCTGAGGCCGTTGTTGAGGAGGCTGTTGCTGCTCCTGAGGCCGCCGTCGAGGAGGCTGTTGCCGCTCGCGAGGCCGTTGTCGAGGAGGCTGTTGCCGCTCGCGAGGCCGTTGTCGAGGAGGCTGTTGCCACCCCTGAGGCCGTTGTTGAGGCTGTTGCTGCTCCTGAGGCCGTTGTCGAGGAGGCTGTTGCCGCTCCTGAGGCTGTTGTCGAGGAGACTGTTGCCGCTCCTGAGGCTGTTGTCGAGGAGGCTGTTGCTGCTCCTGAGGCTGTTGTCGAGGAGGCTGTTGCCGCTCGCGAGGCCGTTGTCGAGGAGGCTGTTGCTGCTCCTGAGGCCGTTGTCGAGGAGGCTGTTGCTGCTCCTGAGGCCGCTGTCAAGGAGGCTGTTGCCACCCCTGAGGCCGTCGAGGAGGCTGTTGCTGCTCCTGAGGCTGTTGTCGAGGAGGCTGTTGCTGCTCCTGAGGCCGCCGTCGAGGAGGCTGTTGCCACCCCCGAGGCCGTTGTCGAGGAGGCTGTTGCTGCTCCTGAGGCCGTTGTTGAGGCTGTTGCTGCTCCTGAGGCCGCTGTCAAGGAGGCTGTTGCCACCCCCAAGGCCGTTGTCGAGGAGGTTGTTGCCACCCCCGAGGCCGTTGTCGAGGAGGCTGTTGCTGCTCCTGAGGCCGCCGTCGAGGAGGCTGTTGCCACCCCCAAGGCCGTTGTTGAAGAGGCTGTTGCCACCCCCGAGGCCGTTGTCGAGGAGGTTGTTGCCACCCCTGAGGCCGTTGTTGAGGCTGTTGCTGCTCCTGAGGCTGTTGTCGAGGAGGCTGTTGCCGCTCCTGAGGCTGTTGTCGAGGAGGCTGTTGCCGCTCCTGAGGCTGTTGTCGAGGAGGCTGTTGCCACCCCCAAGGCCGTTGTCGAGGAGGTTGTTGCCACCCCCGAGGCCGTTGTCGAGGAGGCTGTTGCTGCTCCTGAGGCCGTTGTTGAGGCTGTTGCTGCTCCTGAGGCCGCTGTCAAGGAGGCTGTTGCCACCCCTGAGGCCGTCGAGGAGGCTGTTGCTGCTCCTGAGGCTGTTGTCGAGGAGGCTGTTGCTGCTCCTGAGGCCGCCGTCGAGGAGGCTGTTGCTGCTCCTGAGGCTGTTGTCGAGGAGGCTGTTGCTGCTCCTGAGGCCGCCGTCGAGGAGGCTGTTGCCACCCCCGAGGCCGTTGTCGAGGAGGCTGTTGCCGCTCCTGAGGCTGTTGTCGAGGAGGCTGTTGCCACCCCCAAGGCCGTTGTCGAGGAGGTTGTTGCCACCCCGAGGCCGTTGTCGAGGAGGCTGTTGCCACCCCCGAGGCCGTTGTCGAGGAGGCTGTTGCCGCTCCTGAGGCTGTTGTCGAGGAGGCTGTTGCCACCCCCAAGGCCGTTGTCGAGGAGGTTGTTGCCACCCCCGAGGCCGTTGTCGAGGAGGCTGTTGCTGCTCCTGAGGCCGCCGTCGAGGAGGCTGTTGCCACCCCCAAGGCCGTTGTTGAAGAGGCTGTTGCCACCCCCGAGGCCGTTGTCGAGGAGGTTGTTGCCACCCCTGAGGCCGTTGTTGAGGCTGTTGCTGCTCCTGAGGCCGTTGTCGAGGAGGCTGTTGCCGCTCGCGAGGCTGTTGTCGAGGAGGCTGTTGCTGCTCCTGAGGCCGCCGTCAAGGAGGCTGTTACGGATGTTGTCTCTGAGTCTACTGTAGATGTGCCACATGCCCGTTCTTTGTCTCTTCCTGCTGATAATAAGGCTGATGAACCAGCCGTTGATTTTATTGGTGATTACAAGCCCGCCGCCGATTCTGTACCGCATGGGAGCAACTCGGCTGAGTTGGCTGCAGGTGTTTCTCTTGCACTTGCAACTGTTGGCGCTTCATTGGCTTCACGTTTACTTTTTTCTGACACTTTTTTCACCGGCGCTGACTCAACTGACCAGTCTGTCGATGTAGCGCGCAGCTTGACGGTTGAGCAAGTATCAGAGCCGGCTGTCGAGCTTTTTGAGAGTTCCACTCCAGCTGCTGTGCCCGCCGATGGGTTTGCATCTGGAAGCACTATCCCAGCAACTGCACACTCTGTTATGCCAGCTTCAGTGGTTTCTGTGTCTAGCGATATTATAAGCCTTTCAGGTCTGGAGACTGCAGATGCGCATACCGCCCCTGTAGTTGTTGGTACCATTGAGGCCGTTGAGCCTGAGACAGCCAGTCGCGCTTTAGCTACCCCCGAGGTCGCCGAGCAGGCTCACATTGAGCCTGTAATCATGACCAAACCGGTTTCTGAATCTGGAATCACTTTACCCGAGTCGGTTGACAGCTCGCAAGCCGCACATGAGGCTGCCAGCTGGAACTCGCCGCGGTCGCAGATATCATACAATCGCGCCGACTCCCAGCTTTCCCACTCTGGTGACCAGACCACTTCTGCGCCAGCAAAGAATGCAGCTGATAACGTTATTTCTAATCGTGACAGCGCCATTTTTATGGACAAGCCCTTTGCTGATGCGACAACAACGGATATTTCTTCCACGCAAGACAGCAATGAGCCTGTAAAGGTCGAGCAAACATTTTTGCAAGACCAAGCTGTTGCTGAAGCCAATTGTTTGACTGGCGTTGAGGTGAAGGAGGAGGCGCAGACGCCCTACTCTACATTCTCTACGCCGGCGTTCCCTGAGTACTTTAGACATCCTGAAGTGCACCAGCATGGGAACGAGGTTGTTTCCAGGCGCGAAATCCCCCGTGCTAGTGACGGTGGTGCTCGCAAGCCTGTTTTTGGCAGACCCAAGGACGTGCTGATGGAGCTGAACATTGAAACTCCATACGACGGGCGCCAGCTTTTGCAACTGCGCGCAGCTGACAACCTGGATGACTTATGTGAGGAGTTTTGCGAACACTACAACATGCTGGAACTCCTTCCTGGAATGAGGACACTGGTTAGAGGCAAGGTTGAGCGCCGCCTGGCTAGACGCCGTGAGCGTGCCCTGCAGGCCGCCGCTGCCTCTCAGGGCAAATAATCTATACATTTTTATCATTTAAAGCATATATTTATGCGTTTGTTTTATCTTTTTTATCCCTTTTTCAACAATAAACATTCGAAAATTCAATATTTACTAGATTTAATGTAGACTGTTCTATGCATTTTATTTATACCATGCTGTTGCACGCTCAAAATTTTGTGGGTTGTGTTGTTAACAGCGAGTATTGCGACTATCTGTCACAAGACCCGCAATGGCTAAACATGGCTATGTAAATCATTAATAGGTTGTATTGTAAAAGAAATGCAGCTCTGCTAATATACTTTGTGCCATTCCTATTGGTGGTGTTATAATAAGAAGGGGTGTAAAGAGCACTAGTTGTCTAGTGTTAGAGAAATAGGGTTGAATTTATAAAAGGTTTTATTACTGATGTTTCTAAAGTGCTACTAGCACTGGCCTCATCTTATATATGTTCCTCGTCGCCTTTGTTGTGCACATTGCCAATTGTGCACTCCGTTGGCAAAAACTGGTTCTTCTGTAACCAGACCAGCATCTTGGAAGTCAATGTTGTGGATTTCGCATATGCGCACTTGTACATGTACATTGCAAAATAGGGAGCATATATGGGTATCATTATTATGCCACTCTAATTTACTCCTGCATAATCCAACTAGTACCCTATTAATTGGCATGCAGATATAAACTTTTTTCATGACTCTCAACCTCGACATACACTTCCATATTCTCGGGCTACGCAACAGTGGTTTATTTAAAAATATTTACTATGCAAGTAATATTTCCGCTAGTTTGTTTGCCACTTTTTACGAGACTTCTATTAATTGCGCGTAAAACGTGCACATTTAATCTAATTTAGCACATAGCTATTACTTGATGTATATTCACATCTTTTATTTGATTTAACAATCAATAACTTCAAAACAATTTAGTCGATATTATTTTTGTTTTATGCGCGTATATAGGCATATTATCAACAAATGTTTATAAATAAATGTAATGTAGCAGTGCAGGCAAAGAAAACCACTCGAAGCTGAAAATGCACACATAATAGAAACTTAATTGAGCCACCAAATAATTAAACAGAATTGGGGCCGTTTTCTTTTTTAATGCAACGACTGGTAACGAATCATCAAAAATATTAAATATTTTTACTCACAAAGCCTTCATGAGCTGGCAAAGAACAATTTGGCAATTAGATAAACATGCAAAAATGATATAAAATAAAGAGGAACGGCTGTTCACATAAAAATTGTATCTCTCATCATCATATTTAAAATTATTTTAATTGAAACATTTACTCTTCACATTATATATAACAATTAAAATGACAACACTAGTGGTAATGTACACAGATGACAAATTTCAGCTCACGTTTGCTCACTATGGAGAAAAATATTCTGGGGATGATGATATACTCAGAGTGCCCGTCAAACTAATAGATAACATTAGCATATATATTGACCACCCGGTCCATGAACTGGAGAGAGTAGAGGTGGTTGTTTATATGGATTGTAAATTGGTTAAGTCTGTATCTGATCCCGCGAAAGGTAAAAACAATGTATACACGCAGCTATCCACTGCCGTTAATAATATTTTAAATATATATATATACTTCTAGTTAGCTTTTGCGGCTGTTGGCTGTTATTGGCAAGGTACACGACCATTATTATCCAGCTGTTTTAGTATATTATTGTAGTTTTTTTAGTAAATACATATATTTGAACTCGCAAACAAAGTGTTCAAACCATATATAGAAACGATATGCTGAAATCTTATAGTTGAAAACCCAAAAGTTCAATTTAATTACACAAATTACAATTCAATGTTTAAGTTGCGTTCTAAATTTCACAATAGACACAGTGTGACCAGGAGCAAATCTGCAATGGCCATTGTTCCAATTGCTGAGCGAAAATTTATGGTCAAATCCAAATGAAATAAATTTTTGTCAGAAAGCAGAACCAAACTCTGGTATTTGTATAGCAATACTGCAATGTTCCCAGAGTCTGCCCGGGCGTCTGACTGATGCGCAGGTTCGACGCCCGATGAGTGCAAATAGGGCACGCCTTTTTTCTTTTCCAATCAATTATTTCCCAAATTATGATGATTACGCTCAGAGCCTACCAAGGTGGCGGTGTCGGCTATCAGCTTTTGCACATTCGTATGCGATTGACTACTTAAACAGAAAATTGACGTATATATTATATGCGTGCTCAAGTAACAGAACTGGTTTTGATAGCTGGTTTTCAGTAACCAAGTTATGCACATATCAAGACTTCATTGTAAATAACATCAAAACTGGTAGCCAGGTGGCAGAAGCTATAATTTTTCGATACATCTAAAGAAAAGCTACGTAAAAAGAAAGGGCATATAAAAGGAAAATCACACAGTAGTGTTGTATGGCTCTTACTAACGCGCGCTCCATCTTTGTAAACTTAGTTTGCGCACACATACCAATAATTTGTTTCGATTTCTTTCTTTTGCTCGTTTGCATGTTTAAATAATCGCATTGAAAAAACGTGTGTTTCGACCCTCTCAAGTAACTATGCTATCACCTGGCTCCCAATACGATGCGTACATTCACATACTAGTTTGTCTGGCTAACAACAGAAACAGCGTCCGCAGAGCGCTTCACATTGGGGTAGAGTGGGCGGGGCGGCAAGAGGCCAGCGCGCTCTAGCAAAAAGCGTACGCCATCAGTGGGCTGCGCACCAACACCAAGCCAGTACTTTGTGCGGGCAAAGTCAAGCGTGATGTGCTTTGCCTTTTCGTCCATGTTGGGGTGCGGGTTGTATGTACCGAGCTTCTCCAGAGGCTTTCCGTCCCGCTTGCTGCGCGCATTCATGGCGACGATGTGGAACATTGGCCGATTCCGCAGACCATGTCTAGCAAACCGAATACGCACTGCCATTTTTGAATTTAGAGAACGTCCTGGGCAGGAAAAAGTAGATGTTGATTTTTAATTACAAAAAAACGAAACGACAATGAAAGAAAACTACGCTCATTGAAGAGTACGACGCATTTGTTTATTTCACACATTTTTTGCTTATCGACCCGAGATAATCGGCTGATCGCGCAAAAAGAAATTGATTTGTCGCGCCAGACAAACACTGCCAGGCTGCCCATAAAGCGAACCGATGCATGAGTAAATTTATGTATTAATTTCTAGTAGGAAATATTTGCTACGCAAATCCTATTGGCAGAATAAAATTATTTGTTATTTTATCGCCCCTGTAGTACCGGATTGTCAGACTAACCATTGTCAGCGCACACTTGTAGTTATATTGGAGAGGCATTGCACCATCTGTTTAAACCCAACAAGAAATAACTCATCAGCACAGTCGTCATGTTTTTCCATGTAAGTGCAGCATTTCCAGTCATACCCGCTTAATTTTACAAATAACTAACTACTCGATAACTAATATAATTGGCGCAAAACTGTAACTGTTGTCCGCATTTAGAAGAAGCTGTCACACACAATCACCCTGCACCCATCCTTCCTGGGTCCACGTATGAGGGAATTTGTCACAAAGCGACTTTACCAGGACGTTGAAGGCACGTGCACAGGCCGGTATGGCTATATCGTTGCGGTTGTTGCAATAATGGACATTAAAATGGGCAAAATCATACCTGGTCTGGGCTCGGCAGAGTTTGAAGTGCAGTACTCGGCGATTCTGTTCAAGCCGTTCAGAAACGAGGTCATGGACGCTGTGGTCAACACAGTGAATAAAATTGGCTTTTTTGCCAGCGCTGGTCCGCTAAACATTTTTGTGTCGCACTCGCTGATTCCAGCCGATATGGAGTTTGACCCCCACAGCAACCCGCCATCGTTCCACTCTGAGGACATCAAGATCGAGAAGGGTACGCTTGTACGGGTCAAGATTTCGGGAACGCGCATTGACGCTACAGAGATCTACGCCATTGGCACAATCAAGGAGGACTACCTGGGCGTCATTGAGTAGACCTGCTTGCGAGCGCCAAACGTGTCAGCATGTTCCAAATCCTGGTATCTGATTTTAATTACACGTGATCCACTATTTCCATGAAAAAAATTTTAAAAGATGATCTCGGCTTTTTAAATCCTTCGAAAATTCGAAAAAGGCAAAAAAAAGTTTTCACCCTTTTTCTTTTATTTTCTTGTTTACTTGTTCTCATTTTTATTTTATGTTTGGATTCCGCTTGGCCAAATCTATCTTTCGACCAGCACTTTCGCACCGCCTTTGCAGACACAGTCTATTCTCAACCATGCCCAAGATTATTGGAACGCACAGTGGCACCTTTCATTGCGATGAGGCCCTTGCTTGCTACATGCTGCGCCAGCTCAATGAGTACAAGGACGCCAAGGTAGTTCGCTCGCGTGACCAGGCTGTCCTAGACACCTGCGACATTGTTGTCGATGTCGGTGGTGTTTACGACCACGAGGCCAAGCGCTATGACCACCACCAGCGTGGCTTTGACGAGCAATTCTCGAGCGAGTTCAAGACCAAGCTTAGCAGCGCTGGCCTTGTCTACAAGCACTACGGAAAGGAAGTGATCCGGGCCATCCTTGCTGGAGAGGAGATCAGCGACAGTGAGACTGATATTCTGTACAACAAGATTTACGAAAGCTTCATCGAGGGAATTGACGGCATTGACAACGGTATTTCGCGGTACCCCGAGGACATCGAGCCGGCATACAAGGAGAGCACTGGTCTTTCTGCGCGCGTCGGGCGCCTGAACCCCTGGTGGAACGAGCCTGAGGGCGACATGGATGCGCGTTTTGTCAAGGCTGTGGCCATGACCGGCGAGGAGCTTGCTGAACGCGTGCGCTACTTTGCGCTCGCATGGCTGCCGGGACGCAAGATTGTTGAGCAGGGATTCGAAAACCGCTTTGACATTGATAGTAGTGGCCAGATTGTACTCTTTGAGCAGTTTTGCCCCTGGAAGGACCATGTTGACATTATTGAGGAAGAAGTTATGGCCAAGAGTCCCGAATCACCCAAGATTCTGTATGTTCTGTATCCCGATACTGCCGGCGCTTGGCGTGTTCAGGCGGTCCCCGAGAGACCCGGCTCGTTCAAGTCGCGCCACCCATTGCCCGAGGCATGGCGCGGTGTGCGCGACGATGACCTGTCGGAGCGCTCAGGAATTGAGGGTTGCATTTTTGTTCACCAGTCTGGATTCATTGGTGCCAACAAGACCCGCGATGGCGCCCTTGCACTTGCTCGCAAGGCATTGACTATGGACTAAGTGTTTATGAAATGCCACCCCCAGCCAGATAATTTGCGTCAGCTTTGCTTTGTTTTATTTTAATGTGTACAGCTTGCTAGCAAATATGTTTTATATTACAAAAGCATCCTAATAAAAAGTGAATAAAATATTTCTAGTTTGTTTTATAAAATTATTTTTAATGGTCTAGATTAACAGGTAACAATTGGAATATTATATAAGTTATAATCCGCAATGGTCTAGTGGCTAGGATCCGACGCTCTCACCGTCGTGGCCGGGGTTCAATTCCCCGTTGCGGAAATATTTTGCTTAGTCATAATATGACTAACTGGATGTATGAAGACATTTTTTGACTTTTGTTTATTTAAGCTTTGCTATATATATATTACAAAACGCTACAATCACTTGCTACTTTGTATAATCCTGCATACAGAGTCGACATTTAAAAAATGGAAGTCCGAATACACCATCTAAATTCTCAAAATTAACCACTCATCACAATTAATTTGAACGTGAAAATTGAAGTCCACAGCATATGAATGCTGGAATATTATCAGTTTGCTGTGCATCTATAAACTATTTCACTTGCATGTATTGTTTATATATGCGCTTTGTCGTATTTTCTTTACATATTTTTGTGATATATTTAATTCAATAAGTACAATTACATTCATGATTAGGATATTCGTCATCAGTAAAATGTAAATAACAACATGGACACTTCCTCATATCACTTCTGTATTCGCATTCGGTTTTGTATACTGTTTCTGAAATATTATATGAGTAATGATGCATGGCCTGGCTTAATTATTTAAATATGTTGGATCGAAGTGAATGTAATGCAGTGAAGCAATTTATAATGTAGTGATAGTAGTGGTAGTTGCTGTTAAACTTGTAAAAATAAAATTGCAAAAATGAATAGGTATAAAAAGAAGCGCCCATTAGCTCTTGTTTTTTCAAGACATGGGCGTGCCTTAAAAAATATTATTAGCAGGAGATTATTATGAAAAAAGGGCTGTGTGGAAAGCACTACTGTAATAATGTTAAAAGGATAGGTGTTAAATTATAAAGCTTTATTACTGATGTTTCTAAAATACTACTAGGGCCAGCCTCATCTTATATATGTGCCTCGTCGCCTTTGTTGTGCACATTGTTAATTGTGCGCTTTGTTGGTGAGACCTGGATATTCTGCGAGCAGACTGGTATCTTGGCAAGTCAATGTGGTTTTCGTGTGTGTGCGCTCATGCATGTGCATTGCAAAATGGGGAGCATGTATGGGCAGCATTATGATGGCTCCCTAATTTATGCTTGCATAATCCAATTAGTACCCTATCAATCGGCATGCAGATGGAAACTTGTTTCGCAATTCACAACCTCAACATCCACTTCTATATCTTCAGTCTGTGCAACAGTGCAATGTGCAATTTGAAATAAAAATTTATTGGGGATATGAGTGGCTTTAATGTTTTTATTTAAAGCATGGGTGTAAATATTAGCAATTGCATCATTTATGATGTAAACCTTGTACCTTTTCAATTAACTATAAAAAGCAAATTGATAAGGACAAAAGTGGTACAGTGTACGGCTGATACTCCATATAATTTAATACCAAGTATTTTGGTTACGCTGTTATTATGTTGCTAATTGGTATTAATTGGTCAAACTACATGCAGTACAAGCTACTGACTAAATGTCAGTGATTTCCCCCACAAGTATAAATTGCCGACATGTATTTATTTTGTCATGGCTATTATTTTTAATCATATTTAGATATTTCAACTGGTAAACAATATACACATTTTTTATTTTATACTAAAATCGGATAAACCAATGTCAACCGCTGCCTACAAGGGACTGAAGGGGGTGCTGCTCGATCTCAGCGGCACACTCCATATTGACAACGTAGTGACACCGCGCGCGATTGAGGCACTAGCAAACCTGCGCACAGCGGGTATCAGCGTGCGGTTTGTGACAAACTCAACCAAAACCAGCGACGAGCGCCTGTACAACAAGCTCACAAGACTCGGGTTTGCGCTCGACCGCAGCGAAATATTTACTTCACTCAGTGCTGCCAAAAGACTAGTCAAGGAGCGCAACCACCGACCACTCCTGCTTCTAGAGGACAACGCCCTGGAACAATTCGCGGATATTGACCAGTGCGCACCATACACTGCCGTGGTGGTGGGCCTGGCGCCATCGAAATTTGATTACGCGCATATGAACCAGGCATTTGGAGCGCTCCTCTCGGGCGCTGAACTTGTCGGCATTCACCGTGGAAAGTACTATGCAGAGACGGAGAACAAACTGTCAATGGGGCCTGGCGGATTTGTGGCTGCGCTCGAGTATGCGGCGGATAAAAAAGCGATATTGGTTGGAAAGCCGATGAGGGAGTTTTATGAGCTGGCGCTTAAGGACATGGGGCTGCTTGGATCGCCAGGGTCCGTGGCCATGATTGGCGATGACGTGCTTGCGGACTTGGGCGGTGGTGCGCAGGATCTCGGGCTTGTGCGCTTCTTAGTGCGCACGGGAAAGTACCGATCCAACGATGAGGAAAAGGCTCAAGAGCCATTGGATGGCGTGTTTGACTCGTTTGCGGATATTGTGGATGCCATGGTTAGTTGAAGGATAACCAAATAGATATATTGTCGTTTTACAGGAGCATCGGATGCAAGAGAAAAAGTGGAAAAAAACGAAGTGAATCAAAACGATTAACGATTAGACATAATTGGGCCTAAAGCTGGGCCTTGGCCGAAAGGGGTGACTCGGGAGCCTCAGAGGCAGATGTGCTCTTAGCAGAGACAGGCGACTCGGGAGCCTCAGAGGCAGATGTGCTCTTAGCAGAGACAGGCGACTCGGGAGCGGATGCTTTTCCAGCCGAGGCTGAGGCCGACGACGACTGCTCCGGCGCATCGCTGTCCAAATAAAGAGCGTGCCCTTATCGCCCTTGAGAATATTTTTGAAGGAGCTGTTGCTCAGCGCAGCAATCGTGTTGTCACAACCGCCAATATGATGACCATTGGCAAAGATGTTGGGCACGGTTCTCTGATTGGTAAGACTGGCCAGGACACTCTGAATAACGCTGCCGTCGTCGCGCCGATCAAGCTCGATGGCCTCAAAGTTAATACCATTGCTCTTGAGCAGATTCTTCGCTTTGGTGCAGTACGGGCAGTACGACTTGGAGAACACCATGACGGCGTTCTTGGAGATAAGGCTTTTGACGAGCTGAGTAGCGTTGACCATGTCTGGGGATTTCAAAGTATCAGTGGAGTGAGAGTAGGATGGAGAAGACAAGGCAGACCCCATTTATTTAGTGTATAGAGATAAAAAATAATCGAAGAAGAGAAAAGCGATGAACAATGGAACAATTTGTGCCAAGATCGAACTGGATTTTTTCTTTTTAAAAAACTGACCACTCGATTTCAGGCGTGGCACATGGGGGAGAAGCACGCCGCACAAAAATGCCGTTAATCAGTGTGGGACGAAGAAAGATGACACCAGAAAAAATTCCGGATTATCGCTTTGCTTGCATTTAGCGTGCAATTTTATTCTTCAACCGAAAAAAATGGACACAAAAAAATTGCCTTCTAGAAGGGTCGAGCATCACAAAGAAAAAGCAAGGAAAAAAAACTCAGCTGCCAAGTTTACTGCTTCTTCCAGACCATCCTATTTAAAGGTTGCAAGCTGGGCAAGGTTCGCTTTTCATTTATTCACTTTTCGATGTATTAATATTTTTCTCTCTTTTAAAAAATACACACTACAAATTCACAGCACAACAACAATGTTTGGCAGCATAGTAGCAGGACGACTCGTGCAGACAAATTTGCAACAGGTCGACGTCAACAAGTACGTTTTTGAGCTTCCCAACGCACACGACATCAACCACATTGTCGTGTTCCTTCTAGGAACAATTCCATTCGAGCCCGGATACGCAGCCACAGTGCATCTTTTATGGCCCAACAAGAGCTGGCAGATGCTCGGCGCCCTGTCGAACGACAAGCCCAGTGCAATTTTCCGATTAAAGTCGGCCGTGGATCAGGACAGCCAACATATGCCAGGCGTCAGCGCCGAGCTGGGCATCTCGATTGAGCCCATCGAGAGCGTCGAGCAACAGGTACAACAAATGCAGCAGATACGCCAACAGACTGGAGCGGCAAACATAGGGGGTAATTCAATGGCGCTGGTACCCAGCGACGGCGGCGCCAATGGAAGTTTGCCACTGCAGACGGCCAAGCAGTTTGCTGAACGTACGCTGCAGAGCTTGTTTGACTATGCGATGTCGTTTGCGACGCGCCCCGATTCGACAATGGGCATGTTTGGGTCTGGAGCTGCTGTTCAGGTATTGCCGGTCAAGGTATTCGAGGAGTGGTACAACAACTTTTCTCGCAAGGTGCAGCGCGACCCGGCAGTCGCAATGTAATTGACAAAAGGAAAAACAAAAAAGTGGGGGCTGTACAAATATCTATATATCCACGTGACACATTCCCAAATTCGTTTATATTCTTTCCCGCGGTGGTCGTCTAAGTTGTGCATCGGACACGCTGAAAGCGCACCGATTTTTTCTTTTCTCATACAGGGCATTACCTTTTTACTTGCTAGGAAAAGTAGCGGCGTTTCGTTTTGAAGCGTGGCTCTTTTCTAGGCAGACAATTTTTCGGATCCATAGCATTATTGACACCTCAGTAGCTATATCCCGCGCCAAGGAGTTGGTGCGCAATTAAAAATGCTTAAGGTAGCCCGCAAATCAACGCTCAAGGTTTATCACTGTGCGTGGCCTCGAAGCTAATACCTTCAGCTCCACCTCGCACCGTTTCATGCCCTTGCGACATACTCTTTTTATAATTTATAATTTACAACAACTGTACAGACATACACACAAATCTTCAAAACAAATCAATGAGACGATTGCTCGTTTGCTTGTCATGCACACTTACAGCTTATTTCGAACAATCGGTCAGATCCGCCTCATGCGTGGCGGGGGGATAGTTGGGGGTGAAGGAAATAAAAAAAGTAGCAAGGAGATAGTCGATTGTTGCGGCGTTATCTGCCACTCATCGAGATCCAGCAAAATATAACCAAGCATGCACACACTTTAAAGAATAGAACAATAGGCCAAAAAAAGTTGACGCAGCCAGTCAGCCACCAAAAATACCGACATAGTAACATAGCTTTGTCGCTATTTCTCATCCTCTCTCCTCGAAGCACTTGCTTACGCAAGAACATTTGCGAACACGAACACATCAATTTACAATGAAAATGTGTATATTCCTGTTGAAAACCAGCAAGCTTGTTTGTATATTTGTATTGATTTTTATGCTATTGAAAGAGAAAAACTAAGGACACGTATGAGCAAAAAAAGCAAGGGAAAAAGAGAAAATAAGCTACCCGAGGATGCATGTGAGAAAGACAAAGTTAAAAGTTTAAAAACATGTCCTTCCTCCTCTCCCACACACCGACACTATTCTACACCCTGGAGTAAAGGAAGATAAACCCATCATAACGTTATGATACATTTCCCCTTTAGGATAAGCTTTTTCCTTCATGAGCTTTAGAGTCTATCGCGAGACCACTGCTTCTCAAAACGACCGTTGGGATCCATAAGCTTGACGTTCTCGTTCTGCTGGACGTGGAGCCAGGGGTAGGGGTTGTTGTGCTTGTCCCAGACGACCTCGGGGCTCTTCAGAGCACGGGAAGCAAAGTAGCCGCAGACACCGAGGGCACCGACACAGGTAACGTAGATGGGGATGAGCTCCGAACGGTACCAGTGAGTCTTCAGGTAGAGCTTTGTCGCCTTGGTGAACATTTTTTAAAAGATATTGATAGTGTTTGAGAAAAAAAGTAATAAAGTACAGGAAAGAAGAATTAAATAGGAAAAAGAGAAGAGAATAAAAAATGTGATAAAAAATATCGAGTTGATGTTTTTGTGCTTGGTAGCGATGTGCAAAATGTCTGAATGTGCAGCTTTTTATACGCAAAAAAACTTTACCTGTGGACATCATCACATTTTATGCCCTGCACTCTTTTTTTCTCTGCTAGGCAGGTATGATAAGAGTTTTACGCTTTAGCGCAATTCCATTTTTTCTTTCAAAATTTTTTATCATTTTGTTGGGGGTAATTTTCTCAGCAAAAGAGAGAGCGGCGCCTCGGAAGCAAATCCCCTTCCATTTGCAAAAAACAATCATTTTTTGGCAAATAAAAGTCATAGTGCCAAAATTATCCTTCGTGACTGTTAATTTTTCTTCAATGTCTTGTGAACAGTTCAAAATTTAAAACAGTCTGCAAATGACCCAAGCGGAATAGCAGCTGACAAGGGTCCACTAGCTTTTTTCACCTCCCATCAGAAATCAATTTAATGTGTTTTTGGTCGGCATTTGTAACCACTCATGTAACCATGACTCAAAAAAATGCAACCCGATCACAGTACGGGATATTCAACTATCCAGTGCTCTGGCATATAAGCAGGCCTCGCATGCTCGACAAAATGCCTGCGCCACGCCACCACAAGCTCCGTAACGCCACCAATCGCAATGGCACGGCACAAAGCACACATCGACGGCAGCACCCTGTGCGCAGCCACTGAATCAACAACTAAATCCCCATGGGCACGGAAATCAGGGCCTGCCACACGGACCTCCATATCGCACAGCTCTTGCAAAACCAACTCTTCCATCCCGAAAACATCCTCTTCGGTGTTCCGACACCAGCCCTCAATATATTTGCGCGCCTCATCGCTGAACAGGTCCTTGCGATCCATGGATACTGCGTGAACGGTATTTCGCAGCTCACACAGCCGAGACTCGGGTATCTTATTGTTGCGTGCCAACAACGCCGCGGCAGCCTTCCCCGCACTCCCTATGTCCCTCCGCTCAACCCACCCGATGCCCAGTAGCGGCGAATCGTAGCACGCGGCTAGGTGCTTTTTGAATAAAACTGCATGTCTCTCATACGCGTCGTGGCAGCGGGCGCAGAGCGGCAGGAGATCGAAGGATGAGCGGGATTTGATTTCCTCAGACATGAATTGTCGGTACTGGTAGGGGATCACATGGTGCTGGGTCAGCTGCTGGTCTGAGTTGCATACGACGCAGGCGTTGCGCATGTCCTGGAGGTAAAATGGCTCGTGGGTGCGCCCGCTGCCCTTGTTGGTAAAGGTCAATTGGATCGTCCCGGGGTCTATTTCGTTTGCTAGCTGCCGCGCTAGGTACCAGTCAAGACGCTTCCTGCTGGTTTTGAATAAGAGGTTGCCGGAGATATCTAGTACGCGGCAATTCTCGTAGATGGCCTTGGTTTTGGACTGCATCGCTAAAAGGAACTGAAAGTCAATGTGGAAATTTATAAAGTATGCCTTTTGCAAAATAAATGGTGTTTCGTCGACGCAAACAGCGCCGCACAAACCTTTTCGTGCGTGGCTTCGTCTGCTGTTGACAGCAAATATAATGGGAAACACGGTGTCGTCTTTTTTCTCACTCTGTGGGAATAGCAAATTATTAAAATATTTGAAAATATATAACAAAAACTTTAAAAAAATTTACAGCGGATCCTTGGCCAAAAGGTGCTGGATGCGCAGAACCTCCTGCGACTGCGTGGGTGACGGCGACGTCACGCACAAGTTGACATTCGGCTTATTCGGTGACAACGACGTGCAGTATCCGGTAATAATAACCTGCACCATAATCCCAGTCTCCACATGGTACACCTCGATGAACTGGCTGTCAAACGCAAGAATGTACGGGTACTCAAACTTGAACGACGTCGGGGTACCAACCCAGTTGATCCTCCAATTTGACTGTGCGCGCTGGCCATTGCGATTAACATAAAATGCAAACTCGTCGTAGCACAGCAGAAACTGTCCGTCATGCACGCGGAACAGGGCGATCGGATGCGACGTGTCACGCCTGTTGATAAACCCAAGGGATGTGTCAGCCGGGTCGAGCAAGGACTGCGTGTTCATCGTAGCCAGGTCGACGATCTCAAAGCCGCGGCTGCACCCGACACACAACCGCGAGCGCAAAAAGTGCAGTGACGTGGACTCGGCCGCAATATAGCACTCCTTGATGCACTTCCACGAGTCCGCCGTCGACTCGCCGCCGAGGGACAGGAACCGCCCGAGCGACCGGCTCTTCTGGTTACTCATCACAGGCTTGTACACGTGAATGATCGTCTGGTTGCTAAGCGTCGTCGACTTGACCGAGCACAGGATGTCCAAGTCCTGATATTGCCCGAAGCGGAAAAAGGACACGTGGCTGTGTAGCGCCTTGATCTTGGCACCGTGCTTGCTGTTCGGCGTCGACGCCATCAGTTGGTCAAGCGGGTACACGTACAGGTTGCGGTCCTTGTCCGCGATCATCGCCAGGACATTCAGCCGCTCGTGGATCTCGATCTGGAACACGCGGTCGTGGCGCAGGTGGCTCAGCAGCTGGAACGACCGCGGTTTGCCCACAACCCCCACGTACAGCCCACGGTCAGTCCCGATGACCACGCAGCGGCCCTGGTCGTACGCATCGGCGGTATTGACGCGGATTCCCGCCGGGAACTGGCAGGCCACGGGCACAAGCTCGAACTTCCGGTTCCGCTCCATGAGCTCCAGCTGCTGCTGCTCAATGCACTGGTGCCATTGCTGCCGGTCAGCCAGCTTGTTCGCGTACAGTGTCACCGTGAAGCCGCGCCGCCCGAGGTGCGTGATCTGCAGTCCGTGCGTGTACTTGTCCCTCTGAGAGTCGCTGTGGTCGATTGAGATGATCGTCGGCCGCGGGTGGGCGGCAGCACCCGAGCCATTGCCGCCAGCCGACACTGTGCCGCCAGCCGTGGCAGTAGCAGCGGCCAGCTTGTTGCCAGCGGCCGTCGACACAGTGCCTAGAGTGGTTGCGAGGCTGCCCACGCCGCCTTGCGGCTGATTCGCACTAGAGTCTCGGCGGGCAGCCATGCGCGGGCGCATCGAGGACGGATCATCCGGATAACAGATGGTCAGGAGCTGCAGCGGAATCGGGTGCTTATATATTGTGTACTTCTCCTCGCCCGTGCGCGAGTCTGTCTTGACCTTGCACATCAGAAGCATATGGTCGAGGAGCAAAACCTGGATCACCGAGCTATCGTTGCCGCCGCGCTTGCGCAGTTGGCTGTCGCGCACGAGCTTGCGCTGCTCGTCGATCAAACACAGGTCGTTGCGGTCGGACACCGTGCACATGAGCTTCTCGTCCACCTTGTACAGGCGCAAGCGGTTCTGCGCCTTTCCTGTCTCGGTGTTGATGCGGTTGAGCATAGCCTCGATGCGCTCGACAACATAGGGGATGGTTTCGCGGTCGGGGTGGCCCGCCGGCGTATACTTGAGCACGGCCTTGAGCACCAGCGGGTAGCGCGCCAAGCGGGTGGGCGGGCGAGTTAAAAAGTGCTGCACGCCGAGCTTGCGGCACTCTGGTCTGCGGTCAGTCTTGTCCAAAAAATCCACGAGCTTGCTGTTGCTGCGCTTCTCAGCGTCCAGAAAGTGCATGCTGTAGGGCTGGTTGGCGCAGTACTCGAGATATGCCTCGAGTCGCTCGACGAAGGTCAAGAAGACGTCGCCGACCTGGTAGCAGATAAAGTTCTCCTTTTGCCGCTTCTCCAGCGCGCGCTGCAGCTCCATGTTCTCGGCCAAAATGGCCAGCGCGTTCTTGAACACCTTGGTGATAAACTTTTTGCGGTCGTTCTCGTTCACAATGTCACTGTTGTGAAGGGGCTTCATGTACAGATCGCGTAGAATGCACAGGTCGCGCACGTAGTCCTTCTCGCCGTAGAACACCTCGTACATGCGCTCCTGCTTGTCCAGCTCCTGTCGGCTAACCGACTTAACGATCTCCGTTGGCACCGACATGGACCACAGCTTCTCCTGCTTCATCTCGGTCGCCACGTTGTTCTTGGCCGTTTTGCGCAGGTGGTCCTGCTGGGACCGCTGCCGCGGACACGTCACGCTGTAGCACGGCTGGCTGCTCGAGCACGTGGGCGAGTAGCAGTCAGTCAGCATCACAAACACGCCATTGATAGCGGACACCGGCGCAGGCGCTTGGCTGAGCGTCAGTGGATCGTCATACTCGTCGTCGTCGTCGTCGCCGGTAGACGCGCTGACCGACATGTTGGTCGACCCGTCCGGCTGCACCAGCGTGCGCACAATGTCATCGTCAAACACATACAGCTCATAGGCATCGTCGCGCAACCTCTTGTCGTAGAACACGTCGTGGAAGAGCTTCTGCTGCTCGAGCGCGCGCCCGACCACGATGGCCAGATTGCGGTCGGCGGCCCTGATGATTGCGTAGATGGTGTCCACGGCGTCACGGCCTGTGAAGCAGTCCTGGTGCTCGAGCCCGTTGAGGACGCGCGTCTGCAACACCTGGCTCATTAACTCATAGAATGACTTTGCCACCAAGGACAGCATCGCTGGGTATACGGGCTTGACGTTCTCCAGCAGCGCAGCAAGTTCGGTGTTTACCGGAGCAACCGCAGGACGGCCCGGGCTCTCACTGCCGGTGGCCGGCGTGTCTGAGCCCAGGTTCATCCTCTGCGCCAGTCTGCTGCTTGCAGTCTGCGGCCGGGTGTCCGCCAATGACTCTTTACCGGTGGCGACACCCGATGGCTGGACTAGGGCACTGCTGTCAGCGGCCGTCTCGGTATTCTGGCCGGTGCCCTGCGAGTAGTCAGCCGCCGGCGAGCCAAGGTGCGAAATGTCCGTGTTTATACTCAAGGTCGAGATGCGCGGACCCACGTGAGCAGACGCTAGAGGTTGGCTCTGGTGGTGCAAATTGTGCTGCTGCAAGATGGCATTGTTGGAGTACGCCGTGGGGATCTGCGGCACAGGGATGTGGTCTGCGTTGTGAGCCACCGAGCCAATGGCCTCCTTCATCTCGCTCATATTGAGGTCGGGCGCGCTGCGCGACCCAGGGTACGCTTGGTGCATGGTTCTATTAAAGCTTCCCATCAGGCTGTTTGCCGTCTGGTAGCCTGGCTGGCCTTGCTCGGGGGTTGCTTGCAGCGGCCTGCGCTGCGTGGCATACGGCGAGGCAGCGTACCCGGTGTGGTATCCTCCTGAAGACGATGACGCGTTGCTAGCCGACCTCCCCACGCGAATATCGCTCATAGACTGGGTGGGCACTGTGGCTGCCGTGCGATACCTTCCCTGCGCAATGCCGGTAGCGCTGCTCGTGCCGTACTCCATACACGTGTTACCGTTAAACATAATCTCGGGTTGCAACGGCACCATGGCCGGACTGCTCTGGTAATGGTCCGCGCTGCCATTGCTTGACATGCTGCCCTGTGTAGGCCGGCGGCGACCAAGCGCGTTGGCCAAGTCCTGCTCGCGTTGCTGGCGGTTGATGCCTGACGAAGCGACGGCGTTTATCAGCGCCGGGCTTGGAATAATCCGGCTGGTTGCGGGCATGCCGCCGCCAACAACCATGGCTGAGGGGTAGTTTGCTGGCACAGGGGGCATCGGCATCGGCATCTGGCGCGGCGGCAGGGATCCTGTGGGCGGCGGGCCGGCATGGTAATGGTGGTTGTTTGTGCGCACAATTCCAGCCGAAGTGTGAGCTCGCTGATAGTGGGGCGCCGTTGTGGGCCGGGAGCTCACATCGCCGTTGTCGGAGTGCGCCGTCTGGGGATATGCTGTCTCATACGAGTAAGATGTCCTTTCTTGCTGCATCTGATGCTGCATCTGATTCTGCTGCTGCTGGTACTGCATCTGCTGCTGGTGTTGTTGTTGTTGCTGCTGCGGTTGTTGCTGATAATGATGATACTGGGGCTGTTGAGGTTGAGGTTGCTGTTGAGGCTGAGACTGCGGCGCCCGGGATATGCGTTGCAGACGCTTGGGTGGGCCCGTCGGCGCCGGGCGATCAAACTCAAATCCTCCAGCACCCGTATACTGCACATTTTCAGGCCGACCCGATGAATTGTGTCTGTCCATGTTCTACGGATGAATTCAATAGTGAAAATAATATAATAAAATGAGGATTTTTAGAAAGAGTCAAAAATAAAAAGGTGAAAAATAAAAAATTGAATGCGTGTTTGATATTGTCCGCGTGAATTTGAATAAGGATATTGCACAACAGAATAAAATAATTTGTATGTGTTTATTTTACAGTTTTGCAAGAGAAAAGGGAAAATCAATGTATTCAAATAAAAAAGTGCACACACTCCAAGACTTTTCTCTTTGTGTCGGGTGAGTTTCCAACCACCTGAGCGAAGAAAATAAAAAAGTAGGGAGAAGGAAAACTGAAAGCGGAAAATGCGAAGAAAAAAATTTAAAAAGAACAAACAAAATTTTTTTACATTTTTTACATATTTTTTATATGCTTTATTTTCTTTATTTTCACCTTTTTTTGTCTCGATGCTTTATCGAAGAAAACCCCAAATATCGGCTTGATTGTTTCTACACACCTCCGCAAAAAAACAAACCGACAAGATGTTTTCCGCTGTTTATCTTTTGGTGGGCGCACGGCTAGTGATTAGAGATGAACTGGTTGCTTATCGATAGTACCCAACAGTGTGTAAACAATACTTTTTGATTTGGTCTTGGGCCTATTGGCAGGCGGAATTTTTCAAGAAAAGAACAGGACAACTGTATATTCAAAAAAAATTGGCTAAATATTCCAAAACAGGACCGAAAAATATTAAACTAAAGAAAAAAGACAAAGCGCACAATTTGAAATTCCGCCTCTCAAAAGTACCGTGCTCCAAAATCGGACTCGCATACACAACAGAAAAAACAAGGTTCGTAATCGGATTCAGGATATTTTGAAGAGGCGCCGCGCGAGACAAAGCCAACCCGAAAGAAGAAAAAAAATCCAGCCCCGATGTGGATATTGGGTGCTGCCATAATGACAGGCCCGTAAACACATCAGAGCCCCCTCCCGTGTACGCACAGTCTGCGGCACTTTGCCACAGCAAACGGTTTTTGGCCCAAAACATGAACACCACTTTTATGATTTCCCATATATTTTTACTTTTAAATACAGCGCAGTTGACTGACTTGCATAACTCCATCACTTACTTTTTTGCATAGGCACATATCATTATATTATTACAGTATCTCCCGTATTCGTTTGAACATGGCCGTTACCAGTCGTCAACGCGAAGGATTCACTATGCCCGAGCTCGAGTACGTAGCGCAGTGCGAGAGCGTGACAATCGTGCCTCTTCACCGCATGGACCGCCTGGAGCTTGTCAGAGTAAGTTTCGATCTGCTCAATGAGTTTGACCAGGGACCCGCTCAAATAAAATTAAACAAACTAAAACATTGGCTTGCAGTTGTTGTGATGCTCGCTCGTTTTTTAATTTTCCGAGCAAGAACCACTTCTTTGATAATATTGTAGGGCACAGTCGGTCCATTTAGACCCCCACAAAAGACCAAAGTGCCGCTTTGGCTGGCCGTAATGCTCAAGCGCACAAACCGATGCCGCATAGTAGCCCCCACCTGGCTCAGCTTCGAGCATCTCCGCGATCTCTGCAAGCGCGAAGAACAGCCCGACTCGCTCTTCACCCGTCTGCCCTTCCACTACCTCGAAATAGCACACATTATCCTGACCTACGCCGAGGACGACCTCGTGGACTCGCAGGGGATCCGCAGACTACTGCAGGATTTGCGCGAGGTGAGGCAAAGCAAGACGCGTGGTGGTATGGAGATGCTTAATCCGCTTCAGTTGCAGATGGACAATTTGTCTGCGGCCGAAATTAATGAGATACGGCCACTCTTTAGGCATTCGTTCGATATGTTGCGCCAGTTGGATCTTTTGGCGTCAGCGACAGAGGATTCGAGGCAGCAGCAGCAGCAGAGTCAGTTTGGGGAACTGTCCTATTCAGAGATGGACAATGTTATGGGGTCCAGCTATCCGCTGTAGCATTTCATTTTTTTTGCATAATCGAGCATGGCTCCCTGATCCTTGTGCCACATGCCAAGCAAGAAATTGAGCAAATATTGCTTTTTTACGATTTTTTGAGAAAGATGTTTTAATAAATAAAATATGAGCAGAGCTGCTTGCTACGATTCATTCCTCTTTTTCGTTTTTAAAATTATCAAGTACTTTTATTTACTAATTCTTTTTTATATTTTGATCATACTTGACAAACCCTTAACTTTGCTTTCGCTTTGCCCATCATTAGTGACCAGCTCCGACCCACGCGCCTTGAACACCTACAAACACGCACACATCCTTTTTATTATTATTTTTCACACACCGGCATTAAACATTAAGCATTCAAGATGATTCCATTTTGTGCACTGAGAAGGGCCGCATTTCTCCAGCGTGGGTTCAGCACTCTGAGCGCCCGCCTCTTGCCATACCCGTACTCCATAAACTTTGTACCCGAGCCCTCAAAAGTATCCATCGCTGTGACATTTGCAGCCTCGCCCGATCTAACCACAGGCACTTGCAAGATCGTCGGCTGGGTTCAACAGCAGCCAACCACCGACAGCCCCACCATAGATGGACAGTATATCAGGCCACAAGAATTTGCCGAGAATGCCGAGTTCTGGCCTCAGGTAGATCGGATTCTGGAAAAGCACGCGCACGAGGATCCAGAGCTGCAGGCGCAGGCAGCGGGTATAAAGAGCGGGTGGCTGAACATCACGGATGGCCGCAATCCGCCGCCGCCAAGCCGCACGGGTGCTGCGGAGGATATTTTTGGCAGCGTCATGGTTGAGGACAGGATAATTAAGCCGGGGTCGTTCCAGGCCAATTGGGCCCACCGCCCAGTCACAATCTACGGCTTGTTCCAACTGCCTGAGTATCTGCACAACAAGCTTGTGGAAAGTCTTTCGAAGAAGAACGATGAGTGATAGCGGAGCGGGATGGGGGGATCGGCCAGCTTTTTATCTTTTCCATTGCAAATTTTTTTCTTTAGATTGAGTGGGATTCGATGCATGTTTTGTTCGGCCAACCTGTTTTATTTTTTATTTTTAGCATGGCGTTTGATGATGCTGATTAGTGTTTGGGATCCTTGCTGCCCCTTGCAGACTCTTGGCTCTTCGCCCTCTTCTTTTTAGAACGTCCCGGGTAAATACGATCAAGAGATGAGCAGCAGCTGCGACAACACCCATCAGCCAATGTGCCATGTTGTGAGACGAGGGACCTTCAACTGTTTGCATGTGTAGCTAAAAATAGACCAATTTTCTCATCACACATGCAAAAACTGTCTAGCCATGCCGACTCAACTCGCAGACTAATTGAATTGACACGGAGGGTGTGAGTGAGTGATCGAAGCAGTGCAAATTGGCACCTTTCTCCTCATTATGCACATTGGATTGCGTTTGTACACTGAACACTGTGAGGCCTCCTTACTGTGCTACAAACTTGGGGCAGAAAATAAATCTTCCTTTTTCCCCGTTATTGTTCATTGGGCGCGGCCTTAATTTTGCACTACAGTTTCAAATAGTGGAATAATAAAATCAAGTCATCTGAGCCCGTTACTCTTTTTCATTACACTAGCAGCCCTTTCTCCCTTACCCTTTCCCCCTTTTTCTTTTCTTTTCTCTTTAATTTTGCTCAGCTTTTTCTTCTTAAATTATTAGCCTTATACTCAGTCTACACACTGCTTCTTTTTTACACTCTTGTAACTCATTCTGAGTACATCATTCGACGCGAATATCGGCAACAGAGCTCTTCCTTTTTTAAAATATAGCTTTGCTTTCATTCGTATCGTTCTCAAATACTTTCTCTTGGCACAACCCGTCCAACAACGCACATAGCTTTTAATAGAACGCTTCTTTCTTTATATCGGTTTTTTTGTCACGCCAACAAGCAAGTTTTTGCGTTCTTTGTAATTTTTCTTTTTGGGTTTCAATCGTTTTTCGTTTGTTTCGCTCACCTTTTCACTTTATATTTTTCGTATTCTGTTCTGTTCTTGTTTCTCTTCAGAATTTATTTCTCCTTCACACTTTAATTCATTTGCATTTTATATTCATTTCACTTTCACCTTCACCTTCACTCCATTTACTGCTTTAATATTCCTTGACGACCCAGCATAACAATAGCCGGACTATTTCTATCTTTACACGCAGATACGCATACACAGGCACTCACAAACTTTTTTTTGCATAAAACGAAATGGTTGACGAGAAAATCATTGGCATGGCTTTGGCCATGTCCTCGAGCCTTCTTATTGGAACCAGCTTTGTTCTCACAAAAAAGGGACTCATCGAGACGACGTCCAGATACGGCTCGGCGACCGAGGGATTAAAGTACTTCAAGAACGTCTTGTGGTGGGCCGGCATGGCAACGAGTAAGTACCCACTTTTTTCTTTGGTTATTTGCTTTTTCTATCATTACTGAAGATAGCAGTAACCGTTCTCTCTTATTTGTCTGAGACCTTCGTTTCGTTTTCATTTTATTTCTCCTCCCGCACATCCCCTCTTCTAGATGCCATCTAGCATGTGTTTTATCAGAGACAAAAAATCATTGCAGCTATTTTTTATTTCGCTTTATTTTTTTTGCTTTCTCAGCCTTGCGCTTATTCAGGCGCTACTGCTTTGCCGCGCCTCTATTTTTATTATTCCCACATGGGTGCGGTTGTATGCTTATTTTTAACTGACATTCTACATTTACACGAGCGGTCTTTTTTCCAGACAAACAGTAAAAAAAGAATAATGAGCAGCACAATAAGCGCTGGTTAAAGCTCATTATCTCGGCTTCGAGTCGACCGTGGTCAATAATAATGACACGGCTCCAGTCTGTGCTGGAAGCACGGCGATTATATATGCATATTCATATGCATAGCTATTGTTCTCCATTGCCATTTATTAAAAAATGTGGCTGCTATATAGTTTATAGTCACATCCGCTACCACTTTATTCACCTCTCTATCATGCCGAATGCATTGTCCATAATACGTGCATTGTGCTCGGAGGGATGTGTGCTTGTGGTAGAGTGCAAGGATATCTCAAGGTTGCCTTGTGCTTTTTTGCTCACTGCTTGTTGGCATTGGATTGTCAATATAGCATACTGCGCTGTGTTGATTTTCTTTCTTTTTCTGTTATGTAAATTTTGTTCTATTTTTGTTTCTCCATATAAACAGCACAACAAATGATTTCCGATACTAACTTTTGTCTGGCATGTTTATTTTTGATTGCGCATTGTAGTGGGTCTGGGCGAGTTTGCCAACTTTGCAGCGTACTCGTTTGCACCGGCAATCCTGGTGACTCCATTGGGGGCGCTCAGCGTGATTGTTGGAGCCATCCTGGCATCGATGTTTTTGGGTGAGCGCATCAGCGTGGTGGGCAAATCCGGATGCGCACTGTGCTTGCTGGGCTCGGTAATCGTGGTTCTCAATGCTCCCCGGGACGGCGACATCGAGTCTATCGAGCAAATCATGCACATGGTCATGCAGACACCTTTCCTCACCTACGCACTGGTCTCGCTGATATTCCTGGTTGTCATGATCACGCGTGTGGCTGGGAAGCACGGGCAAAACAACCCGCTCGTCTACGTGTCGATCTGCTCGATCGCTGGATCAATGACCGTGACCGCGTGCAAGGCCTTTGGCATTGCGTTGAAGCTGACCTTTGCAGGCAACAATCAGTTCGTCCACATCAGCACGTATATCTTTGCCGGCGTCGTCGCTCTGTGCATTGTTATTCAGATGAACTACTTTAATAAGGCGCTCGAGCAGTTTGAGACCAACATTGTGACCCCTATCTACTACGTCTTCTTTACATCGGCCACCATCCTGGCCTCCGTGGCGCTGTTCCAGGGCTTTACTGACTCGACAAACAAGGAGCTGGCCTCTTTGTTCTGCGGATTCATTACCATCTTCATTGGCGTATTTCTTCTCAACAGCACCAACGGATGCACGAGCTCTAATCAGAGCAATGGCCAGCATCAGGCTTTGCCCACAGACGAGCCCGGAAGGATCAGCTTTGCCGGCCGCGGACGCGTCTCGCAGGGAGCTGCCTCTTTCAATATCTCCGATTTTGAGGACGATTCCAGCACCCACGAGCTACACCAGTCGTTCCCCATGCGCGAGCGCAGACATACCATTGATTTTGAAAAGGAACACACCTTGAGCCACCGCCATACGTTTGTCAAGCCCCGTTTGTCGGACAGCGTGGATAGCGATGATGAGTGCGAGACCACCGAGGTGCCGTCGTCATCGTCGCACAGTAACTCGTCTGGGAACTATGCGCCGGCATCTCCGGCCTCATTGACCCACGATGATGTTCATATTGATATCCCGTTATCGCCAATGCCGCTGTCGGGTCGTCGCCAGTCTATGCCGTTTGGCAAGGTCAGCAGCGATATTTAAACTTTATGTTTAACACCCTTTTTACCCTTTTAATTTGGGGGCTTTTTTTAGCGCTATGTGCGCAGAAGAAAGCTCGTAGTTTCGGGTATCATTTTTTGATTTCGTGGTTTCTTTTTCTTTCAAATTTTCTAGTTCTTTTTGTGTATAACAACAAATGTCCAATATCGTCAAACAAATAAGCTCTGTGAAACACAAGCTCGAGATTTTCATAGTGTGGGGTAAAAAAAGGAGTGATATTGGGCTAATCTGTTTTCTCGTTGCACTGTGTTCCAGACGCATATCACCTGATTTGTAGATAAAGAGCAAAAAAATATTAGCATTCGAATTTCTTTTTTCTTCTTTTTCCCTCTTCAATTCAAATTTTTCAATTACCTTGTCTTTTTCTTTTGTTGTTGAAATTCTATACTCTACTACAATGATCTCTGCTATCGCTCGCACCTCCATGCGCTCCCGCGCCGCCGGCAATGTCCTGCGTTCTGGCGATCACTACCCGTCGCCCAACGGCATGGTAAGGACATAACTGATTAATCGACAGGAAAATTCAAGTCTGACACACTTTGAGGCACATTCGCACAAGGGATCACAACTGCCATGAAAAATTGTTTTTTTCTGTTGGACATGACAAGCAGCTAAAAAAAGCAGGTTGCGTGTGCGCGTGCGTGCGAGTTGTACAATAACGAAATAAAGCTTGGTTTTTTTCGAATCCGTCTAGATAAAAGCAGACAAACCTCTGGTGAATTAGCGAATTAGAAAAACAAACAAAAAATAGCTGTAAAATTCAATTCACTAATTTGTCGAGCGCCTTTTTTTCTATGCACTCTGCTTTACGGTTCCTCTCCCTCTATTTTCTTTTTAATTGTAGCACTTTCCCTTCAACACCCAGAAGAAGGGCTTCAAGTTCCTGTACTGGGGCTCGTGCAGTTTCTTTGCCTCCCTTCCCTTTGTTGCCGCCTGGTGGCAGATCCGCAAGGGCAACGGTACCAAGGACTACTAAGCACCTTGTCTTTTTTCTTTAGAGCGAGCTTGAGACTATTTTTAATTCAAAGGATTGTCTTATTATTAGACGCTAATAAAATATACAAATGTTGGCAACTGATTCTTGTATAGCAATTAGAGTGTTTGAAAATTATCAGTAACTCGCATTGACCCGACGAGCTATCGTTTTTGATATGGCAGCTGATAAATTAGCATCATATTCGATTTGATCAAGTGATACCAATTCTGTGAAGCAATTAAAATATTTGGGCCTTTGATTATAAACTATCAACTGCCCACCATACGTAATTTTCTCTACATTTTTTACATTTAATGTGTAGAAAGCAAAGAGCAAAGAGCAAATTGGAAATTAGAAACCTTTACATTTTCCAATCACATAATGTCAACTCTATCCACATGATGCAAATTAAATGCAAGCAAATGACCAACTTTATTGAATCGAACAATGTATTGTTGAGCAGTCTGATGGTTTAGAAGTGGGTGTCGAGTTTGAGAATCATGAAACAAGTTTTCATCAACATGCCGATTGACAGGGCATAGATGGTACTATGTAGGATCAAATCAGGGGATATAATATTGACACCCTGATATGCTCCCAATTTCATAATGTACATGCATGGGTGCGCACATGCGAAGATCATAACCTTGACACGCCAAGACACCAGTCTGTCTGTAAAAAAAACTAGTTCTTGCTAACGGAGTGCACAATTGACAATGTGCACAACAAAGTTGACGAGACACATATATAGGATGAGGTTGGCCTCAGTTACGCTTTTGATTCCATTGATAATAAAAACTATAACAAAAAACAAACATACTTTTGACACTGGGCGACTAGTGCTCCACTCAAATCACAGCACCCTTAACATTAAACAACTGGTGTCCCCCTCAAAGCACAACAGTATCCTTTTTATACAAAGATTATAGGGATGTGAGCGGCATTGCTTCACCCATGTCCGCCCAACAACTCATGCCCCCAAGGGAGCAGCTTAGTAAAGCAAGACTTGGTTTTTTAAAACATTGCTCATTTTTTAAGTAAATGGACAATGATGGTTGCACTGTGCACGTTGGCCAGCTAGTTGTAATTGTAAAAAAAAATAAGCCAAAAAATAGCTGTTTTATGCCATCGCGCATTTTTCATTAGCCCTTTAAAATCGCTCCTATTAATATCTTTTAAACGGCAACGCCCATGCCTTGCAAAACGTAATTGAAAATAATGGACAGGCATAAAAAGGAACGCCCACTGGCTCTTACATTTTTTATTTTTCAAAACTCATCTCTACATAATTTTACATATTTAATTCACAAACCACTCAACTATGTACCTGTGATGCCTAAACAGATCATCACATAAGCTCATTTGAGCCAAGAAGCCACGAGCTCCTGTATTAATGCCTATTCGAATTAATACAGGAGCATGTGAGGAGTTTTACGTAGCCTATAAAAGAGCAATTAGGGAAGACTCAATAGGAGGCTTCCCTAGTGAATTTTGAATATAGTATTTTATTGGTGCACGAAAATAGTTATTTCACAACTATGCACCAGTGCTCGTTCGTCATCTTGAGGCCAAAAGCGTATGCAAGCTCAAAGGCAAAAAAAGCTCTAATTTAACATATCCCCGCTGTGGAAAGGGCATGACTAATGATCAATACACAGTTCACACATGTACTCTTCAAAATGGCGTAGAAGTGATGTCGCGAATGGTACTATTGAATTTTATTAATTAGATAATTAAAACTCCTACTGGATACCTTTTCTTCTTAAATCCTGGTCAGTTGGCTTGGTATTTAAACCGTTTAAAGACAAGCGAGCACAGTTGCGTTGCTAGTTGTGGACACCAACGTACAAAGGTGACATAGGATAGAAACGTTATTTGATGACAATCAGCGCTTGATAGGGAACATTGACACCAGTGGTCAGTTCTGCTACATAACACTATTATCCAATGACCCAGTGTGGCAACATAATTTTACTGGAGCATGTGACAGCATAACCACATGCAAATTAATTATGTAGGCTTCTTTAGCTTTTCTTCGTAGTCTTATTTTAATAAGCTGATATACTAGGTATAACTTTCCTCACAACAAGGATCCTAAGCACATAGCCCGTGGGACTCGAGACTAGCTACATAATCACGATATAGACGTCTTGCCATGGCCATCACAATAGCTTAATCTCAGTCCTATTAAAACCTCTAGGCTCTGCTGAAAATCCATCTTTGCAGCTATGATAGTCATCCAAAAAAATATTGGCGAATTATTCGAGCAAGCACAAACGTGTTGTGTAAATATTTCAGTCACTAATATTCAAAATTTAGTGCATTCAATTTCCCAAGCGCATGGGCGCAGTCATACTCTCACAGGGGTTACCAGTTTGACACGTACAGAATGCCTATTAGCTTCAAAACTTTGAATTATTATTTATAAAATTGTTAAAACTTCATTCATTTTCAATAGATTTCCATGTTAGAAATGTATTCCCTCCACAAGCTACTTGCAAATATTATATATAAATACAATAAAAAGTTAATGATTCACTTTTCATTGATAATTATTGGGAAGCAATTGGTTGCGCTTTGGTATATATATAAATTTAAAATAATTTAAAAAGCGTTTAGCCCAAGCTGAGGAGTATGCTTAAAAGAGTAATTATGGATTACTCATGATTAATCAGGATCAATGAAACTCCGCACGCATGCTTGCACATACGATAAAGTTGTATAGAAAAAGGAGCAGCACCCATGCCCAGAACAAAAAATATTTTTTATTTTGCTTCAAAAATAATTGATTTGATTTTTCCTTTTCTGCTTTAAACCTCAGTTTTTTTTTTCAATTTCAAAGCAATTCAATTTTTACCAATGAGCTCTGCCACTGAAGCCGCTGCTCCCGAAGCGCAGCTTGCCTCGCTTTCCATCAGCGACCCTATTTCCACTGAGCCTCAAGCCGTTGACAACAACAATGACTCTGACAGCGAAGCCGAGACAAACACTGTCGAAGGCGGCGACGCTTCCGGGGCGCAAAAGAAAAAAAGAAGAAGAACAAGGGAAAGAAGAAGAAGAGCAAAGGACCTGGAGCCTCCGCGCAAACCTCGCCGCCCAGCATCCCTGTCTCGCAACTCTTCCTCAACAACAGCTACCCGGTAGGTGAGCTGCAAGAGTACCGTGACGACAATCTCTTCCGCACAACTAGCGAGGAGATGCGGGCCAAGGACCGGCTTAATGAGAAGCAGCTTTTTGACCTGCGCCGTGCGGCGGAGGTACACCGCGAGGTCCGGCAGTATGCACAGTCAGTGATTCGGCCCGGGATGGACCTGGCGGATATTGCGGAGCTGATTGAGAACGGTACGCGCACGCTGGTACAGGAGCAAGGGATGGCGGCTGGTGTCGGGTTTCCGACAGGTCTGTCGCTGAATAACTGTGCGGCACATTACACGCCAAATAAGGGCGACCATGTGATAATCCAACAGGACGACGTGCTCAAGGTTGATATCGGCGTCCAAGTTAATGGTAATATTGTTGACTCAGCCTTCACCATGGCGTGGAACGACCGGTATAAGCCGCTGCTGGATGCCGTGAAGGATGCGACAAACACGGGAATTCGCGAGGCCGGCATTGATGTAAGACTGGGTGATGTGGGTGCCGCGATCCAAGAGGTTATGGAGTCCTACGAGATCGAGCTTGATGGCAAAGTTATTCCGATCAAGCCTGTGCGCAATCTCTGCGGACACAACATCGGCCCGTACGTCATCCACAGCGGCAAGTCTGTGCCAATCGTGGCGAACGGTGACCCCACGCGCATGGAGGAGGGCGAGCTTTTTGCTATCGAGACCTTCGGCACCACTGGAAAAGGCACTGTGTTCGAGAAGGGTATCTGCAGCCATTATTCGCGCACGGTGGATGCGCGCAGGTCGCAGTCGGCGTCAGGAAATAAGCTGCTGAGCGTTATTGGGAAGAACTTTGGCTCACTGCCGTTCTGCCGCAGGTTCTTGGATCGCCTGGGCGAGTCGCACTATTACTTGGGTCTGAAGAACCTGGTTGACGAGGGAATTGTCACCGCATACCCGCCGCTGTGGGATGTTGAGGGTTCGTATACCGCGCAGTTTGAACACACCCTTATCCTGCGTCCCAATATCAAGGAGGTTCTGTCGCGCGGTGACGACTTCTGATCAGGCGGATGAAATAAAGAGATCAAATTGGATAACCCTATTTTTTCCACCTTTCTCTTTATTTTTATTTTTATTTATTATTTTGTGCGCAGCAAAAAATATATTACATACAAATTTACAAACAAATTCAACTTTTATTCGCAATTTAAAAATCACATGCGCTTCAGAGCCGCTCTTACCAACGCCACGCTGCTTCTGCGCGTGGTGCAGACCATGGACAAGCTGACCAAAACAGCCATCCTCAAGCTGACGCGCTCCAAGTTCCATCTTATAGTTCTCACAGACATGGATTCGGGGCTGCAGCTCTGGACAGACATCACGACCTCCGCGCTCTTCAGCGACTATCGTATTGAAAGCGTCCACGACGATGAAATCTACCTCGAGTTCACCATCGAAAATCTCCAACGAGCGCTCAAATCAACCCAAACCAACACGAGTACCTCGAACCAATGCACACTGCGTTTGACAAAGAAACAACACCTCCCTGTGCTCTCCCTCGTTATTCAAACTCAGTCGGCTATGGGCAGGGAGATGGTCCTGACACAGGATGTGCCTGTCAGAGTGTTGACACCGCAGCAGATGGAGAGTATTAGGGAGCCCATGGTGCCTGATGGCCAGGTGCACGTTATGATGCCAAGCTTGGGAAGCGTGCGGAGCGTGGTTGAGCGGATGAAGTCCATGGGTGACAGAGTGGCAGTTTCAGCTAATCGCCTAGGAGAGCTCAATATTCGCGTGAATAACGAACTGGTGGACATAACAACGTATTTCAAGGGGTTAGAGAATTTGAATGACGACTCTGTAGCTACGCAGGATGGATCGCAGGCAACAGTGGATAGGGCACCGGGGGAGTATTATACAGCGGTGGTGGATATGAAGAACTTTGTGCGCTTCTTGCAGAGCTACCATGTGGCGCCAAAGAATATTGTTTGTTGTATTATTGAGAATTTTGCACTTGTGTTTTATGTGTACATTGGGTCGACCGCTGGGTTTGGTAATAATGGCGTGGCGGCGTTGAATGATCAGAACTGTGGGTCTATGACATATTTTATACCTGTAAGACAACAATAAAGAAAAGAATGAGACTACAAATATCTAAAAATATTTAAATATTTTGCAAATCGACACGTGCTCAGAAACTAGAGACAACAAGTAGCCTACTATGATTAAAGATATTAATCATTGCACTGCTTCTTGCAAAAAAAGCTTGTGCTTGGACTGGCTTTGGCTTGGGAAAAGTTTTGAACAAAATATTGGGCGTCGCTGTAGGCTCAGGTTCAGCTGACTCGAACAGTGCCTTTTTGCGCAAGAAACGGGAAGGGCGCTCGTCTGAAAGCAGGGCATTGAAGATGATGTGAAAGTTTAGCACTGCAGCCATATTACGATTATTCCACTTCCGTCTGTCTGATGGCACTTTTTCGCCATCCTTAGCCTGCAATTTAATGGGCATCTCACGAGTGTGCTACTTTTTCTCTGCTTCTGACAAAAGGCTTTAACGCAATTACCTTTTAAAAATGTAAAGGTAAGTGCGTAAACACAATCTCGATGGTTACCCTGCAGGCTAGGGGGTTTTGTTAGTATGATTTTTCCTTTTTCCTTTTTCCTTTCCTTTCCTTTATTTTCAATTATTTTTCATTACTTTCTTTCCTTTTCCAATGGCGTACTTTAATCCACTTCAACAGCAGCAGATGGGAGGCAATCCGCCACCAATGCGCGGTGCCTTTTCACCAATTGACCCACAGCAGCAGTTCCAGCAACAGCCTCAACAGTTCCAGCAACAACAGTTCCAACAGCCTCAGCCTCAGCAGCAGCAGCAGCAACAATTTCAGCAACAGCCTCAACAGTTCCAACAGCCGGGCAATTTGGGCACCCAACCCAACTTTGCCAACCCCTATGGCGCCTTTGCCCAAAATCTGCAGAATAACCAGGCAGCACAACTCGGCATGCAATTCGCAGGCAGCGCAATGAATGCCATGCAAGAAAACATGCAGCAAAACGTATCGAAATACGTAAGCATGCGCCAGCTCAAGCATTACTTTGAAGTGTCCAACATTTACGTCCTGGCCAAGCTCAAAACCCTGCTTTTCCCGTGGCTACAGAAGCAATGGCACAGGCATGCGGAGAGAGACCAGACCGGCCAGGTGGTCGGGTACAAGGCGCCGCGGGCGGATATGCAGTCCCCTGACCTGTATATTCCGACGATGGGGCTGGTCTCGTATATTATCGCGATTGGTGTGATTATTGGGCGTTTGGGCGTTTTCCATCCGGAAGATTTGGGGTACACTGCGAGTTCGGCAATGGGGATTGTGGTTTTTGAGGTTTTGCTTGTTCGCATGTTTTGTTATCTGCTGAATGTGGGTGCTGAGATGCAGTTCTTGGATATTGTTGCTTATAGCGGGTATAAATTTGTTCCTACTATTTTGGTCGTTTTGTTGAAACCCTGGGCGCCCTGGTGGATGACGTGGATAGCTTTCTTTTATTTCGGTTTTGCATTGGCGTTCTTCATGATCAGGTCTATGCGCTACGCCTTGATTCCCGAGGCCGCCGAAGCTGTCATGGGCGTGAGCACGCATAGAAAGCGCAGGGTGCATTTCTTGTTCATTATTGCCATGATGCAGTTCCTGTATATCTGGGTTTTGATTCAATACAAGTCACCAAAAGCTTGAAAGAAAAATCAAGCTTTTCAATAAAATTTCATTTAATATAAAACTTTAATTATTATTTTACTTTTTGCAAGGTGTTGTTATTAGACTTTTTGAAGTTGTTGCTGTCGTCTTATGGTCATTGTTTCGAGTTTAGGTACTGGGACAGTGCGGTTTTTAGGGCGCCGCGTTCGAGTTCCTCGTCCTGCACCTCGTCCTCGCTGGAGCTCGATGACATGCCGCTGAGCGACGACGCATCATCGCTGTCCTCGTCCATCCCCTGGCCCGACGCAGCCGCTGCAGCCACAGCCGCCGCAGCGGCTGCCGCGGCTGCCACATAATCCAACTGCCTCCCATCGCCGATTTCCCCAAAGCCCCCGCCATACCCGGAAGCCCCCATCACTTCACTCTCCTCTGCAACTGCCGCCGCAGCTGCCCCTCCTGCTGCTGCCGCAGCCTCTTCCTCCTCCTGCTGATCGACATCCATCTCGTCGCGAACAATCATCCTTAACAGTTTTTCCTCCGCCTGCAACTTGAACAACTTGTCGACAATCTCCGCCCTCAAATCCTTCAAAAGGCTCTCCTCCCGGCGTAGCTCATACTGCAATACCAAACGCATATCCTTGGGCAACCCCGCGCCCATCGTGGCATCTGCCGTGGTGCGAATCAATGCTGGGTGCGGACGCGGTTCCGAGGGTGTATCTGTGGGGGCTAGGGTGCGAGCTGGAAGATGCAAGGCCGTATTGCTCGGAGCAGTGGCAATGACCGGGAGCGTGTCATCAAAGAGGTCTCTGAAATGCTCGCGCTCATCTACGTCCATCTCATCCTCGTCCATTCTGGCGGACTGCACAGTTGTGGCAGGGGCTAGGCTTGATTTCTTCAGCTCTGCAGTTCTCACATCCGGATTGATCTTCTCTCCGCACCTTTGCCTCTGGAGCTCCTCACGTCTCTTCAGTATCTCGTTGATTGTCTCCGTATCGAACTCTGGCCAATCAATATCCTCCACCCGCAAAGGCTGTCCATCCTGTAGTTTGCTTTTCCTGAATCTCAGCATGAGCTTCTTCTCCTTGCCACCTAGTCCAGGCTCATTCTGCTCCTCGTTCTGCTGCTCATCAGTGTCAGAGTCAAAATCACCATTGCGAAGTGCGGATATTAGGCGGTGGAGTGCCTGGGGTCGCTGTGGGTCGCTAGTGTCTAGGGGTGCTAGCGGCGGTGTTGTAGCAGTGTTGGGGTCGGATTCGTAGGTGGATTCGGGGTGGTATTCGGGTGCTGTGGGTTGGCCGGTTGGGTAGGTTCTTGAGTTGGTGCTGGTGTGGTTGATTTGCCACGATTCCGAGTACTCCTTCTGACCATTTCTTAATTTGATTGTTTGTATGTGTGTGTGTGTTGGCGTACAAATGTTGGAATTATTAAAGTTCTGATTATTTTGTGAGTAGGAAGGGAAAAAAAGAGGGATTCAAAATTGAAAAAAGGAAAAGAACAGGAGAAAAATGTATGCTTTTGACGCGTTTTTTGTGTGATAAAATGAACTCGAAAAATCAAATCATTTTCATTGGCTACTCGCGCATGCACGCGTGATTTATATTTCGAATGGTCAAATTAATAAAAAAAACGTGATAAAATTGTTTATTATTAGACAAATGACAACGTACAAAAAAACTAGAAAAAAAGCCAGTTATCCTGTTTAAATGGTCAATTTATCGTGGTGTGACCGTTTTTGTAGGGAATTAAATACAACTTCCGTATTTGCGATTCACTTTTGCATTTTATTCGTCAATGCACGAAGAGGGTTCTGCGAAAACATGATAAAACATCCAAATGTAAAGTAGGAATATTCAATTATAGCTTATAGCTTATATTGAAGAGAAATATAATCTAACTTGGTGGGAAAACAAAAGAAAAAACAACTTTTTAATGCGGCCAGGTACTCCAGAACACTCTTTAAATGCCAATTGTATTACTGATCAGTCTATTATTTATACACAATTTTTCTCTACATTTTATTTTACCTGTTTCGAATAGCAATTGAAATACCAGAGGGATGAAAACATGACAATAAAAGTAATGAACCTACAATTTATTCGCATCTGATTTTTTTTTGCCTAAGACTATATGTAAAAGAAACTGCTGCTTCTTTCAAAACAGCGCTTTAATAAAGGAGAAAATGTTTATGAAAGAAATGTTAAACAATCTTTCATTAGCGCATTTTCTACTTTTCATTTTCGCCTTTATTTTTCTCAATTTTTTTGTTATGGCCCTTGATTTACTTACTCTTGACGTCGTTATGCTCATCCTGCCAAATGTCGTACATTCTAAATTATCTAGTCCAAAGATGTGGTATGAACAGCTTAAATAGATGCAAGTGTGTCGCCAGTGGAGGCAGGCGGCGATGCCTCTAGTCTACCAGCACACCTTTATCTGCATGAAAAGCCTCAGCAACGTTGTCCTCCTAGATTCCTCTGAATCTAACTCAATATCCGAAGCTTCCTTCTTTATTAACGTCAGCAAAGGTATTCCGCTGAAGCACCGTGCCATGACCGAACACATAAACATAGCCTCGCCCTATAACTTGGATAAACTTACATTTATCTCAGTGCTGGAAAGTGTGGTGCACCCTAAGAATTGCAGTGGGTTGGTGTTCAGAGCCTCGAGTGCTGATACTCAGGCCGTAATCCTACAGTGGATCTGACTGCAACATTGGATACATCCATTGGCGCTATGGATTTTGTGTTATCCCTGACTTCAAGCATGCTGGGAATTATCCATATTATTTGTAAGGGGTGGCAGCTGCAGAAATGGATGCACAGTTGCATTGGATTACTGGTGAACCAGTACGCTCATCAGTTGCGTAAGGTTGATTGTGACATCAACTTCTCGCATATCGAAAATGAGCTTGCATCGGTAGAACACATTACTATAGATCTAGATGCCCCTCACAATCTGCCTTTGGTGAATACACAGACCCTGCAGGAGCTCTCTATCTTTCCCGAACATTCAATTCAGCAGACCCTATTGGACCATCGGTGTCACAGTGGTTGACGCATCTGCTCAAGCTTAGAAATTTTTTATTGTTGCCACATCTCCTTCTTGCAAGATTTTCAGCGACAGTTTCCCTGCTGCGCTTAATACTCTAATAATTACTGGCAAAGTTGGTTCACTGCGCCAACTGGTCAACATTAAGCTGCGTCGTTTTCAAAGACTTTGCCTGAGCTTTATTGCTTCAAGTTTTGCGATTGATGACGATTTCTACAGAATCATAAACTTTATGTTTGGGCAAGTGCACACAAGAAAACAGTCTATCCTGACTACTCGAAAATACTAATGTGTTTGGCCGTTGTGCATTGATTGTCCCCATCTCACCGACTTGCTCATCTTTGCTGACATCCTATACTTGACAGTCCAGCAGCTGATACACCGTCTGCCAGGGCTGAAAACTTAAAGATAATGCGCATAACCGACGCTTCGCTATCTGCAGAAGACGCGGATATCATTGGGCTTGTGCCCTCAAATTCGATTCTTGAACAGCTAAGTATAGGTTGCTATTCCTTGACAAATAACGAGGAAGCCAACAAGTTACTGGTACATGCAATTGTCAAGCTTGCGATACCGTTGCTGCGCATGCGCTCCGTCACTGTCAGCACCACCTTGGCTGTCGGTATAGCACTTTACGAGAAAAAGTACGTTAGCGAGTACCCCAATTTACAGGGTACTTTCAAGCCAACTATGACCAATCTTGTTATTAATCAGTAAACATATGCTGTAGCGTTTTAACATAAACCATAAAAAACAAATAAAAATATACGACTTGCCTCCATGATTTATTATTGCCATTTGTTAATAAACAAAACCAATTGTTCATTTTTGCATTTTTGAAATATTTTGATTAAAAGCCACTGCAAAAAAATATAACTTAAAAAATAGCATTTTCATTTATGAATTTGACACTGGTTGGGATTGTTTTACTTTTTTTCCACGCAAATGCGCCCATCCGCCAGCTGCCCAATATAAACAAATGCACGTGATCTGATTAGGGATTGATTATGATTGGAATGGTGTAGAAAATCATCTAGGAATTTTTTTCTCATTCAATTGGCGCATGGGGTGTCGCGAACCAATTTTCACTTCATCCTTTTTTGCTTTTTCGTTCCGAAAAAAACTTTTCTTCTTCTTTTTTCAACTATCGCTCAATTTATTATTCTTTTTTGGTAAGCCTTCTCCTTCGTCTTATATACACACTTATCTTTTATTCCATTTTCCTTGTCTTCTTATATTAATATCTCTTCTTACCTCCATGAAAGCGAAATGATACCATTACACAAACTGGTCTTTTTCCTTCTAAATTCGTTTTTGGCATCTCATTGGGTGCCGATTTGGCGAAATTGATGGGGAAATGGACGCTCAGTGTTTTTCCATCTATTTTGTTGTTTCCGGCCTAGCTGCTTACTTCCAGCGGAATTAAAAAGTGGGGGGTTTGGTCATTGACTAGCACCTCTTTTTTAATACACGCCAAGTAGTTTGCTTTTTTGTTTTGTTTAAATACCTTCTTGAGAGACAATAGTGTCTCAAAGGGAGAACCCTTTTTCATACTACTATCTTTCATATTCACTCGCTCATGACTACTATTTGCTTGTACTCTTATCATTATCATCACTTTCATTATCATCAGCTTTTTTTAATACTAGTCATATTTATTGTTTATTTCTTCTCGCTTATTTCATTGATATTATTCCTCATCGTTAGCACCAATTTTTGGCCATTTCCCCTCTTCCTTGTGCGTCCACTTATTTCTTATTTCTAAAATACCAGCTACTGCTTTACATTCTTTTATTTTGATTATCATGCGATAACATCAGTTTTCTTGTACTATACGCTCAAATCATACTTTTCACTACTCTCGTCATTTTCAAACTCGTTTTAATTATACATATCGTCACTTATTTATACATTTATTAATTCACTTTTATTCGCTCTTTGTAGTTTGAGCTTTACAAACTCGCAATCAAAATATATCCACCACTTTTACGCGCGCTCATCAGAAAAAGGAGAAGTGTCGATTGATTACTCTTGCGCCATTACTCTAACCAGAAGTAGCATCAGCAGCAGTAATACCTCGATCCGAATCGACCAAAAAACACACATATATATACCAAAATACCACATAAAAACAATGCCATTTGAAGATGAAGAGGCGCCTCGCAGCGCCGGCGAGGCCACAACACCCGTTGCCGGCAGCGCCAATGGCAGCGGCTGGGGCGCTGATGTGGACGCACCCCTGGACTCCCCGCGGGACAAGTTCAGACGCGACCGCGAGAGCCCCGAGCGCCGCGACCGATTCGGCCGCGACTACCGCAGCCGCTCCCCCGGAGACCTGCGCGGAGCCAGGCGTCGCTCGCGCTCGCCCATTCGCCGGCCATCGGGCATTGACGAGACCGATCGCTACATTCCGCAGTACGATCGTGATCGCGACAGTGGCAATGACCGCTACCAGTCAAACAACAACGGCAACAGCGGCGGCAGGTTCAACAGCCGCGGGTACAGCGGGGGCCGCGGCAGCCACCGGCACTCTGGTCGTGGTGATCACGATAGCTCGTACGGGCACGGTGGCAGCGATATGGGCGGCGGGCGCTCAGGAAGCATGCCTGATCCGCGCACGTTCGAACAGGTCGTGCCGTTCAAGTACTACGCTGAGTGGATCAAGACACAGGACGGCGGGCGTCGGATGGAGCAGGAGGACATCCGAGAGCGCTACGAGGACTACCGCCGCGAGGCTCTGCAGCGGCTCTACACGCAGTTCTTCTCAGTGCATAAGGACGACGACTGGTTCTGCGAGCGTTTTGAGCCCGAGAGGCGCAAGGAGTACATGCAGAAACTGGCCAGCCAAAAGGCAGAGAACTTACGCAGCTTTGTTTCCGATCTGGACTCGGGGAAGCTCGACAAGCTGACGCTCACGGCAACCACCGAGCAGGTGATGCAGCACGAGGTCAATCGCCGTGATTTGTCGAGCTCCAACCGCCTTGGTGGAGACGATGACGACGATGGTTCCGAGAGCTACACGCTGTTTATTCGTACAGTGCCGCCCAGCGTGTCGCGCGCGGTGCTCGAGGGGGAGCTGACCAAGCAGCCTGGGTTCAAGCACCTGTCGCTGTCAGAGCCGCGGCAGGACAAGCAGTACCACCGCTTTGGCTGGGTGCGGTTTGAAAACGGCACTGATATGGACAAGGCTGTTGAGAGCCTGAGCAACATCAATATTGACCAGTTCCAATTCCACTTTTCGCGGCACAACAATGTCTCTTCGGGGATCATCCGCTTGACACCCGACGTGTGCAGCACCGAGGAACGTATCCGACTCGACCTGAAGCTCGCGCGCGAGGCCGTCAGGTCGGTGGACGAGCACACTGATAGGGAGGTGTTCCACATGCTGGAGACGCTGCAGAAGAAGGCGCGCGATCTGTCCGAGGCGGCCGGTGAGCTGCCAGCCGACGGCGAGAGCGCTGGTGCCGGCGACGGCGACGTAGCCATGAGCAGCGACGAAAAGAGGGTTCCCGAGGAGGGCGCGGCCGACGAGGACGACCAAGACGATGGCGAGGTGAAGGGCAACATTGCCGCGACACGTCGCGAGCTCGACCTGCTGGTGGAGTACCTGCGGCGCGTGCACTACTACTGCTACTACTGCGGGCACACGGCCGATAACCTGGAGGACTTTATGCGGCGGTGCGCCAAACAGCACCTGCGCCGCGGGCTGCCTGGAAACCGCAGCCCGCAGCCGTCGGGCAACTGGACGCGCAACCTGGACAACCGCAACGACGTCATCATCCACCCGCTGCAGGCCGAACGGTTGTACAAAGAGGGCGGCAAGTCGCTGGAGCTGGAGACCGACAAGGAGTTGGACAACCACATCAAGCAGCTGGACGAGGGCCGCTACCGCTGCCTTCTGTGCACAAAGCTGTTCAAGGGCGATGCGTTTGTGCGCAAGCATATTCGCAACAAGCACCCCGAGGCCGTCCCTGAGACGTTGGTGCATGAGATCTCGTTCTTCAACAACTTTGTGCGCGAGGCCCCGCATTTGGTGCAGCTGGGCATTGGCGGCGGGCTGCCCGTGCCTGGAGGCGGCGGCATGATGGGCGGCGCCGGTGCCGGTGGCCACGGTGGCAACATGGGCGGCGGCATGCGTGACCGCGGCCACGGCTTTATGCCGCAGATGATGCCTGGCATGATGATGCCCGGTATGATGGCTGCGCCATACATGATGCCTGGCATGATGCCCGGCATGGTTCCTGGCATGATGCAGATGGGAGGCCACTTCATGAATCCCGGCATGATGGGCATGATGGGCGGCGGCCACGGCCACGGCCACGGCGGCATGTACGGCCAGCAGTTCCGCGGCGGCCGTGCCAACAATGGCCGCGGCGCGTCTAGCGGTGGCAATCGTCAGGACCCGCGCGCAGTGCGCTCTTACGTCGATTTGGACGCTCCCGCCGAGGGCGAGACCGACTTTGGCTTCTAATGTCTTTGGTGGCATGTTTTCTTTTCTATTATTTGGCTTGTCCGTCTTCCCTTTTTCAATACCTCCCTGTCTGTCTGTGTGGACATCATCATTTTAAAGTGTCGATAATACGCTGTCATATGACTTTGATGGATAATTTTCTTTTACTTTAAACAAGAAAAGCAATGTAGCAGATGTATCTTTGCCCCCTCACCTTTTTCTTAAAAATATTTTTAATTTATACTCCCCCCTCCAATTCCAATTCGATTCATTTGTTTCGTCGATGGCGTCGACACAGCAAAGACAGCAGGATACAGACAAGCCGGCGACCCTCTCACAAATTCTCAACCGCACACAGCAGCTGCAAACAGCAGCTGTAGAAGCCTCGGACAGGCTACGCGACCAATGTGTCCAATTCATGCAGACCCAGTCAATTCGGCTCGAGGACACAGCCGACACCGAACTTGAAGACATACCAGGCATAGACCAGTGCATGAATGAGCTCATGCAGTGCATACTGTACACGGAGCTGCGCAAGGATATCCGCCAAGTGACTGATGCCCTCGAGGGTGTTCAGCACCGGTTGATGAGCAGCAGACAAAATACAAATAATGTGACCGAGCTAAGCTCGCCAAACAACGAGGAGGCGGCGTCAGTTGATGAGCCACCGGAAACACCGACAATGCTGTCTGCATCAGATACGTTTAGGACTGCTCGCGGTATGCCGCTGTACACCGATTTTGAACACACCCAGGATGTTCCGGATATCAATGTCGATGAGGATGTTGCTGAGGCGCAGGCGGTTTCTGAAACGCTCAAGGACTTGAAACAGCTTGAGCAGAGGCTGTATGAGGCCTGTATGGAGATTGACGAATGGCGGCGCACCCCCTGCGTGTCTGCGCTTATATCTAGCATTGGCCCGCGACAGCCAGATGCCTTCAGTGACTCCCAATCTCCCTCGGTGGGGTCATCGGCTTCTGTTCGGCTGCCTGTCGACAGGATCATCGGTGAGGCATTGGAGAGACGGCGCACGCGTTCTTGCAGTGTGGGCTATCTGGCCATACATCAGGGTTGGAATGACTGCGGAATGGGCTCGAGCCATCCTGCACCACCGCTTCCTCCAATAAGTAGGTTGCTTCAGGTCGAGCGTGAGGCTGAGGCGCTGCGTCCTCTCATTATTAATCGCCCTGTTTGGTCACCACCACCGATACAGTCGTTGGCCTTTAATGCGCCCTATTCGCCCGGCCAACTCTCATCCCAACCGCAGTTCAACTCCCTCCGCCTTATCGACACGCCCATCTCATCAACGCCCAGCGAGGATACTGCTAGTACTCGGTATCGGACCATTGCTGACGACGTGCGCATCATCGGTTGGGTGACAAAGGGCAGCGGACTGGATATTCACACGGAATTCAAAGTAGTCGTGCATTTGACCAAGGGTGAAATCTGACGGTTATGCGGAGATACACCGATTTCGAAAACTTGAGGGACGTGCTTTGTGAGAGATACTATACTTTTCGTAAACGCATTCCAGAATTACCGTCGAAGAAGGCGTTTGGCAAGTTTGAGGATAAGTTTTTGAAGAAAAGAGAGAGCGGGTTACAGTTTTTCCTGGCATATGTCATGCTGCATCCGGTTATTGGCTGTAGTTTGAGCATAAAGCAGTGGCTGGAAGGGAGTGAATGAGTAGCGTTTTGCGTGTTGCTATTAAACGTTTTGGTTATATTTATATTTATTTAGAATTAAAAACTAAACATGACTATATAATATATATTTTATCTCCAATCCCTAATTCCGATGGTATGGTGCCTCCAGTAAAGAGCGAATCTTCTGGTATCATCTATATTAGCTTAGGTACCTTACATTAATTGTCGACTATAGAATATTACAAAAAGAATACCTACTCAAGTTTAGCCATTTTTCTATAAGTGGGATTCCTTCCTGCGTATTTTAACGTCGTTTTGCCAAAATGCCAACGTATTAGAACACCATAGTCTTTAGCTAGGAGGTCATTATCCTTAATACGTGATCTCAAATTCTGAATTGTGAAATCGCTTTTGATGTAGAAACTAAATAACTTGCCGCCACTAGCACAAATAACTTGAATCGACTCTGGCTCATTATCGACTAGAAACTTGAGGGAATTATGCTTGTTTTGTAGGTTTTAACACTTTGTTTTATTATTTCCATAAGACTTGGTGCAGTTTTTTTCGTGATGTTGTTTTGGAAGTAGCTTCCTAATTGAGAATTATTTTCCATACGTTGTTTTATGCGCGCTTTTAAAGAACTAATAATTATCTAATGTATTAGTAAAAATGGTTTATAAATAAATTAGAGAAAATAAAAGTGAAAAATAAAGAGTGGTATTGAGCAGTCAAAAATAAAGAACAGGAAAAGTGAACTTGCTTGGACTTGACAATTTGTCTTTTGGCAAAAAAGCAGCCTTTGTATGGGCATACATTGCTTTTTCAAATGACAAATTTTAATGTAGTAGTTTTTTATATATAATTGTTATGCCAACTATCTTTTATTGCAATATGCCGTCATTTACTAAAGCTTACAGATATCTCTCCCTTAGCAGATTTTCAACTGATGGCCATAAAAGCCATGGTAGACAGCACAGGACAGGCATGCGGGTACATAGTATGCGCACGCGCGTGACAAGAATATTGTTTATGATTCGATTTTAATTACAAATCAATATTAACAAAATACAGATTTGTTGCTAGTAAGATTTTTGGGGTCAATATCGGCGTGTCAAAATTTGCATCAATGGGTCGCGCTCTTTATCTCTTTATCCATGCAATTCTTTATTTTTTATTTTTGAAATGACTTAATTGTCCACATTTCAAACTCTCCCGCCTAATATTGTGAGTGCCATCATTGGTTTCCTGTTCGATGATGGTATAACGCCCCCATACGAGAGCTATGACTACGAGTGCAAACCCGAGGCATACGACGAGGAGATATATGTAAACTTTTTTATTCTCCATTGCAGCCACGTCTAGCGCAACGTTATGATGAAATACTATTGCTGCGATATCAACATAAAGATCGACTCCGAAAACTGCGTGGTTGACATTATATTCCCGTACTGGCCTCAAAGTACATTGAAGTTCTTCTGTCAACATTCCATTTGGTTAAAACCGTGGCTAGCACCTTCATAACTATCGTACCTTGTTGGATGGTCAAGGAGTGCGTTTGCTAACCGATAAAGGTGTATGCCCCGCAATGTTCCTGCAGGCTCATTCCATGAGTATTCTTATCAGTAGACCCTTACAAAAGTACTTGGCTAAGGCGTCTTATAGAGGACTGAGTAGCCCAACCTTGGTCGTATTCCTCAAATCGCCCACTCCTAAAATTAATTATATTAGGCTGGGTACGTATTTCAGGTACCACGTGGATGGCAATTCTCCCAAGGCTTCGCAGTTTTTAGGTGATCTCTGCACTGTTCTGTGTTAGGGCGTGGATCAATTATGTGTGGAGTTGCTTTGGCTTGGCTTCCCAATTTCCCCAAGTCCCGAGTGACTTCTGGTGTAAATTCCATTGTGCACAGAATTAAGGAGCACTACGGGTTGTCTACAAACTCGCTCGGCGGAATGCAGGAACATTGCAGACGCTGGAGGTAGAGGACCTGCTTGACAAAGAGTTTTATTCGATTTTCCTCGACCCAGAAGACCGCCCCGTTATATACCCTGTCCTCGAGAAATTGCACTTTGGCTGTGGGCAATATTGCGAAGAACTTATGATTTCTGCACTTGACACGGCAGCTGCTTTCCCAAACCTCAAGTTCCTTCACACGGTTAATAACTTTCTGGATTCTAACGATCTTTTTCTCCGAGGCAATAGCGGCACGCTCGAGTATCTGCACATGTCTATTCACTTGGAGATAAAAAGGAGCCTCGAAAATAATAACCTTTTAGGCACACATCAATATCCTCGACTCCGCCACTTCAGCTCAGCAACAAGCATTATATTTATAATACTTTGCTCTCAAAATCATTGATTTGACGTTGTCAGCTTTGTATAGTTTGGAGTTTAGAATGATGCTTGACAAGGGTATTACTTTTTTTTGCCAGAATTCAATCAGGATCGTGGGTCAGAAACATTCAGTCACTGTCATTTGCGAACGAAAGGCTTTATTTCAGGTATTTGGTGTACTTGCTAAATCATTTCCCTATGCCTGAGACACTCTCTTGCGACTTTGATTTTACCTCAGACATGCCACTTTTGCCTGGGAATTTTGAATAAAAAGAGGTTGACGAAGCCGAGAAGTTTTCAATAGCCGACTTTCGCAGGCTAGCAGGCGAGATTTGCGACGATTATTTCCCGCTTGGCAGATTTTCCAAGACCTGGAATATCACGAATGATAAGGGACACCTCACTAACGATATTTTCGGGGAATTATACTGATGACCCTGCTTTGTCCTGAGCTGAATTGTGCGTCCCTTCCTGCTGATGCACTTTTAGACTGAACGAACGCCGTCGTATGGTCGGAGATGAGCGACGGAGGAGTTTAAAGGTCGCAACAAGCGCTTCGAAGAGTTACCTATATGTGCAAAGGAAATCGAAACATTTGAGTACGGTTCTCCTTAATAGACTTCACGTGTTTTAATTTATCAATAACATACAAGTATGCTTGTAGCAATAAATTAATGAAAACAAAAGCTTTAATTGTAAATAAACCCACCCATTATTATACAATAAAAAATACAATATCCAAATTTTAAATTTTAAAAATTATCCACCACTCATATATTAAAGCTTTTCATTTTCGTTTTAATTTTCGGTTATTATATTATTTTCAATTATGAGTGACAAAAAACCCGATTCGAATTCCGACTTTAATTCTAGTTCCAATTCCGATTCTGAAACTCAATCAGCAAGCAGTGTGGACTTGGATATGCCGCAGCAGCAGTATCTGTGTCCAATATGCTTGCAATCCGTCAGCAACAAATGCTACACCGACCCCTGCTACCACCAATACTGCTTGCCTTGCTTCTTGCAATGGGCAAACCACAGTCAGCGCTGTCCGCTTTGTAATGCACACGTAACAGCCACTATCCACTACACTTTAACAGCCAGCCAGCCCGTGCGAACACCACTTCTTACACAACGACAGACACCTCCCACGACGCCTGCTAGATATATTCAATATGGGCGCAGCCATTTGTTAGAGCAAGCAGATATTGAATTGGGGATGCGAAAGCGTGAGTCTGTTTATCGACACAATCTATGTCGAGTGAATAACAACAGGCGCATGCGGGTGTCTCATCTTGGGTCGTTGAAGAAAATGATTCAAAATGAGAGATGCAGAGAGTGGATTCGGAGAGATTTGCGTGTTATTTTGGGCGTACACCATGTCGGGTTTTTCGAAGAGATGGCAGTCGCTATGGTTGGCACCGGCGATGTAGCAGGATTGGAAGTAGTTCTAGGAGAGAAAACAGGGCGGTTTGCCGACGAGCTGGTGGCTTTTGCTAATTCATCGTTGAAAATGGGGGTTTACGACAAGTACGTGGCTTACGATACATTGTCAATTAGTTGACTTTAAATAGTTGTACTTGTCGAATTATTATTTTATAGCAATGCATTTAAACGCGTAGGTTGATATGCATGCAGGTGAGCGACCTCTTTTTTTAAATGTCAGTCAAAAACATTAGAAAGAAATTACACGGCGCTGTTGTAACCTTTGGCAAATGAAAAACAAATGTTGGCATTTACAGCTTGGATGGAGTTCAAAGACACAGTGCGTAAAAATAAATTACGTTATTTCAAGTTCATTTTATTTATTTTTTGTTTATTAAAGACCAGCATCTTTTATAATAAAACAAATTAAATTTTAAGGGAAAATGGGCTTTCTTATTGCACGAATGTTGCTTGTTGGAAAATATACATCATTATTTTTCTAATAGTTTATTAAGGGAGCTTGCTCCGGGCGTCTCAATATTTGCTTTTTTTCCTTTATCCCACATTCTATTCTGCACCCTCTACCTTGGAGGTTTTTTATTTAAATTATCATTAGAGCGTATTAAATTTCCATCTGATATTATATTTGTTTATATCATGCCCAGACCGACAGGATATTGCGATATGGTCTTCTAATTTAACGGTGGTTCCAATGTCGCAAACTCATACGACCTGAAACCCGAAGATCGAAGCGCCTTTGGAAACTTTCTTGATGATGAGCTATTGGAACAGATTTATGGGCTTTCTGGTATACCAACGGATATGCTTGAATTCAGGGTGCTTGATTATGATTAACACAAAGGAAAAAGTTCAAACATCAGTCTTACACTGCTAAAAAAATAAAGCATGTCATGTATGTAAAATTAATTTTTTAAAAAAAATTTGATACCTATATAAAAGGTTTATAGTAAATATTTGGCCAACCCGAATTGAATAATGCCAGCAGTTTTTTTTATAGGTATTGTTAATATTGGCATAGGATGGGAGACGGCAAAAATACTAGAGTATGCGTGCAAACTTTTGTTCAACAGCAAGGGATGGCCATGGACTAAAAGGGTGCTTACATTAAGCAGCATAATGTGTTGTTATTTCTAGTTTTAGTGTAAATTTTGTCTTTTCAACATAATTATTTAAATATGAAATATTTAGCACTCATGTGCTTAGCTCCCACAAGAACCAATTACACAAATTCCAAGGCCATAAACAATGGGGGGTCCTTTTTGCAAAGACCCCTCCGCTCAACTCCAACAACAAACATTTATATAATAATTTCACCAATACATTTATTTAATTGTTAAACAATGGCAGAACGCAAAGTTATTAACAAATATTTTCCGCCAGACTTTGATCCTTCCAAGATCCACGGCTGCGACAATCCAAATCGCAGCAAACCAAAGTCCGACTCATGGCCCCCTTCTCCATGCGGTGCTCCACCTGCGGACAATGGATCGGCAAAGGCACGAAATTCAACGCACGCAAAGAAGCCATTGAAGATGCCAAATTCACTCCATACAAATATTCCGTTTCTACATTCGGTGCCAAAAATGTGCGTCAGAAATAACGTTCAAAACTGATCCCGAAAACCTAAACTATGAGGTGGAGCGTGGGGCACAGAGGAATTTTGAGCCCTGGAGGGAGGAAAAAGAGATAAACGAGGAGGAGGAGAGGAAGAAGACGGAAGGGGAGGAGGGGGATCCGTTGAAGGCGTTGGAGAATCGCACGGAGGAGAGTCGAAGGGAGATGGAGGTTATGGATGCATTGGATGAGATTAGAGTTATGAATGCGAGGGGAGAGAGGGTTGGTGGAGAGGCAGCAATGGAGGCGGTGGCAGAGAGGGCCAGAGGGAGGAGGAGAGGAGGAGGGAGGAGGAGAGAGGGAGGATGAGAGGCTGGCGAGAATGGCGTTTGCCCCCGATGCCGGTGCCCGATGCTGACGGCGATCCAGTGGAGACCGGGCGCAGCAGGCGCATTAAGAGGGCCAGGGAGGAGGATGCGGTGCAGAGGGAGCGCGCGATTAAAAGGGTGGCGACCAGTGTCCGGGCGCCTACTGAGAGCAGGGCGCCGGTGATCCCGCTGGGATTGTCCAAGGCGCTGCTGGGCATCAAGCGCGTCAGGCCGCGGGATAATTGTGTTGATGCTGGTGTGGTGGTGGAGGAGGTCGAGTGTGACTTGTCGGGACAGGGACGGAAATAAGCAAGCCTGCCGCCACAACACTGGCCGGAATGCTCGGGGCATACGGCAGCGGCGACTCTGACGACAGCGACAGCGACGGCGACAACGACAGCGAATAAGGCGAATAGACAAAAGTATATTTAATTTATTCTAATTAAAACTAAATTATTTTTTCACTGGTACTCCTTCATCTTCTCCTTGCTGATGAACGACGGGTCCGTCGGCACAACCATCTGGTCCTGTGCGCCAACAACCTCAATCTCCACTTCGAACTCCTGGTCCAAACCCAAATAGGCATCACTCACGAGCAACAGCCTCAGTTTATACTTTCCAATGGCCTGCGGCGTAATAAACGCCAATCTAACAGATCTCGTTTCTGGCGTCTTCATCGCCTCCGGCGCATTCTTCACCCTAGCATTATTAGCCACCTTGCCCTGCATAGACACACGCTTAACCGCCAAAAGCTCCTCCTCGCCCTGTGCTAGAACCACCCACCACCCCTCATACTGGGTCTTGCCAAACCTCGGCGTATACGCCTGGCCAGGCTCGCACATAAACCCAGGCTTCCCAAACCCACTCTCGGGCCGTGTGTACGTGAGCGTAATCACCATGGAGTACTGCGTCATCGGCAGCAGACCGCAGAACGAGTCCATTTTGGACTCCTCCCTGGCGGCATCAGCATCAGCATCGGCGGTGGCCGTGGCCGTGGCGGTGCCTGGCGCAATCGTCACATCGACAGGCGGCAGCGCACGCACAGCCTCACACCACGCCTGGACATCGGCCGGGCCACGGCGCGCAGCCAGGGGGGCAAAAAAGTCGCGCAGCTGGGCGTCGGACATAACCAGGAGGCTGCCAAGGCACCTCGGTTGCTGCGCGCGCCCCTTCCCCCTCCCGCTCGGGCGCGCACCAGCCAAGCCAAACAAACTCTTGATCTCGCCCAGATCCATCCCTGGGGAAATCTGGCATAGCGGCGAGTCGCCAGGCATGCTCGCCTGCTTGATCGCCTGCATCAGCTCCATAGCAGCAACCGCAGGGGCCAGCAGCCCCATATAAGCGGCAACATCAACCATCGCCTGCAGAATGCGAATGGACGAGTCCAGCACCGTGCGCGTGTCCGTCGCATAATCGCTGCATGGCAGGTCTCCGCGCACCATGTGTTTCTGCACAAGCAGGCAGGTTTTAGCGTGCGGACTGAGGTAATCCACCACCTGCGCCTTGCCGAGCGCATAGGGCACGGAGCGCTCAAGCTCGCGGTTCAGCAGGTCCTCGTTGTGGCGCACGGGAATCTCCGCCCACTCCGCGGCGTCGCTGAGCAAATGCAGAAGGCCGCCGAGCGGGTGCGCGCGATCGATGGCCGGCAGCCGCGTGGCAAAGGTCAGCATGGTGGTGTGCGACAGGTAGTACTGCGACGCAATCCGGCCCAACGGCGTCGGACCAACAGTTACGCGCGCGCCGTCCTGCTCCAGCGTAATGCACTGGGCGCGGTGCAGGTCGGTGAAGCACTGCATGATCATCTGCGACAAAAAGCGGTTGACGGCAGCCTCCGAGGCGTCCTCGACGCCGTAGTACGACGGGTTCTGGCGCAGGCGCCGGAACAGGTACGTCCACGACAGGTAGTCGACGGCATCCTGCGCCGAGCCAATGGCTCCAGTGGCGACCTCGGCGTTGATGTGCTCATGCAGGTGCTTGTGCAGCGACGACTCGACGGGGAACGGCTCGTGCAAAAAGCGCTTGTAGAACTCCTTCTTGCCGTCGGACACGAAAATGCGCGCAACAGCGCGGTCGTCGAACTGCGGGCGGCCGGCGCGGCCGATCATCTGGAGCACGTCGGTGATGGGCAGGTCGACGTAGCCCTTGGTCTTGGCGTCGTAAAACTCGGTGCCCTTGAGGATCACCAGGTGCGCCGGCAGGTTAACGCCCCACGCCAGCGTCGACGTGGCGATCAGCACCTGGATCTTGCGCGCCAGGAACAGCTCCTCGCACAGCACGCGGTCGGCCTCGGTCAGCCCCGCGTGGTGCATGCCGATGCCAAAGCCCAGCGCCAGCCGCAGGTGCGCGTCGTGCGCGCGCGCCATCGCAGCGTCAGCCTCGGCGTCGGCCATGTGCAGCAGGTGGCGCGGGTTGTCCTCGACGCCGCAGAACGCAATCAGATCCTGCGCCGTCAGCCGCGTCTGGCGCCGCGAGCTCACAAAGATCAGCACAGGCTTTTGCGGCGAGTGCGTGCGGATGGCGCGGTACGCCGGGCGGTTCATCGCGGCCATGCGTGGGCAGTAGTGGCGGCCGGCAAAGCCGTCGATGTACATTTCCAGCGGCACCGGCCGCACGCTGTGGCGGAAGTTGAACAGCCCGGCGCGCGTGATGCCCAGCCACGCGGCCAGGTCGCGCGCGTTGGCCAGCGCCGTCGACAGCCCGACGATGCGCACGCTGCGGCCGGTCTGCGCGGCAATGTGGTTCATGCGCGACACAATGACCTCGAGGATCGGGCCGCGGTCGCCGCCCAGCAGGTGGATCTCGTCGATAATCACCAGCGCCACGCGCGTCACGTAGTCGCGCGCCTGCCACGCGCGGCTGACGCCGTCCCACTTCTCGGGCGTCGTGACGATGATGTCGGCGCGCCGCACGGCGTCGGGGTCGGGGCTGGCGTCGCCGGTCATCTCGACCAGCGACCGGCCCAGCGGCCCGCACAGCCGCGCGCGCCAGTCGGCCACGCGCTCCTTGACCAGCGCTTTGAGCGGCGCAATGTAGACGACCTTCTGGCGCGGGTGCTCGCGGAACGCCCACCACAGCGCCAGCTCGGCCGCCACGGTCTTGCCGGACCCGGTGGGCGCGCCCACCAGCGCGTTGAGCGGCTGGCGGTACAGCGTGTGGAAGATCTGCGTCTGCACCGGGTTGAAGTGCGCAAACCGCGCGCGGCAGATGGCCTCGAGCGCCGCGTCCTGCAGCGCCGACACCGGCAGCGGCTGCAGGTCCAGCAGGTCCGTGTGCGCGTCGCAGAGCTCGGGCAGCTGCACGTGCCGCAGCGACACGGCCGCCACGGTCTCGGCGCCCAGCCAGCGGTCGGACACGGCGCGCACGAAGAGCTGCGGCGGCAGCGGCTCGTGCACGGGGATCGTGAACACGGACACTGCGGGCGTGCGGAGCGAGCGCCGCCGCACCACGACGCTCTCGGCGTGGTAGATCTCGGTGTTGTCGGCGTCCTCGACCCACACCCAGAACGCCTCGGCCATCCCGTGCGCGCGGTCGCTCCACTCGAACGCTGCCGTGGCCGTCAGCGTCACCTGCAGCACCGTGCGCGTGATGGGCGCCACCGACGCCGACAGCTCCAGCCGCGGCACCTGGCGCACCAGCGCAGCCAGCGTGGCGCCGTAGCGGTGGTTGTTCGTCATTGCGCCGAGCTCGGCCGCGTCCAGGTCGCGCATGCGCTCGAGGTCGACGCTCCCGCCCTCCAGCCGCCGCATCACCTCGTGCGCCACGCCCAGCTGCTTGAGCGGGTGCTCGAACGGCCACATGCGCTTCTCGATGGCCTTGCTGAGCGACAGCGCGACGGCCGCGGCCGGGCCCCACCGGCGGCTGAGCGCAATCTCGAACAGCGCACGCACTATGCGCGCGCCGTTCTGCGCCACGTACGCCGCGTCTGACACCAGCGAAAAGTCCTCGATGCGCGCGCGCGAGATGCCGGCCTGCAGCAGCACGTTTGTCTTGGCTGCGGGACTGTCAAGCCCGCCCTTGACGTCGCAGCAGCAGGCCGAGCCGAGCAGCTGCTTGAGCTCCTTCTCCTCGGCCGCGCGCACGCGGATCTGGTCGAACTCGGTGCTGCGGCTCAGCAGCGCAATGGCGTCGGCCTCGGTCATGCGCGCGCGCATCGCAGAGTTGAACACCGCGACGCTCTGGTGCCGCAGGTAGTATGCCGACGCGATGCGCCCCAGGTCCTTGGGCGCCATGAACCCGGTGGCCGAGTCGAACACAATCATCTGCAGCTGGCTGAGCGCGCGCGCCGCCTCGACGATCAGCTCGCTGCGCCGTGCGCCCAGCTGCGGGTCATCGGCTAGCTCGTCGCCCGACAGCCCGTACGCCAGCGGGTTCTTGCGCATGCGGATCAGCATGTACGTGTACCCGAGCCACGCAACACCCTCGGCAATGCTGGTCACCGTGCCCAGCGCCACCTCGGCGTTGAGGTTGTCGACCATGTTGGCTGCGAACCGCGACTCGATCGGGTGCTGCATGGTGATCGCCGACACGTAGTGCGCGAGCCGGTCGTGCGTCGTCAGAATGAACCCAACGCCGTGCGACTCGTACTGCGGCCGCCCGGCGCGCCCAAAGATCTGCAGCACGTCGAGGATCGACAGGTCGGTGAACGCACCCTTCTGCGCGTTGTATACCTGCGTGCCCTTGATCACCACCGCATACGCCGGCAGGTTGACGCCCCACGCCAGCGTCGATGTGCAGCACAGCACGCGCACCGTGCCCTGCGTGAACAGCTCCTCGACCAGCGTACGGTCGCCGCGCAGCATTCCAGCGTGGTGGATGCCGAACCCTGACGGCACCAGCTCGCGCAGCTCGCGGTTCGGCGACTTTGCCAGCCGCGCAATTCCAGAACCGCCACCGCTGCTCGGCGGCGGCGGCGGCGGCGCCGCAAACTCGTCCATCACCCCGTCGGCCTGCGCCAGCTCGATCAGCGCCTGCGCCGTCTTGACCGTGTCCTTGCGTGCATGCACAAACACCATCACCTGGTGGCCGTCAGCCACCAGTTTGCGCACGCGCTCGTAGCACGTGCGGTTCAGCAGCCGTGCTGTGGCCTGCGACCCAGCCTTTCCGTGCACGCCGACAAAGTGCTGCTCCAGCGGCACCGGCCGGAACCCCGAGTCAAAGTAGAACAGGCCGCGGTGCGGATTGACGCCGAGAAAGTTCGAGACGTCAACGTAGTTCGGCAGTGTGGCGCTCAGCCCCACCAGGCGGATCATCGACTGCCGCGCCTCGACCTGCCGCTGCGTGCGCGCGATCAGCGTCTCGATGACGCTGCCGCGGTCCTCGTTGAGCAGGTGGATTTCGTCAACAATGAGCAGCTTGACCCGGTCGACCAGATCGGTGTCGCCGCTGCCCTTGCGCGTCACCACGTCCCACTTCTCGGGCGTCGTCACGATGATCTGCGTTGCCGCCACCTCGGCCTTGGTCAGCTGCATGTCGCCTGTCAGCTCGCGGCACTGGATGCCGAGCCACCGCAGCCGGCTCTGGTACTTCTCCGTCACCTCGGCCGCCAGCGCCTTCATCGGCGCCACATAGACAATCTTAAACTCGTCCTTCTGCACCGAAAACTCTGGCTTGCGTCCGTCGTCCGCCCACACTAGGTCGCCGGGCGCTGGCGAGCAGAACTGCGAGATCGTGCGCAGGATCGTCAGCAGCGCCACGTCGGTTTTGCCCGCGCCCGTCGGCGCTGACAGCAGGATGTTCTCGCCCGAACCGTACGCCGTCGGGTAGATGATCGACTGGATGCGGTTGAGCGATGTGTACTTGCGGAACGTGTACCGGCACAACGGGTCCATGTCCGCCAGCAGCACCGGGTCCTCGTGGTCGCGCCGAGGCGCCGTGCGCGATACTGGGATCGTAATCTCCTCATGGTCGGCGAACTCCTCGCGCACCGTGCCCGCCGGCAACGTGTACTTTGTCCCGAACATTGACAGCATGTTACCACTACTGTTTCCGGCTTTGCCCGTCGTGTAGACGTGCGGCAGCTGGTCTGGCCCGCGCCTCTCGGGCCGCAGCGTCTCGGCCGGTCGCTGCGTCAGCTGCCGCTCGCGCGCGCGTCGCAGGTCCGAGCCGAATCCCAGGATTAGCGCCGCCTCGTCGTCTCCAGAAGCCTCGATGGACTTTGCGCGGCGGCGCTGCACCTTGAGGATCTGCTTTTGGATCACCAGGTCCTTCTCTGTGGTTATCGACGCCTGGACGCTCGGCAGCTGGTGGGTGAGCTGCATGGATGCCGCCACGCGCAGGTAGTCGGATTCACGCATGATCGCGTCGACAATCGCCGTGCGATTCGAGATCAATGCCGCGAGGAAATCCATGTGGTCGTAGCCGACGAGCTCCAGAAGCTCGCCCTGGATGTCGTTGTCGGCGCTGGGGACCGCAGGATCGTGAATATCCCAGTGCACAAGGCCTCGGTCTCCTCCTCCCCTGCGCTGCTGTTCTTAATGGCTGTCTGCTGGCAGAGGGAGAGCAGCCATGCGCGGTTGTACTGTGGTGGCTCGCCTGCGCTTTCCTTGAGCGTTGCTTGCTCGTTTGCATGCTCCAGCTGTGCGACGTACTCGCTGAGGTCCGTGCACAGGAGGATCTCGGGTATCAGCGCCGTGTGCGCCGCCCAAGGTTTTCCAATTGTTACATGTGAGCCTGGTAGGCTAAGGAGGACTTGGCGAAGGATGAGTTCGCTTGAGATGCTTTGTTGAAGCTCGCTCCAGGCCCCACTCATGTCTACCTTTTCCTGCTGCTGCTGCTGCTGCTGGATGATGTCGGTGACGTTGGCAGCAGCGGCTTTGCCTGATACCGCGGCGCTGTCACCTTTGCCCTTGTCCTTGCCTTTGCCCTTGCCTTTGCGGTCGCTGATATCGTCCTGCAGTATAGTGTCATCTTCTGTTGTTTCCTTTTCTATAGATTCGCTCTTTCTCTGGTTGAGCTGGTTTGCCCTTCGGCTGAGCAGCGCCTCACGCCGTGCGTCTCGCTGACGCAAAAGGTCGCCGAACCCAACTTTGTGTTGGTTTTCGCTTGCCGTCATTTTAATTTGTAATTTTTATAATGCAATTATGGATAAATTCAAATGGAAAAGAACTAATAAAAAATAAAATATCATTGCATTGCATTTCGATTCTGCAGTCTTTTACATTGATTGATATATGCGGTTTTGTGAACCTGGCCAAAAACTGCGGTCACCGTAAATATAAAATGAGAGGGGAGATATTTGCCTTCTGAGCCGAGCCGTCTTTTGTTTTTCAAGACCCATTTCCTCCACTCACCCCCCAATCCGAAGGAGCGCTCAGTCAACAGGTTTAGATTTTTTATTTGTCAGGTTTATAAGAACAAACAACTTCGTTTGAAGAGCTGGCGGAGAGACAAAAGATGTTCCAAAAAGCTGTCAAAGTCTGCATTATTTTGCTTGTGACTGAACAAACAAATGAATGAACAAAAAACAACGCGAAAAGAAAAAAATTGTTCTCAGAAGACTGAAAAGTGGAACTGCCAAAATTTCACCTTTTTTTTTCTGCCAGTCCTGCACCCCCCACCCATTCCCCTATTCTTGAAATTCCTTTCCCTTTTTCTACGCCCCGATGCGTCAGCAGCCCACATGCTTAACATATCGTCGATTTTCGCGACTTTTTTCTTAAATTTTCAAAAATAAGACAATTCGTAGCTGTTATTATTTTTTTGGTTGTTAACAATTGCAATTCAGTTTTTTCTTTCTTTTTTTGTCTTTTGTTTCTACTTTTTAAATTCCTAATAAAGTTATTGCTGTCTTTTTTGATTCTTTCTTGCTTAATTTTTTATATTTACTAAACATCTTTTTTTGTACTAAACAGAAAAATAAGCTCTCAAAAAATACACCCTCCTTTCATTTTTCTTAATTCATTTTTTTACATTTTGTACAATGGGCCAGACACTTTCGGAGCCAGTTATTGACAAGCATTCCACCACCGGTGGCGACGAGCGGTACCTCTACGGTGCCTCGGCCATGCAAGGCTGGCGAATCTGTAAGCATCTTGGATTTTTCTCTTTGAATTCCAACAGCATCTCGCTCTTATTTTATACTGTCATTTTTTTAATTATGCTTGTTTTCAAATTATCTTGTGCCTGCAGTATATGAACCTGCCCTATCCCAGCCCCCCCCCCTTTTGGGATGAGTGTGAGTGGATTTGTTTCCAAGGACACAGCACAAGCATTGTGAAGTTTGGAATTCTCTCTTTTATTTTTTTGTTGCCGCGCAGATTGTGCACAATCTTGCGAACCAAACGAAAAAAATAAATAACCTCATTGAAAACGAATGCAATTGCTAGCTTCATACACACCCCTCGTGGCCCTAAAAATTAATCATCGCTCGATACTAAAGAAAAAACTACGCCTGCTTACCCCTATCCGTCGTCACCCCCACTCCTCGAAACTTTTTATTTGTTACTATGTAGCTATGGAGGACGCTCACACCACTCTGCTCAAGCTGGGCCCTAACGGCGAGTCGGCCTTTTTGCTGTCTACGACGGCCACGGTGGCCAGACGGCGGCCAATTCTCGGGTGCCCAGCTGCATGACTTTATTATTAGGGAGAAGGCCTACTCCAGCGGCTACTACGAGGATGCAATCAAGAGCGGATTCCTCTCAGCCGACGCCCACCTGCGGGAAAAGCCCGAGATGACCAACGACTCATCCGGGTGCACGGCTGTCGGCGTCCTCCTGACCAAGGACGGAACCGCCTACTGCGGCAACGCTGGCGACTCACGGTGCATAATCAGCTCCAAGGGTCGGGCCATTGCCCTGTCCACGACCACAAGCCCACGGACGAAATTGAGTTCAACCGCATCACATCGGGCGGTGGATTCGTCGAGTTTGGCCGCGTCAACGGAAACCTTGCGCTTTCACGGGCGATCGGCGATTTGAGTTCAAGAACAACTCGTCGCTGCCTGCTGAGAAGCAGGTAGTCACCGCCCACCCCGACGTCATCAAGCACACCATCACTGCCGACGATGAGTTCATTGTTGTTGCCTGCGACGGCATCTGGGACTGCATGACTAACCAGCAGGTTGCCCAGTTTGTCCATGCCAAGGTGGTTGAGGGCAAGAAGCTTGACCAGATCTGCGAGGACATGATGGACCGGTGTCTGGCTTCGGAGAGCGAGCTCGGCGGTGTTGGCTGCGACAACATGACCGTAGTCATCGTTGCCATCCTTAACGGCAAGACTGAGGAGGAGTGGTACGCACATGTCAAGAATGTCGCCGAGGAGACCAACATGAAGTCGTCACCGACACTCAAGAAAGACTATGAGCGCAACTTTGAGGTCTCAGACCTTGATATTGATGCCGATGGCACGACGAGCGCTATTATCAAGCAGGCCCTGCAGAGTGACGAGGAGGAGGCTGCCGGCGTCGATATCCGCGCTGATGCCCTGGAAGGCAATGTTGCCGCTGCCGCCGCTGCTGCTGTTGCTAAGAAGTCCGAGGACAATTAGAGCGAACCCCCTCCCCTAAAAAGTGCACTGTATCAAAATTAAACATTGTTTTTGTTTTGTTTTTTTCCAACCTCTTTTTTCTCTTCTTTTTCTATCTTTTTTTGACCTCTCCATTTTTTCACACATTTTTCAAAACTCTTTTTCTTACAGTTTTTTATTTCCTTTATTTACAATTATCAAGTTTGAAACGCTCGCTGCAATAGTATCAACAAGCACCCACACAAAAAAATAAAGAACAAGAAACACATGCTGAATCTTTTTCTGCTCATATGTATGTGTGTGTGAGAGCTGAACGCAAAACAAAATTGTGCATTGATTTAACTATTTATTTTTTGTGCACATATCCATTTCAAATCACCACCAGGGTCCACGCTAAAACACCCTTTTCCAGCCTGAAAGTCTCTGCAGTGCTAAATTACTCATACACTCAAAAAATTCGTCAATAATGAAGCAAAATGGCGCGCACGCGCGCGCGCCAGGGTTCGATCGACAAGCACACTCTGAGGGCTCTATTTATGCGAGGCCTGGAACTGCGCACAGCGAACAACCCGATTAAAAAACCCACTTAATTTTCTTAATGTTTGTTGGACTGTGTGACGAAATCGCAACTTGCCTTTTATGGAATGAATCTATTTTTTTGTTTCTAACAAAAATTGTCTACTCGAGCAGATACAAGCGACCCACGACCCGCGTAGTTGCTGTACTTATTTTTATTGTTTTCATTTTCGTTTTCATATTTGCCTGTCTTTGTCTTTCTCTGCTTAAAGGAGCACTGAATATCAGACAAATGATGGCGCACGTTTTCTATTTTCACTGCTATTTCTAACTTTATCTTTCAAAAATCATAAAATAAATACAAGGGTCCTCTACTTCAGAGTTGGAACCCTCGCTTTTTTCCCGGCTGTTAGTAAAAAAACGAGGGGTGAAAGCCAGCATAATTTAGCTCTGTTTACAAATGAATAATGGTGCGATAAAATTTGGTTTTGTGTTTCCATCAGTCATGTCTAAATTTTTTCCTTTGCAGCAGGTTTGTTTTTCTTTGTGGATTTGTTTTTTCGTTAGCTCTTTATTTTTCCACTTTTTATTTTTATTTTTTATTTTGCGTGGCTTTTATTTACAGTTACATTTAATATCAATTTCCTTTAAAAATGGACACATTTAGTGTCGACGAGCTGGATGACAGCATTTTCGGAACCGATGCAACAATCGATTGGGCCGAGGAGGTCGACATGACGCAGGTTCTCAACACCAACACATTTGCCAGTGCTGACAGTAATGCAAGCAAGCACACCGAGAACCCTGCGGCAGGTACTTCACGCGGCCAGTCGAGAAATATCAACGGCTATGGCTCTGGCTCTGGTAACAGGGGTGCGCGGGAAAACAGAGAGCCGCGGGGCCGGTTCCAGCAGAACAGTGGCAGACAGTCGCGGCAAGACACGCGGCCATTGAGAAACCAACCCGAGATGAACAACGGATACAACAATAACACTACTAACCCCAATGCCTCCAGCGGGCGTGGGGGCCGCGGTGGGGGCAGCGGCAGTAGCAACACTGGGAGTGGAAACAGGGCGCTAGGAACCAAGGCGGAAGGTCAACCAGTCGCTCGGGATACGCGCCGCCTCCACCGGCGCAGCAGAATTACTCGCACCCACCGAACGGCATGCCGATGGGCAACGACTCGAGGCAGCACCGCGGGCCGCGGGATCGTAGTCTAAGCATGGAGCGCTCCGGCAGCATCGACCGGTCGCGCGCCTGGCGCGGCTCCTCCTCGAACAACCGCTCGCGTGCCGACAAGGCTGACCGCTGGGAGCACGACAAGTTCGACTCTAGCACCCAGTCTCACTCTTACCAGTCCGGAAGTATGGGACGGATGCGCGAGCGCCGCAACTCCAATAGCCAGGACTCTTCCATTTCTCCTGTGGACATTGAGCATATTGGGAAGGAGGGCATTTCACATGTGACGATAAATCGGCGAGAGAGCAATGCATCGTCACGCGGGTATATGGCTGCATCGTATGAGACTCCGCGCCGCTTGGGTCCAGACCATAGCTTTGAGGACCGCGGTGGCTCGGAGGTTATGCGGTTTGGTAAGGCGCAGCAGCAGCTGCTGCTGCCGGCTTTGGGCCTGTCAGCTGGCCTGCCTGTGCGCTCTGTTTCTCCACGCTCGCCTGAGGATGGCAATGCGGTAAAAGTCCCGTACCGCGCACCACATAGACGCCGGAGCTCAGTAGACAACAACTCGATCATCAACTTTGCGGTATCGGCTACTTCTCCGACCATCCACCCGATCTCTGCGTCCACCGGCGCTGCTCCCCAGCAGCACAAGCAGGAGCAGGATAATCAGCAGGAGCAGTACGAGGAGCAGCAGGATAATCAGCAGGGGCAACACAAGAAGCAGCAGGAGCAGGAGCAGGATCAGCCCAAACCTGATAGCAAAGAAGCAGACGAAGACAATGATACTACTCCCGAGGCCGAGTGGGAGAATTTTGTGGCCAACGGAGGGCTGGAGATTCCATTTGATCGGATCACCGATGATCTGCTCAAAAACATGCAGCGCACGAGTGTCTCGCAGGACAAGCCGACTTTATCTGGAATAGCATCAGAAATTACAACGCCCCTGCCGCCGGTATTCACGCCCGCGGCTGCCAGCGATGTCTCTCCAAAGCAGCGCAGCCGTGCTATGGTCCAGCTCGACGACGACAACGATACCAGCGATGACGACACGGAACACCCTGATACTTTTGAAAGCCATACTGCGCAGGCTGGCCCAAAAGGGGGAAGCAGCCCGGCGGCCGCCAATGAACAGAGTATCTCTATCCGTGGCTCAGCAAAGAAGACGTCAGAAAATCCGTCATGGGCAAGCAATGGCATGTCCTCTTTGGTTCTGGACCAGGTGGTTGCTCCGCGCACCAGGCGGCCGAGCATCCCCATTTCAGAGCGTACTACTCGAACCGTCCCGCCTGCGACATCGACTCAGCCGCGTCCGTTACCCGCCAATACAGATCCTCTGGGTATTCGCATCAAGGGGGTGGTTTCTTCCAACGCACGCTCATCCACTGACGTCTGCACCCCATCTGTGCCAATCCGGCCAACAGCCAGTGACTTGCGACCTGCAACCCCGACCAAACCGGCTGTGCCCTTGACCCGTCCGAGCTCGAGGTCGAGCTCCAATGAGGGGCGCGCCAAGGCCCAGGGACCTGTTCCTTCCACGTATTTGCGCCGCCAGGCTGAGGTCTACGACGAGGACCGCGGTCGCCACATCTTCTCGGCCAGCATCCCTTACGATGAAAACCGCTATGCGCCTATCCATGTGCATGAAAGGGACGACGTGGCTAAGCTGGCGGCCAAGTTTGCCCGCACATGGCGGATACATAACAAGGAGCAACGAGTGAAGCAGTTGCTTACTAAAATGAAGTTGGCGTACCAAGACGCAGCACTCTAAAGTTTTCTCAATATTTTTTATTATTAATCGATAATTTGTCACACTCTCCCTCATTGCACTTTTTTATGTCTTGTAAGGGAAAATGCAGGAAAGTACAGTGCAATATGCTTCTATACTTTTCTTTTTAATTTTTCTTTGTTAAAGCTGTATTTTTTGTATAAAGAAAAGAAATGAGTAAAGAGGTAAATTTTCCCTTTATTGAAATTTTACTAACAAAGGGTTGACAGGAAAATTTGCGCGCAACTTGGGGTTCAAAACACGCTTCAGAACCGGGAAATTTATGGGCCAAATTGATGCAAGTGGAGATTGATATGAGTACTCGGGAGTAAAACAGTTTTTTTTTAAAACTTTAGCATGCAACTGATGTTGATAAACAGCATGGGGCTTATCCTTTAAATATGCTAGTTATAAGCTTGAATGATATGTATGGTTTCGTCATATCATGAACCTTCACCGTTGCAAAGTATTTGTTGGTGCTGTCTTTATTTGTGCCATTCATTTCTACAGTTACTTCATGACCTTTTTTATTGTAAACTTTTTAAAGTAATTTTTGATTCCCTCCAAAGTGTTTGTCGTGTTAGTCACTATCAAACAATATTCAGTCTGTTTGTTTCTGCGACTATGTGCGACTACATATATTAAATCTTTGACAGGCGTATCTATGTAGCTCTTTGAGTTTTTAAGGTCCATTATCCAAACCTATGAGCGTTGAAAGTATGTTGAATTAAATAATATAAAGTTTTAATTATTAAAGCAAACAATAGAGCAGAAAAGAAAAGCAAAAAATGGGAGTATGTTGAGTAGTGACAGCTATGTTGGATGTACAAGAAAGCTCGCATGAAAATTGCTTGGATTTGCAATAAAAGACTTTTACATAAAAAGGGCGGACAAATAAATAAATTGAATGACTGCATGCACGCTTTCCATTAACCAACATAACAAGTCAGCTTGTAAAATGTGTGAACCCATGTGACAGTCGATTTTTTAGACAATGTGCCGGTTGATGTATTGGTCAATGTATTGGTTGATCTATTGGTTGATGTGCTGGCCGATATGAAAATCCGAGAGTTTCTCCGTGGGTCGGTCCATCCATCGGTTCGTGCGTCAAATGGTAATGTCATTTTAAAGATGTGGCTTATTACAAGAATTATAGTATAATCGCAACCTCGGAAGTACATTTCATCTAAATTAATTCTATTTGGCCCAGTCAATATATTTTTTTTGCGTTCCAACTCCCTATCAATATTGTATTTACTAGAACGATGTGCTGTCCAAATGGGCAAAACCCCGGCTTCATTAACTTTTTCAAAATTTTTATACTTGCTGAGCATATGCTCTCTAAGTTCCGAAATAAGTTCGGCATGTGTAAAGTCGCGCTTGGACTCAGCGAGTATTCTGTACGTGTGCTTTGTGTGGTCGGGCACATGGTTTTCCTTTACTGTGAGATGTTTGGCATCAAAGAAAAATTTAAATTTAGAGACCATGGTTGTAAAATAAGAAGCTTTTTAAAAGTATGTCAAAATAAAATAAAACAAGACAGTACTAAAAATAAAAATAAAACTGAACGGATGGAAGCTATTAAGAACAGCCTCCTATAAAGTCATATCCGACAATAATTGAAACTATAATGCAGTTCATGGACAAAGACGAAATGCCACCTTTTATTTACAATTGTAGAATGAAATAATTATTTCTACTTAAAGCGCGCATATACAAAGAACTTTCTCGTTTTGGCGATACATCGTTGAAAGTGGGTTTGAGTAGCTCCAACTTGAGAAAAAGAGACGACGAAACTAAGCATGCTTTAGTAAATAGTCAACAAATTACAATGAAATTGAATATATGCATGTTAATTGGAATTTAAAGGAAATTGATTGGTCCAGAAATGGCGGTTTTGTGACTGTTTGAGTAGGTAAAAAATAAAAAAATACAATTTCAAAATGTATACATAAAGTGGTCAATATTATATATATAAAGTAGTAATTCAACAATTGGTAATAGACCAACAAATTATTAAGATGGTTGCGTGGCCCAATGGATAAGGCGCTTGACTACGGATCAAGAGATTCCAGGTTCGAGCCCTGGCGCGATCGTATATATTTTTGTATTTTTATTAATGTTTTTCTAGTCGAGGGTAAAAGATATTCCGCAAACTTCTTTTTTTTCCTTGAGCAAAAAAGTTTTATGTTTCTCTTTACAAACAATTTTTTATTTGTATATTATTTGTAGGATGTCGGGAAATGACGAATTGAAGCGACAAATCGCACAGCTCGAGTCTGCGATCAACCAGCGTAAGCACATGCAATCAACTGCGCTTAGCGGACCGGCTCGCTACAGCGCTACTAGGCAGCCCTCGTACCGGTACACCCCCATTCGTCCAGCTGTGCGCTCGTCGCGCAATATGAAGCTAATTGTGAAGCCGGACAGCCCAGGACCCGCAGCTACTGAAAACTTGTCGCAGGATGGCGTAAAGTATGTGACTACTGCCAACAAACTTTTTAGGGTGGGTGGCGGATCAACAATAGGAGCAGTAGCCCACCCTCGTCCCCAGTACAGGCCACCACAGTACAGGCCACAGCAGTATAGACCTCTGGTGATAGGCGGCCTCAATAATGGAGCAATGTCAGCGGCCTATAGCAACAGACAGCGCAAAGTGGACATCGATGGTGAAACATACATCCGCAAAGGTCGCGGAAACAAGCTAGTGCGCGCTTCGGAAGTACCAGGGCCAGGGTCGGTTGAGCCACGTCTGAAGGGTAACCGGATTGTCAGCATTGAGGGTGAGAACTTTGTGCGTACAGTGCGCGGGAGTCTTATTCGCATGAGCGCCCTGCGCTCGTTCAAAATGCAGCGCTCCGTGCCCTCACCCCAAATGAGGCAGCACCGGCAGCGGCTGTGCACAAAGTTTGTGTACGGTAAGTGCAATCATTCGGCAGAAGAGTGTGCCTACTCGCACGAGCTGACGCCCGAGACAGTACCGATATGCTCCCACTTCCAGCGCGATAAATGCCTCAAAAGCGACTGCGTGTTTATACACAACAAGTTGAGCCTCAATGCGCCCATTTGCCGCGAGTTTGTCAAAAAGGGTTATTGCAAAAAGGGAAGAAGGTGCTTGCATCGCCATGTCTGGGAGTGCCCCGACTGGGTGGAGAAGGGCAAGTGCCCGGATGAAAAGTGCAAGCTGCCACACCCAACGCCGCGCAACAGGGAGAAGGAGGCAGATGATCTGAAGGCTCTGAAGGAGGAAGAAGAGTTGTTTATGAGACACTACATACAGCGGCCTGTTTTCAGCAAGGATGCAAGTGCGCACAATGCCGGCGCCGAGTCAGAACATATCAGCGACCTTGAATACTCGGATGACGAGGAGTGCCTGAGCGAGGATTTGTCTGGAGACGAGGCGGACGAGCTGCTCAAGTGGTATGATGACAACTATTTGGAGCAGCAGGAACAACCCGCGGCCGCTAGTTAGTTTTGTTCTAGTCTAATTTTTATATTTTTTGTTTTGAAATAAATCGAAGTTGATGTGTATTTAAAAGTATATTGAAGGGAATTAATATTAATTAATATGGCCGCAACAGCCATGATTGGACTCGGCCTATTGCTCGCTGCTCTGAGCCGCCGCATAGACTGGCCTGCTGCTCCAGCGGTGATGGGCGCTCGCGGGTATCATTGTGGCCGAAGGCTTGTCAAGCGGCAATGACGCCCTGGCCGGTGCCTGGCTGTGCTGGGTATTAATATTGTTTATCACCATGTCAGCGACCAGCCCGCGCAGACCAGAAAAGGCTTCGCTGGTTAGCTGCAGATGCTCCGCAGTCTGCTGGGCTTCCACTCCTGAACATGTGGCTGCGTGCTCGCCACGACCAATATAGCGCAGCTCGGCGTGTGCGGGGAGCAAGCCCTTGATACGCGGCGCAACAAAGGAATACGAGCCGGCGTTGCGGGGCTCCTCCTGCACCCAGACAAAATCGCTGGCATTTGTGTACTGTGAAATAGTCTGGTAGAGCTCCTCGCGAGGGAATGGCGAAATCTCCTCGACGCGCACAATGGCAACATGCTCGCCCAGCATGTGCTCGTCCTTGATCTTGGCCAGGTCATAGTATAGCTTTCCGCTCATAATGATGACCCGCTTGATCATCTGTGGGTCACTAATAGTAGAGTCGTCAAGAACTGGTCTGAACTGCGTGCCAGGACCCATTTCACTCAGGGACGAAGATGCACTGGAGAGACGCAGCAGCGTCTTGGGACCAGCAACAATCAGCGGCTTGCGGAAATTGCGCTTGACCTGGCGGCGCAGGAGGTGGAAGAACTGCGCCGGGGTAGTCGGGTACGTAACATAAATGTTGGGCAGAGGGTGAGAGTGCGTGCGGCCATCGACTGGATCGTTAGACAGCATCAGGTGCCGCTCGATTCGGCAAGAGCTATGATCGGACCTCCGCCATCAAACCCGTGCGGAAGCAGCATAACCAGGCCGCTCTGCTGGCCCCATTTAGTCTCACCTGAGGCAATGTACCCGTCAACTATCGCCTGGCTGTTATTATAAAAATCGCCAAACTGCGCCTCCCAGATGGCCAATGTGAACGGGTCCTCTGTAGAAACGCCGTACTCAAACCCAACAACAGCTTCCTCGCAGAGGTTAGAGTTTACGACCTCCAACTTGCCCTGCTGGGTCTGCTGCTGTTTACAGTCCTCCATATGGTTGAGTGGCACATACATTTGCTCCGATTCCTGGCACACAAACATAGCGTGACGATGGCTGAAAGTGCCACGACCAACATCCTGCCCACTGAGCCGAATGTTATAGCCCTCGCGGAGAAGTGTGCCAAACGCCATCGCCTCAGCAGTCGCCCAGTCAATTCCCTGGCCGTCCTGCAACCTCTTTAACCGCGGCTTAATATGGAAACGCTCGATGCGCGGGTGCACCTTAATGTTCTCGCTTTGCTTAACAGAGTCGACACCGGTCTGGTAAAGGGTGTTCTCGTCTACGCCGGTGGTCTTCTCGATCGGACGACTTCCGGAGCGGGATAAAAGCTTCCATACATGGGACTGCTCAGGGCCAGCGGGCCTGCATTCTGCAGAGGCAATGTACGCTTCGTTGAGCGAGTTCAACCATTCCTGCCTGACAGTGTCTGCCTTGTTCTTGCTCAGCAATCCTTTAGAAATAAGCTTGTCCTCAAACTGGGTGGGTATGCTTTTCCGTGCGTTGATAATCTTGTACATCGTGGGTTGAGTGAACGACGGCTCGTCCATCTCATTGTGACCGCGCTTGCGAAATGACCACATGTCGATAATCACATCCTTCCTAAATCTCTGCCGATAAGCAACGGCAATGCGTGCAGCTCGAGCAACCTCCTCAGGGTGTTCCCCGTTGACGTGGATAACGGGAATATCGGCGAACTTTGCAATATCGGAGGCGTAGCGCGTCGTGCGCGTGTGGGAGGGTGGCGTAGTGTATCCGACCTGATTGTTGTTGATAATGTGGATTGTGCCGCCATTCGTGAAATGAGCTAATCCAGACATGCTCAGTGACTCGGCAACAATGCCTTGACCAGCAAACCCAGAGTCGCCATGAAGAGATACCGAAAGCACGTTGTCACCGATGATGTAATCAGGATCCATCTTGGACCTTGAAATGCCAATATCCTTGGTCCGGCTCTTTCCCATGCTCACCGGCATCCCACTCTCCAGGTGACATGCATTCCACATAACTTCGACGTTGACCGGCGAGTCAATGTCTGAGTATTGGATGGTGGTTAGCTTAGGAACATCTAGGATAATGTCGCCTGTATGCGGAGAGTCGTCTGCAAACTCGCTGCCACCAGTAATTTTCCGCAGCAACTCGTCCTTTGGATAATTGAACAGTGTCGAAAGGATGCTCACACGGCCACGGTGTGTCAGCCCAGCAACGACATCTGATATCCCGAGCTGCGCGCCCTCGTAGATGATCTGGTCAATGAGCACGACAATGCTCTCGCTGCCCTCGAGACCATACCTCTTGACATTTGGAAGTTTCTTTTGCAAGAATGTCTCGATAACCTACATGGAAAATGCTGACGCTTAGTAATTATTCAAATAGCCCACTGCTTAAAATCTGCCTTTGCCATTTTTATTGGCAGAAATAAAATTTAAATCGAAACAGTGACATACCTCCGTTTTGGCCAACAGCTCGTGAAACCGCTCGTATCTGGGTGGAGTTGGACTCGCATCCATCGACTCTACATACTCGGCAAACCACTTTCTGATTGCCAGCGACTACACAAATAAATAAATAAAATTATGTTGACCAATAAAAATCAGAGCGTTGCGCATTTAGCGTAGTTGATTTGCAACAAGGACATTCGGCTTAAAGTGCTGACGAAAATAACGCCACAATTTGAATTTCCGAAATTATAAATACATACCGTAATGTGATCGAATTCGTAAGATATATTGCGACAGTAAGTCCTTTGCAGCACTTCAATAATCGACGAGAGGCTGGAATTAGGAGGAAGCTTGCTGGAGGGGGTGACAATGCCTAAACTTGATATTATTTTAAATAATGGTTAGCAATGTTATTAGTAATATGTGATAAAATGTAAATGAAAGTCATATCATGGCCAAATTATTTTATTTATGTTATTGTAAGGTGGCTGATGGCTTCAATTCATCTATGCGGCTGCAGCTGCAGCTTCACCTATCTAGCAGCTACGCCCCTTTCCACAGTATGCGCAATGAAAACAACCAGTAAGAGTAGAAAATTACAAGGTATAATTTGAATGTGTTGCAGCTTGTGTTAAAAAAGAGTGCGAATATATATTTGTTCTTACCATCAATGTTGTATTGGGTAGACTCGTCTTTCAAGCCATACATGCGCGCGGACAATTCTTCAATAAGCCTATCAAATAAATAAATAAAAAAGAAGTGTGTTTAGTAGGGTGTTTGAATTGCATTGCCTAATCCTGGTTAAACATGTCCCCCAACCCCATTACATGTTTTATAACTGTAAAATATTTGAAGGTTGTCCAGAGCCAAACAAGGACATGCAAGAACATCATCACTGCAACAAAAGAACATTACAATGCACGACAATACAACCGAGTAAATTGTATATGCATATTTCATACTCTTGAATATGGTCGTGGTAGGTGCCTGGTAAGCGGGCACCATGCCACTTCACTGCGCACCTGAGCTACGAATTGGCTGTTTTGTTGACTTACCCTGGCTTTTGAATTCCCAACGGATCAAGGTTGCTAGAGAGATGGCCATAACGACGGTACGCATCGGCTAGCATCACAAGGTTGGCATTATGCTGGCGATTGGCCAGTTCCTCCGCCGAATCTATGCAAGTAAAAATAAAAATGGCAAATATGAATTTTAGTGACTGCACGCACGCTTTGCCAGTCCAACCGGTTCTAGACAAATCATACATATAGGTTTAATATTGTCAAGTCCTCGGTTCCAGATTGGGTTTAAGAATAAATAGACTTACATTTTTGTGAAGGCATTTGTGGGGTTTGAAAATGACCGTACTCCGCGCTGTCATGGTAACTATGAGCAAGAGGGAGAAATAGCTGCAAACGTGATATATTGGGTGTGTTCCATCGAGCCAAGCCTTGAGCCAGCACGAGGCCCGTAGTAGTGCATGGGAATACAGCCCTGCGAGCAGATTTCCCAGCCTTGAGCATTTTGGCAACTGGTGGTGAAATGATGGTGGAGGTCGTTGTCGTTGTCGTAATACAAATTGACAAGGCTGTTTGGGCGGGTTTGCTGCTGAAACTAGAATAGGCTGTTGGCAACGAAGAAAAAATAGAATATAGAGGAAGAAGAGGAAGCTAATATAAAAGTATATTGAGCGGTATCTATGCGATCTGGGCCCACTTGGGTCTGCTACGACCGTAAACGGAATGTTTCTTTGGAACGACAATAGAGAACGGTATACTTGGATATGGCAGTATATCGTGGGCAGTTCAAAATTCTCGGTGTATGCGGTTCAGAATAAATGGTTCAATGTTCTGCAACAGAGACAGAAAGCAGGTTGAGTGTGGGTGTTGCAAAAATATTAAAAATTGGGTATTGATGAAGGAGCGAGAAGAGAAAAAGTCGATAATATGAAATTAAAAATTTGGAAAGAAATAAATGATAGATAAATAGGGGTGAGTGAGAAGATGAAATAGACCCTATGGCCTTTTTATTTTTCAAGCGCTGTAGATGGATGGGCGATGCCACAAAAATTGTAAATGTTTCCGTTTTATATTATTCTCTTGCCACAGGATAACAAGCTGGTTTATTTTTTGTTCACACAATGTATAAATTTGTTTGCGTATAACATCAGAATAAATTGACAGTAAAAAGGGGGCAGGGCAAGGCATGGGTGTAGTTTACCCCCGATTGTATAGCACATTGTCAAAATAATCCGTAAATACCCTTTTGATTGCTGTGTTTGCGGTTAGAATAAGGGGGTTAAAAGCGTTTTTAAACATTATGTAATAGTGTATTATCTAACATTCAAAAACGGTTGTTTTACTGGCACTTTGTATTTTTGAGGGGCTTTTGTTAGAATTTACGCATTCCAAAATTTTTGACTTCAAAGCAGTAAAGCCCTGAACGGTCTTTTTATAATGCAGCAGTGCTTAATTCATGCTTGTTAACCGCTTCCACCGAAATATCAAACTTTTACCAGCCGTTAAAAAACTATAAACATAAGCAAAATGACCTCTGTCGTACAGCATAGGGTATATATTTAATTTTTTTGTTGTACTTGTCAGCCTTGTTGCACAATTTTGAATTAATAGTCTTTGTTGAAAATGTAGAAATATAAATACAGGATAGGTTTTATGGCAACATACAGGATACTTAATGCATTGTGTGTGCCAATTGTAAAAATAAAATCGCATTTCTTACTTTTATGAGCGACAACGCGGATGAGAATGTTTAAATTTTGTACCGAGCATCGAATTGAGTCCTGTTTATAAGTCTCTGCGTGCAGAACGCGACCGAGACAATCCAGATCATTAATAGCCTTTAGTCAAGTATATAACGCAGCTCGCGCCTCGGACATCAACATATAGTCACAATTCAAGCTTGTTTTTTGTTGTGATAGGATATGATGAATAGTATACTAGGTATAACATAATGCCATCAATAATTTATTGGCGAGGAAACTACCAGAAAGACAGTGGTTTCCGATTATTAAATACATACAACTGACTTTAAGCATTTGGAGAAAACGCGTTTTCAAAATGTGAGCGGTGTCCAATTGTATACAAATATTTATACGCTCAACATTGCAATCGAGCCTAGCAGCACTACTTGTATACATGTTCTACAGTTGATTTAGAAATTGGATATGGTAGTCTACTCTTTTCACATTCTCCATGTTCACAATAAATGACTGACCAGTGAGAATGTCGCACCAAGGTCTGCCCATCTGCCATTCCGGCAATTCTGCCCTTTAATGCAAGGAGCTAGCTGTTATTTTATATGGTAGCCTGTTCATAACCCCCAGTTCTTGTATTTCCCCTGATAAGTTGTAATATATTTGTACCAAGTAGTTGTGCCAAAAAACAACATCTGACCAAGGAGAAGCAGGGGCGTCAAAAAAAGAGTCCCGAACAGGCTAAAGTCATTGATACAGCAGTCGTGTTATGTTATTTTCTTTTTTAGATATCTTACAGAAAAGTCCCTGATTAAGTTCTTTCCCCCCACTAAATTGTCTTATCCCCATTTAATCGCAGAAGTGAGAGATGCACACAGATTTAATATAAAATATGGAAATTCAGAGCTTGAAAATTGTGTTATATCAACATCGCATTTAGACCAGACCAGTATATAACATGGACGAGATCTATTTTGTATTATTGCGCCGATCTTCAATTTATCTCGGTAATTTTTCAACGAGTCTGCAAAATAAATTATTCGATAGCTCTAGACTAATACTCATATAGAGATATTATGCTTGCTGGTTAATTATTGCGCTGATAGTTTATTTGTTTTCTCAAGGTACATTTCCAATGACGTGTGCCAAATTGATGAGCACAAAACTCGGCCGCTTGCTCAAACTGTTTGCATATAAACATCATCACATCTCAATCACTGATTTGGTTTAACAAGTGAACATCATTAGTGCAGTCAGAATAATGTGGCTTGAATCGAGAAAGCTAATTTACGAACAATACCATTTGACGTGCATCTTGTTTACAGATTTTATTTTTGCATTCAAATTTAGCTGCATCCCTTTTTGGCTAAAATAATATCTGTATTTTCCTTTTCTCGTTGTTTGTTTGCTTGGCCATATGCATTGGTGTGTGGGTTTGTGAAGAAACCGGAAAGTTTGTGCCACGTGTGGCCAATGTTAATGCTTTTTGTTTATAAATTGAAACACCATATCTTTGAATATCCAAGCTAAAGTTTGCTTTCAGAGATCCGCCAGTGCATCCTTGACAATCTGTGCCTGCTCGGCCTTGTAAACGCGCGATATACCAGTGACAGGAGCAGCAAGAGGCCCTCTACCAATATACCTGAGCACTTGTCCCTTGGGAAGAATTGACTGAAGTCGTGGCTGAACAAATGAATAAGTACCGGCGTTCATGGTCTCCTCCTGGCACCACGTAAACTCTGTGGCATTGGTGAAGCTACGCATCTCGTTGAGCAGCTCTTGGCGTGGGAACGGGCATATCTCCTCGAGCCGCACAATTGCAATCTTGCTACCAATCCGCGCAGAGTTCTCCTGGTACGTCTTGGCCAGATCGTAATAAAGCTTGCCAGAAACAAACACTACACGTTGTACCAGCTCGGGACTGCTGGCGAGCGTGTCCGAGATAATTGGTTGGAAGGATGTGCCGGGTGCCATTTCATCCAGCGTGGAGGTCGCCAAAGACAGACGCAGCAGGGTCTTGGGCCGGCAACCACCAGCGGCTTGCGGAAGTTGCGCTTCATCTGGCGGCGCAGCAAGTGGAAAATCTGGGCCGGAGTAGTCGGGACTACAATGTGCATGTTGGGGTTCTGCACAACGCCGGCGTCCGACAGATCCATTGGCGTGTTGCACATTTGCAAGAAACGCTCAATGCGCGAGGACGAGTGCTCAGGGCCAGCTCCATCGTAGCCATGCGGGAGAAGCATGACCAGGCCGGACTGGCGCAGCCACTTGGTTTCACCACTGGAGATGTATGTGTCAATAATCACTTGCGCAGTGTTGTTAAAGTCGCCAAACTGGGCCTCCCAGATGGGCAAAATAGTCGGGCTCTGAATAGACACGCCGTACTCAAATCCTAGCACTGCGAGCTCGCTGAGATTCGAGTTAGCCACCTCAAGCTTGCCCTGCGACTCGCCGATATTGTTGAGCGGAACATAGACATTCTCAGTATCCTGGCACACAAACATCGCGTGGCGCTGGCTGAAGGTGCCGCGGCCTACATCTTGTCCGCAGAGGCGAATGTTGAATCCTTCCTTGAGCAATGTCCCAAATGCCAGGGCCTCGGCGGTTGCCCAGTCTACTGACTGCCCCTCGGCAAGCCGTTTCAGTCGCAGCTGGATGTGGTGCTTAGCCAGCCGTGGGTGCACCTTTAGGGCGCTATCGACCGAGACCGACTTCTCACCCACCTCGCGCAGAGTGTCAATGTCCACGCCAGTGTCAATGGTAGACACGGCCTCGGTGGGCATGACCAGACCGGACCACTTGCCCTTCAGGTGATCTGCCTACATTGAAAGAAAATATAAACATCGCATGTGAGTGAATCTGTAAAAGGAAAGCACAAGAAAGCATCGTTTGAAAGAACTAGCCACATTTTCTTGTTGGGATCTTACCTCTGGCTGGTAGTCCTTGCTGGCGGCCAGTTCGTCTTCGAGGAACTTTGTAAACTGCGCGCGGGTCTCCTGCGCGCTCTCCTTGGTCACAACGCACTCGTCTTCCAACTTGCGCTCGTACACCTTTGGAACGCTCTCTCTGGCGCGGATAATGTTGTACATGTGCGGTTGTGTAAACGACGGCTCATCGAGTTCGTTATGGCCCCAGCGCCTAAATGTGATCAAGTCAATAATGACGTCCTTACGGAACTTCTTGCGATATTCAAAGGCAATGGACACGGCCCGGGCAACCTCCTCGGGATAGTCGCCATTGACGTGGACAACTGGCGCGTTGACCAGCTTTGCTATGTCCGACGTGTATAGGGTTGAGCGCGCGTTAGTTGCTGGCGTGGTGTAGCCGATCTGGTTGTTGATGATAATGTGTACGGTGCCGCCCAGGCTGAAATGAGGCAGGTTGGACAGTCCCAGCGTCTCCATAATAACGCCCTGTCCGGTGAAGGCTGCGTCTCCGTGTATCTGGATTCCCATGAGGCGGTCGCCGAGTGCACATCCAGGGTCAGTATTGTTGTCGTATAGGTACATCTGCTTTGCGCGTCCATAGCCAGCAACAACCGGGTTGACAGCCTCCAGATGCGATGGGTTGTGCAGCATGGTGACGTGAAGGTCCTTCTTGCAGCCATAGTTGAGCTTGGGCGAATTGGCAATGTGCGAAATCACGTCGCCAGACGCTGGCAGATCCTCTGGAAATTCAGCGTTGCCCTGCAGCTTATGAAACAAGGCGCGAGGCGAGTACTTTAGCAAGTCAACGAGGATGTTTAGACGACCGCGATGCGGCAT